GTAGGATAATCTGCTGTGGGATAACCTGTTATAGGATAACATTTCATGAGACAGTCTTCTATAGAATAACCTGCTCTGACACAACCTGTTATGGGACAACCTGCAATGGGATGACCCTATTGGATAACCTACTGTGGGATCGCATCATGTGGGATAACGTTATACGGTATAACCTCCCATGGGAAAACCTCCCTCCTATGGGATAACCTATGGGATAGTCTCCTATGAATAACCACTCATGGGTAACCCTCAATGGAGAACCTCGTGTGGGTAATTTCCTGCGGATAACCTCTTATGGGACAACTTCCTACGACAACCTCCTGTTGTGACGGCACAGCTGTATAAGACCGCACTGTATTCCAGAATACGTTCTGGAATTCTGACCTTTTGAATTAGGAAACAGCCCTAGCTATAGTTCAGCGGTCAAGGCGCCGTCTCACCTGTGGGATAACCGATGATAGGAATCAAACTATAGGATGGTGCTTTGTGGAACGAAGTCATGTTTTGTAAGATAATGTTAAAGCAGTACGGTCCATTATTTTTTCATTCCTTCTTCGGCAGATCTCACTCACTCTCCCGCCCGTATCTATAGGCCATCTCGGTCTCTGTCTCCGTACACACCTTTCCTGGCAATCACTTCACAGTGAACCATCCACATACCCAGTGCCACAGTATAAGCCATGACATTGGAAGGGTGCTCATCATCAAGTTGAGCACTATGAGACTGTGATTGTGTGCTGTGACAGCAGTCTGCAGCACCTACAGGATGTTAGTACCTACACTAACAGCTGGACCCCTGGGACCCATAGACTCGGTTATCGATAATGAAAAAAATGCCCCACTTTGCTCATCCGCAATATGATTTCTACGATTGATTTATTGACTGCGGGGTTTCCAGATGTGTTTTTCTGCCCTCGTTGGAGTAGCTAGCTTATTCACAACATTCAAACTAAGCTCAGAATTCCAAGGTGTGATCAGGGTCATCTTTGTCTCTCTCTCCTTAATACATCCTCAATCTCACACTACAATGGCTGGACTTGCACCTTACAAGGCCGACTTCCTTCAAGCGGCCCTGGATGGCGGGGTTCTCAAGTTCGGCAGCTTTGAGCTCAAGTCGAAGCGCATCTCGCCCTACTTCTTCAACGCTGGCGACTTTTACACAGCCAAGCTGCAGAGCGCCATCGGAACAGCGTTTGCCAAGGCCATCATTGAGGCACGGCAGCAGTTTCCCGGCTTTGACTTCGATGTCGTCTTCGGGCCCGCCTACAAGGGTATTCCACTCGCGACCCTGACGAACTTGAAGCTCGGCGAGCTCGACCCTGCCAGCCACGCCGACACGCTGTGCTCGTTCGACCGCAAGGAGGCCAAGGACCATGGGGAGGGCGGCAACATTGTTGGCGCCCCGCTCAAGGGCAAGAGGGTTCTGATCATCGACGACGTCATCACCGCCGGGACGGCCAAGAGGGAGGCCATCCAGAAGATCCGCCAGGAGGGAGGCACAGTTGCCGGGATTGTGGTTGCGCTGGACCGGATGGAGAAGCTGACTCCTCCTGACGGCGACGACACCAAGGCCATGCCCAGCGCCATGGGTGAGCTGCGCAAGGAGCTCGGGGTTCCTGTCTTCGCCATCATCACTCTTAACGACATCATCGACGGCGTCAAGAGTAAGAGCTTGGCATCAGCAGACACTATCAAGAGTATAGAGGAGTATCGGAGCAAGTACAAGGCCAGCGACTAGACTGGCCCGTGCTCTGTATCTAGCTTTGTGCTAGGTAAGTTTCTTTTCTATCTTCCGATGCCTTTCTATCATCCCTTAACATGGAGAAGCAGAGGGTCGCAATCCGAACGTGATGCCATCATCCTGAACGCCTCGCCAGCAGCCTGTGCAAATCGTAATTGATCCGTTATCCGTAACTCCTACCTGCCTGTCCGCGCGATCCGCGCGACGGCCAAAAGAATTGACGGCAATGCACTCACGGTCAAGTTGTACCAAGACGAATTTATCCGCCTTAGAGACGGTTTCAAGGCAGAAATCACTGGGGTTGTTGAGCGGGTCCCGACGTAGCTGCTGTTGCCGCCAAATCGAAGACCATATCGTGCCAACCGCCTCCACCGAACTCAGCCTTGCTCTTGCCTGCGTGCTTGAATCCGAACCGCTCATAGTAGCTCACGAGGTACTGCACAGAATGTCAGTATGTCTCTCCGCCACTAAGGGGGTTCCAGTTTCTGTAAAACCAGATGGTAAGCGTACATCTTGGCAGATGAGAGCCACGCGCTCGGCTCCAAGGCTCTTCATCTGCTGAAGGAACGACTTCATGATGAGCTTTCCAAGGCCGCATCCTTGCAGCTTGGGCGACACGGCCAGTGAGTGTACACAGATCGTTCGTCCGCCCTCCTGGTGTCCCTTCTCGACATGCTTGCCTTGCGACGTCCGCCAGCCAGCGGGTATCTCCATGTCACTGTCCTGGACGGTGCTGGAGCTAGAGGCGGTCGCGATGATGTGCGCCAGCAGGACACTCTTGGCCTGGTCTGCGCGATCGGTCTCGACAGGGTGCGCGTGCGCGAACGTCTCTATGTCGAAGTCCCTGGCAAGATCGGGGACGACGGTGCAGAATACGCCCAGTGTCAGCTCGGGGCATTTGGTGAGGCGGTACTCAAGCTACACATGCGCGGCTCGTCAGAATAAAACACGGCCATACTCAGTACATGTCAGTGGCGGGGAAGCAAGCCAACCTTTTCGGGCGACGCTCTGTGCTGGGGGTCAGAGAACGCGGCGTTCTCGAGCGCGACAGTAGATCGGAGGTCGGAAATACCCAGGGGACGAATGTTTGGCGCGAAGGGGAACGGCAGGATCTCCTGGATGCGGTTCTCCCTACCCTTCTCCTTATCGTCCCGCCGCTTCGCGCTCATGGTGCGCTGCAGCTCAGCGAACTGATCGTCGACCTCATCGTCCTCGTCGTCGATGGCGTCGTCGAACTGGTCGTCTGGTTGCTTGCCTGAGGCCATGTCCGCAACTGCTGCAGTTCCACAGCACAGTTATCTCCAGGTGAGGTCAAAATGGGGCTGCGGCTTCCAGATTCGGCGAGGTGGTCCTGTCTGAGGTCTGTTGGACTCGTGACCAGCTAGACCGAGGCCGTGGAGCTTGAGCTTGAGCAGCAGACAGTGTCGTAACACGGTGAACGAAAGAAGGGGCTGATGCTGGAGAAATTTCAACGAGAGGGAGAGAGAAGGGATCGACACAGTCGTCAAGGTGAGACAGCTAGTTAAAGTATCTCGACCTTGCTTGACGTATTCACGAGGCGGGTGTGAGGTGTTCGAGGCAAAAGACGTTGTGGAACCCGGAAAGCGGGTACCTATGTAGCTTCCAAGGTGTGGTGGGGAAGGGAAACGATCGAGGTGGGATGATTTGACAGGCCCAGGTCGCCTTGAGTTTCCTTCCTCTTCTTATTGTGTGAAAAAAGTGCACCCCGGGAAAGAGATCGAAGGGCCGGGCCGGTTGTATGGTGTGAATCTTGGGTGCCTTTCAAGTCGAGATGCCACACAGGGTGAAAGAAGCAAGGCATTGGAGAGGTGGGTGTTACATCCAGATGTGGGCAGCAGCAGGTGAAGAAAGGCACTATTCCCCTGTATCAGATAACTTGGTATGTGGCAGCTTGGCCCTAGACGACATAGATACCTACATTCATTGACTGACAGAGTGACTGACTGACTAGCCTGGGGGGCTCTCTTGCGAGCAGAGGACAACCTAGGCAGTCGACACGGTCAGGCACCACTCCCTAGTAGAGGATCCACAAGGCCATGGACGGGAATGTGTAAAATGACTGGACATCTACCTTGCGGATGGTGGGGTCTAGATGATCACGCGCAGTCGGGACCCCTGAAGATTAAGACTGCATGCTGGGAGGGAGTTGTTGGACAAATCCCTAGACTCCCTAACCCGGCCTGCATGAGTGAGGAGAGGTGGTGGTTATTTTGTGTGGTTACTGCGCAGCTGCTATACCACGGCCTGCTATGGCATGCGCGGAGGACCAGACTATCACGTTGCTTTTTATCTGTGGGGAAGGGGTCCCGAATCCGAATAGGCCGGCTAGACTGACTACAGTACCACCCAGGCCACCTCGATTCCTCTCCCGCTCCAACCTAGTTGGCAAGGGGGGAGGGAGGGAGGGACGAAGGCCGCAAGAAGAGAAGCAAGCCCTTGTGGGCACCGGGCTGTTACTGTAATTTACTTTTCAGCTTGGCCGGGCAGGGGAAGATGCTTGTGTTGGGTTGCTCTGCCTGTCTGCGTTTTGAGAGGCTGCTCGCCAAATTCTGATTGATCAATCGACCGCATACGGCAGGTGTATCATCACGACTTGTGCTCTGCTTGTGCTCTACTCGTGCTTGTGGTTATAACTCGCGCAAGTATCTATCTCATATACGCAGGGAGGTGCCACTTAACACCCTGTAAAGGGTGATTTATTATGATGGACTGAATCTTGGTTCCGTCCGGGCCAAGGCCCAATAAATGATATTCACTTCTCCCATGCAGATAGTCTAGATGGATGGCTTGCAGGAGGACGGCACGCCGCATGAAGCCGCAGCACCCTTCTGATGGTGGTACAGCTTGCTGTAGACCGTAGACCAAACAGTGACCCTGACTCCCTCCTGGAGCAATGCCGGGCCAGCCAACCTTGGAAGCTTGGAAGCTTGGAAGCTCCTCCCTGGCCCTATCTACTACAGTATGTAGGTACCGTACCGAGACAGAAATGACCCGACGAGGGGATAGCTACCCATGTCATACCTAGCTGCGGCATCAAGCCAGGTACTTCACGTATCTCGACCAGAGCCACGGTTGACTTACCACATCAGGTACAGCACAAGTGCCGGCAGGCTTTATTGACCGAGTTTGTTCATCATTGCACAGCAGCCCGCCGACTCCCCGGCGCCTGTGGATACCGCCCATTCCGGTGTCTACCAGTGCATTTCAAAGCAATGTAGGCCAGATACGGCGAGTGTGATAACCGTATTTCCATGTACCTGCGTGATGATGTGATCATCTGGCAACTCTGTTGTTCCAAGCCCGCCCTCCACAACCACCTGGAACCTGGAAGCTTTGTCCGAGGTGACCCAACGGTGACCCAACGAGCTCAGGTAGGTCACCATTAGCTAGTCCCTACCCGGGCTACCCTACCCAGGCTACCCTACCCAGCCTACTGCAGATTATTCAGCTGCCTGCCCGTCCATCCACCCGCCATCTCCCTAAGGTCTTGCTGCACTGCAACAGGGACTCGGGTACTCCCTCAGCAAGGCTTGGAGCTTGGTAGGCTAGCGAGGAGGCAAGGTGGATTCCCGCCTACAGAACAGGGGAGCAGGGGAGGTACACCTTCTCACGCCCAGTGGGCTAGGTGTAGCAGGTAGACTTCTTCTTCTGCCTGCCCGCCCAAACCACCACCACCACCACCGCCGCCGCCGCCGCCGCCGTGGCCGCCACCACCACCATCTTGGGTGCCTCCAACGTCCGGGTATCTGCAGCATTTCCGACACACACCTTCTCTTTTGTCCGGCGCGATCACATCTTTCTGATCAGTCCCTTGCCTCCGTCTCCGTCTCCCTGCGCATTCCATAACCGAAAGGCTGTCTCTGCAGGAAGCCACTTTAAGGTCCCGGGCGCCCCCACCACTGGACACCAGTCAGTCTTGTCAGTCAGCCGAGGGTCCAGACCCGCTCAGCCCGTGCTGCCCCTCCAGCCAGTTTCGCAGTTGACGTATTCCGAGCTTCTACCTGGGGGTTCGTTCCGCTTAAGGTTTCCCAACTCAGAACCATACGAACACGAATGTTTACCTTCTCAACGACTTCCCTCTTCAACTGCGACAAATCCGATCATCATTCTTTTCCTGGTCGCCACCTCCTCCTCCTCCCAACACCCACCACTACCCACCGGCTGTCTACGTCATCATCGCAGCACTCAACATGTAAGGCTTCTTCCGCACCAGGCTGCACCAGGCGGCACCCACCGCAACCTTGAAGCTGATCTGGTCTCTTGCACAGGAGGATCACCCTGAGCATCAACAACCCGGAGGCCGAGGACCAGGACCTCCTGTCCCTCGACATCTTCCCCGACATGACCCTCGAAACTCTGCGAAGCTCCATCCACGCCGAGACCCGCATCGAGCCCAACGCCCAGCACCTCTACCACAACGGCCAGCTCATAAGCGACAACTCCAAAACCATGGAGCAGCTCCAGATCGCCGATGGCGAGATGCTGGCACTCCACGTCAGGGACATGCGGGGGAGCACCGGCGTGCCTGCTACCAGGGAGCAGCAGCCGCGGAGAGCACCCATGGAGCAGGACCCCGAGCTCGTCCGCCTGCAGCTGCTTGGCAGCCCCCCGGAGTATCGCGAGGAGCTTCGGAGGACCCAGCCGCAGCTTGCGCAGGCCCTCGACGACCCAGCACGGTTTGCATCGGCCTTCAGAGACGTCTACGACCGGGAACGGCGGGAGCGCGCGGACCGGCAGCGCCAAATCGCGGCATTGAACGCGGATCCTTTCGATATCGAGGCCCAGGAAAAGATTGCGGAGATCATCAGGCAGGAGCAGGTCATGGAGAATCTACAGAATGCAATGGAACACAATCCAGAAGGTGAGGTGGACCGACCGCCATGGCATCCTCACACCATCCCCGCGGCAGGCGAGTACGAGTGAGGCTAGTGCGCTGACCCATCCTGCAGTTTTTGGCCGGGTGCATATGCTCTATGTCGACATCGAGGTCAATGGACACAAGGTCAAGGCCCTGGTAGATTCGGGCGCGCAGGCAACCATCATGTCACCGCAATGCGCCGAGGCTTGCAACATCATGCGGTTGGTCGACAAACGGTTTGCCGGCATAGCTAAGGGTGTGGGTACCGCCACGATTGTTGGTCGGGTGCACTCGGCGCAGATCAAGATAGGGTCCTTGTTTCTCCCCTGCAGCTTCACGGTCATGGAGGGGAAGAACGTCGAGCTTCTCCTGGGCCTGGACATGCTCAAGCGGCACCAGGCGAGCATCGATCTTGCTAAGGACAAGCTCATCATCCAGGGTGTCGAGATACCTTTCCTGGGCGAGGCCGAGATTCCAAAAGACATCGAGGAAGCTCTGGAGGAGGAGCCAACAGTGAAAGGGCCTGGTGGCACGACGATCGGAGGGCGGTCTGGTGCGATTTCTCAGCCTGGCCCGTCGTCCGGCGCCCCGGGGCCGTCTTCGTCCGCCCCACCGCAATCAGCTACCCCTTCAACAGCGCCCACACCTGCTCCTGCTACGTCAGGACAGCCTCAGTTCCCAAATGAAGCGATTGAGCAGTTGATGCAGCTAGGGTTTCCACGTGATGCTGCGATACGTGCCCTGGAGGCGACTGGTGGTAACCTCGAGTTCGCCGCCGGACTTCTTTTCCAGGGGTAATACTCCCGCTAAGCAAGCACATATCGGCGGCGTCGACGAGTCGGGGTTCAGCACGGGCGAAACGGAATGCATTTGGGATTTTTTAGACTTTAGGGTGTAACAGGACGGTCGATCGGTACGGCATGTGCATAGCAGAGGGTTGCATGCGAGCAAAGATGGGAACCAGGCACTACTACTCTGACAGTGGTACAGTAGATGGCACGGATTTCAGGGATCAAGGGTGTCTCACCTTGTTGCCATAGATAGCAGAAGGCCTACTTCTCTTAATAGATGATGACCGCACGAGATCCGGGTTCGAGCAAAAGATGTGCATTACTGTTTGTGCTAAACATACGATGGCCCTGACTCCGGCCCTCAACTAAGCTCATCGAATCTTGTAGACACAGGGCTTCAGCACGGCGGCCTCGTTGATATCCTTGGAGTCATCGTCGATGAACTTGGGCTTCCTCAGGAAGGCCGGCTTGCCGCTAAGCTTGTCCCGGTCCTCCTCCTTCTGCGCACACTTGCCCTTGACGGCCGGCGCCGACTTGACGAACCGCATCGTGACGAACATCTTGTTGCTCAGGTCGACGGCGTCCGACCCGCGGCCCTGGTCCTGCCCCTGGAGCATGAAGCCCCGCTTGTTCAACACCTCGACAAAGGCGGACACGTCGGTCTGCTGCCTCGTGTCGTCCTCGCCGTCGACCTCGACGAGCAGGGCGGCCTCGTTGGCGGCCTCGGCCTCCTTCTTGGCCACGCCCTTCTTGGGTGGCGGGGCCGCCGCCGCCTTCCTCCTGTTCCCGACGCTGTGCTCGACCACGCCGCCGCCGCCGCCGCCCTTCCTCATGCCGCCGCCGAGCCGGCTCTTGATCTCGGCGACCCACAGCTCGCCCTTCCACCGCAGCACGCGGTAGGCCTCCTCGACGAAGTCGACCCAGTTGGTGCCCATCAGCGCGAGGCAGAAGATGGCGACGTCGACGGTCCCGTTGGCCAGCGGCAGGTTCGCGATGTCCGCCTTGGTGACGAGCGGGTGCGGGCTGTGCAGGTCGAAGCTGAGCACGTCGAGCTTGAGCTTCGCCTTCTCCTTCTGCAGCTCCGACGCCAGGCGCGCGTCGCCGCAGCCCAGGTCCGCGATGGTGCAGACGTTCGTCGCGCGGTTGCGCGGGAGCGGCTGCGCGTCGGCTTTGGCGTCCTGCTGGGCCGCATGCCCCTTGTTGTTGTTGCCGCGGTGCTGGTTCTTTGCCGGGTGGCGCTGGCGCGCCCGCTGCCTGATCTCGGCCAGGAAGCTCTCGACCGGGTTCTGCGGCCACACCTCGACCTGCCGGCGGAAGCCCTCGTGGTACTCGGTGAACATCTCGGGGGACTCCTTGAAGAGATTGAAGGCCTCGGATGATGGCCGAGTGTACAAGGTCTCGTTCAGATGGCGGAACCGTGCCGAGATCAGCTTTTCTCTCATCGAGGCTTGCAGGGGAGTGAGCTTTTGCGGCGCAGGTACGGGCGCAACGGCCTTGGAAGGCTTGTTCCCTGCGCTGGTTGGAGCTTCTCTGCTTTCCGAGGTATCGTCTTTTTCCTTGGACGTCTGCTTATCCTTTTTTCCCTTCTTCTTGTCCTTCTTGTCTTTCTTATCCTTCTTGGAAGGCTTGGTAGCCATTTCTGGTTCCTGGTGCGCATCTTCCTCGATGGGTTGCTGCTTTGACTCAGAACCCTTCTCAGATTTGGCGTTATCCGAGTTCAGCTTCTGCCGCTTTTTCCCCTTCTCTGCCTGCTTCACCGTCTCCTTAGGCTGAGACTGTGCTGGCTTCGCAGCTTTTTTAGGCGGCTGTTCCTTCTGGTCGATGACCTTCTCCCACATGTCGGCGACGTTGGAGGATGTGACATTTTCCGGCTGAGATGCCCTCTTCCTCTTGTTGGACTTCTTGGCCGGCGTGATCCCAGGCGCATTCCCCGCCTCAGATTTGAGGTTGTCTGCCGAGACAGACCATCCTTTGACGGCGAACATGGTGGTCGATGTCGCCCAGCTCTCTACCCAGGGATCTAGTAGTGATCACGTGTACTTGAGAGTGGCGACAGTGGCTGCTGTAAGGCCTGCCGTTATGCGAGGGTGAAGGATGTGAGATGAGACGAACCTGGCTCATTGATTTTGAGTTTCTATGAACCTCTCTCTCAAGTCCGAGCAGGAACGTTGAAAATTTCAGGGTCCACTTTTTAACCTACCGGGGCCTGCGCGGATCCCAGTGGGGTCACAGCTTCACTACTACAACAAATACGTACCTAGCAGTGCCTAGGTACTGACTCCGCAGGTACAGTGTGACCCTGCCTGGGCATCGACAGGCCGCATAAACAATTGGAAATGCCTCATATTGGCATTTCAGGGAGGACTCGGGGAATTGGAGACACTCGGGGCGATAGCAAGTCCGAGTTGTTCCATTGCAAAATGCCCTTCAAGGTCTGTGGTGAGGGTTAATACCCCTCGAGGTCGTATTTGCGCACTCATGTTGACATGTTTATAATCCTGGTCCCTGTACATAGGCCTGTCTCCTAGCGCCCTCCTCCCTCACAGGCTGGCGGGCTGGCTAGACGTCCACTGACGTCCCAATGTCTCCCATAATCCTCAGCCTGCTAGGGCGGTAGTAGCGCCGGGAGAGCTGCTCCCAAGCAAACAGCAATACAACATACTCCAATCTCTCCGGAAGCATATTACACATCGGATGACCGATCTTGGCGGGAGATAGAGTTTCTGACTGACTGGATTGTTGCCAACCAACGTGCAGCCAGCCATTGAAGTCTCGTGGATAGCTGCTAGACCACCAACCACCTCCATACCTACCCAACGACCACCTCACCCACGACTCGACTCATTACACATGGCAGCGTCTGGTCTCCAGCCCTCACCGCATCTCGTGTGCGCTTGCGTCTGCGTCTGCATCTGCACCTCTCCGCAGCAGCTTGCCGCTCCATGGGCTTCCCCTCAAAGCCACGAGGCAGCCCATGACCTGTCTCTTCGCAGGTGACACCCAATCCCTCCTTCTCCGCACCAGATGCTCCCCTTCCCCAGATATGCATCGCCCGTCTCCTGCAAACCAGACACAAACCTGGATCTGGCTGCAGGACCAAGTGGGACTATGCCATACCAGCCCTAAGACGTCGTCCGTCGCTCCCTCGTCATCGCTATGCACGACGTAGTCCACGCGACTCGGTAGTTGGCTGCTCGCTGGCCCTGGCATGGGACATCCTCGATGTCGGGCATCCCACTAGTCAAGTCGCTCAAGCACGAACCCCCCATCACCGCTCTTTGACACCCCGAAATTGCGAGAACATGTTCAGAGTAGGATCTTGGCTCGCTGTGATCATGTTCCGTTGTCATCCCATGATTGCTGCGGGCCGTGGAAATATATATGCTTGCTGTCCGTAGCACATATGTGACGGCCATCCCAATATGCTTCTGGGGACCCTGCTCATATCGCCCAAGTGGATGGAGCTCTTGGATGTAGTCACCATTCTTTGTCTCAACACCAACTAGCTCTCTTTCTCTCTCACACACACATACAACTCCACATTTGCTCAATCGGGCCCCTAGCCTGGGCTCATTGGTCCCAATATGTTCTTGAGAAGTCTGGCATACGCACTGCTGCTAAGGGCTGCGCATGCGATCCCCTACAGCGAGTACATCTTGGCACCTGCCTCGAGAACTGTCTATCCGGTGTCTGTTTTCCAAGTTGCTGGCACCGTCGACAACGCTGAAGGCCTCATTGGCGGGGCCAACACGACTGTCACCTTCTCGGGCAGCCAAGGCGGACAGAACTCGTCTGTGACACTAGACTTTGGGAAGAACATCGCTGGCCAAGTCTCGCTGACTGCGCCAGACTCCGCCGACCCGAATGCTGCTATTTGGTTGACCTTTTCTGAGTCCAGTCTCTGGGTCAGCAGCTACGGCAGCGACGCAGTTTCGGATAGTGGGCTTGATGCGCCCATCCCGCTCTCCGTGGGCGGAGGCCAGGGGACTTATACGGTTGGCAGAGAATACGCCCGAGGCGGTTTCCGCTACCTCACCCTGATCAACAATGGGACGGCTGATATCGAGCTATCAGGGCTCTCTGTGCTCTACACAGCGTCACCTACGCAGGATCTGCAGGGTTACACCGGCTACTTCCATAGTAACGATGAGCTCCTCAACCGGATCTGGTACGCAGGAGCATATACAAATCAGCTATGCGATATCGACCCTCATTATGGCAACGCTCTGGTCAACGTTTTTCAGTCAAACCCGCTGCCTCTACAGCCGTGGTACTACAATTATACAATCACGAATGGATCCAGTTGTCTCGTTGACGGTGCGAAGCGAGACACTCTCGTTTGGCCTGGCGACATCTTCATTTCCGGACCGTCTGTTGCCTACAGCACATATGCCATGGATGCTATCAAAAACTCCGTTGAGTCCCTCTTTCTCCTCCAGACACCCGAGGGCATCCTACCTTATGTCGGGGTGCCTTTCGTCGACATAATCAATCAGACCAGTTTCACCTATCACCTGCACAACCTCATCGGCGTTTATAATTACTACTGGTTTACTGGAGATCAAGCCTGGTTACAGAGCTACTGGGACCAATTCAAGCGCGGTTTGGCATGGTCGCTCAGCAATGTCGACTCGAGCGGTCTGATGAACGTAACTGCCGGTGCGGACTGGCTCAGAGCCGGCATGGGAGGCCACAACATCGAGGCCAACGCGATTCTGTACTATACCATCAATCTTGGGATTGAACTCGCAGGTGTGCTGGGGGACGACGCTACCGTGTCATCATATCAGACTGCTGCGGCCGGAATAAAGGAGGCTGCCAATAACCTTCTCTGGTACGTACAAACTTATTCTCTTCTATATTGCACTATGTCACCCCTCGGAAAGTACTTCTGAAATATTTCTTGAGGCTGCATGATTGACGACTAATAACCTCACAGGAATGAGGGACTCGGGCTCTTTACAGATAACGAAAATACGAGTCTGACCCCTCAGGATGGCAATAGCTTTGCTGGTACGTTAAGTTTGATTAACAACCGCGTTAAGTTTGATTATTAGCCTTTAGCACATATGCTATCTTAGAAGCTTTCCTCAAGATGGGGGCGAAGCAATTACTAACCTTGATCCAGTGCTCGGGAACCTCACAGAGAGCGACGCGCAAAAGGCTTCTATTATCAGCAACCTCCAGGGTCGCTGGGGCACCTACGGCGCACCCGCACCAGAGGTAAACTCCACGCCGGCGACCATCTCGCCATTCGCCACGGGGTTCGAGCTCGAGGCGCACTTCGTAGGAGGCAATGCGGGAGGGGCGCTGGACCTCATGCGGCTGCAGTGGGGCTTCATGCTCGACGACCCGAGGATGACCAACTCATCGTTTATAGAGGGCTACGCTGCAGACGGCAGCCTCGTGTATGCTCCTTACCGCAACGACCCCAGGATCAGCCACGCTCACGGCTGGAGCTCGGCGCCAACGAGCCTGCTGAGCCGCTACGTAGCGGGGATCCACCTGACGGCTGCCTTGGGCCAGACATGGAGGATCGAGCCCTTGGCAGGTGGTCTTACCGCCGTGAGCTCAGGCATGAGCACGACGCTGGGGAGCTTTGCTGTCGACTTGGGGGCGGACAGCAGTGGGGCCATCACAAGCTTCAGCTTCGAGGCTCCCGCTGGGACGACGGGGGATGTCATCCTGCCGCAGGGCACGGAGGGATCTCTGACAAGCGACAACGGAGAGTCGGTCGCCTTGTCTGGTGGAATCGCCACAGGGGTAGGCGGTGGCAGGTGGACTTATTCCACGTAATCACGAGGTAGCTCCGAATGGGAACAAATCTCGATGAAATGAACGAACACAGCTCATATTGGCTTGTTTACGTCCAGCGTGAATGCCCTGTCTGTGGTATGAGATTACAAGCTCTGGACTAGTCCCCGGAGTCGTTACATCCGGCCAGTGGAGTTATGGTCTTCGGCCGGCGCCGTGGAACGAGCGGGCGACATCCACCCATATCCTATGATATGTGTTGACTCCGGCTTCGGTGTGGAATCTCCTCCCTCTTCCTTCGGGCGGGCAATAAGCAGATCGTCAGAAAGAGGCCGGCCAAGCGAGGAGAAAAACTTAAAAAGAAGGCGGTCCGAGAGCTCGGGCTTCCTCCGGAGCTAACTAAGTAGCTCATGGATACACGAGCAACGGCGGCTCAACGGCGCAGTTGTCAAGAGAATGTCATTGTTGGAGTGGGTTGGCTGGAGTAGGGGGATGAAGGGGGGAACTAGATGGAGGCTACCGCTAGTTGCGGACGTAGAGTCACATTGTGGCTTGAAGTTTGCATCCTCCCCAGGTTACGCTATCTCCCAACTGCCGTTCGGAGACCCCTGGTGAGATTGACAAGCATCTGAGCATTCTGGGTGATGCAGGACTTTGATGAGGTGGCCGACGTGGGACAGGACCGGCCGTAACCGTAATGTCCAACGGGCCTCGTCACGATGAGGAGCCGGAGTCTAGAGAGAAGAGCCCCTTGAGGCCATTCAGCTAACACCGGCCTATCACGTTGGCAACTAACAAGTTGAGGCTGCTTCAGGAACCAAGCCGAATGGCCAGACTGTGAGACCCCGTGCCCAAGCTCGTGAGAGCTATCAGTACCTGGCATGAGGAGCATTCTGGAGCTCATGGGCCCATTTCGACCAGAGGACGCGTCCCCGTCTGCATTCTGGAGCACGAGATGAGCCAAGCTGCCCCGTGTGAGGGCTGAGAGAGCCCATCCCGACCGCGAGCTCTTGAGGAGCACGTCGTCAAGGGCCCGGGGGTTGCCTTAGGGACGCACGGGAGATGCTGTTGGCATGCGTCAGTGTCATCGGGCCGTCCAATGCCACACGAGCCGTCCTGACCTAGCGGATCGACCGTTGGGAAGGGGGCATGTCTGAACTTCAGTCCGTGTGCTCTGTGGGCGGGCTTCGGAACCCGCCGAGTCTCGAGGTCAGAAATTGTCCGATGAAGCACTGGCGGTCTTACTTTTGCCTGGAGTGCGGAATCCCCTTCTGTTGGCAAGTCTTTGATGGTCAGGTATATCACAGCCAGGAGAGAGGGCCGGAGGGGAGAGCTGAGTGAGTAATCTCGACGCGCCGGTGTAGTACTAAGCGCGACGGGGCTGTTCGAAGGCTGCGTCCAAGGCGAGCGGTAGTCAGAGCATGCGCGTCTGAATTTACTAATCGAAGCCTCGACAGCCGCGACAACCGTCTGCTTGAGCACTTTAGTGGGCGTTCTGGAAACGAAGCCTGGCAGCCTGGATGATCACACCTCGAAATAGCCAGGTACCGATGTATCTGCGAGAACAGGAGGAGCTATAGGGAATGTCGGGAGTATAGTCCAAGAGTGGGCGGCCTGTCAAGTCCGCATCGAAACGGCCGGTTCCGTTGTTCCCGCTCGCTCCTGTCAAGTTCAGACCATGCCCAGATTGGCCCTAGCAAGCGCCGTCGATGGCATACTTTTCACGTTGGTTGTAGAGGCGACGCCACAATATGCAATGAATCCTTCCTTGCTTTACATGTGAGTCTGTGTGGCATCTGCAAGGGATGGATGTCAAGACAACAAACATCCTAAGCTCCTTGTGAGTCGCGTTCACTCACTGATTCTCCCACAGGTTGCCTCTGGTTTCGAGGGTTGTCAGGGTTTGAACGGGGGAGGAGGAAGGGGAAAAGGGGGGGCCTCCTCCGTCTTCACCCTCCTTCCCCACGCCAGCGCAACGCAACGCAGCGCCAACGCAACAACGAGACAGATCCCTAGATCTCTGGCTGCCACATTCGGTGGTTTGCGTCACACAGCAGCCTCCGTCGTGGAACATCGATGCATCACAATGCCACCAGCCATTGGCCACCGCACCTAGCTTCTCAGTCGCCCGTCGAGGCCAGCCAGAGGCCGGCCCTCACCTCGCTGCTACCCGCCCTGCTCATCCTTTGCCCGACTGGGCCTGCTTCTAGATGCCTTCGTCCGACAAGGTTTGTGCCAGTCCCCAATCTAGCCCGCGGCACAGGAGAGCCTCTAAAACCTTCTAGGATGGTCGACATCCAGAGGCACACGTAGGTATCCGGCGCGATATGTACTGCCACGCAGGGAGCTGCGGCGCACACCGACACCTGCTCTGCCCTGTTGCTGGCCGTCGTGGGCGCACAAGTCCGTCTCTAGGACATCATCTGCTCTGACTAGCCGGTCCGCCCAGACACTCGACGGGGACAATGCGGTGTGCATATTCCTCTCGCCGTCTGCTTCAGCTCCGACAATGGCTTCGAGCAAATGTGCACTCCCGCCGTCTGAGCAAGCTCCTCCCAAGACCAGGGCCGAGAGAGATACCTCATCTTTCCCTCCCGGTCTCCTTGTCCTTCTCAGCTCCATCCATGGTCCCTGTCTTCTGTCTCGTGTCTCCTCTGTCCATGCATCATCTTGGTTAATTCCTCCGGCTCCCTGGTCCTAGCACCACGCCGTTCCCTCCCTCGGACGTCTGTCCTTCATTGGATGCCTGTCTCTGTCAAGACTGTACATGTTCGATGAGCTCTGTAGTCCAAAGGTGGCTCTGGATTGTTGGGGTGGACTCGTGTCGTAGAGCCCGGACCAAAAGGAGCAGCCCGAGCTTGGGGGCCGTTTGGGTATATAGATGTCAGTCGTGCTCGCCTTGATGTTGCCTTAACACTCAGCCTTCAGGATTTTGTTACTTGCAACACCCCTCAAACTATCAGGTCTTGATCAAGGCCCCAGAGCGTGCGTATCACAGGACATTCGTGTACTCGAGCTCGACTCGACCCTCTGCATGAACACTACACTTCTTCATAAACACTCGGCACGAGGTGTTGCGCGTCTCCCTCCTCCCTGGGAGCTCTTCGCCTGATAAGCCTTCGACGCTCGACTGACCCTGATCCCACGCTGGTACGGCTTCCGCGGCTGTGGTGTGGGGAGACGCTGTTGTGTCTTGTGTTTCTGTCCCACGCGACGCTACCATCGCCTTCGCGTTCCTCTTCCTGAACTTCATCCCGCAGAAGAAGGCAAGACTGACAAGATAGCCTATGGCAAACTGAATCTGGACCGGCCAACAGATAGTGGACTTGGCTGTCCTTTCCCAGGTCTATATCCCACACAAGGCATCAGAGTACGACAAGAGCAGCGGCCAACCACTCTCGCCTCCACCGGCACCTGCAAGTAACACTCGAGTTACACTGGCTTGTTTCAGTTGGCTCTGTTGAGCAGCTTTATATACCGTTCTGGTCTGCCCATATCCTTCGGGCCCTGCACTCTTACCTTCCTAGCTCCCTCCCCGTAACTGCGCACAACGGCGGAACTTAGTTGGACTGTCTTGCTCCTCCTCCTCCCTCCTGCGTATCGCTGCTCTGCTTGACTGTTCTGAAATCACACAACCAGAAATTTGAAGCCTGTGTTCTTCGAAGACTCAGGCTTGGGTCATTTCTGGCTCTTTGCCCCCTCCCCCGTGGCGGATTCGCGCTGGGTGGCAACACAGTCTACTTTGATTCCCGAACGTCGGACGACAATGCGAGAAGGCTTCGGGCTCTCACACTACCTCGAATACAACGGTCACGTATCAACAAAGCAACAAATTTCTCTGCTATTGCGAATCTCTGGGATCCCTGTCAACGAGGATGGATTCAGTTGCGGTAGTGCCTGAGGGTACTCCGGCGGACGATTTCAGACCTCGAGAGATGTCACCAGCGATGGAAAATAATGATCCCTCACCCCCCAAAAAGGCCAATATTAGGAAGCGGACAAAGACTGGATGTCTGAGTACGTTCCCTTCCTCCCCTTTCATCACAGTACATTCCTCGTTAAGATATGTTGAAACTGACGCCGACCAGCATGCCGAAAGCGCCGCATCAAGTGTGATGAAGGAAAGCCCATTTGTCAGAATTGTATTAAATCGAAGCGACAATGCGAAGGCTACAACACGCGTGTTGTTTTCAAAAACCCTATGGGTGCGCTTCCCGGAGGCCCCTTTGGGCCGATACCTCATTATCATCCGGACCCGACCGAAGCACTCGTCAATGCCCAGCTGTCATCGACGCATGCCAAAGCGTCCTCGTCATCACAAGGACCTCTTCCATTCATCGCTCCAAAACCTCCTAGTCTGGAATTTGGAAGCACTGAGCACTATCAATACCTAGGACCATATCCCGGTGCTCTCCCAAGAGCCAATTCAACGACCGCGCTCGGCTTGGGCGTCCATCATCCGCAGTACTACATGGGCCAGATATCCCCTGACCACTTCTTCGCTCAGCAATCTAATGCTTTGTTGGACTCTCCTGTTCAGATGAACCAGTCAGACGTTTTCGACTTCTATAATCCACCACAGTCACCAATCCAACCACTGCCATCGAACTCTGCACCGCTGGCTCCTCGAGTTGCTAGTTATGCCAGCATGGAGAGGTTAGATAACTCGCCAACGTTACCAATATCACCGCCCTTCTCCCAACCCTCTTCTCTCAAGCTTGACGTGAGAGACATCAAAGCAGAGCCCTGGCTACTGGAAGAAGAGGAAGCGCCATTCGTCGTGATAGGAGAGGACGGACAGTCGCCCAGCAACTCCATTGAAGCCCCTGGATTCATGATAGAAGATCGTTCGCTTGATCTGTATGGCACACAGATGCGTCCTTACTATGGACTTTCTGGCGATAATATACTGGCCAACTACTTAGCCTCTCCCATGGATACACCCCTGAACGATCCGCAGACATATCGAATTTTTCAATATTTTATGAAGACGACGGCCCCATCTTTATCCATGTACGAGCGCAACTCGGCCGACCCGTCGCGGACGTTCTCGGGCACAGCTGTCCCCGAGCCTCATCGCCACATATGGACGTGTGAGTAGGCATTTCCTGGGGTCGCTTGTCAAGATCGCACGGCTGATCCTTGCAGATATCCTGCCTTCTGCGTCTCTACAACATCCGGCACTTCTTCAAGCAATACTTGCCATAGGAAGTCTACAAATGGCTGTGTTGAATGGTGACGTTCCAACGGCATCGTGGCTGCACTATGGCTTGTGCACCCGTAGGAGCTCCAAGAACTACCAAAGTGCGATTAGAAGAGCCGAGCCAGCTACCCTGGCTGCTACGCTTCTCCTAGGCTTCTACGAAGTCTGGAGCAGCAATCACGAGAAGTGGTGTACGCACATGCTTGGGGCACGGCAGCTCATCAAAGAGACACCTTTTCGAGAGCTGAGCAGACAAATATTGGCAATTCACCAGAAAAATCGTCGGCGTTTCGCAAAGACTCAGGCTCAGAATCAATACGGTACTTTCTTCCAACATATGAGCAGCCCGAGCCACGAAGTCGCAGATATCGACCTAGGCCTGGTGAGCCGCCTGACGGGGCGGCCTGTAAACTTTGTGGACGATTCCAACGAGTCGGCCGCCAATTCAAAGACGAGGCAATGTACCAATCGCGACATTAAAAGTTATAAACTTATGATGGATCTATACTGGTGGTTCTGCAAAATGGATGTATACCAGAGCACGCTGGGAGCTTCAAAGTTATTGTAGGTCCTCAGGCGCCGCAGCTTGTGTTGACTTGAGGAACGAGCTGACAAGAAAACAGTATGGAGATTGATCTGTGGACGCAATGTCCACCACGAGCGCCGATAAACAGGATCTCTCAGGTGTAAGGGTCCTTTATTACTGGTATTTGCGTGTGCCAGCTGACACTGACTGCAGATATGGCACCTTCGATCATCTCCTTCTCGTTCTGAGTCGACTATCCAACTTCGTGGCCAACGATTTGCCACGCAAACGGAAGGCCAGAGAACAAGAGACTGGCGCAAGCCCAAGAGGACAAACCTCGCCCCCGCTTTTCGCCGGTATGTTCCCCGGGCGAGGTAGTATAGAATTGCCCAGAGGCCTCAGCCCCCCGAAAGAGTCTTTCCCATCGGCCGAACAGATCCTCAATGCCGTCGACCTGGAGACAAGCACACAGAAGGCTCTCGAGGAGTGGAGCGACATCATGCAAGCGTTCCAGCTTTTCAAGAGTATCCTTGGGCCAGATTTCGACCCCGATCAGTCTAAACCGCCCAAGGACTCGCCTTTTGGTCCCACCTTGAAGTACCATGCGTACGCTATCGCCGGCATCTGGATGAACTTCTACATGGGCTTGGTAATACTGCACCGTGCCCACCCGAGCATGCCGCCGTTCGCGATGGTGGCGGCGCACATGATTGCCAAGGAGACAGACCCATATGCCGACGAGATTGGACGGATCGCGGCCGGCGTGGCTGACGGCCTGTCCGTGGATAGCGTGGTCAGCACGCTCCAGTCCTCCGCGCTGATCGAGTGTTGCTTTCCCATCTTTGTTGGCGCTGTTCAGGTATGACCAATCTCACCCATGTGCCCAGCCTCTCGTACATGATATCTCACACATCATGACAAAAGTGCTGACCTATCTCAACGCAGTACCGAGGGAAGCTTCAGAGACAGTGGGCGATTAGATTGCTCCACCAGATCACTCGGCACACCGGGTGGCAGACGGGGGACCAGATCGCCAGCGGCTGTGAGGGGGCCTGGCGCAAAGCCGCAGCCATGGGTGTTGCGCCGGTGTACGAGCCCGAGTCCGAGTCCGATGCGCTCCGGCAGGGCTGGACGACACGCAGGCTTGACGAGCGGATCCAGGAGGTTGACGAAGGGCATAACAGGCCGGTCCTGCAGAGGTCGGACCGGGCGCACGTTGCGTTTGGATTGCTCAGTGTTGAGGACGACATGGAGAGATTGACTTTGGAGGACTGAAACAAAGGGTTCGAGCTTGTATACATTGCCTGACTTGAGCCTGTCACTCGATCATTTACTTGTACGCACTGGGAATTATACAAGCGTGTGCAGGATGGAAACAGGCGGTGGTCTTGAGACCTGGTGGGTTATTTGATGGCTCTCCAAGTGGGAATACCATTGTGGATTCTTGTCTAGTCGTTCAAATCGTCAGTAGACTAATGATACAATTCGCAATGAGCGGAGGCCCCTCCCCTTTGTACTTCCGGCGACCTCGTCGTCTCATTTGTCTAGGTCATGACTCCCCGCAGCTTTCTCCCCAAAGAAACCGTAGGCGGCGAGTATCCCGCGGACGCGAGGGGTCATGGCGGCAACGTGCTCAGGATAACCTGCAAGGCTCTCGGCCAATTTCTTGTTGACTCTATCCTGCTCCTCCAGCGCTCGTCTCAGCCGAGCCTTTTCCTCCACTAGCATCTCCTTGTACAGCTCCTAGTTGGCGGGAAGACGCTCGACGACCGCGGCCATCTCCTCGTCTGTGTATATCCGGAAGCCTTTCTCCTTGGTCACGCTCGCCAATTGCACGTTCTTGGAATCCAGCTTCTCCTCCATCACCTGCTTCAGGGTCTTGAGCACCAGGGTCTCTGCGTCTATCAGGGTAAGAGACTAAGACGAATGTCAGCACACCATTCACAATCTAGTCGTATCCAACCCCAGATTCTGCCAACAAGTCGTCACTCACCTTGTGGTACTCATTCTGCAACTCCGCCTGCGCTCCCTCGCTTCCACTGCCAATGGCCTTTGCATCATACCGGTAGAACGTCCCGCTGGGCTCGGCATGGTACAGGCTCGGACCATCCTCGTCGTACCCGGCGATGAGCAGCGCCACGCCAAAGGGCCTGCTCATGATGCTCTCCTCGCCGTCGGCGCTCTCTCCGAACCGCAGGGCGAGGTCGCAGATGGCCTGCGTGCAGGACTCGACCCGGAGGCTCTCGTTGTAGTTGAAGGCGTGGCTCTGGCACTCGACGCGGGCGTGCTCGACCATGGACCGGGCGTCGGCCTGCAGGCCGGACATGGCGCAGCCGATGTGGCGGTCGATCTCGACGATCTTCTCGACGGAGGAGGTCTCGAGCAGGGTGGACGTGACGCGCTTCTCGACGCCCAGCACGACGCCCTCGTTGGTGGCGACGCCAATCGCTGTGCTGCCGAGCTTGATTGCCTCGAGGGAGTACTCCACCTGGAACAGACGGCCCTCGGGGCTGAAGGTAGAGATGCCCCGGTCTGGATACAACTTGTTAATGGGGAACTCGGAGGGCAGGTGGGATGTACTGACCGTATTCTGATCGTGCCATAAACATCTTGGCGGTATTTTTGAAGTGAACCCGTGAGAAGAGGAAAATAAGAAGAGTGCCGAGTACTGCTGCTGGTAGAGAGCTGGCGTGCGAGTTCGAGAGGTTGGGACGTAAGTAAGTGAGAAGATGGGAAGCTGTTGTTTGGTGATGGACCTTGGGAGCTCACCAGGCAGAGCAAGTGTCGTAACCAAGCTAGCCTGCCCCAGCGACAGCCCAGCTCAGGGAAGCTGACAGGGATAATGAAAGCAGCTGGAGCTACAGTTAGATGTACTTTCCGTAGCGCTGCTCCCAGGTACCGCAGACGTGTGATTTGACCAGTACGGACTGCACTGCATCTGCTTAGATAACCTATTGTGGTATTATTCAATGCGGTATAGAGTCTTTGGAAACAACAGGGAAAATCACATCCAATAATTTATGGACGGTAGATTTATCTTGTTCCTTTTCTAAGCGGTTTTTGAGTGTCGGGCAGACCCCTGGGACCCCTGCAAGCTACTGTACATAGTAGAGGCACCTCCCCGCCAAGCTGCTTTTGAAGGAGTACGTGGGTAGGTACGTATCTAAGGCACATAGGTGGGTTTGGATACCCGGTGACGCGCCGCGCATGGGTTTAGAGCAGTATCAATCTATGGATCGCGACTTGCCCAACCCAAGTAAACAGATGAGCACCAATTCCTCGAAAAGCCCCACGCCGCCTCAATACTTCTTGCAACCCATGCCACCAGAATAGGGCAGTCAGCTGCGCGTCCAGACGTGACGGGCTACCATGTCCGCGCCCAGCAGAATGTCGTCGCGAATGCCCCGCATAAACACCCGTGATAATACCACGAGGACTTCATTTGAGTCCAGGTCGCAGAAGGCAGGCACAGACTCGCCGGGATCGGGACCGGATCGACCGCCACACAAGAGGACATTGTCGGGCACTTCACGGGTGAACAGCATGCGATCAGCCGAGGAGAGAGAGCGGCGCACCGAGAAGCACACCGTGACAACGCGCGAGACCTTGACATCCAGGACGAAGAGTCCAGACCGAAGGCATGTGCCATCTATGTCGACCGGTAAAGCCAGGGCAGATCCGAGGAGGGCTGCGGACACAGCCTCGAAAGATTTGAGGCAAGAGGCACCTCTACAAGGTACGAGTGAACCCCTGAGCATGCGCGGATGGGTATGATGCTGACCTGCAACTGCTACAGCCCCATGGGAACCGGAAGCGACTCTCATACCACTCACCTCTGCGCCCTTAGCCTCTCGAATATCAATACCACCATTAGCACTGCACGCGCCTGCTTCGGTACAACCGAAGCCCCTGTCGGAACTATCGTTAGAGGCACAGGAGGCTGCCATACTGGAGGATCTGTTGTTCGTGTTCATGGGCTACGAGGGGCAATACATCCGTTTTGCGAAAGGCTATGACCCTCACGAGGAAAGAGACCGGCTCGCTGGTCCGACGCACCGCATCCTGGCTGGCCTGGACCCGAGCTTGCAGGACCTCACCATGTCCATGCTGAAAATGGCAACATACTATACTGCCTTGGAGACGTTTATCGATGTGCAAAGCCGGGAGGAGTTTGGGTCAGTGAATCATGCGCTGTGTGCCTCAATTCGGAAATTCCTGCAGGACTACCTCGTCCTCATTGCACAATTGGAGACGCAGTTCCTCACAAACGACGCCTTCACACTGCACGTTTTGAATATCCACATACTGCCCACCAGCCATATGATGTTTCAACTTTACTCCTTGGCACATGAATTATTGAAGCGGAATGCGCTCTTGGATGAAGAAACGGATGAGTCAAGTGATAGTGCAGATGATTTCGACCAGATCTTGGAACAGTTGAGGGACGGCGGGGATCTGATGCCAGGGAACATGACAGGAAAGAAAATATGCAAAGGGGGTGTGGTGCTTGGTCTCATCACGAAGAGATTAGAGACCATGTCCGGAGATCCTGCGGCCAGAGCCCTGCTTACGAATCTCCTCAGAGATTCGAGCAAGCCGTACATGGTCATGCTGAATGAGTGGCTTCACCATGGAAGTATCAACGACCCACATGGCGAATTTTTGATCAAGGAGCAAAAGAGCCTGCGCCGAGAGAGGCTAGAACAAGATTACACGGATGAGTACTGGGAGCGGCGTTACACGATCAGAGAAAAGGAGATACCGCCGCAGCTCGAGGCAGTTAAGGAGAAGGTGCTCCTTGCTGGCAAATACCTCAATGTCGTCCGCGAATGTGGAGGCGTGGACGTCAGCAGTGACGTGAAGGATAAGCCCAAATCATTTGACGACAACCGATTCCTGGAGAATGTCAACAATGCATACTCGCACGCGAACGAGTCTTTGATGCAGCTGCTGTTGACGACTCATGCTCTACCGGACCGCTTGCGATCTTTAAAGCACTACTTCTTTCTCGACCCATCAGACTACTTTACCTACTTCTTGGAACTCAGCGTCTCGGAACTGCGAAAACCAACACAGGTCGTCAACATTGCCAAGTTGCAGTCATTGCTGGATTTGGTGCTGCGGCAGCCAGGCAGCATCGTGGCACTGGATCCTTTCAAGGAGGATGTTAAGGTACAGATGAACGAGATTACGCTTATCAAGTCCCTTCAGCGGGTCGTTAATATCACCGGCATTGAGGAGGGCGGTGCGCTGCAACCTCTGAAGGATCAGCCAGTTGAGAGTGACAAGAAGGCTAATGGCTTTACGTCTCTGCAACTGGACTATGCAGTTCCATTCCCAGTGTCTCTGGTTATTAGTCGGAAGACAATATGGCGGTATCAGGCTTTGTTTCGCTACCTTTTGTCATTGCGACACCTAGAATCGCAGTTATCGACAGCGTGGCAAGTCCAGACTCGAGGCTTTATATGGTGTCGCAGAAGCTCAAGCAAAGAAATCGAGCTTTGGAAGAAACATGTCTCGACCCTCAGGGCTCGGATGCTGGTCTTCGTCCAGCAGCTACTTTACTTCTGCACCGCTGAAGTGATCGAACCAAACTGGCAATCCCTCATGTCTCGACTCAAGGCAAAGGATAATGATGCGTCCAAAGGCTTCACCCGGACTGTGGATGAGCTGATGCAGGATCATGTGGATTTCCTGGACACTTGCTTGAAGGAGTGCATGCTGACGAACAGCAAGCTTCTCAGGGTAAGTTGAAGGACACTCATTCGCCGAAGCACCTGATCCGTCCCCGTTGCTAACCATTGCTCAGGTCCACTCCAAGCTCATGAACAATTGCACCATGTTCACCAGCAGTATCGACTGGATGACAAGGAACCTGGAAAGGGCCGACCCAGACCTGCAAGGAAAAACGAAACCGAGAAACATGTCCGACGACCAGTGGAAGCATGTGCTGGCAAACAGGGAGAAGTGGCAGTCCGCTCATGGCGAGTCAACCAAGAGTCCCGAGGCCCTGTTATCCATGATTGTGGAAACGATGAAGGCGTGGGAATACAACTTTGGCAGGCATCTCAAGATTCTCCTCGACGCACTGAATCACTATGCGGCGACGGAGACGGTGGTGCTGCTCAGCCTCTGTGCAAGACTAAGCGCTGCGAACCAAGGCACGGAGCACGTCGGGTTCAGGAATGAAGATGAGTCTACTCTTTGAGCTATGTCAAAGCATACAAGGGGTGGTGATAATTACGACTTGGATGGCGTTATCTGGAGTCTTGACGACACATTGCATGCCAGGTGCACAAGGCCAACGAGCGCAAATGGAAAAAGGAAAGTGGAAAAGGGAGCAGGATGGCGCATTCATGGGCTCGATTCTGTAGATAATTTCCCCAAGATACCTTGTACGAACGAACTATGCACACGTCCACTCGTCTGGTTTGTCATAGGCTCCAGCGAGTGCTGTTGGCAGGGGAGCTCCCCTGGAGCTCAAGAGACCGGGGGCGGGCATCCTCGGCCCAGGCGCCAATCGGCAGCCCACTGCCGGACGGACGGACCCTCAGTAGCTGGAGGGCCAGGCGATGATGACAGCACCCCCAAAGTGCCGAAGGTAATCGACACCACCGCCACGTAGACGGAGTACCTAGGCTGTATTCCATTTACAACACTGTCGCGTCACGACTTGCATATAGCCAAGTCGCGGCCTCGTCACGCTCTTTTGCTTCACCCTTTACGTCGGTAATTCTGGGTTGCATTCTTGGGCGTGTTTACGGGGGGCCTCTACCAGAAAGGGATCGGGTTTCAAAACAACAACAATCGCCTCGTCTTTGGAAGACGCTCGTTGCCTTCAATTCAACCAGCTCCGACTATCGTTATTGGAAACTGCTCGAGAGGTCTGAATGACCCAATTGTAACCGAAACTTCGATTCAGCCGACCGTCTGAAGCCCCGCCCGTCCCTTCAGCGTACTCAAACTCGTGCCGGTGCTGTCCCAGGTCATCCGCCAACATGCCGCGAAATCGCCCAGCCACGACAGGCTACGAGCGCCTGGAACAGGCCGACCACTCGAGCGATGAGTCTGAGGACGACCCCATGCTTCAGAGTTCTGCGTCTTTACAGGATCCCCGAGCTCCCCGCTACAACCATACGTCACAGCCGCGGCCCCACTCTGGCATGGCCTCGCCGAGAGCTCATGCGAGCAATGCCAGTCGCCCAGGAGGATCAAAACACAGCCGCGGCCGGAGACTTAGGAGCAACTCGGGCGTGGATGTCAAAGCAATCAACGCACGGCTGGAGCGATGGGCAGAAGAAATAGCTTCAAAATTTAAACGGGGAAAGAAGGGTAGACATGGCGACGACGACGAGGGCCGGCTCGAGATACACCATAGTGTGTTTCAAGCACCCGAGGGCGTGAGACCCGCCACGGCGCAGAGTCTGGCAGTCCCGCAGGAGGGTGTCATGACGAGGGACGAGTTTGAGTACATTGTCGACACTGTGCGGCTGGCTATCGAGCAGGGCGTCCATCCGAGGATGATCGCACAAGGCAGCTCCGGATCTTACTTCGCGCGGAACCCGGACGGCAAGGTCGTGGGCGTATTCAAGCCCAAAGATGAGGAGCCTTACGCAGCGGGAAACCCGAAGTGGAACAAGTGGATTCACAGAAATCTGTTCCCTTGCTGCTTCGGGAGAGCATGGTACGTTGGGAGAGCTCGTGAATTTGACCCTGTGACTGACCCTCGATAGCCTCATTCCCAACCTCTCTTACGTGAGTGAGGCGGCTGCTTACACTCTGGATTGCCAACTGCGAACCCACATGGTACCCTACACCGATGTTGTGTGGCTTGCATCGAAGTCGTTCCATTATCCGTTCTGGGATCGCTACAACTACTCCAGGAACAGGAAAACATTACCTTCAAAACCAGGGAGTTTCCAGGTTTTCCTGAAAGGGTTTAAGGACGCGAATGTCTTCCTTCGAGAGCACCCCTGGCCGGACCAGTACCTATCGGGTGTACGAACCAATGACACGCATCGCAACAGGCGCAGAAGATGGGTAGATAATTGCCGGCCCATCGCTGGCCGCTTAGAAGATGACGACGGCGGAGACGACGGGGCTGAGACCCCGGACCGGTCAGTTCCGGGCCCGGACAATTTCATGTGGACAGAGAGCTTGAAGCAGGCTTTCAGAGAAGAGCTCGAGAAATTGGTGATACTGGACTACATTATGCGCAATACGGACCGAGGCCTCGACAACTGGATGATCAAAGTTGACTGGGAGACTGGAGAAGTCTCAATAGCATCGGAGCCTGTGCATATGAACATGGACACAGAGGAAGAGGAGGAGCAAGTGAACGGACCGAGGCCGGTAGATTTGAGCCAGAGGCCAGCGCAGAATCGCTCATCATATCCCTACAAAGCCCAGAGACCTATGGAAGCGTCGAGTCCAACAGAACGGCCACGAGATCCAAAAATCAGTATAGGGGCCATTGATAACTCATTATCATGGCCTTGGAAACATCCTGATGCTTGGCGAAGGTGAGCGCAATGCCCAATTCTCTAAAGAAGAAACGATTTGCTGACACATGTGACAGCTTCCCCTTCGGTTGGCTGTTCCTGCCTGTGGATCTGATTGGCAGGCCATTCTCGCAGAAGACGAGGGATCACTTTCTACCACTGCTGACCTCGACAGCGTGGTGGAGCCAAACGCAACTCGCGCTCAGAAGGATCTTCCAGATTGACCCCGATTTCCAAGAAAAGATGTTCTCCCGGCAGATAGCCGTGATGAAAGGGCAGGCATGGAACGTGGTAGAGACATTGAAGACGCCGGATCACGGCCCTCTAGAACTCACCCGCCGCGCAAAAGTGTGTGTGTGGGATGATCTAGTGGAAATTCCCGTGGCCGTTCCTATGAGGGCGACATCATCCGAAATGCGCCGGCGAACCGAAGAGGACTTTCAAAAAGCTATTGAAGAGGAGATGGATATTGGCGCAGCGAATAGCTCCGCCCCAGCCGCGGATTTGCTTGGCCTTGCCACGCCGCCAGCCGACCTGCCTCATCCTGGTAGGTTTGAGCTGTCAGGCAACATCACGGACACAGCCGTGGATGAGACCCAGTCACTGGAAGACTCGGCCGTTCTCAACGAGAATACAGCAGCGTCCTCGCCGACCCGGACGAAGCACGACAGGCCCAAGATGCCCGGGGCGCGGTTTGGGACTAGTTATCCCGGGCCGCAGCGGTCACACTCGACGCTCAATGTCTACTCCAACAACAGACGCGAGCGGAGGTATTCTTTTGCTACGGCTTTGGGACGGCGGAATAGTAATTCCATCGCCCAGACCATGTACGGTTATGATGACGACGTTGAGGGGGATCTGGGGTACGCTGCGGCCGAGGGCATGGAGGGCAACCAGCGTAAGGTTATCGTGGAGAGGTTAGAGCCAGTCAAGGCGCGGAATCCTGTGTTTACTTGGTGTTAAAGAGTAAAAAGAGCATCTGGCCGTCCTGGGTAGACTGTAAGATACGTAAAATGGGTGGCGGCATCGTCAGAGGCGTCATACACGATTTCCACGTTGGTCATATCGAAGGGATTGGTTTAGATTTGTCGAACTACAAAACAGGGCCTGCATGCATTCAGATGGCTACGCCGTACATGAGCTTCATGGGTTCCAACAAGATTGGCTGGTGTTGCCTTGGGCATGGCTGCCGCTAGATGAAATTCTGCATAGTTGAAAAAAAAAGGATGATTAATAGGGAGCGGGTAGTGCAACTAAGGGCATTCGCCATCATGCTCTGATACAATAAAAAGAATCATCCAGGCTATGTCGATCTGATCGATCATCTTGATGATCATTTGTCCGTCTCGTCGGCATTTTGTCGTCTTCTTCGTGGGCAACTGCGGGGATATCGAATTCGTATCGGATATTTCCAAATGATTCTGCTCAGTCTCCAAGTATCAACAGCAGGCACCTCCGTTCTTTGGTGCCCACTCCTTTGCCTCACTTACCCACATCCTCCGCAGATCTCCTCGCTCCTCAGCCAGTATTTATTTCAAACCTCGCAATCTCCTTCCACCGCTGCTTTGACACATCAACGTGGAGCTTAACGCGGGCTCGTGCTGGGCCGGTGCGATCGTGTCTTTTTTTGGTCCATCTTGATCGCGGGCAATCTCATCTGCCAAGATGCGGCAGTGGAAAACAATGCAGGTCATATTCCCACTCTGTTTAGTCAAGAACATCGTACGTTCTCCGTCCCACAGGAGATCTGAACCCCACAATGAGCCCTCCTCCTGGGACTTTTATACTGTCCGACCGCCGTAGAATGCTGCAAACTTCCGGGAGTTGGTTTAGTTCACCATTCGCTGTGACGTTACAGCGGCAGTCCTTTGACTGCCCGCGTCTTATCTTTCGGCCTATAATCATGTGAAGACTTGGCCAGAAATTACACCATTTCACCTCCTGGGAATACGGCCCAAACACTTGGTAACCCCTGGTCGGGAGGATCAAGCCCCGATCGCTCACTCCGCGGTGATCCATCCTGCCGGATGTGCATACGAACAACCCGGCACCCTGCCTGACAGCATTACTCGCCGTCTGAGTTGTCATGCAACGGGTTAAATATCACATAACATATCTCTCCCTCCGTTGACTGAATTTGCCACTTGGCCGCATAATCATATGCATCTGTCGTGCGCTGCAAAAGGGCCCTGCCTGCAGTGCTCCCTCTTTCCCGCTGCTGCTGCTGGTGCTACTTGGAAGCTTTGAGTCTGCAGGAAAGGTCTGCAGGAGTCGCAGCCGTCGTTGAGCAATGGCCAGCCAGACCCATGCCCTGATGATGAAATTCATGCACAATGTGCGCGCGTGCCGGAACGGTGAAGCTGTATGAAACAATTTAGTTGCAGATGTGGGTATAGACACCGGCTGGAGGACAACACTCTCATGTCGAAACGTTCGAAACCCGACCCAGTGATTCCTTCTCTGGTGAGCTCCTCCCTGAAGGTAGATGAAATGGACAGACTGGAAGTGCCAGTGACTTGTGGTGTGCGCCTAGTAATCCGACGGAATGGAAACTCGGCTCTTAGTGTCCCAGCATTTCGGGTCAAGGGCGGCCAGGGGTGGCCCTGTCAGGGAGGGTGACGCCACGCCCCGGTCCCCAAGCTCGGGTATCCACTCACGGGCTGACCTCAACGTCCGGCCTAAACGTCCACACAAAAAAAAGAGGGATCACCGTTTTCGACGCGATGATCCTAGACTGACTTTGTGCTGCCCATCCCATTGCATTTTGGCCAGACGCAACGGCCCGAAATAGCGCTGCTGTTCATTTCCTGACCCAGTACTAGCGATCGGCCAGAAAGGAACCCCACGGCCCTCGTCGCAAAGGCCGCGTTTCGAGGATGGGCCCCCCGACCGACCGTCCTGTCTGTCCGCCCGTTTTTCTCAGCGCTGCGGAGGGCTTGCCCGAGATCGCCATGGAATTGATTGACTTGGCTAGAACGCGCCAGACGGAGCAGATGTGGGCATCCTTGCCGTGATTTTACTTACCGCTTCGGTACTTCTGCCATCGCTCTCTGTTTCAGTGACCAGACTCCAGCAGTCGACAGGGGGGACCAGACGATTTGCAGAATGCATGATGGGTAGCTTGCTCGCTTTTCCTGTGTAAGAGCCCCCAATGGAGTTCATTAGCTGTTCGGCCAATCGCGTCGTACAGGTCATGGGCACGTTTCGTACTCTCACCACTCACGCTTAAGGTCTTGACACGACAGCTGTGGGATGAGAGGGGAACGGTGCTGGTACATGGTAGCAGTAGACCAGATTGTGCTTGCAGTTGTAGATTGCTGCTAGTGGAAGACACAGATCAATAGGTAGAAATATGGTCCACGTCAAGTTAGTCCGAATTACCCATGACTCCATGAGGTTCCATCGAAATTGCGCGCTATGAAGAGACATCTGCCGACCAAGACGGCTGGCTATCCGCCTCCGACGATGGAATGGCCAATCCAGCAGACGTTTTGAAAACCTCCAAGCGGATCGCTTCCCTTGGTCGCAGTAACGGTCACTAGCGGGACCGGTGTTCAAGTGACTCCTTTGGATTGCTACCCTCGGGTCAGCGTACGCAATGGAAGATTTGCCGTATCGAAGCTTGACTTCGTTATCCAGAATGGCAAAGAGGCCCGATACTAAGGTTTCTCCAGCCTCTCCAAGCCCTCGTCGGCGTCTGGGTCCCGACCCCTGGATCGCACTGTCAAGACCTCACCGTGTTGGTGTGTGGACAGGCTCAAACCTCATTCTGGCTTGCCAACTTTAGCTGCTGTCACGGTAGTGATGTTTTCAAACCTTAGGAAAGCTCAATGGGTGTGTCTTTTTCCGGCAATTCCGGGTGTACAGCTTTCAGGGGTTCCCAGAGTTTGGCCCGTGCCGTGGCCACTCTGGCCTGGAGCTTTCCACTGAGTTGGCCTGTCTTGGGACGAACTTCTCTCTCCTGATAGGACAACAACCCGGGAAGCTCGCAAGCTCCTATTTTTGTGGGATGGCCTGTAGGGCATCGTGGGTCGCCTCTCAACTGTACTTTTAATCCCCTACTGGTGTACCACGGTACCTGCGCTAACGGTCAGTCCCTGGGTACTGTATGGACAAGCTTGCCGGGATGTATGCTTTTTGGTCACCGATTGCCAGGACAGCCAGGACAGCCAGAACGACCGACCCACAAAGGTTCTTCAAGTTTGGAAGCGGCTAGAATGAAGTTGCATCAGACTAAAACTGACCCAGCCACCTGAACTGTGGCCCCTTTGCTCTCGATGGGCAAGGCGACCTCGTTATTCCCACATCTGTATCGATGAAAATAGCCAGAAGCAAATTGACCTGGACTCATCGCTGCCGTAGGGTGGTGCCGAGGTCGAGCCCTGGTCAAGTCTAGTAATTTGGCGCAGGGAGGAGCATATGTGCGTATGCCTTATGCATGCGTTCCATTACTGTCGGGAGAACAAGACCGCCCTGCTAGCTGGTCTGTCCAATGCAACGTGGCATTGATCCGAGTAGACTGATGCGAGTCGGGGCCCAATTTTCATGGGCCGGTTTTGCGATGTCTTGTGTGAGGACTGACGGCTTCTGGGTAAGGGATGGATGGGAATCTATGTTGTGGTCAGTGAGTCCCCTCCTGGTCCACCCAGCTTCACCTACCTCCTAGCTGTCTGTCCTGCATTACCAAAGGCTCAGCAGTACCCACAGTTGCTGAACGTTCTGGGCATGTATTTATTGGCCATCGTAGAATGACAAGAGTCTCTTCACTTGGGGCAACATCTTCCCAGAAGACTCCTGGGCATCGTTGGAACCTTTGCTCTCGCGAAGCTGGAACCAAGGGTGACATAACAAGTATCTCGAGCATCCGAACCTTTTCAAAAGCGTGTTAACGTTGCATTCTCGATGGAAGCAGAGTAATTCTCCCACTGTCCAGTCCACATACCGTGCAGAAGACACTGAAACGTACGACGCCGATAGTGATTCGCAGGGTATTCCCGTGCCGGACGCCTATTTGGAGACGGTTGAGCATCATGGCAGGCTGTTCCAGAAGCACGCCTTGCAGCATAAAATATACTTCGGCCCAGTTGATGAGGTAATTGCCTTGCTCTCTGTGTCAACCCCAGGATGCTTACACCAAGGACAGGAAGAAGCACAGCGACTCCAGCTTTTCCACCACGTTTTCCATATCCTCTTCGACAGGAGGCTCATATTCCCGGGTCCAATACCCAACCCGCGACGCATCCTTGACTGCGGCTTCGGCTCAGCATCATGGGCAATCGAAGTTGCTGATTCGTATCCAAGATGTGAAGTTATCGGCGTGGACATTGCATCCCAAATGAGTCCTCCCGACCTGCCCCCGAACCTATACCTCGAAGTCGACGATCTGAACCAAAGGTTATCCCCAAGCCTAAGCCGAACGGGAAGAGCTGATCTGACACACGAGCCAGGCTTAACTTCAATTCCTCTCATTTTGACGTTGTACATAGCCGATGCGTAGCGGGAGGCATCAACACAGGCAGGTGGGATGAATATGCAAGAGAGTTGAACCGTGTGTTGGTTGCAGGTGGTTGGTGTCAGATGGTTGAGGTTTACTTTAATGCCCAGTCCAACAATGGCACGTTGACGGATGGTGAGTTTATCCCAGGTGTCTTGGATCAAGGGTCCTGGAACGATGCTTCATTCCTCTGGTCCGGCCTCGCTTCCACACTGCACAGCTTCCTGGATGGAGACCCTCTTCCGAAGCCTCTTCTGACTGGGTTGCGGTTGGGGAAACTGTTCGTGACATCAGGGAAGAGCCGGCTAATTTCGATGAGGAATGGCATCAAAGCCTGGAATTGTGGTGCCCCGAGCGCATGATACTAACAGTGCATATAGATCATGGCCTTCGGCGGTGGTATGTTGAAAAGACGCCAAAGATAGGATGAAAGTTGACAACGAACAGGTCTCGGCTGTACCTGCAGAGTCTCCAGCCTGAAAAGGACGCCAGAGTGGGCATCCGGCTGGAGGGCCTGATGAGAAATGCAGGTTTCGAGAATGTCGAGTCCCGAATGATGCAATTGCCTCTGTGTGGATGGCCAGACGGTTTGTCGCTAAACTGCTGCGGTGATGAAGATGGACTGACAAGACGGAGCCTAGATGCGAGGGAAGAAGAGGTCGGAACCGCGAACCGTGAGAACATGTCTCACCTTCTCAGTTCCCTGGCTATCTACCCGTTTACCGAGCGGCTGGGGATGTCCATCACCGAAGTCCAAGTTCTCTTGGCTCAAGCCCGCAGAGAGGCACAAACCCTAGAGTTGAAAGCCTACTTTCCAGTGTGCGTTATGCGAAGCTCGCTGAGTTGACGATAAGAACGACTGATTCTAACCATGACAGATACGTGTGCATTGGCCAGAAAAGAAGATAGTCTAGCAGCCGAAAAGGCAAAGAGCATCAATCGCCCCATGTGTCCACTTCGAAGGGCTGTTGGCCGGTTTCAACCCACTATCCCTTGCGACCTGGCAGGCCAACAGACATTGCATACCACCACAACCATTGGGAACTCGGCACATATGGATAAACATTGAGATTGGTGCAATGGGGAATACCCTATCGCACGATCAGATGGCTACACCTCTACTCAGTCTTACTGGCTGACGTGGACATGGCCGGAGGAAGTGCATCTCGAAAACTGGTAGACGGTACGACCTGAGGAACGAGCAACAGCAGTCTCTCGCTTATAGTGAACAATGCCGTTTATCATATCATGCTGGGATACCATCATATATTTTCAATTAAATTTAAAAGATATAGTATGACCTCCATCGTCGGACATAGTCTCAGAGAAGTGCTCATAAACTAGAGTGCCTTTATTTGCAATATGGAAAGTACCTACCCTACCTCAAGCCACGTGGGTGCAAGGGTAGCTCGCCGTGGAGCTCGACAACGGAAACCAGGAGGTGGCTAGAGCTCCGAGCTCACATTCGAATTTTCTCCATAACACTCACCCGCGACCTGCCACTCCATCAACAATTCCAGTCAGGACCACGCTTCGGCTCACACACTGCAACTTTCCCACATAACATCAATTTGACGGCAGCAACAGCCCCACGACAGGCAGTCTCGGCTACTCTACATACAACAATTGTCCACGAGCCATGGCCAGCAACTTTTCGAGTCGAGCCATCCGCTGGCTTGCATCATCACAACTCAGACAACCAACTCTCAGACTCAATGCTGGCCCCAGATGCCTACAGGCGTGTCGAAAGTACTCTGCCGAGGCCTCTCCGGCACCACCGCTCCTGGCAAAGTTCAAGACCGACCTCAAGACCGCGATGAGGGCGAAAGACGCGGCCCGACTGTCGGTCCTGAGAACCATCCTGTCCGCGACAAATAACGCCGCCAAGACATCGTCCCCAATCAAGACCGACGTCCAGCTCGTACAGCTGTTGAGGAAGACCGCCCGTGGTAACCAAGAAGCCGCGGAGGAAGCCCGGAAAGCCGGAAGGGAGGACCTCATTGCGAAAGAAGAGGCTCAGGTCAAGATCATTGACGAGTACATTGCGGAAAGCGGGGTGCAGACGCTGGGCAAGGACGAGCTGCGGGCCATCGTAGAGAAAATTGTCTTGGAAGCCAAGAGCGAGGGCGTGGACGAGAAGAGACTATCCGGCGAGGTCATGAAACGAGTGGTGGCCAAGGATGGTCCCCTTGAAGGCAAAGAAGTCAACCGAAACGAGGTTGCGCAAATCGCCAAGGAGTTGACCAAGTAAGACCTCGAGTCAACGCGACAATCATCGGCAAAAGTATCCGGCGCCGGCGCTTCTTTGGAATTGGTGGTCAGAGTCAATTCACACCCGGTATGTACTACTTCTGTATGAAACGTCCGCGTATAGATTGGACGCGAAAAATCTGCAGCATGAGGAAATTCTCCCCTTCCAACCACTCCGACTATGTGCCTCCCGGTGCGATTTGGTCCGGACCGGCTGCACAGATCACCTCGGATCCGGAGAAACGGAGTCGAGGTGACACTGGGCATCTCCCGACTTCTAAACGCGGGTTCGGGGAACCGAGAGCGACCACGACCGAAGGTGCATTGGGCTCCCGACGTCATGTACACTGCCGACACGTGTGAGTTATCAACGAAGTTTGTCCGAGTCAGCAAGTCTTCATCAGGGCGCAGCTACCAAGCTCGCTCCTGGCGAATTGATAGGCTGCTTGTCCCTTTAGAGCCAGTCCAGTAACCAAGTGTGTGTCCAAGCCGCGCTCATGGACCAGCACTGTCCGCCTTCGCCTTATGCTGTTTGCTCCTCTTTCGGTTGACTCGGATCGTCGCTTTACCCCCTCTTTCAGGACGCTGTCATTGAAAGCAAGTCCAGAGCTCTGTTGGCAGGATGCAAGTCATGCGCTTGCCTTGAAAATTGATGTGCGCTATGCGATCTGCAGGCCAAGCACGACACTGATCGGCTAGACCTCCCCGGATCGTTGTTTCGTTTCAAACCAAGTGACCAGACGACAAGGTTGCCATGGAGTATAGTGGTTCGGTTGTCGTCCTCGTCTGGGGCGTCTGCCAGCGCTAGGGCGACTACAGGAGTAGCATTTAATGAGGAGCGCGGAGCCCCCTCACTACCGTCTATTTCCCCATGGGCTGACATCGTCCCACTTCCTCAACTTAGCACAGAACGCCGCAGCTCCTTGTGCGACCCGATCCGCGAGAGCTCCTAGTCTATAGGCAAGTTCACTTGTGTTGCTCGTTGCAGCCCTTGAATATAAAACTGGTCCCACGCAAACCCACTCCAAGTGCCCAAAGCTGGAGAAGTCACCTACACATATACTAGGCACAAGACGAAGCCTTTTCCCTGCTACTTCCTCCTCTCTTTCTTTCTTCGTCTCGCCAATTGGCTACCAACAAGCCATGGCAATGGAGCGACAGGTCTTTCAGGCGAGCATCGAGTTCTTTGGACCGAAGCAGCACGCCTCAATGGCTTTGAACTACCCAGAGCCAGAGACTCGAGGAAGGAAGCGACGTAGGGACCCCATCCAAGTCACGTTCCGCAGGCCTAATCACAACCCATCTACTGGGTCGACTCTCCGGGGTCGGTGCCGTCATCGATCACCCTCGAGATTAGCTATAGCGTCTCGCGCAAACTCGCGTGGCACCAGAGATGTCTCGTCATCTGCGTCCAAGCGGCGACTTGTCGCGGTGATGACGGTCCGGCTTGAGAACCATCGACGGAGTCAGAGCCCGTCTCGGTCTCGCTCGGCGGGAGATTCGAACGTGATGTTAGCCAAGCGTAGGCGACAGAGGACTCAAAGTCGAAGCAGGTCGCACAATGGGGAAGAGATGTTCTCTCCAATCAAGCAATCTCCGGGCGCCACCATTGAGCTTGGCTTCCTGTCTGCTAAAGAAGACAAGAAGGATGTTGGTTTCGACAGTGCGTCGTGACAACTACGAGAAGCTTTCGGGACTCGAGACAAGAGTCGCAGCCAACGAAGAAACCTGGCATGCGCAATATTTGGAACGTTAAACGTGGCTGCTCCGACATCGCATATTAATTATCTGAAGTTCAAAAAGTGCGCAAAGGAACGGCTGGCTACTCCAGGACATCGCTTCCACTACGCAAGCTCCGTGTCCGTGGCGACGGAGAAGAGCTGGGGAAAAGGTGAAAAGACACAGGAGACAGTGCACGCGTACGAGCATGTGAAGATGGATACACTTAATGCCTGTGCATGAGGTCGGTCAACCATAATGAATTGTTAAAATAGCGAGGGCGTCTCAGCAGACCAAACCTGTGCGACCTCAACAACCACAGCATGCCCCGAACCTCAAGCCAGCAAGTGCTTGGCAAGCACCCAAACAAAGGGATTGCACAGAGCTTGCTCTTGGTGCGGATTATTCATCACGTCTACACAGTAGAGGTGGGCTTGGCCGTTGGCCCGTTCGAGGTGGTCACGAGGACAACAGATACTGGTCCGAGGACGGAAATGTACAATAGTGAATCAATGCAAGTAATACACAACTCACACATCGTATCATTGAGGCATTTTTGATTTGCATCTTTCCTGGTATTTTCTAGATGGGAAAGATACTTTTCCAAGGCTCATAGTTTGGATACGCACATAGACATGCATGTCAACCGAGTAGTCCCTGTAGCAGAGATAGATGTTCCTAAGTACTAATGTGCTATTGGCCAACTGGAGTGGTCAGGGGGCCAAGTAGTCGATCTCGTCGACCTGAATTTGCAAAAAGTAGACTATCAGCTGACGAGGGACTTTGTTGACTGTTGGGAATCTTGGAAGTAACAGCAGCGATGAGCGATGGCCCAGTAACAACGGTAGACACTGCAGGGAACTATGTGTTCACAAACCACGATAGCCTCGTGCCCGCCTCGCCCACGTCCTTGCAAGACATCACACATTGTCCGACGTCAAAAGGGCGACTTATCTTCGGCAGGGGTGGGGATTCCCACTGCTCCTCCAGTTTCTGAGTGGCACGTGCGTAATGGTGGTTCCTTTGGGTCTAGGCTGCTGCACGGCTGTGGGAATGGTGGGGTCCCCAAGGAAGACTTTCCGCCCTCCGCGCGAGTCTTTGACTGCATCATGTGCCAGGCCGGGCATTCTAGCGCGTGTCGCGATTTCCTCTGGCTGATGCAGACGTCCGTTGAGTAGAGATAGAAGTTCGACTCATCGCCGCCCCATTTCCTTTTTGCATCATCGACCGTTGACTTTGCAATGTCTGCTCCGTCTCGGGCTCGCTGACGCACCTTGCCCCGTACTCACCTTATTTCATCGCTGGCGACGGCTGCCACTCGCTTCAGGGTCCGTCTTGCGCTGGGGGTGCTGCAGTACAATAGCAAGCAGCCAGCCTGGGGGCCTCATTCTAGACCGGGAGGCTCGCTTCGACTTTGACGCCTTCGTCTGACCTTCTCAACCCCACCAGTAATTCCTCATCCTATTCTCTCCCCGCGTGCGGGCCTTTTGTTTAATGGGGGAAGCCTCGCACCGAGCTTGTTCTCCAGATCGCGCAGGGACAAGAAGCAAAACCGTCGCCTTTCTTGACAAATCTTCGCTGACCCCCACGTCGAGAACCAACATACCGCAGGCCAAAGGCCTCGACGACCACTCCGCCCCTCCTTGTGATGTCGATTCCTACCTTCGACTTCTTAATCTGATCTCCAGCCGTACATCCAGCCTAGCAAGGTGTCACTCAAAGCGCCCAGACACCCAAGGCTAGTCGAGTGTCAATATGGCCTCGAGAAACCTCCCAAATGGTACTTGTAGCTTTATATCCCCCCTCCCCCAGCTACCCTCAAACAAGCGAGGATCAATCCCCGAGTCTGAAACTTTGCTCGAGCTTGCGCATCCCTTCGATCCTTTTCAAAGGAAATCTCCTACACTCGATCTAACTCTTCACCGTGATCAAGGTCACATCACGAGGCCGCAGCTGCAGTCTTGGGACGCCGCGACCCTGCTGAACCCAAAGGCGGCCGTCGCGGGCCAGCACGGCGGGCCTTCCTCCTTACCCTCCAGACCGCCCTCGAATGGGCCTCAATTTCCAAATCATGATGCGCCTCAGGTCGCATTTCAGTTCTCGACTCCTGACGCTACCGAAAACTTCCACTCACATCCTTTCCGGCCCTCAGCGACACCCGACAGTGCAGAAATCTCTCGAAATTCGACCCCGAACGGCATGAGCTCAATGATAGAGCGCATGAACAATGTGCAAGACCGCAGTAGTGTGCCTGTGCCGAAGCGACGCAGGATTGAAGAGGACTCGCAGGACCAGGCGTCCAAGAATGGGTTCCATGGCAGAGGGGGTAATGGCATGCTGTCTGGCTATGTGAAGCAGAAGCAGCAAGAGGGCCAGGCTGCTTCTTTCACAAAGCCGCAGTCTCAGAGCACTGTTGATCTGACTGGTGGTAAATTTGGACATCCTGCCTACTGGAATTTCCATCTCGGGCTTGTTGCTGACGGTCGATCAGGAGACGACGACGAGGACCTCGTCGAGATTACAGATCCGAGAGAACAAGAGGTTTGTTATGGTATGATTGGAGGGGCCTCGGTTAACTGCCACATTGTTCCTTCGCCAAAGCCGAACTCGAGATTCTTGACGCCTGGCAGCTGGCCTCAAGTCAAGGTCGTACTGAGGAGGATAGCCGAAGACAAGTCGATGACAATTGAGGTATACGACCACACGAGGAGGATTATCGGCAAGCTGGATGCCAGGACTGCTCATGGACTCGCCCCGCTTCTCGATGCGCGCCTGCTGGCACTTCGAACAGATGCTATGATTGGAATCCGACGACGTCTGCCCAACGAGGAGGCTGGTAAGCCCATCTCCAAGTCGTATCCTCTCCAGTTGATGGTCTATGGCAAGTACAAGTACGCAAAAACAGTCGGCATCAACCTCGAGAGGGCGGGCCTGAACCTCCTGAGCCCCACGAGAGTCGACAAGGATGTCCGAGTCTTCAACCCTCTGGCCAAGGAGAACCGACCTGCAGCAGCTCCCAGAACCTATGCAAACCCCGCGCCGCCGCCTGTGGCGCGGACCGAAGAGGAGATTCGATCTGATGTGCTCAGCGTCTTTGATTCTCTGAAAGAGACAGAGGACCTCCCCGAGCAGGAGCCAGACGACCGCATTGTGACCCCTCTTCTGAAGCACCAAAAGCAAGCCTTGCAATTTATGACCGGGCGGGAGGACACGTCAAACATGATAGATGAGCTGTGGCAAAAACGGACCGATGCCCGCGGGCAGCTCACATACTACAACGTCATCACCAACGAGCAGTCCCGCCGCGCTCCTGCCAAAGCACTGGGAGGCATCCTTGCCGACATGATGGGTCTCGGGAAGACCCTGAGTGTGCTGTCGCTGGTTACCTCTACGATTCCGGCTTCGTTACAATGGATTCAGGCGGAGCCTGTGGTGCACTCGGCAGAGCAACCGCGGCCACCGAGAGAGCTCCCAGACAGCTTCGCACCGCCGAAGCCCGAGGCTCTGGGCCTGACCAAGCCAAAGAGGAACTCGAAGGCAACCCTGTTGATCTGCCCCCTGAGTACGGTCACGAACTGGGAGGAGCAGATCAAGCAGCACGTGCAGCCGAACTCGCTGTCGTACCATATCTACCATGGCCCGCACCGGATCAAGGATTCTGAGAGGCTGGCACAGTACGACCTGGTCATCACTACCTACGGCTCTGTCTCGAGCGAGCTAAATGCGCGCTTCGCAAATAAGCGTGGCCCTCATCCACTGGAGGACATCGGATGGTTCAGGATAGTGCTCGACGAGGCCCACATGATTCGAGAGCAGTCCACGTTGCAGTTCAAGGCCATATGCCGGCTCCAGGCCAACAGGCGGTGGGCCGTGACTGGCACGCCTGTGCAGAACAAGCTTGAGGATCTTGCCGCTCTACTTGCATTCCTGCGCATCAAACCATTTGATGACCGCACCAAATTCAACCAGTACATTGTCGCGCCATTCAAACTTTGTGACCCCAACATCGTTCCCAAGCTCCGAATTCTGGTCGATACCATCACCTTGCGTCGCCAGAAGGACAAGATTGACTTGCCGAGACGGCACGACAGGATCATCAAGTTGCAATTCTCGAGCGACGAGCGACGAATGTATGACGCGTTCGAGAAGGACGCTCAGGTCCGTGTGAATGTCCTTGCTGGCCAGCGCGAGCGCATGGTCGGTGGCAAGACGTACATCCACATTCTGCAGGCCATCCTGAGGCTTCGTCTGTTTTGTTCCGGTGGGAAGGACCTCCTCAACGAAGATGATTTGAGACTGCTGGAGGGTCTGAGTCAAGACTCACCTATTGATCTTGACAGCGACGACGATGACGAGAAACTAGCCCTCACCGAAAACCAAGCATACGACATGTTCAACCTCATGAAAGACACAAATGGCGACAATTGTGTGGGATGCAATCAAAAGTTGGGCGCCAAGGAGGGTGCAGAGATCGAGTCAGAGCGCCAAGAGGAGGTTATCGGCCACATGACGCCGTGTTTTCACCTGATCTGCACGTCCTGCATCAAGGAGATAGACGGCAACTGTGCCTGCGGACTTGCAATTCCCGGTCTCGTTGCCCTACGTTTGACCCGGGCCGTCCAGGAGCACGATGCGCGCGCTGAGGGTAGAAGCCGCAAGGTCAACGGTGGCAAGGGGATCAAGGACTACACCGGCCCTAACACCAAAGTTAGGTACCTTATTGAGGAGCTGAAGAAGTGGCGAGATATGGGTGAGGCCAAGCCGGACGAGCCACCTTACAAGTCCGTAGTCTTCTCTCAGTGGACTACAAACCTGGACTTGATCCAAATGGCTCTCGAAACAGAGGGTATCATTTTCGTCCGACTCGACGGCAAGATGTCCCGCACCGCTCGCACCCGAGCCATGGACGACTTCCGCGAGAACCCCGCCGTCCAGGTGATACTCGTCTCCATCACGGCAGGCGGGCTGGGCCTCAACCTCACGGCAGGGAGTTCGGTCTACATCATGGAGCCGCTGTTCAACCCGGCCGCCGAGGCGCAAGCTATCGACCGCGTCCACCGCCTGGGCCAGAAGCGCGAGGTCCATTGCATCCGGCTGCTTATGGAAGAGTCGTTCGAGGAGAAGATGCGCGAGCTGCAGGAGAAGAAGATGAAGCTCGCGTCGCTGAGCATGGACCGCGACAAGGGCGTCGGCGGTGCCCAACTTTCTAAGTCGGAGGCGGCGAAGCAGAGGCTGATGGACCTGCGTAGTCTCTTCAAGTAAGGGGGCGGCCCGCCTGTTCTGCCGCAGACGCGCCTTTCGGCTGCCTCTAATCGACTCTGACGGTTTAGAAACCACCCTCCCTTCTATTTTCTGCTTTTGCTTGGCGGCCCTCTTACTGAGGCATAGAGGCCTTGAGTGTGGCGACACAATATCACTTACCTTGCTACGGCACTGGAGAACCGGCGGTGGATCCTAATCTAATGGAGAAGTTGATGGATAGATCAGGCGGAGCTTTCCATTCTTCATTTCCCCACTGCTTTTAGAATTTATTTTCTGGGAAGCTGGCGATATCATGTCGCTCAGGAGGCGCCCAACAGGCCCATGGCGGGCGTAAGGGTGGGTTAAGAGAGATATGGTCACTGGAGCAGACATGGTCCGCTAGACGAAGGAGGGCCTTTTCCGGCTACGATATGCAGCTGCTTCTTTCCTATCATGCATCATAGAGATCTGCGCGGTGTCTTTTTTCTTGCAGCCGAGATGGGGGCAGCTGAGGGTCGGCGTGATATCGCCTCAAGGCCAGGCCCCCCCACGATGCATAAACTAACACACTTGGGCGGACATAACTAGGGAAAGGAGATAGATACCCATGATATTACCCATTTGCTTCGACGAATCCAGAAACGACCTTTGAGAGTGCGCAAAGTGCTGTGATTTTGTGCATTTGACCAGAAACCCCAGAAAGATTGCACCAGGGGCGATTGCATCCTGAATTCAGCGAGGGCACATCGTAGCAACGGGGAGCTGAATTATTCTCAAGCTGTGTCGCATCACGTATAGGCAAGAAGTGATAGACGCTCTTCCCCACAACAACCTGCAAATACGAATCGCGGTCGCGAGGTATTTCCTCGTGTTTCTCGATTCACAAACAATGCGCGAGATTTGGGGGTGAGTTAGCTTGAGTTCTAGAATCATCGTGTTCACGTGTGAATACTATCTGCTATGCTTTGGTGAGAATGGACTCTTCGAATGAAGCGATCGTGTCGCCGTCCGTTTTTCCGGACTAAATATTTGCGCTCAAAACTCCGCCTCCCTAACCCGTTAACCCTTGAACGCCTCGAGAACCAATCTTCTTTGAAAAAAGCAGCCTTGCTTAAAAAACAGAGCCATGCGCGGCTTGACCCGGATGTGCCTCATCGTGGGGACGCTAGCGGTGGTGACAGTGCGTGTAATCCCCGCAGCAGTACCACCAAGTCTCTACCCTCGCTGACTCAAAATGACTTCAACCCAAATCCTTCGCTCATTTATGCAGCGTCAGCACTCGCGACAGGCATGGGAACCTTTGTTGGCTGATGACCTGCGCGGATGATCCGGTTGCCGGACGAATCGTTGACATAGGAAACATCCTTGTTCTCCATTTGGGCGCGCTTCCAGATCTCGACCTCGCAGCCTCCGCGAAGGACACCGACACGCATTGTGCTGAGCAAGTTGTGGGCAGCGTTTGAGTGGAGATAGACACCACCGTTGAAGATGGCAGTGGCGTCCTTGCCAATACCGGTGGAGATGAGGGCCTTGCCGCCAGGGTGGTCCTTGATGAAGTCGGTCACGTCGTGGATAACGCCGGCAATAGCAACAAGGCCCCTACCGTTCTTGGCCTGCTCAACAAAGTCGTCCCAGTCGATGACGGGGAGCTGCTCGAGAGGCACACCCCAGTCGAGCCTTTGACGTTTCTGGTCAAGCTTCTTCTGTTGCTGCTGGAGACGACCCTTCTCAATCTCATTCTGGCGGAAGGTCTTGAGGTCGGAGGCGAGACCGAGCTGCTTCCAGACCCAGATGGACCACTTGGTAGGGTCGTACTGCCACCAGCTGATCGCGTTGCGGTAGTCGGAGGGGAACTCGTGGTGGAAGTTGTGGTATCCCTCACCGAGGGTAACCAAGGCTGTGATGACGTGATCCCTGGGGCTGTTGCGGTCGTCGAAGGGCTGGTCGCCGAGCCAGTGGGCCAGACTGTTGACACAGAAGGTGGCCTGTTGGACGAAGAAGATGCGGAGAATTCCGGCGTACACGTAGCCACCCATCCAGTCACCCCAGCCAAGACCAGCAACCAGGGTCGGGAAGACGACGCCCATGAAGATGACGGACTTGATGAAGTTCAGGTGCTGCCATACAACGACGGGGTCCTCGTTGAGGTCGGTGATGTCGGTTCGGCCGATTCGCTTGGGGTTCTGCTTCATGACCATCCAACCGATGTGGCTGTACATCAAGCCTTTCCTCACAGAGTAGGGGTCCTTCACGGTGTCGGTGTAGCGGTGGTGGGCACGGTGGCTAATTGATTAGGTTAGTATCTGAGCGACCAAGAGGAAACGGCGAGGTTCAGCTTACTCCCTAGACCACCAGCGGATGGATCCCTCAACAGCACCGGCTCCGACGGCAGCAAGGTAAATCCGGAGGAGCAATGAGGCCTTATAACTGCGGTGTGCCCAGAGACGGTGGTAGCCGGCTGTGATACCGAGACCGGTGTTGAAATAGTAAACGACAGACCAGACGGCGGTCTTAAACTGAAGAGGTACCCAGTAGGTGGAAATCCTAATGGCAAGGTCAGCCTTGATCACCGAAATACTTTTGTCTTGCTCTGGGCGCGACAACGGAGAAGGAGGACTCACAATCCCAGGAGGGGGACGAAGATAATGAAGGTGACGTTGAGCCAGTTGACATGCTTGTACCAGTTCTTGACCGTGATGGGCTGCTCAGTGATGTGCGGCTTCTTCAAGTCGTACTGCTTTGAGCGGGCGGGCTTGTAGTCGACAGTTCCGTCGATGATAGCCTGTGCCTGTGCCTGGGCCTGGGCCGCTTGTTGTGCGGAGGAGGCCATGGTGAGTGAGAGAGATGCGAGTGATGTGAGGGACGGTGGACGTCCAAGACAGCCTCTCTCGAGTGGTGTGGGAATACCCAGAACACGGAGGCCCTGAAGGTATTATTTGCTGCAAAGGCAAGAGACTGGCTGGTGGTTGTCTATGGGAGGAAGAAGTTGACACAAACGAAAAACCAAACGAGCGACAGGGAAAAAAAGGCTTCGGCGGAACTCTGAGATTTATTATTATTCAAGCAGCAGCGGTCTTGTTGGGAATTCAGGATGCGGCAGGGGCGAATGGAACCGCGGGGGAGTGGAGCTTCCCAAGTCGGACGACGGCCCCGGTCGAGTTCCCTTGGAAATCTTGTACTGGATTTTGCCTGCTTTGGTTTTGTTGGTGGGGCCCAGAGATGCAGATGCTGCACAGCTTTTTTCCTGCCGATATCCACTGGGACGGTATTCCTTGCTGTATTGCGTACGGTCTGACGGTCTAGGTATAGCATGCACAGCTGTCGAGTGGCAAAGAGACACCGAGGTTCTGGGGCAGACGATGGACATCGCGTGCAGGTGTCACTCACCCTGCTCACTCGCCCACTCACTCACTCACTCACAGGTGCGCATTGGTGGGGTGTGGTACATGATGGATTATTCACCTCCCTTGTGGCAACAACAGAGACTCTTGCTCTCATTCCTCTAGTTGCTGGGCAGTCGCCCACTCTGCCACTCCGTATGCTGGCCAGAGATACATCTCAGATAGATCAGACCAGCTGCAGGTGGCTGCTGTTGAGGCCATCGCCTGTACCACCCGAGCAGGTGCGCGAACGTGCATGCAAATGGTACATCTAGACGTATACAAACATGCATAATGATACATACACACAGACGAGTGTGTGGGTGGGTGGACACCAGCGGAGGGCTTTCACAAGATGGAACGAATGCAATCTGGGGGCACACAGCCGAGGCTGACAGTTGGTCTTGTTGTCGTAATGTCATCTGGACCCAGTCATTCTCAGTCATTGCGACCCGAGCAACACGCCCGAGATTCCGCTTGATATCAACTGTGTTGTGTGTACAGTATGTGCGTGCCTGGCCCCAGGTACAGCAGTTCCCAACAAGTTGGGTCCTGTTGGGGAAGACAGGCACCAGGCCAAGGCTTCAGGACCCCCACCCTTGCCGCTGACAGGGATCTGAGCTCAGCCCTGTCATTGAAATGCTGCCCCCTGTCCCCCTGCCGCCCTGGCAGCTTCTCCGCAAAACAGTCCTCTCGGCGGAATGGGAGCGGATCGTGACCAACCGACCAGAGATCCTGACACCCTTGACATCCTGACACCCTAATCTACCCGAACAATCCTGCAAGAGGAGAAGCATTTTGCTTCTTGTGGTGGTGGTTGTTGTGTGGGCGCCAATTGCAGAATGGCCATTTGCACCTTCGCACGAGAGCCGAAGCTCAACGGTTGCTGACCCGAAGACGAGAAACATAGGCTAAGAGTGCTCTAGAGAGGCTGGCCCCCACACAGCTGAGGCTGCGCGCACGGAAACATGGGAGCACGACTACGTTGGTACCTCTAGTGCGTTGCACAAAGCCATGGACGAATTTCTTGTTCCAGTCCGATCCAATACCTAAACCTTATGGAACATGAACCCGAGCACTCTCGACCGGATCGACGAGGCCACAGACACTGGGACATCAAATCCAGTCACTTCGCCTTGGACTTTGTGGGCGGGTGGCAAACAAAATGAATTGGCTAGCCAGCTAAATGGACGAACCCATGGATCTGCCTCGAGATCGTGGGTCCAAAGACTTTGCAACAAGCATCGGGGGCAATTGGTAGGCAGGCTGGAGCAGGATTAACCTCGGCCTGTCCAGCCCGGCAGCAGCCAGCCAGCCAGCCAGCCCATTGTGGGAATCAGATTCCCGAGATGCGAAAGGCCCTGAGCCACATCAAGCATGTGTTCATGTACGGAAAGCTTATGCGGGCCACAAATGCAACACCAATTCTTGTTCTTGTTCTTGTCAGTGTCCCAGGGCATGACGCGGTACTGACGCTACCGCCGTTGCACGGCATCATACCCGACGAGCTGCTAGCCGCCCTACCATCGGCGCCTCGCCCCCCTCCATCCCGGCCTGGGCTCGCTCGCCTGGCCTCGCCTACACCAGCCGAGGCGAGCCAGACGCGCCAGGACGGCCGCCTCTTTCTCAACAAATCCGCTGTCACATGGGGGGCATGGGGCCCCTGTTTCATCTCTTCTTGTCCCTTGCGGCTCGGGAACGCCAGAACACCCTGACCTGACGTCCCAAAACGGCCCGTGAAAAAAACCGCCACCCGCGCTGTCGTTCCGAACAGGTAACACTCATAGATTTTCCGTCCATTCTTTCGCCTCGTGCTCACATCAACTGTGCATGGGGGAGGGGATGGCAGATCTGACCTCCTGGGTAGGGGTTGTCTGAGTTGCCAGCTCCGTTATTAGAGTGATATAAGTTCCCAGCCACTGCGCAACCCAGCTCACGGCAGGGTGCGCCACGAGGACTATACTCGACGGGAACCAGCCAGTTGCCAAATTATAGACATCAATTCGTCACGAACATTTTTCTCTGGTAGCAACCAGAATCCTGTTCCTACATGGCTTCATTACAATCGTACAGTCCGTAGCCGGCTGTATGCTATCCAACAATGCTTGGCATCACTTGCTTCCCCCGTTTTGGGACCTTGTCTCTTCTGCTTTCCCAACCGGCCCGTGGTAAAAAAAAAATGAACATGACCTCTTCCACCCCTCCTCTCCCTCCAACTACAATGAAATACAAAGAATATGAAGGGGGCAAAAATACGAGAGAAATAGGTGGAACTGTCATATCTGATCGTGTCGTGGCTGTCGTCTAACATGTTTTTTGGGAACTCGCTGTCTCAAATGCCTGAAAGGTCCTCATCAATATCGCCAGAGCCCACCGGCGTCAGCGCCGCGTCCGACGCGTCGTGGCCTGAGCCGATGCCCAGGAAGTCGGCCGGCACCTTGGCCGACTCTGACGACGCGGACGACCCGTGGCAGGTCGCGGGCCGGGCTCCGAGCCCCGCCAAGTGCTGTGGCGGCATCATCTCGATCGCGCTGTCGACTCTCTCTTCCCCCGTATTTTGCTTTGGAGCCATGACCTCGCGCGTGCTCTTGTGTGTCTGTACTTGTGCCTCACCAGGGACCAGAGCGATGTTCCCTGGGGCTTCGGGTTCTGTGTTCCCCGACCTCTCAAAAAGAGGATTTTGTGTCTGTGTGTTGTGCGTCTTGTTCTCATGAACATCGTTTCTCGTGCTTTTTGATGCATCTTCCTCTTTGCCCGTATCCTCCGGGCGACTGGCCTCGTTTTTCAGCTCCAACGGTGCTTGTTGATCCGACTGGTCTGCGTCTGAAAGGTGTGCTGTCTGTGGTTCAACAGCTTCCGAGATGCCTGCCAGGGGTTTCTGCTTCTCATCGTGGAATGGCCCTTCGTGTCTTGATATTGCAGGGTCATCTTCAATGACCAACTCGGGTACCGGTGGCTTCTCTGTCATGCCCACAGGTTCATGCACATTGTCCTTCCTGTCGGATGCTACGTCCTGTACAGCGTGTCTGGGGACAACATCGTCAGGCGCAACGTCACTCTCCGTCGGAGTCCTTGTACGGTCATAACTGCTTCCCGTTGGCCGTGACCAGGGTGGATTGTAACGTCGCTGGTCGTAGCCCAAGTTGCTGGGCATTGGACTGGGTGGAGACCGGCCTCTCGTTGGATAGAAGTAGGGCTCATGGGTGATGCCAGTTGGCGAATTGACGTATGTGTGTCCCTTGCTACTTCCGTGGGACCACTCTGGCGGTGACTGGACGGTTCTGATAACCGGCCGACCGTCGGACTGGTACCCATCGACAACGTATTCTTGCACTGAGTGCCCATCGTCGACAGAAATCGACGGCTGCACTCGTCGGGGAACGTCTGCCTCTATCCGCTGAGGGAACAGCCGCAGCAAGTCAATCGCCTGCATCCGGTGTCTTGGGTCTTCAGCAAGACAAATGCTAACGACTGTCCTGTACCATTCCGGAACGTCCAGCTCCTCGCTGAGCCTCAGCGGGCGGCCATGGGCTTCTGGCTCGTCCTCCTGTTCCGCCAGAGCCCATAACACCATCCCCAGCTGATACAGATCGGATTTTACACCAATGTACATGGAGATGCGCTGGTTGCTCTCAATCAGCGGAGTCGCCTCTGGTGGCTCCCAACCAACGGGGCATCCCCGCCGATTGATGTCGATTATCTTCGCGTTGTCTTCATCGTCAATGACAATGTTGGAGAGGGTGAAATCGCCCTGTACGAAACCGGACTCGTGAATTTCAGAAAGACCCTCCACAATCTGCCGCGCCCACCTTTCTCGTCGGAACCACGGAAGGCTGTGATCATGATCAAACAGGACATCGATCAGTGCGCCTTGATCCGCGTAGCTGATCAGAAGGCCCTTGACATGCTCTCCGTAGTCGTCCACAACGACACCGTGAAATTCAATGACGTTGCGAGAATTGGACAGCCGGCTGAGTGCGTTGATCTCATAAAGAAACTCGTCCACTGTATCAGGCCCTGGAATTTCCTTCTTGATTAGAGTCTGTCCTCTTATTCGGACTTTATACACAAAGCCGGACATATGGGAATCGAAATCGATATCGCTTTCCCTTATGCGTCGACATCTGAGGTGATTGATCATCCGGACGGTGGGATAGTGAATTATCTCCTGCATGGCTGTTAGTACCACTATCGCGTAATAGATGAGAGTGAATGACCGACATTGACGTCTTCAACGACATGCACATGCAGCCTGCCGTCTGTGGTCTGCAGCTTAAGATTGGTTACGGTTTCGTAAAATTGAATATCGGCCAAGCTCTCTCTGATCGCCTCGTATATCTTGGCGCTCTTGTCCCGTTGGAATTTGGTGTAGAGGAGGTCCATCTCCAGCGAATTGTCTGGCGCGTTTCGATAGTCCAACGAGATCGTCACTCTCCGCCAATGTACGTCCTTTTCACGATATGTGACAAAAAACTTCTCCCTCTTAGACTTGTCCCTGAAATGCATGGAAAGGTTGAGAATCCAAATTCGTTCCAGCTCCTCATGAATCATGGCATCGTATTGAGAGGTGGTCATCGATGCTGTGTCGTTGAAAGATTCGGCTTCATGTGTAGGGAGTTCGTCTCCTCCTACATCATTATCGAGATCCATTCCGCTAAGAATACCAAGCAACTTCTCATCCGTGGGACTGCTCGGTATCGAAGGCGCAGATACAGCAAATGTGCGCTCGCCGGTCCTAATGAAGTCAGGCGCGCTCGTTCGCGGGTCAGCGGAGTTGGCACAGCTCTGGGAGGCATGCAGTCGTCTGTCGACGGAGACGGCTCTTCTCTCGACCGGTGTCGGTTGGACAGGCTCGAGATTGTTACGGACTTCATCTTGCTGTCTCTTGAAAGTTTGTGTTCTGGGCAACCCAGGCACCACTTTTCGTGAGATCTTTCGAATCAGACCCGGACGTGGCTCATCCTCGCTCTGCTCTGTAGCTGGAGCATGCTCAAGCTTTTCAGCAACGCCCGTTGCGCCATTGCCTGCGCCATTGCTTGCGCCATTGCCTTGTCCGAACAACCTTCGCCACATGCTATTCTGCTTGGCCTGAGTGTCCACAGCTGAGACAGACTCTCGCTGCGTAGGATTGACTTGAGCCATGAGAGCCGAGTCGTCAGAGGTAGTCCAGGCCGGATGACACGGCAAGCAGGCTGAAGGGTGAACAGAAAGAAAAGTCTGACAACCGAGAGGCTATGATGTCTTATTCATGAGCTCTGAACCCTCATGCAAGGCCTGGCGGGGGGTGGCCGGCAGGCCGGCCGACGTTAGGTAGACACAACCGAGGATGGCGCCGTGACCGTCTCAGTGGGTAAGCTCTCCTCGCACTGCTGTGTCCTGCGGCCGCCTAAGTGTTTGCCTCGCGGACGCCGAGTGGGGAGGCTCAAAGGCAGGGCCTCAGCAGGCTGGTGAGGGTGAGAGGCGAAGGAGACCAGTTGCTGCATCGAGCGCGCATGCAGGCATTCGTTGTGTGTGATCAGCCGGTCTAGGTGCACAAAACTGGCCGCAACTTGTGGCCGGCGGCACAGGCAGGGAAACGTCAGGGAGGAGAAGGCGAAAGAGGGTATACAGTAATTGGAGAGGCTTGCGTGACAACCAGATCCACAGAACCGTGGCTGAGGCAGCAATTGCAGATCGAAACCTTGCACGGCCTTCCTATCTCCACATGGAATGGCCAGAGCAAAAAGCCGGAATTCCAGTTGCCTTTGAGGCAAGAGACACAGTCAAGTGAACTGTATGGGGCGGGACGTGGACATATAACGATAGTAGAGAGGGCGGCTGGGTGCGAAGGCTGCTGGACCCTGACGAAGCGACAACAAGAGAATAAAGTTTCGTTGCCGAGGGATATAAAGAAGAGGGGAAGAGACGAGAGAAAAGAGAGAATGAAGAAGCGTGTTCGAACGTAGGATGAGCGGATGGACGTCTTCTTTCTGTAATTCCTCGCCGACTCGAAGAACGTGGTGCTCTGGACCTTGGCGGTCAGGGCAGGGCAGGGCAGGGCAGGACAGGGCATACGAGGACGTGCGAGGTCGCAAGCGTCGTTGAGCAGTTTTGTTTTTGGGACCCTCGACCCCTGCCACGATGGGAGAGAACGATGCGATGAAGGATGGGGGATGGAGGGGTAGCAAAAGACCAGTTGACCGTAGAGGTTGGGCTGGGGGCGCAAGTTGGACCGGGGGAGGCTGGCAAGCTCGGCCGTGGTGCGGGTTGGACGCTTGGGACAGGGGAACTCAAAGAGAGGACAAGGGTCAGAATGGTGGGGTCGCACACGTGTTAGAGCAATACTGGGACCGTATCCTCCTCCATCGCCAGTCAGTTTCTACCTCATGACATCTTCGGGCGACCTGGTCTATCTCTGTAACCACTCGTGCCTGACACACCGACCCAAGCCACACCAGGCCGGACCATGGCCATCACCACAGTTCCCCGGACACGACCCTGTCACCGTCACTCTAGGCACGCCGACCCTACCAAGCCAGGGCGACGCCAGACAGCAATGAACCCTGCTGGGCGACTTGGTCGACATCAGAACTCAACTCAAACCTCCGTCCACCTCGCAAGAATGGCTGGATGGCTGGTCTTTTCCATCGCCACTCATGGTGCTCTCCAGCTGTCGACCCGCCAGGGCGGGATGAACTGAAGGGCACATGCAAGATGATGGCTGTATGTTCCCGAAGATCCGGGCAGTATCCATCGAGTAGTCTGCGTGGTCTACGTCGTCTCTTGAACCATGCAAATACTTCTAGTATTCGGTTATCAAGACCCACCCCCTCCCCCCCGCTTGGATCTACCTATATGCCAGACCACCCCTGGTCCGGGTCTTGAGCCTCACAGCATCTCTTCACCGCTCCCCTGGGCATGCGATTCCCTTGTCTCACCATGTTCGACTCGATGCCTGGCTGAAAACAGGGCGTCGACCAAGACCTGGCCCCTGTGGCATCATCTTTCGCGACTTCAATCTCAGCCCTGAAGAGATGGCCCGATAATGGGCACAAATAGTCTGGCAGGCACTGGTCTGGCCTACCCAGACATTGCTGCTGCTGCTTGGGCAGGTGATAGGCCAATGGACAGCGCATTGATTGGGATGCAGCCTGGCCGCAGCCAATGACGCTGGCAGCGCTTGATTTAGATCTGGCGGGGGGCAGGAGCCCGTAGTCACGGCTTTTCCTCCCCTGGGCCCGCCGTGGGTGAGGAGGATTGGTACAGATCAGCCAGGTGTTCGCAAGCCTCACGCTCACAGCTCAGATCCGACGCGGCCGGGACTCATTTAGGCCTACGGCCTGGACGGAATCAGCAAAGCGACTGATCTGATCTGACGTCAGTCAGTCGAGTTCATGCCGGGTCCGCATGTTGTGGATGCACGATGGCACTAATGTTCTGACGTGAAAAACTGTGGCTCCGTCAACGGGCATGTCCAGCGGGCAGCGGGCATGCCAGCCCTGTCCACGGAGCCACAATTATTGGCGCCGGGGCGTTTGGCACGCCTGCCTGTCTCTCTGGGCCGGAACGGCATCCGTCGCTGCAAGACATTTGCACGAGGTTGGCAGCCTCTTGGTCAGGAGAAGGTCTAGGCCGTCGTGGCCGTCTAGTTTAATGCCCATTCCAAGGGCCCAAGGGAAGTAGAGTCGTAGTAGTAGTAGTCTATCTAATGCGTAGGCAGCCTGCCAGGGGGAACAAGATGGGGGGCTGACTGATCGAGCATCCGACATGGCGGTAGTCAGTCCTTGGGCATCAATGCAAAAGACCGTCATATGGCGCGGCGGGGCTGACGAGCCGAGACTGGCTCGCAGAAGACGTCGCTGTATTTCGCAGTAATAGTCTCGTGCGAAAATTCAACGGGGGACGCAAGTTGTGTCCGATTTCGTTCGGTGCGATCCCCTCGTATTGTCACGATTGTCGAGTCGAGCAGGGTGCCTCCGTTTTAGGCTTCATCTGGGCGACAGTTCAGGAGAGAAAGAAGCATTGAATGCCCCCGTCAGGTGATCCCATTTCAAGACAGGCATTGCATGTCTCTCCTCCGGTTCCCAGACGGCGAGCGCGGCAACGCTAGGTACAGTACTTAGGGACGTCCCGCACGATCGACTATCATTCCCGTCCAAGGATGGCCTGTTAATTTGCGGCGGGGAGTCTCTTCTTCAACGGCTAATCTTGCCAACCTCACACCATGCGTTGTGTTGCTTGACTCTGCTTTGCTTTGCTTTGCTGTGCTTTGCTTTGTCACGATGGCTGCTGTTCCTGTTTTATTATGCGTGCAACGGTCGTGCCGCCGTGGGCAAGCAAGACCCCCCTCCACCCCCATTATTATACATGCCTAGGTAACACATGTACATACAGAGAACCCACACCAGCATGCTGTGGCCCACCAACCCCGTGGGCAGAACCAGCCCACCTGCGGCCACACGCACATTGTGGGGTGCCGCTTGGTGTGTGCCCACTCACCACCCAAAAACAAAACCAGGCGGCGGGTGAGCAAAAGCGGCTGTGCCCATACGATCGATTCGCCCACAGCCTGCGCCGACTCGTCCGCCTGGCAAGTCGACCTGGTTGGGCAGCGAAAAGAGCGGAAGAGGAAGAGGAAGTAGAAGAAGAAGAGACGAAGAGTCGGTTGGGCCTTGCTGTAGCGCATATGGGTACCTGCTGTCCCATGCACCCACTAATAATAACCACATGCAGCGTGCGATAGGAAATCATGGGACGGATACGGGCGGGCCCTGTTGGCTTGCGTCCTGCTCTTGTTACCCCCGAGCAGTGACGCCTACCCGTACGTAGTAAGCACGAGCTGCTGCACGGCCCAACGTCGTGCGACCCCGAGTGCTGCGAACCCAATGGGCCCTTGGGAGGAACGTCCGCCCTCCCTTCTGCCCTGCCTGCCTCTCTGGCTGACTGAACAACATGCGCAATAGTTGTTTCTTGGACTGCAATTGGGTTTCGGGTAAGGCGTCATGTCGCAGAGACCGTCTCGTCCAGTCGCTTCAGCTGCATGCAACTCAGGATGATTCTGGCCTAGGGCGATGGGGGACAGATGGTGTCGCAAAAAGTGTGCGCTTTGGGCCTGGACCAACCCAACCAACTTTAAGTAGGGTGTTGTCTCTGTGCCTGCGTACATGGAGGTCACCCTTTTTCGTCCTTTCTGCGCTAATTGATATATCGCCAGTAAATGTTTCTCAGCAGCGATCTTGACGTCTGCCGGTGTTGTAATGTACATCTATAGTCATGCCTAGAGGGGAGTTTTGTGTTCGTCACTCGTCCCCTATTTTTGCACCCAAGGTCTGACAGCCAGCCTGCTGTCATCTTTGCCCAAAGTAAATTAAACCATGCCGCACGCCGGTAATGCTCTGCCTGTATGGTCTAGAATTATGTGTATGCAAACTGCCTAAACAAGTATGCCCGGTGTCTGCCCAAGATGGCTCTACTCGTTCTCGCGGCCCTCCTCCTTGTCGCTGCTGCCGTCGTTGGAGTCGGGTCCCTTGTACTGGGAGGCCTTGTCGGTGTTGGCCTTTTCGTGATCGAGATTCGGGAAGATGAGATCGAAGATCTCATTGTACCAGCTCGCGGGCCGTCCTTCGATGCCCTCTTTAATGTTCTGGGACAGCGTCAGTATCTGCTGTCATAGTGTCAAGGGTAGGACCACTTGTCCTGGTGCCAACTTACCTCGGGGAGCTCGAGCCAATCTGAGATGTTGTCGTCTGGGAAGATGATCATCTTGCAACCAGCTCTCCGTGCGGCCACCGTCTTCTCTCTCAGCCCGCCTATCCTCAAGACCTTGCCAGTGAGCGTCAGCTCGCCTGTCATGGCCACTGTCGGATCTACTGGTGTCTCAAACGCCAGTGACAGCAAAGACGTCGCCATTGTTACTCCAGCAGATGGGCCATCCTTTTGTACCGCGCCCTCCGGAACGTGCACGTGTACCTTGGCGTGGTCGAAGAAGTGGTTTTGAGGGAATTTGTTGGCTACCAACGATTTCGCAAAGGAGTATGCAATCGATGACGACTCCTTCATGACGGTCTTCAGGTTTCCAGTGATTTGCAGGCTTCCAGTGGTTTTGGGCTTCAGGGAAGACTGCAGGATGGACTCGACGTACATCGCAGCACCTCCCATCTGTGTCCAAGCCAGGCCCATTGTGACACCTGGAGGAGTCACATCGTAGAGCCGGTCAGAGGTGAATACCGGCGGTCCAACATAGTCCTTCAGATTATCTTTGTCGATCGTAACTTGTACAGTGTCCGGTACCTTCAATGCCACGCGGGGTTGCTCTGTCGTCTCCTTCTCGGAAGCTGTAGCAGCTGACGCAGGATCTGTCTCTGCTGTATTTTTCTCTTTTTCTGACTCTTCCATGGCTGCTTTGCCCTCGTCGGTCAAAGCCTTCTCTTCTGGTAGCACGTCTTCGCCGAGGTCCTGAACAATTTTCAGAGCAGACTTTCTGTATACTTTCTCGATTTGCTTCTTCAGATTCCGTACACCAGACTCTCGGCAGTATGATTTGATCAGTTCCTCAATGGCCTCATCGGACAATTTAACATTAGCCTCTTTGAGGCCTGCCAACTCCTTGGCAGCCGGTGAAAGGTATTTCTCTGCAATGGCCATCTTCTCATCCGAGACGTACCCAGAAAGCCTGATGACCTCCATACGATCGAGCAGCGGCCTCGGTATGGTATCAGTCATGTTTGCTGTGCATACAAACAGGACCTTTGATAGATCAACGGGCACGTCCATATAGTGATCCAGGAATGAACTGTTTTGCTCTGGGTCCAAGAGCTCAAGTAGTGCTGACGATGGGTCGCCCTGGTATCCACGACCGATCTTGTCTATCTCGTCGATCAAAATGAGAGGGTTCTCAGTTTGACACTTCTTGAGAGCTTGGATGACTCGACCAGGGAGTGCCCCAACATATGTCCTCCGATGGCCCTTGATTTCGGCAACGTCTGTGAGACCACCGACGCTGAATCTGTAGTATTGGCGGTTTAATGCTCGAGCAATCGATTTACCAATACTGGTCTTGCCCACACCCGGTGGACCCACGAAGCACAGAATCTTGCCTTCTACCGTGCCACGCAGCTTACCAACAGCGATGAATTCGAGGATACGGTCCTTGACATCTTTAAGTCCGTAGTGGTCCTCGTCCAGGACTTTCATAGCGTTCTGAATTCCGAAATTCTCAGCGCTCCTCTGGCCCCATGGGATTTGGGTAAGCCAGTCCAGATAATTTCTTGTGACGTTGAATTCAGACGCCGCTGGTTCAAGGTGGGCAAGCTTGTTGATTTCGTCATCAAATACCTTGCGCACAGCTTCCGGCATCGCCAATTTATCGGCTTTTTCCTTGAACCTCTCGACCAGCTTGTCCTTTCCGTCAGACTCGATGCCTAGTTCGCGACGGATGCCCTTCATCTGCTCCATGAGCCAGTACTCTCTTTGCCTCTTGGTGATCTTGCTTTCCACATCTTTGGTAATTTTAGACTGTAATTGTGCGTTCATAAGCTCTTTCTTCAGGACGACGAGTGCCTTTTGCATCCTCTCCTCGACATTCAAGCTTGAGAGCACCTCCTGGAGTTCAGCCGAATCGCCAGCGCTGACAGCAGCGGCGAAATCAGCAAGCTTAGCTGGCTCGGCCGTCACATTGCCGGTCGACTGACTCATGGAGAAGGTCGATATCTGGTCCCGGAACAGACTATTCATCTGGGCAACCTCCTTGAAAACATTGACGATCTCGTTGGTGACGGCACGAATTACGGGGCTTTTGGGGTCGTATGGCTCGTCGGTCAGATTCTCGACATTGACCAGACTGACCGGGTACTTTCGCAGGAATGTTGTCGGCTCGTATTTTTCTGGGTTGCCGTCTGCCTTTGAGGAAACAGCGCTTTCCTCGAAGCTGGCCACAACATCGCCCTTCCTGTCAACTGGGGCATCTTCCTCTGCAGACTTTGGAGTTGGTATGACTTCTGGTTCTGGTTCGGGGGTCGGGTTTGCAGTCGAAGCAGGAGTATCGCTCGGGTCGGACTTCTTAGCCTCGTTCTGTCCAGGTGGGATCAGTGTTGACAGCTTGATACGTCGATGTGGGTATAGGATGGCGGTCAGACTGTTCTGCTCGCCATGGACGGGGAAGGCACTCGTAATCTGTGCGAAGACACCCGTATCGTACACATCATCCACGTTGTGTATCACGTCGTCATCTGCGTTCTCGTCCTTGAATAGGAAGGCTCCGACGTAGGGTTGTCCCCGTTTGATCATGTCAGTGACGGCCGCTGCCACGTTGGGATCCTTAATCGTAATCGCCTTGTAAAAACCGGGGAAGAGTGGCCTTCTGGCGATCGGTATCGCCATAACCTGAGGGTAGACATCCGGCACTGTTGGCTTTTGCAACGCTCTTTCTGATTTGCGTCCTTTGCGACCGCCGTCTCCCGAACCATCGCTGCCGGATCCAGAACCAGCCGCACCACCAGCAGCACTGCCTTTGCCATCTGCGGGGTCTGATTTGCCTTCACCGCCGGCGGGGCCCTCTGCGCTCGAAGATCTGCTTTCACTAATGTCTTTTTCCAGCTCCGCTCTTTGCTTCTCCAAGTTCGCCTTGGCCTCCTCTTCTGATAGAGGCTCGATCGCGTTGTCGAAGAATCCTCGTCCTTTCTTGTCGGAGAGTATCGCAGCGGTGGAGAAAGTCGATCGAATCTCAGCATGAGGGCCTGACCTTGGGGTCTGAGACGTTGGTACAGGCCTTCTGCCTAATCGACCTGAGGCATTTGAGAGTCGTGCTGGAGATGACACCGCAAACGCTCTTTGCACGCTCCTGGTGAGCTGGCCCGGCGTGGCAGGCCTGGAAACTCGTTGTCGGAGAAGCATTGCTGTTGAAATAAGACCTTGTGAAATGGCAGACCTCTTGAGCAAAGCCTCACCAGGGTCTAACAAGAAGACAAACAACAGTTTTGGAAGGAGAGTAGGATTTTGTTATCGGCGGCAGTGGCGACCGTTGGTCGTGCTCGATGGGTTTGGATGACAAAATTACTCTCTTCGTCATCACCATCGGTGGCTACTTCGGCTATATCCCGACCCTGCCGACCTCGCTCCGTTTCTTCGCACGAGCCAGGTCTTTACCCAGTACTGTCAATTCACATCACGACACTCAGTGTCCGAGACAACGCTACATAATTCTCAGACCCTGTCGCTACATTCACTACGTGATTGTTCTCTCCTGGTAATTGTTATTGATTGCCACGGTGTGCGATTTACTTCATCACCAGTCGTTGTCATACAGTAATCCTTCACCCAGAGTCTATAGGTACCCCATAGGTTTCTCCAGGTACGTACAGGAATAGTGCGCTAGAGGGGACGGACCAAACCTATCTAGCCTAGATACTATCTTATACTTTGGTTCACATGGTGCTGAAGGCCTTTTCCGTAAGAGGTTATTTTTTATAAGATCATACTGGATGAAGTTTTTTCTGTTGAAGTTTACCTACAGGAGGTTCTTTCCAGAGGAATTTGTCTCATAGAACGTGATCCCGCAGCGGGCTGTCCCGCAGCAGGTCATCCCACTGAAGGTTGGGTCCAATGCGGTGGGCAGGCCCTTCCAGGGTCCCATAGGGCAATTCGCGCCAGACCAAGTTCTCGGGCTTTTTACCTGAGATCCCTGCGAGATGTATCTTATCAAAGCCCAGGTAAGCCTAGACCGCCGAGCTCCCCAGATTTCAACCCACCCCACAGTCGGACCACTGCAGGGGCCCTAGCTACCCAGACATATAAAACCAACCTCTTGCAACCTCGGGAGGTGTGAATCCTCCGAATTAAGAGTGCTTACTACTCAGCTTCGCCGGGTCTCACGCACTCACGACTCCGATTTTTGCAACGGACGACGCAGGAATTTGTATAACGAGATCTTGCATTCCTGGACCAGTATCCACGTGGCAGAAAAATCCCTCGAGTTTTCCTGCATGACGTGACTATCGAACCCGCTCGTGCTTCGTCCGGTTTGTCGAACGCACGGAGAATTGCAGCCAACCTGGCTGCCTGGACACCCTGTTGGGTTATATTCGGTGCTATATATATCACTACGCCACCGGCGCAGATTTAGTGTGCCCGGTTTTACACTTGCTGACGCCAGTTCGATCTGATATCATATATCGAGTATATAACTCTTCCAAACTGCTTCCAAGTCCTGGCTGGCTGCACATATAGATGCAATCGTCCTTCCAAAATGTCTGCCTCAGATGCCAAGGAAGTCACTTCGAGTGTCTCGAAGCTGTCACTTGATACAAATAACGCCAAAAAATCAGCCAAGCCGAAGCCCAAGAAGGAGCCGGTCGCCGACTCGTGGGAGGACGAGGACGTCTCGTCTGACACCGAAACCGAGACGGAGAAGGATGACAACCCAACTCCCTCTGAAGGAGACCCGCACGGAACATCCGCCCCTCCACCGACACCCGTCACCCCAAGCTACGGCCAGGGGACATTTTCCTCCTCGGACTCGCCGGGAGGCTACCATATATCGACAGGCTCGTCCGGCCCTCCCGCAGCCCGGCCTGAAAAGACAGATGCCGTTGCGAGGAGAATGATAGCCGGCGCATTGGGCATGCGGGCGCCCAAGCTGACGGAAGAGCAGAAGAACTATGACAAGGCCGTACGCGAGAAGGAGCGTAAGCGTAGGGAGGAAGAGAAGGCCGCCCAAAAGCGGAGGGAAGAGGAGGCTACCAAGGCAAAGGCAGCAATGTGGGATGATTGAAATCCGTATGCATCTCCGTTATGTTGTCGTTGTTTTGACAACAGGCATTACGACCGGGAAGACGAGGTCCATGTGGCTTGATTTGCAGCCACGGGTACCCGAAGTCCTGATCATGAAACCCTCGTCTTGTGTTGAATGATGTTCATCGTTCCAACTACTCATGAAGGAGCCTCATGGAGCTGAGTTTGTCGAATGCGAGGATTTTGAGTTAGTACGCATTGCATATATATATACGCAAGCCAGAGAAGACCAGCATTGTCGTACCATTTGCGGCAACAAGGCAATTCGCTATGCGCGCATTGAATGAAATAACATCTCTCGGGACTCTTGCGCAGGATCGAACCGCCTCATATCAGTTCTGGTTGTAAATAATGACGGCGGTGACGTTTGCGGCTTCATTATTTCGCATGCCCTTCTGAAGAGAAAGTAAGGTCCCTATTCGTGTCCTCGTGCGTGATGTGCTGGCCCTTCCACAACATCGAGAGCTGTGACTCCCCGTCCCTGCCGGCGTGCCGCATGCCCACCCCCAAGCCCTCTAGTCCCTCCTCCTCGGCTCTGCGGTTCCACAGCATCTGCTGGACATGCCCTGCTCTTGTGCACGAGATGAAGCACATAGGCCACCTGCTGCGCGCGAGCGAGTCCCTCACACCCTTGGTCGCCGGTTTCTCGGTGATGAAGACCCCCAAGACCCCATGGCCCTTCCATCCAACAGGCGCGCCCACAAAAGCGCCCTCTAGCTCACGCACCAGGTTGGGGGACGACTTCCTCGCGATGGCTTTGCACTGCGCCAAGACTCTCAATGGCTGCTTGGAGGATGGCACAGTCCATGTTCCAAGCAGATCGATGCCGTAGTCTGAGTGACCGCCCACCCTCTTCAGATAGAAGCCGTACTTGGCAAGTACTTGCGCGACCGTATACTCGTAGTGGGTACCAACATAAAGAGTAGACTTTGGGTCAAGCCCCGACCTGTCGGCGTAGTTGAGAAATGAGGGCAAATCATGATGGTTGTTTGTTGGCGGTTCTGGGTAGATTAGGGTTGAGCTGAGCTTGGTGGACGTCCATGAGGAACCAAATGGAATCGGTTTCCTCAAAAGTTTTGTTGTTTTTACACTTCGAAGCAGGTGAGCATGCTGAGCACTCAGCCCAGGACGTGGGATCGTTATCATCACCGTAACATGTCTAATTTTTGGCGAGTCTTTCCACGAACCGCTTTCCCATGCCGAAGTAAATTTGAGCCTCGTCGCTCCTGTTCAGGGGTACCAAGGTACTTAGGCATGCTTTGGGAGCTTGGGCCAACCCTCACTTGAGCACCCCTGCCCAGACTGTCTGGGGTGTCAACTGGCGCGCATCACAGACGGACCACTGTAGTAATCGCGACAACAATTTCGACCCCGTTTCTTGCGGTAAGCTTGCAAAGATGGGGGACAGATTGACCCAGCTTCAGGATGCTGTCGACCAGGTAGGTTCCAGCTCACTTGAACCCGAGCAGTGTACTAAGCGCAGTATTAGCTGGCGCAACAATTCGTCGCATGCATCCATTTCCTCCATCGGTACCATGATCGCGAAATCCTGGGCCCCAAGGACCAGGTCAGAGAGGTGAAGCCAGAAGAGGATCGCAAGGAGAGTGAGTCTTCGCCCTACCCTCCTCGATCGACGTCTACGGCCCGTTGTCTAACCAATCTTCGAAACAGTTGCACCGATCCCCCCAGAAGAGTTCAAAGCAGGCCAGGTCGAGCTCGCGCGCGACCTGGTGCTGAAGGAACAACAGATCGAGTTCATCATATCCTCGCTCCCGGGGCTCGAGAACAACGCGGAAGCTCAGGAGCGGTGCATCAAGGAGCTGGAGGAGGAACTCCGTGTCGCAGATGCACAGCGGCAGGATGCGATTCGCGAGATGAACGAGGTTCAGGGACAGTTGGATCAGGTCATTCGAGGTACGAAACGGCCTTGAGCCGGTGCGGATATCAGGGGGCAATTTGCTATTGGGAGGATACGAATGGTCAATTTCGGGCGTTTTCAGGGCATGGCGTAGTTGGCGTTGAGGATCACGGATACCCGCAAGGAAGAGGGCCGTTCGAGAAGATCGAGTCATCCTCATGAGTGTTGAGGGAATAATTCAACGGGAGAACAATTACCAGATTCTGGGTGGAAGGCCAATGAGGGCCTCAGATGTGCAGTGGCGCCATACCGGTTGATAGAGAAGCATTGCAGGCAGCAATTTGCTCAAGGCCGGCCAAAGTCGATTGAGAAAATTCACACCACGAGTGAAATATTAGCAGTGCGAAAAGTCTCCAGCTCTTGCATGAGACTTCCGCCAGAACAGAGGCGATAGGCTGTTCAAGTTGCGCCGCCAGCAGTGTTCAAGCAAGGTTTCATTCTTGGTCCCAGTAAGATCTATATCATGGGTATCTCTATGTCTATGTGTAGTCCTGATTTATCAATTTAATCCTTCTTGAAAAGTTGCGGGAAAGTAGTCCTCAGATCCTCTAGGTGTCTTATTTGGTGTTTTGACGCTTGCGTCTTGGGCACCGGAACATCGTCTTCGACGAGGTGGGCCGTATTCCATCCGAATTCCTGGGCTTTGACGCAGTTGTTATAATTGTCGTCTGGTTCCTGTCAGCATGGTGGTTTCTATTTACGTCTTTGGGAAGCGCCGGGCAATGCTATGCGCAACGGAATGAACTCAGCACTCACCAACGAAGAAGCAGTCCTCCCACTTCTCGACTCCGGCCTCCTTCATCGCCTTCACATATGCTTCCTTCTGCGGTTTGCACACAAAAGGGACCTTGGAATAGTCGCAGTACGTCACACCCTCAAACATACCCTCAATCCCAAGAAGACGTATGACCCTGTGTGCGTGATTGACGTAGGCGTTGGTGAACAGCCACAGCCTGACCTTGCTCCTGTCGATGTCCTCAAGCAGCTTCTTGAGCTCCGGCCGTGGTTTGATGACACCGTCCAGGGGCAGAGCGTCGTCGACCTTTTCGTTGTACTCGAGAGGATCAATCTCGTGATGTCGTACAAGACCCTCGATGGCGAGTCCGTAGTTTTTGTAGTACTCGTTGTGCAGTCTCACTGCCTCTTCCTGAGGTAGGTTGAGGTGTTTCTGAAAGTACTTGTCTATGAGGTCCGCCATGAGGTCATGGACTTTGGCGCCTGCTTGAATGTTAGAGCGTAATTTCCAGAAATTCAAGATGATACTTGCTCTTCGGGTATAAGCAGTTGTCTATGTCACTGTTGCGCTTGGTTAAATGCCAGATTTCAACAGTATTTTGAAGGGCATTGACTCACAAGAAGAAGACTTGTTTCGGCGTCGGGGCGCCATTTTCAACAGGTTCCTGGTCTCTGGGTGCCATTGCACTTGTTGTTGATCCAAATGTGTAGGGTGGGAAGGGCCTAGTAGAATATTTGGCTTTGCTAGCTGTCCGGAATGAGCAAGAGAAGGCCAATGTTCTGTTCCTGCGAATGAGTTCAGTATGGGCCGGGACGGGATGTCTGATCTTGAAGTTCGAGGCAATAGCTTTGCATGAAATAAGTGTAGCTTGAAATCTTCTCCTTTGATTGAGAGTCAGACTTATAAGATGAAGTCTCATGTCACGTCTATCTCAGCCGTCCTTATATGACGTCTATAAAGGCGAGGACGACTTCGGAGAGCTAAGCGGATAGGAGATTCCAGAAATTGAGTCAGGCCGGCTGTCGCCAGCGTGTTATATGTACCGACCCCCAGCCCAAGTCACTGGAGCGATGTCCAAATCTCGAAGAACATTCAATGCAATGTAGAAATGCCTCAAGGCTTCCACAAAATGTGACATAATCCCAGGTTGGACAGAAAGAAGCATTCTTCAAAGGAAATGGTTTCTAGATGACTGAAAACAGCAAATTCCGTCGACCGAGTCCGACTTCCAGGTGCCAGTCACTAGCACACCTCGGTAACTGCTTCTCTCAGGGGCGATTCGAGATGATGACCGTCCATGCATCTTATGTAAGCGATCCCTGGCTCAAAACACGCCCATTAGACGAGTTGCAATTTCGCTCTGCCATACACCTGGGTAAAGAAGGACAGACAGCTCGGCATCAGCCTGGATGCCTCCTTGCATCCACAAATATCCCCTCTTCGCCCTCCGATACGCATGCTGGCTAGCTGCCCCTTTTTGCACACGGCCTTGCTCACGCGGCGTATGAGGATCGCGGGTTCGCCTTGCTAATGCGCGTCCTTTTTGAAGCCTCGAAGTAGAAATTCTCTAATTTTGCGCCCGTCCGAACCACCTACAAACCACTCCATCACACGATGGCTCAGGGCCCTGTTGCCGCTCTGCAATCAAACACGTTGCCCTCCATGGCATCAAAACTTACAATTACGCTATCAGAGGAGGAGGAACACCAGTTGCGAGAGTGCGAGCGCATCCTAAAGTTTCGGGATGAGGTGCTGTCGGGTGCTCATCCAAGGATCACGGTGCCGGCGCATTTGGTTGCTTCAAAAAAGAGCAGTGAATCTCGGAGTCCCGGGTCACTCGCCATCGTAGCACCATCTGGTCCGGCTGCGTTGCTGAACAACGTGCCTACAGGCCCGAAATCCTCGAGCGCAAATGTGGCGAGCTCCGTCAACGGGTCCCAGCTTGCAAACAACTTGCGCTCGTTCAACGCGAACGCGCATCGCTCTGTCACCGCTGGCTTGAACATCACCTCGGGCCACTTGCCAGGCCACGAGTCTTCCTTTGGTTCTTCGAGCAATTTTTCTGGTATCCCGACTGGACCCAGGGCAGCTTCTCCAACGCGATTCCGCGAGGCCTCAGGGAGTGCTCAATTTGATCCAGTGCTTCTTACAAAGTCTGACGATCTTATCAAGGCCGAGATACAGCTTCAAAGAAAGCGGCTCGAGAGTGCGCTCAGCGATCAAGTCCAACAGCATCGCGCAACCAAGAACTCGCATGCAGCAGAAGCTCTGGCTGATTTTGATCTCGCTGACGTTCTTATGAAGGCCCTCAAACTGGTTCAGACCTCTGCTATCCCACAGACTGATGCCAATCTAGCAACTAATGCAAGCGGTACCGAGGGCGATTCATTCGACGATGACACCTTCTATTCTAGCAAACATGACACCCCTGAATCCCACCAAACGCACCGCTTGCCAGATCGTGATGAGTCCGGAGAAGCCCAAGCGCGTGAAGACTCCCACTACGAGCCCCCCATGGTTATCCAAGCCAGTCCAGTACCTGAGCAGCAATCTGCGGTAGCTATGCCACCATTCGTTCTGTCAAGTGCAAATGCAACTCAACCTCAGCAGCATCGAGCACATCAAGCATTGGTGCCTGAATCTCGCGACCGCCCAGCTGCGACATACTTTGGCGGCGAATACCAGACAGGGACGGAGGTCGCAGGTACAAGAAATATGAATGATGTGCCAATGGAAATAATTTCATCGCAGGAGAGCGGGGAGGCAAGCAGCTCGAGAGACTCTGGGCAGCTTGGTGGTGACCAGCAAACCGCACGCCACCATCTCGAGTCTGTAACTCAGCAACTGATCGATCAAGGCTTTGGTCGTCATCAGTCGCCGATTCTTCGTGCGCACAACCTGTCTCCTATTGCCCCCCAGCCTGCACATGTTTCTCCTCTGGCTACTGCCCGACAGCCTCCAGTGCCCCGACCTGACGCTCCACCAGCTCAAGCGACTCCTGCGCAAGTTACGGCACTCAGAAACGACCGCTCCAATGGCTCTAGTCCTGAGAGCTCTCCACAAGGCGGCAAGCCGAACAAGAAAGGCAAAAAGAAGAACAAGAGAAAGGCTGATCGCATGGCTACAAACACTGTGGCATCACCGTACATCAAGCCAGAGCCGCGATCTCCCTCTCCCCTGACTGCACCGCAGTTCACAAGACCCAACAAGCGGCAGAGACAAGCGCAGCGAACAACGCAGCCGGGCTATGATCAGTCTCGCATTGAGGAGCCTGTGGAGATTATCGCTCCACACGCTTATCCCTCAAGAGTCTACAGGGAAGACAGAGTCGCTTCGGGGTACAGTAGTCCGAGCGGACCGCGTCCTCGCCAAGATTCTCGCCACATGGTGCTGACAGAGCCCCCAAGGTATGAGAGGGACTATCACGATGAAATCCGTCCAGCTGAAGCCGTCCAATACGTCCGGCGCTCTCCACCTGGAGCACCAGCATATCCATACGCCCACGGTGAGGTACAATCCATCAGGTCGGTCTCCCGTGCTGCGGTCGAGAGGCCTTATTCATATTACGATGTTCGAGATGCTCCGCGTGCTGTAGTGCGGCAAATGGCTGATCGTGATCGGTCTCGCTCGCCTGTCATGGTTGAGGATCGCTCTCCAGCTGTCATGGGCCCTCCACGCTTGCCGCGCTCAAGAATTGTGCACGTTGACGAGTTTGGCCGCGAGTACTTGGAGCCTGCTCCAAGACCCGAGGGCGTGGTGACCAGGCGTTCTGTCGTGCCGAGGCCAGCTTACGATGAGCGAGATGAATATTACGAGATGCCTAGGTCAACAACGGTGATTCGGCGTTCTGTTGCACCCGTGAGTGCTTATGGTGAGCCTGAAATCATCTACGAGCGGCCTGCTCCACCGGTCCGTGCCGCGTCTACCATGCCTGGCCCACAACGATATGACGAGGAGGTCGTCTACCATCGACCGGCTTCTCCCTCGGGCTATGCAACCACTCGCCGTGTGGTGACCCGTCCAGCAGAATACGCGGTTCCCGAGTATCGGTACTACCGAGAGCGGGACTACCAAGCTGCACCTCCCAGCCAAGCCGGCGGCGATGACTATTATGAAGTTCGAAATGTACAGGAGAGACGGCCAGCAGACGAGGCTCCAAGAGAGTATCGCATCCGGGCCACAACGGTGCGCCCTGACACGTCAATGAGGCCGGAGGTGGTCCGGATGTCCAGCGTGCGGCCTGAGAGCTACGGTGCGCCGATCCCGCTGGACGAGCGGCAGGTGATGGCACCGCCTCGGCCGTACAGCACGCGGCCCATGGCACCTCCTCAGCAGCAGCAGTACGTACATCCGTGGCCAGAGTACGGGACTCGGCCGTATCCAGAGCAGGTCGACGAGGGAGGAGATGATGGAGCAGTTACTTACGTGGAGAGTGCTCCCAGGGAGATGTATAGATAAGGTGAATTTGGAACAGGCGATGAACCTTGGTAGCGGAATGAAAACAAATTCTTGTTCATATAAGTTGTTCGATGAGCACACTTGCAGAAGTATTGAGCGAAATTGTAGTGATGAAGTGTCGTTTCGCCATCGCAAAAGATTTTGATCACGTCCAGTCTTTCACAGGCCGCCAGGCTTTTGCGAGAGCCAACTGCTAGAGATGCATCAAAATCGCAGTGAGCCATCATGATTGTGGTCGGAAAAGCGCGCGGCTCCGACAGGGGCGTCGGTGGGTCAGCAGCTCACGCGAACATCTTCAGCAGTTTTCGCCAGCGCAATCGCTCTTGGCTCTTCCTGCAAACGGACGGATACTGCGCCGCACTCTCACATGCAAGTGTGCTGCAGTTCGAGGCCGCTTATTCAGATCCGACGATGGACCCCCAGCCTTGAATCAGGCAGTTATTAGCGTCTGAGTCGGCCACTGTCAACACGCTGCAGACGCCCCAAACACTACTTTCTCACACATTCGATTCCACACGCAGCAGCGATTCTCGATTTTGCTCCGTGAGGGCCCGGAGCACTCGGGGTCGGAGTTTATTTCCAGAAGCGCAAGTGTCACCTCTGCCACGACTACCGGTAGCAGCCGAAACCTCCCCCGAACTCTAATAAATTAGTCCCAGTTAAAGCGGTGTACCAGACAGACGTAACGATCAGATTAGAGACTATCTAGGCGCACGAGAGCTCTGCCCTAGATTCAGCGGGGACTAGTGCGGGAAGCTTCTTTGGAACACAGAGCGAGGCTAGATGTGCCCATTGCAGAATGGTTGACGGTCTCTTTGTCGCATTCCCCATCCAAGGCCCTATGGCAGAAAACGGGTTGGCCTACCCACTACGGTAACTCATCACGGTGACACTTGGGCTAAAAGTGGGTGGGTTGGGCGAGGCGCCCCCCCCCCCCGGGAGCCTATCCTGGCCTGGGGCACTTCGAACGGATGGAGCCTACCCTCTTTTTCGTTGCTGGTGAAAAGCACTGCCCGAGACATTCGTGACATCTCGGGCATAGTGCAGCGGTACAGTCAGCATGCCATGTTCTCGTAGCTACACACCTGCATGGGCGGATGAGAATCAGCGAGCAAGGCAGCGTTTTCAGGTCCGATTGGGGAATAGGCGGGATGGGAGGAATCGGCCGGCAGAAGATTCCATCCTGCAAGGACGGCGGCGGGCTGACGGGTCAGAGCGAAAGCATCGGTTGAGTGAGCTTCTCTAGCGTGTGGGATTATGCGTGCGCATGTGCGAGTGCGAGTGTGCGGTTGTGGTTGTGTGAGTGGGGTGGGGGTGGTTTTCCTTCGCGAGCTAGGCTGTCCAACGACGGTTGATTCGAGAAGCTGAGCCTGTGCTCACGTGAAACCTGTCCAGGCCGATCGTAACCTGCGATCCATGTGCCAGCAGTGGGAGGACGCTTCGGTGGCAGCTGGGCAGCTGAAAGATTTCGTGTCGGGCAGGCCCTGTCTGAGACAACAATCCAATCCCGTGTCAATGGGCAAAGAGCGAGGAGGGGGAGATCGAGACGGCCTGGACGGCCGGCCTTTGACAGCGGCTAGTTCGAACGGAGGTGGTTCTTGGAATAGCTCATGAGTTCGGGGAGCTGGAGATCCTGGCTGGCGTCTGGCGTCTGGCGTCGCGGTCTTCGCAGGAAGAAGTTGGGATGAAGTCATGGCTCCTGTGGAGTGCTGGCCTGTTTGAGGAACCGTGCGTCCAATGTCCGTCCGCATGGTGATACTGTATACCTCCATGTAACCATGTTGGGAGAGGGGAGGTCGGGAGGTCAGGTATTCCAAGCACACACCACACGGCCATGTATCCGGCTCCGGCTCTGTGCCTTGAGAGATATGATATGCCACATGCTAGCCACAACACCGGAGCTTTCAAGATCGCCGTCGTGAATCATCAGACAATCGATCCACGGATTGGGCTGTTCCTAGTGTGGTATGTCTTGGTAAGATGGAGTGTGTTTCTGGGGAGGGACGGGGGGGCAGCAGGACCACGCGTATTACAGTGGCCGTGCCCTCGCTTGTTGGCCTTGCAGGCAGTGATGGAATGGGCATGGAATAGACCCATGCAACCGTCATTTCGTTTCCAAGCCCTGCGCCTGGGTGCCCGCTCCAGACAGGATTGGCGTCGCGCCGGGGCTGCCAACGTCTCGATTTCCAAGATGCGCCTCCGTCTCATACTGTGTACCTCATGCTTGACCGAGCCTGCCTGGCCCCGCGAACTGACAAGCTGTGGGTTAGTCGAAGCGGCAGCATGAAGAAGTAGAAGAAGTAGTAGTTGAGAAGTCCGCCAGCCCTTCAGCCAATCAATCCATCGATGGTATGCTCTGCAACAGGTTAGACGAAGACGAAAGAAAGGCCTGGCTGGCCATCTTGCCCGTAGGGAAGGTTCACGTTTCCCGGTTCGACTCGACTCGACCGACCGACTGACTTGATTTGATTTGACTTGACTTGACTTGAGGGACTGAATGCACTTGACTGACGGGCAGACTGGCTCTCCTCCCGACTGGTTCGCTCGCAGTGCCAGGCCAACAAAGGGCCCACCTTGGCACATCAGTCACTGCCAGCTGGGCACGGTGACTGGGGGTGGAGCAAGTGGGCATATGCAAGTTCTTTTACACTTTCCTACTGTGCTGGACTGGCCCAGCAGCCAGTACCAAGTTGTAGCAAGGGGACGGGGGGAGTTGGCGGGAGGGTAGGGGTACGTGTACGGGACAGGCCAGGCCTCCTTGGTTGGCGCTGAGCAGTCCCGCGCTACCTGGCAATAGTGGTCCGATGCTACCTGCAGGCCTGCCCCTCTGCCGCCGCTTCAGCCACTGCCCAGTGGTACCATCCAGAAATCCAGGCCACCGCCAGGGCCACCACCACCGGCTGATCTGATCGTGTTGCTGCCACTGTCACCCGCCGTCGCCGGTATTGCTGCTGCTGCTGCTGCTGCTGCTTCTGCGGCTTCTGCTGCTCGAAGCTCCTCAGTGACCTTCTTCCCTCCCTATACCCTGTGCCCTGTGCCCTGTGCCCCCCAGAGGTGTGTGTGTGCTGTGCTGTGCTTCGCCTTGTCTGGCCTTGCCTGGCCATACGTTGCCTCGTGTCTAGTCGTGTCGTGTCGTGTTGTTGTCTCGAACTCACTCCTGTCCCTCCCGGTACTGCTTGCTACCTCTCTTCCCACCCACCCGATTCCTCCTCGACCAGCGTATCCTATCACCCTTCTCTCCTCTTCCCACCTGCACTCTGTGTTGATTCCCAACCCGGGTGGAAGTGGAATAGAGCACACAATTGTTTTGTTGTGTTTCTCTTCCTTTAACCCCTTTTCCCTCCTCCTCTCCCCCCAAATCAAGTTCTCGTGGCGCGCAGGCGGCTTTATCATCCCATCCCATCTCTTCCCCCCTCCCCATCCTTTCAACGCCATTCCCGACTCCGTCATTCCGTCCGGCTCAGCCCAGCCCAGTTCCAGCCCGTCGCTGCCGGAACTACTTACCCCCTCCTCCCCAATCCTCTTCCCATCTCAACCTCTGCCCTCACCTCAGCCTCTGCCACCGCCACGCCCGCCCTTCCCAATCTCGACCCCCCGACTCGACCTCGACCTCGAACCCTGCCTGAGCCTCGACCGGGCTGTCGTGTGGCCTCATCATCACTCATGTGGGCATCATAATGAACGCCATGAACAAGATAGCAAACATGAGAAACTGGTCAGAGCGGATGAGTCCCGCCTTTGGCATGTCCTCAAGGCCCAACCTGGGCATGTCCATGCAGGGTCTCCATCCTCACCACAAGATGGCGCCTCAGGGAGCCTCCCCCATAACTCCACCCCAGATCGGCGACTCGGTCATACATCATGCCTTCAACGTCCCCTTCGCCTCCGAGCTCGCCGGCCCCGACACCGAGGACATCCTGCATGCCACCACCGATGCCGTCCTGCGATGGACACACCCTGCCGAAGCCCCCGATGACGTCCCCGTCTACGAGCTCCCCGTCCACACCGACAACCTCGCCAAGCTGAGGAAGATGTGCAAGGACATCACCACCAGCCCGCTCCCAGTCGAGGCCCACGTCATCTCCACCATCCCTAAGCATGTCAAGGGCCAGGTCACTACCGTCTGCCTCTCCGGCTCCCACGAGATGGTCTGGCAGACCCGCGAGAAGATCCTGAACGAGACCCCTCTGTCTCTGGTGTGTACACGCCTTAACATGATGCATTGCGTTTCTGTCGTAGAAGAGACACCCATCGACTGACCTTCCAACAGCGTTGCACCACGGTGGACATTGACGGTGATATGGTGGCCGACATCAATGCCGGCTCTCTGAAGCACGCCGTGACCGAGACTATCGACAAGATTTCCGCCTTCTGCGGCGTCGACATCTTCCTCCTCGGACCCAAGCTCACGCCCATCGTGGATGGCGTGAATGGTGACGTCGAGGTGCGCAGGGACCAGCGTTGGCGAGTGGCTATCTACGGCGACATACTGTCTTCGGAACACGCGAAAACACGCATCCTGGTCTCCATCGACCAATGGGTAAGGACCACTACAACTGCCCGCACTCGAGGGTAGTCCAGGCTAACATTGAGGCAGCTGGGTCGGATCATCGACATGATTCACATGGATTTTACACTGCAGCAGGCGATCTGCGGTCGTAACCGGAAGAACATTAAGCTCATCGAGTCTGCCACCGGCACCGCGATCTACTTTCCCCCGCCGTACTCGCGATACTTCCGCTACTGCCCCAAGAACGCATCACCCCGGGATCCCAATGAGATCATCATCACCGGAGACAAGCCCCGGCAGATCGAGCTTGCCAAGCTCAAGCTGGGTGATCTGTTGAATCGCTGCAGGCTCTTCGTCAAGGATGTTCCTATGCCACCGGAAAAGGTCGACACCATTCTCCTGACCCGCCTGGACAAGGTGCGAAAGATTGTTGAGGCCAATGGCAGCTATATCCAGTTCCCTCCTCTTGGGTCACGGTCGACTCCAGTCCGGATCCAGGCTACTGAGAACCTGCACATTGAGCGAACTGTTCGAGAGCTCATGTCTCTTGTAAGTTGTGTACCGCAATATGGTGTCTGCATCACACTGACGCAATTCCCAGGCTGGTCAGTTCTACAGCGGGTTCTGGGCGGCCCAACCTGATGGGCGGAGGCTACCAGAGGACAACGACATCAGACTCATGCTTGGGGATATCTGCGCCAATTCTGATGCCGAGATTTCTTTCCAGCGTCTTTCCTTCACTATTGATGGGTCAGACGACGCGGTCAAGGCAGCGCTACATGTGATCTCCCAAATAAAGTTTGTGACACAGACGCAGTACACCATTAGGGTCAAAATTGAGCTGGCGAACGAACACAAGGAATTCGTCAGCGGCAAGAAGAACGGCAAGATCAACAAGATCATGGGGCAGAGTATGAAACTGAGGCCCCTAATCGTCCCCGGCATGCGTTGGTACTATGACTAACCCTGATCACAGGCAATGTTCAAATCATGTTTGAGAACTTTGGCGAGTACAACTTCAACATCGACGTGAACGCGTCTTCCTACGACTCGATGAAGCAGGGCCTGGGTCTGGTGGAACAGGAAATGCCAGCTTCCATCTCGTTCCACGTGCCTGACCAGTACCACAAGCGGATCATTGGCATTGGCGGTCAGCATATCCAGCGCATCATGAAGAAGCACTCTGTCTTCGTTAAGTTCTCCAACGCTCAGGAACGCAGTGAGTACATGGCACAATTATGTAGAGACTATGACCAGAACATCAATGAGCTAATATTCATAGACGGCATGATCCGAGAAGATGATGACAACACGCTGGATAACGTCATCTGCCGAACCCCGGCTCGAAACGCCCAGAACCTTGAGCTCGTCAAATCTGAGATCCTGGAGATGGTCGACCGCGTCGACTCCGAGTTCACTTCTCAAGTCGTCCCTGTTGATCGGTTGTACCACCGCCAGCTACTTGCCCGTCTTTCGGATATTGCAATCATGGAGAAGAAGTGGAATTGCAAGATCATCTTTCCAAGCACGGAGCAGGCCAGCGATGAGGTCACTTTCACTGGTCCCCAGTGGCAGGTGCCTCTTTGCGTGGACGAGTTTTTGGTAAGCCGCCTATTAGCACAGTCTCCTTCCCAGCCCGTTGATTTGCTAACCGTGTCTAGGGCATGGTGCCTGACAACCACGAACTCGTCTTGGCCCGTACGCCGGCTTTGATCAAGTACCTCGAGTCTCCCGAATTTGTCAACGATGTTGTGGCTAAGCTCAAGGCGCAACATGAGGTCGATCTCACTGTTCATCAGAATGCGTCGGAGCTGACCGAGGATGGCAAGCCGACCGTCACCCTCCTCTGGACCTTCACTCGAAACAACGCTGGCGGCCTGCGCGATGCTATGGAGCTTCTTCACGGACACTTCGCCACCGCCGGCGTCGAAGAGACGATTATCAAGGGATCCATGCCGCGACCGAAATCGGATACGTTCGAAGAGTCTCTCCAGTACTTTGACTCCAAGCTCCTGCAACATGCACCGACAACTGTCGCTACCGACTCGCCCACGAAGACTGCCTTCGGCGACGAGGTAGCCCGCGAGCGTAGCACGATCTTTGACAAGCTTCGCAAGCCTGGAAGCATGTCATCGATCTCGTCCTTCCTGGACCGTCGCAAGAACAGCTCTCACTCTGCCAGCAACTTCTTCAAGGGCTCAAGCAATGTGTCCAAATCATCCCTCATTTCGATTGAATCAACCCGAAGCTTCAACGCTGAACGTAACCCCTGGAACGACAGCGGTGTAAATCTACCTGATGACGACAGCCCATGGCCAAATCGTCCCTTCGGCAACGGCGCCGAACACAAGCCGACGCCCAACGGCATTGCTCAGCCCGGCGATGTCACTCCCCGCCACAATACCCGACAGTCCGCTGACAGCGGGCGTCCTTCCACTGCTCATTCTACGAATTCTGGATACCCCGGTCCTATTGGTGGACCATACCATTAGATGTCTTCGTTTTTAGAACCTCTTGCGTCAAAATACCCGGCTGGATATACCCTGGCGTAAAAAAATACCCGGAATGTTGTTGCATTTTGGTCGGCCCGATTCTTCTCGATTCTCTCAGTTTTGTGCTTACAGCCGCTCGATTTTTGACCTTAGTCCTTGACCTTTTCTACGATCGAAAAGCTTGTTTCTGTGGCAGGCGACTCCGAAAACCTAGACAAAGGCTGTGGCTTTGACTCAACGAACGGGAATCGGCTTCGTCGCTATTCTGCTCTTGTTCGATTTTTATTGGCGTTTGAAGGGAACCTATCATTTAGTTTTGTTTTGAAGATTTCAGTATACCATGTCGACACTGTTCGCTCTCATTTCTACACACCGCGCGCATGAGACAGCCAACAACAGACAGATGTCTTGCACGTCGTTTACTTCCTGGTTGGCAAGAACGCGGAAAGGTCTCGATGACGGGAGAACGCACGCAGATGATACCAGTTTCCGAGTCGAATGGACGGGGGCGTGACGGATCGATGTATGAACGAAAGGGATGGAAGGTGGATTTGGGACTCAGGAGCGGTACCAAGGTTTGTTGGAAGCGCGAGGGTATGGATGTGCAAGGAAAGTCTCTTTTATGGTTTATCTATAGCGATGGCAGAAATACAGAGATACCCACTCAACTTGCGTTTACCACAGCGAAGAAGTGACTAGCTTGTCTTAGTGATACGATAATTGAAACTATATAGGATTCAATGTGATGTCTACCAAGCAATTATAGCTAGACAGGGCCGGAAGACATGCGTTTACACCACGGCGATGTGCAAGGACCAAGAAACGAAGATCCACACCAGCGCCCTTCTTCAGTCTCTTTTGCTTATAGCCACTTGTCTTCTTGTCTGTTCGTTCCTCCAGTCAAAAATGTGCCAGACACATTTGCGTAGGCGGTACTGCTGCGGGCTCCAAAGTGCTTCCAATTTCTCAGAGGTCATGAACAGCATCAGAGCTAACAGCGTTGGTATAAACGGCGGAAGAAAGGAACGCACAGGAGACATCAGTTGAGTTTTTCGAGGATCGCCTTCTTTGGGATAGCCTTCTATGTTGTCAGAGCACACTCCTCTGGTTGTCAATAGTCCCCATCGAGTGTCACTCCTTCAAGTCGCTTTGACCATGCCGAGGGGTTGCGAATAGGAGCCATCCGAAGAAGTCCACCAGAGTCGGCACGAGATAGCAGTGACACGAAGCTAGTAAGAAGTCGTAGATAAGTGAACAGATAAATTGTCGCGATATTCCAGATGCGTGATGCAGTACCAATCTCGAGATATGCCAAATGCCAAACTAACAAAGCCGTAACACGCGAATGCCTCTTATCAAGACTTTTGCGATACAAAACTGATGCTTCAATCATGCCTCAAAAACCATAACACATCAATCATGCCAGAAATCCAAGCAATGCCAAAATAAATATACCAGATAAAGCGAAACAAATCACATCAAGACCACCAAGCGTATATAAATCTCCGCGCACACAATTAGGTTGCAGGCTCCGTGTGCTGGCTCGCATCACTGCCCCTGCCCCTGTCCCTCTCGCTCTGCATCGAAAGCATCATCTCGGTCAGGCGGTCAATCTTCGAGCTCAGCTCGGCAATCTTGACGTCCATGTCCGTCGGCGCGTCCATGTCGTCGATCGCAATGTCCGGGTCGGCGCCCCTGGTCGGCGCGGAGACGGGCCGCAGCGTCGCGTCGGACGCGCTCTGCGGGCGCCTATGCTGCAGGTGCGCGTACGCCGAGGCCGACGAGGCCGGGCGCACTTTTGCGCGGGAGGCCTTGCGCTGGGCCGCGCCGCCGCCGCTGTTGAGGGCCTCGAGCCGCGGGCCCTTGAAGCCGTGGTACTCGTCGCTCGCGACCTTGCCCTTGACCAGCTCGTAGAGCATGATGGCGCCCACGATGGGCAGGTGCGTCGCCTTGAGCAGGAGGATCCGCGCCGCGCGGAACTTGTTGTCCGAGGGCAGGACGAGGCGCAGGGGGCGGAAGATGACCAGGGCGAGGAGGTTGAAGGGCGGGTAGAAGTGGGTTAGCCTGTTGGATGTGCTGGCTTCCAGGACGTAGACGGAGTACACGTAGAGGTACTCCTCGCGGGCGTGGCTCATTACTCGAGAGAACGAGTTGGAGAGCATACCCGTCAAGCTGCCCATTAAGAGGATTGAGGAGAGGGTGACGAATATGAACATCAGTGGTGGCCCGAAGAATGGATCAATCTTTTCCATGATATCGAATCCAATGTAACTCGAGCCATCTAGACGAGAGAGTTGTCAATAAGTGCTAGGAATGGAAGCTTTGAGGGACGTGAAGGAGGCAAGAAAGCAATTTCCGGGGCCTAAGTATGGTGATTTGATAATGAGGCACTGGAGGTTTTCTTACAAAAGATCTTAGCTAAACTCATGGTCATAGCCGGCAGTGTCTATGATGAAAGTCAGTTAGCGGTCCTCGCATGTGCCGAACTGGGCTTCTCTCAGGCGAGCGGGATACTTACAAATGTGTCACGCGCGACAAGTGTGAATGTCGTCAAGAATCCAAGGTACACAATAAATACTAATACCATGAACTTGACGAAGTCTTTGCCCATCTCTTTTAGACAAGGGATGAGTGTACCCCAGTAAGGAGATAGCGACAAGACCGAGCAGACTCGCGGGACCATGAAAAGTGCCAGTAGAGACAGGACGTCAAAAGATAAGCCGATCAGCTCCTCATCGTGCTTTGAAAGACCGACGATCCCTTAAAGAGCATTAGAATGGCGCCAGAGACTTTGTAACTTTTGGACTTACGCAAAACGGAGAAGATGAAGCCAATGCAAATCATTGTGATGTCAAACAGGTTCCAAATCTATAGAGCGTGAGCGATGTGTCTCAAGACATATACCCACGAGAAGCAACTCACATCGGTCGCGTAGAAGATCGATCCGGCATCGACATATTCGCTCAGCTCATCGTAAGCAAAAGCCAAGAACCAAATGTAGAGCAGGACTTCGTTGATGCTGATTTTCTCTGGGTTCCTCTCAACAAGGACGGAGTAGTACAGGAACAGGAATATCATGAAGAAAATGACCTCAAATGACTTGAGGTATTTGGGAACTCGAAGACGAGAGAATGGATCAGCTGTTGCTTTGTTGTAGAAACGAGGCCGTTTCACCGAGTCGACAGCCAGCCCTGATGATCATCATGTCAATCAAATCGTTCATTTCGAGGTTTTCCTTCGTCTATGAGCTCGTGGCAGCATAGTAGAACGATGCAATGGAAAAGGAATATACTGACTGTCCCAGAAAATTATGTCGCCATTCCAGATACCAGTAATAATCTTCTGAACGACATGCTGACTGAGAAAGCGCTTCGCGTCGGCAACAGCGGCTATTTCGAGAGCATTGAGCGTGACGAAAGGCTTGGTGGGGTCTTCCTCCTGATCTTCGTCATCGTCATCCTGAGCCATTGTCAGGCGCGAAATTGACTTTAACAGCTGGTATCGCTTCTTGCTGCCAGTGTTAGTGAGCGTCGATTTCGCAGAGTTTACTGTTCCAGATAAGGTTTGAGCAAGCAATGCAGTGTTCTCGTCGACCTCTTCCGACCGACGTCCGTTCTCTTCATCGCGGGCTCCTGCGTCCTCTGTGGCATCGTCCGGGTCTGGTATCTCGTAAAGGCAGCAGTTCATTACCTCCCTCTCGGAGAGGTGAGTCAAAAATCGCCCTGATGAGGGTCATGTCAGCACTCAATTAGATACCGACTAACTCAAGTAATTTGAGAGCAGAGTAAGCAACTCACATGCTACGATTTCAGCAGCATTGGCACGGGCCTCATTGACACCTTTATCCTCTGTTGCCGCCCCGTAATGCCATTTCAATGCCCTGAGATGTATCTGTCAGCGCTCTGTGCCAAGTAGATTTATGTATGTCTCGTCCTGCAGACACATAGGCCCATATGTGGAGCCGTTGCGGATCGGTACGTCTGAGGCGCCCCACAGGATTTGCATGCCGGGCAGATCCAATGATCGACTTACAAGAGAGCATTGACGATGGCAGGATGCGAGCATTCCCTACTGAGATGCTCAACCAAGTTTCTTAGGCCCTCGCCTGCACTGGTTGTGCGTAATTGTTCAAAGGTGACCGGAAGTACAACGACCTCGTTGAAGTAGCTGGCGGGAGAGTTATTATCGATTGAACTGGTTATCTCATGATGCAAATGCAGGCCGGGCTCCCACGTACATTGATAGCTTCTTGATCATATCTCTGAATGAATCGTCCTCACGAATATCAGGGAGCCTGTAGCCATAAAATCGCTGGCCCATGGGGGAGGGCGTGCGTGGGGGCTCGTCAGCCCCTGGCTGTTTACGCGACTTCACGCGTATAGGCATCCTGACTTCCGAATCGAGAGGTGTTGAAAGCGAGAATGTACCAGGCTCGACGTCTCAAGGACGGCAAGATCACAAAGAGCAACGGCTTGAGGTCAAGATAAGAGCCAATTTCTAGACAAAAGTCTAACCCCACAGTTGCAAGCACTCGCGGCCTAGTCCCCTGGTCTTCTGGTTTCCCAGGGGCTAGGTAGGCCCCACCAGCCTGGAGCGTCCTGGGAGAGGGACCCCTGTTTTGGCCTCCATGCGGTCTTCAGCTAGATCCCATCTTGCCTAATTTTGTCTCGAATACAATGTCTGCCATTTGTCCTCCTCAGCTGTCAAACCAGTCCAGAACACAATTGGACGACCAGTCCGGGCTACATGGTCTCAGTCCGAACGTTAACGAAGTCTAGTGCTACGGAGGATGTGCAGGATCGTGAGAAGCTAGCCAGGTTTTTTCGGCAATCACTGCTCGACAATCAAGTTTTCGTCGCTACCAATCCTACCCCTCTTGCCTGGACCCCTACCTGAGGGCGTTAGATGTGGCGGGGAATCGAGCCAAGGGTACTGAAATCTATGCTGACTGCTGTAATAACGCGGTGCGGCGAGAAGTGAACCTCTCAGTGATAAACAGCACGGCTTAGAGCTCCCGGAAACGAAAATCTTGGGTGCGGCCATAAGCGGCCAGCTTACCGCAGATTCTGAGACCTGTCGTCGCCTGGTCACTGTAATCGTTGCTCAGGTGGCCAGATATACAACCTCGTGGGATACGAAAATACACTTGGTGACCGCACAAGCTCATACAATGGGACATTCGTGGTCGAAACAGTTTTGGTCCTGCCGAAGGAGGAATTAATTAGGCCACCCATCTTTCGACTACGGTTGCAGCTGTTTGGCCAGGCTCATGAGCTATGCCTGGATGCATGACTTTGAGGCGAAGCACAAGGCTATGTCGAACTGTCGTCGGATGTACTGCTGCATTTCAGCCCAGAAATGGACAGCCAAAGTCGCAGACCTTTATCACTCTGCTCTCTACAACACGCCTTTCCCGCCATACACTAGCTGTCCACAGTCAGGTTACTGGTAAGCGTCGCCAATATCGACCTAACAACCAGATGTGGACGTCGAAACCCGGGGTCGGGGCCATAGGATGTATAAGACGGCCTGGCTTGTTCGAGTTGCTCGGCTGGTTATGCCTGGACGCAGTCGTGCACCTGCACGACCACCCATTCGAGGCACACGATGCAAGGTATTACTGCTGTCGGGTGACTCTTGATTAAGATTTCGTGTCTACACACGGCGTGAGAGCACTACACACGCGAGGACCGCAGGGTGGTACAAGTTGCCGGTGTCGAAGACCCGAAGCTGTCTTCTATAGCGAACAAAGACAGGGTATGGGGGGCCTCAACTCCAAGTCTTCCTAAATGGTAACTCGAGAAGCGAATCGGCCGATATTCTTAACTCCTCGCGCACAAAGGACCGGCCACAGTATCGTAGTACAAATGTGGTCGGTCAAGCCTGCATGTTGCAAGAGAGAAAGCTCAAAGAAGCCTCTATTGCTGTGGTGCAACCCCACAGAATCTTCCGATTTAGGATATCATTCTACTCAGACGAACGCCATGGCCACACAATGCAGAAATGGGTGGTATCGCGACAATGACCCGCGAGACACACAGACGTCAAGCAACCCCAAACCCCAGAATGGTGCTCGATACCCCGCAGCCTGGGCACGGGGCCGTCTCCTGTTCCCAAACAAGACTTGGGAAAGAAACACGTCAAGGTTTTCGACAAGCACCACATGTCGATGGTCTTCAAACAGTACTGTCAAACTGAGTTCTGGAACCCCAGAGACGCTGCCCAACAAACCATGTTTGCCGCCACGGCAACGCTCTTCTCGTGACATGCATTAATATATTCGGGAGTCTATCCACGGAGGGTGACGTATTCCTCAGCAGAGGTCGTCTACAACATTCGCGATGCCCTGTGCGGCCTCCCTGGGAATAAAATCGGCTGGTCGACTGCCGAGGCCGCAGCAGGGCATCTTCCCACCACTCGGGCATGCGACTGGCGTGAACTCATGGAGTCGATCCGCCCCGGAGCCAATGCGGATCTCCGCTCTGGAGGCATCCGGGAAGTGGCAAGCTTTTCGGCACCAACCTCTTCCTTAAGACAACCTGCTAGGGACAACTCTCTGCCCTAGGATTGGGCTGCCTGAATAACTCTGATATAGCTGACATCACAATGTAACAGTGAGCCATGAGCCATCTAAAAAAATGTCTTCGATTGCCATCACAGCACACGCGTATGTCAAGACTATGGGTTTCTGTGCCCACCGCAGGCTGTGGTGATCACTACAGATGATACACGGGTCGAAGTCTAATGCGAGGCGGAGACCTGCAAATAGCTGCCTCGTTTCCTCTAGGTCCATGGGTCGTTTATGTATGCAGTCTGCTCGTGGCCATCCTGCATCGCAAATACATTTGAATTCCAATGTTAAGGCAAGCTTTCGAGCCTCGTGGCCAGGCGCTGGACGTGAGCGGCAGACTACCTTGGCCATGGCGTGGCGATGTTGGGAGGACACGCTGAGGACTAGCTGCAGCCAGCTCGCTATAAAAAGCAGCAGGGGACGTCTTCGCCACCTCTGCGGTCACCCTGCATCAGTGTGGCTGTGAGGAGCACTTTGACAACGGACCGTCAGACCCTCAATTGGCTACAGCCCTGCAGGGGTAATCGAGGGCCGGTTCGAACTATCAGACTATCCTCTTCGAACCCGACCTGCTGTCTTCGCAGCTCCCCTGCATCTGGCCGCTATAGTAGATGGAGGCAAACTACACTTTACTCTGCTAGTGATTCCTGGGCTCTGTGTATATACACAATAGACGCTGCGTACGCGCTTCGCTTCATCCCGCCAAGCGCAGCAGTGGATCAAGACAAGTGGAATTTCAATGCTCGCCGCCGGGCGCTTCGACTAGCTCCTCGACGTCCAACATGGCCAACATCGCAACACACCGACGGCGAGTCTACTCCACCACCGCTAAGCGGCCTAAGCCCCTGGACCAGTCCTGCACAGACTGCACAAACCTTCAATATGGTCGCTGTCGTGTGCCATGCCCGAATAGGACCGCCAGGCGAAGCGATTAAACATTGCAGGCTCCAAGACACATCCGCATGATCTGCACTATTCTGTGCACTATTATAGCCCCCAGTTCCTGGGTATTTGGACCCTTGTGTCACCAACGGCAGCCCTGTGCGTGTGTGTGTGCCTGCTCATCGATGGATATCTGCAGTGATCCTTGCTGATGCGCCATCACGGATCCTACCCTGTCATAGCTGCCACTCTTTTTATTCCTCACTGCCTCACCCGCCTTGCCAGCCTGCTTACTTGTTGGACCTGTTCTATCACCCTTTCAACCTTCGCTTGTCCCTTCTTGTCGTTTTTCTGATTTTCTATCACTCTTTGATGAGATCCCTCCGTTCACTGTATTGATTCGTGAATCCTCCACCAAAGCTTGTTCTCTTCCCACTTGGATTCCCCAGCCACCAAGATAATTCTCGATGCCCCAGCAACGCGTATAAACAAATTCGTGCAAGATGCTCCAAGACATCTTCGTCAGGCTGCCTAAGCCGACTGCTCTCCTCATCCTCTCTAGCCTCTTCGGGGCCACATCAGCACATATTCCTCGTCAGACACCAACAACAGTTCCATACCGGCCACTGAACGTCGTTGCGTATCCGCCGATCGCAGCACCGACGTCACCACCGGTCGATCTACCTACCTTAAACGAGCTCCTCAGGAGACAAGATACCAACACGATATGCGGCTACATAGGAGGTGATCCAGACCTACCTGCAACCTGCTCGGCGGGGTCGCACTGTGTACTGGATGCGGATCACGGCGCTGTGGGATGTTGTCCGAACGGAGAGGAAACCTGCAGCTCAGGTGTCTTTACCGGCTGCGTCGATTCAAACAGCGGGCCACAGACCGAGGTGAACCCTTATGTGTTCACCTGCACCGGTAGCAATGTCTGCTACAAAAACATGTTCGAGGGAGGTTTCTCCCAATTCGGGTGCGGCACAGCAAGCGATCTAGCAACGGTGGTCTCAGCTGGCGCGGCGGGCATAGCCTCCCAGGTCTCCTTGACGAGTGAGCGCATCAGCCTTACACAGAGTCCGAGCAGCCTCGCAACACCCACCGAGCTCGGGACCGTCACCCGGAGCGATTCCTCAGCCAGCTCTTCATCGACTGGGACTAGCACTGATACAACAACTGGCGCTTCATCATCGTCTCTCACCACTCTCACCATACCAACTCCCACAAGCAGCACCACCTCCACCTCCTCCTCCAGTGAGCAGTCAAGCAGCATACCGACGAGCACCTCAGCACCAGCTGCAAGCGGCGGCGGCGGGGGGGTAAACCGAACTGGCGCAATCGTGGGTGGCACGATCTCTGGCGTGGCCGTACTGGCAGGCCTTGTGGCTGTCGGTATCTACTTCTGGCGGAGGCGTGCCGCAGGGAACACCCGCCGCGGCCCAGGCCCACGACCAGGGGACACGCAATATGTCAGCCCCATGTCAGGCGCAGGTTTCGTGCCCGTCGGCCGAAACAATGCAAGCCCGAGTGATGGAAGCCGAGCAGCGAGCGTCCGAGGGAAGACGATCAGGCACGTCACGGGCGGGCCCAACTCCCGCAACACCGTCTTCCAGACTGGTGGCGTCGGCGACTACCATTACCCGGGCCAAAACCCAGCGGCATGGGCCGGGGCCGCAGGGGCTGGAGCAGGGGCAGGTGCTGCGGCGTATCACGGAGCGTACGCATCGCCTCATGACAGCGGTGGAGAGGACGAAATCCCGCTCCGTTACGGGTCGCCTGAGATCGATGACTTCTCGCGCGGCTTCCATGATGCCCTGAGCCGGATCGGCGAGGAGGACGAGGAGGATCTGGAGTCACACGTGAACGGCAGTGGCATGCCCGGCACAAACAACACCGGCGGAAGCGGAGACCTGGGCGACGCGAGGCCACTGTGGCTTCAATCACGAAGGCAGTCAAGAAACCAATTTTGGACATGAGCACACGCCTGGACGACATGATGCGGCGGTCGCGGCGGCCGATCTTTTCGGCCTGGTATACGCGATAAGATTAAGGAATGGTTGACCTCTGCGGTTTGCTATAGACGATATGAGCGATGTCCTCATGAAAGCACGGTGCTATATCTAATATCCAAGACAATGTATATAAATCAGCGTCAATGAACGAAATGCACATTCTCAACCAAGCCGGTTTCTCCACCAACGGTTGTTGGCGGCATTGGCACTCCTTAACAACACAACCAGGCATGAAGCGAACTCTAATTGACTATTTTACTGAACGAGGAGTAGGCGTCCGCCCCTAGCGCCGAGCCGGTGTCTTAACCTCGAAGCGCGCGCAAGGGGGACTCCTCTGCTGTCTGTGCCCCTACTTCCTTAGTCTCATATGTTGAAAGAGATGAACCACGGTGCGTTGAGATGCTATCACAATGATTGCCGGACCGGAGATAAATTCGTGGGGTAGCACCTGTCAAGTGCTGTCAGACGAGTAAGGCACATTATTGTGGGCATGAGAGCCGGAAGCGCGAGCGAAAGCGAGCCAGCCAACCTATGTTGACGGTGATAATAATAATCATACCAAGCAAATCGAGCGGGACGGCCGAGCGATGTCCTGACGTCACAGTGGTTACAGTGTTTTTACGTAGCCTCGAGCTCCAGCGGCTAGCTGCCCAGGTGCTTGGGTGTAGCGGGGCAACCACCAGGCAAAGCACCAGGGACTTGACTCGTTTATGTCCGTTGATGCTGCGTCTCATTGTGAAGACGGCCGGACAGCCTCGGTACATGGCTTTTTCTAGTGGCTCTGTGGGCTTCAGGCCCATCGGAGCTTACAAATGATGAGGGAAGGCCTTGGATTATCGCCGATTGAATGAAGCTATGCGGGTGTTATAAGAGGCTCGATCCCAAGCAGTCTATGATAGACATGTGATGCAGTCAACATCACCACACACTTTTTACTGCACTTAGGCAGCTTTCACCCAACAGGAAAGAAAAAGAAAAATCAAGACCACGTCCGACGTTTTCGAATATCTCACAATGGCTCCCAAGATCCTCGTCGTCCTTACTTCCCACAACCAGATGGGTAGCACCGGAAACCCTACCGGTTGGGTATGATATTTTCCTCTTTCCCATCGAGATAGCTTTATGAGACAAGTCTTTGCACCAAGGCCACTCGATAAACGGCTGTGATCAACTTACCTGGAACTTTGCTAACAAATGTGAATAGTACCTTGTAAGCTCGACTTCACAAATAGCAGCCCGGCCTCCTCTCAAAAGCCAGCACTAATGAATTCCCTGACCTCAGCCTGAGCTTGCACACCCCTACGATGTCTTTGTGAAGGCTGGAGCCGAGCTGGCCTTCGCATCACCCAAGGGCGGGGTTGCTCCGCTTGACCCTGCGAGCGTCGAAATGTTCAAGGACGATAGCTCCGTCAACTTCCTCAACAACCACAAGAATCTCTGGGAGACAACGAAGCCACTCTCTGAGTTCGCCGACGCAGCCGACAAGTTCGACGCTGTCTTCTGTACGTCCAACCCCTTCCCCTCGGGTGTGCCTCCGTCCCTGTGGCACGCAGGACGCCCAGACTCTGGTGCAGGTACCTGGGCTTGTAACGACTAGAGACAGGGCCTTCGGAGACCCTTCAATGCTACATCTGCAAAAATTGGAATTACCGCGAGCCGGACTCTTCACCCGAAGAACCTTCTATACTTTACTTTTTCCCGCTCTGTACAAAGTGCGCTAACAAGCCCCAGACCCCGGCGGACACGGCCCGATGTTCGACCTGGCCGTCGACACGACGTCTCAGAAGCTCATCGCCGACTTCGCATCCAAGGGCAAGGTGGTGGCGGCGGTCTGCCACGGCCCCGCCGTGTTCGTCAACGTGAAGCTGGCCGACGGAACCCACCTGCTCAAGGACAAGGAGGTCACCGGCTTCTCCAACACCGAGGAGGACCAGGTGCAGCTCAGCCAGTACATGCCCTTCATGCTCGAGACGGAGCTGGAGAAGGCCTCGGGCGGCAAGTACACCAAGGCCGCCGAGCCGTGGGGCGAGAAGGTCGTCGTTGCTGGCAATGTCATTACGGGCCAGAACCCGGCTTCTGCGCACGCCATCGGCGAGGCTATCATCAAGGCTCTGAAGGCCTAAGCTGATGGGCTTGGACGGGAGCAGGAGGTAGGAAAACAATATAGTAAAAATACATGCTGATGACAACATGTTTGAACGTTTCTCGTCGCACTGTGAATCCATGGTGACAATCTGATCGAGCCTCGGCATATCACAGGAACGCCAATTGGGTCTGATCTGAGTGGCCGCAGGCTATGTGGCGCAAGTCCCGAGGACTCACCACTTTCTATTCACATGCGAGTCTACATGACAAACCAGATGTGGTAAATACGTCGCAAATGTAACCTCCCCATGTATGCGGCGCCACAGAACACAGTCAAATCATAGGGTTTAGAAGAGCTCCCAAAGCGGACGAGGGAGCGCAGTGCGTATCTTCAGGTCGACATCACGTACGCCAATGTAGACACACCTCCGCGCGGGGCTGCCCACAGTGACAGACCGCGACACGAGCCCGTAGTAGTCAGAGATAGAGTGCGTGAGCCACCGCTTAAAAGCACCGCTCTCATCGTCCTCGGCCGAATCGAAAACCATTCCGCGATCGACCGGAGTCTCGCGCACCTCGCGGTGGGCACCCTTCCAGGCGTCACGCGGGGCGGCGGCGGCGGCGGCGGCAGGCGGCCCGGCCTTCTTGCGGCCGACGAAGACGACCTCGTCATCCGACACGTCCGACTCGTCCTCGCGCACGGGGGCCTCGCCCGCGGCCTGGTGCCGGTCCAGAAGGAACTGGCGCACCGGCTCCTCGAGCGCGCGCAGCCAGCCCTTGACGCCCGGCGTGCGCTTGACCGTGTCGCGCAGCTCCCGCGGCACCCTGCCCGCGCCCGCCGCCGCCGCCGCCGCCGCCTTCTTCTTGCGCGCCGCGGCGCTCTTGTCCTCGGCCTGCTGGCGGAGCCCGCGCTCCCAGAAGGTCGCCACGTGGTAGGGGACGTGGTGGATGGGGTAGACGGGCCGGGGCTCCCAGTCGCCGGGCTCGGGCGGCTCGACGTTCGGGACGTCGGTCAGGCGCTTCATGTCGTATCGCCGCCGCTGCCGGCTGCCCTCCTTCCCCTTGAGCAGGAGCTCCCGTCGGCGGAGCGAGTCGCGGCGGGACGGCGGCCGGCGGGGTGGGGTAATTGCATCTGCTGCAGGGGTGCCATCGACGGCGATGGTTACCCGCGCGGTCGACTGGGCATTGGCGCTGGTGACGGTGTGCTCGTCGAGAGGGATGGAGAGCGGCCTTCCGGTCGTGCCTGTGGCATTCGGAGATACGCTTAAGGACTCGAGTGCTGAGATGGTCCAGGCCTCGATATCGATTGGGCCAGCGGCCGCGGTTGGTTGCTGCGAGGCATTCTGGGCTTGCGCGGTAATTTGCGACTGTAAATTGGGCGGAGGAGGAACGGCGCTGTAGATCGCCATCGCGGTGTGGCAGCTTTGTCTCGAGATTCGATCTCGGAGGACTTCGGTTAACGAGTGTCTTTTCTAGTAGGTATTTATGCAGGCTGGCACAAGTAACCCGATCTGAGCACCGAGCACGGTCTAGAAGCAAAGCACACAGCAGCCGCGTACCGTCAGAAGACAAGTAGAGAACAATGTGCAAGCAAGTGAAGACAAGAGGGCGGCCCGGAGGCGGTTCTAGGAGGAGTCGAGGTCCAACTCAATGACACATGCCTACTCATAGTGGACTGGCCTGACTGGTAGCCTACGTAGTCTAGTCACTCGGCCAGACGAGATAAGACGCACCCCCCATGACAAGCCAATCGGAGTGATTGCGCGCGCACGCATGCCGCATGCGAACTCCTGTGGTGTGGGCCGTTCAGGGGCCTCAAGAGGGGCTACCTAGGTACTGTACTCCTTTTCCTCATAGGGTTTGACCCTTTAGACACCTGCCTACAGCTCGTCCTGGAGAACGTGCAGTACTTGATCCAGGAAACTAATGACTATTCACGGCCTCAACGAGACTGAAAATCGTCTCTTAGTCCTGAACATGCCACATACATACAATTGTTCCATTTAGAGCAAAACATCATGTAATTGACGGGAACCTCCTGGTCCTATAATGAAGGCAGCCCTGCCCGAAGAAGAACGCAAACGGATGTATGCACAAAGGACGCCCACCCTTGGCCTACATATGTACGAGCCCGGCCAGTACTGAGAAAGCATGATTTGGGATACATGGCCCGCGTTATCTCAAGGCTTGTGCTCTGTTCACTTAGTAAAGTACATGCACCTGGCCGAAACATCCCAGTAAAGTCGCCCAGCACAGTCAATTCGACCACGGCGAAGGTGACCATGAGAATCTTGCAGTCCTTCTTCCCTTCCTGCACTATCAAGCACTCTGTCTGGCCCATAAATGACCGATGCAGTGGATTGGGCATTTCTGCGAGACTGAACAGCCTGGTTTGAAAAGCTGGATAGTTGTTTCTCTATGCTCCCTGCCAAACTTGCCGATCGCGTACCGATCGATATCTCCCTTACTATCGCGCCTATGTGACCAATCAACTTACACGGATTGACCAGCAGACGCCTACTGAGGTATCGCATTTGGACTACACGTGGGCTAATTGTGGGCTTAGAACACGGCAATGTGTGTCAAAGCAGCTTTCAAGTTCTGGGAAGCATGGAGAGTGAGAGGGGTGCGGTCTCTGCGGCGAGCGGGCTGAATCTTAGAGCGTAATGTGTTAGGACGATGAGCATGCACGAGCTAAGACCACACATGCAGTGATTTTGCTACTTTCGCATTATTATGCAGTAGTTGTCAATGTTGTTCATGTTCCTTTCGCGCTGATGACAAGGACCTCGATGGCCAGATGACTATATGCCCAGTGACCTCTAGCCTATCAGCTGGGACTCCGCAGCTCAGTTGTGGCCATCGCGCACCATTCAAACATGCATTCAAATATGAAATGTAAGGGAACAGCCCCACGGCTCAAGAATCAGAGATACTCACATGCTGGTCGAGGTCACTTGAGGCTGATAAGGCGAAGCCGAGCCTGGAGTCCAGGTTGTTTCACGGTCGTCTTGATATACACAGCGAAATCATGCCGCTTGCCTCCTCCCTTCGTGATTGGAGCTGTCACAGTGCCCCCCTTCAGCTCAAGTACTTAATAAGTCTTTTATTATTTTATCAAAATGGTCCTACCGACCTGTCTACTGTGACAAACCGTGAGGTCTTCCTCTTCCTCTTCCTCTTCTTCAGAGGCATCCTAGAGCTGCAGGTAGTGCATTCCTGAGAGATCGACCAAAGCCTGGCGTAATCGCTGCTGACCTTAGGATGCTGAAAGCCCAAGGACTCTGGGGTCAACTCCAGGAGTTTTGCCTGGCCCCACTATGAGTAGATAGTCTAGGTGATTCTGCAGAGGCGAGAGCTAAAAAAGAGATACTTGTTTTTCAAGCTGCGTCACTGGGGCGGGGTGACTTGCTCGGCGGGCATTCCGGTATTCTCACATATTGACTGTGGAATTCGTTAAATGTGACGAGAATGACGAGGTGATGTTCTTCTTCGACATTGACCCTAAGACCTGCCACTACCTATGCCGCCGGGTTTGAGCAGCGGCTGCCTCTCTGCCGCAGCCTCGCTCTCTTGGCGATCAATGATATCGCCCAGCTGGTCGTTAGAAATGGCATACTGCTCGGGGTGTCCTGAATAGGTAGTTGCTGTATTCTCGTCCAAGCCGTTGGCATATACGCGAGAGTGAGATCGGCGGACGCCGGGCCTTGCAGACTCAGCATCCGAGCCTTCGGAGAAGATGTAGTACAATGCCATGCAGAGCAGGATTCCTTGCATGATAGCCGTCAATAGGAATATGCCCCATGTGCTCCAACCAGCCCAGCCCAACCTTGCAGCCAGGCTTCCGGCGAAGAGAAGGCCGCCAGGGGTCTGAATACACATCATGGGGATGCTCAAGCTTCCGACGTGCTTGAGATGATATGTCATGGTGATCTGCGGGATGTACTGGATAGCCGCGAGGCCGGCGGCTAGGATACCGTTGAACACAGCCCAGCTTTTGAGATGCGTAGGTAGGGCAAGGGCGAAGATGGCGGTCAGGACTATGGTGAGCAGTATGTGGACGAGGACGACAGTAGCGACCATGATCGCAGTCTGCCAGTTAGGTTCCTCCTCGGCATCTTCGAGCTCTTCTTGGGGGACGCTGGCATCTGTGTAGCGAAAAAAGACAAGGAAAAGCACGAATCTGACTCAAGCGTCAACACTAGGGGAGAGGACTGGGATGACCGAGGTAACTGACATGAAAGCGAAGCAGAGCCACTGCACACCGAGTTGCACGATACCCAAGACGCCGGCTACACACTGAAAGGTTTCGAGCTCCTTGCAGCAACTGGCATCCTGAATGCTCTGAGGCAGCGTGAGGATGTTGGCGAATCCCGCAGTTGCCGAGGTGGTACCGAGGAGGACAAAGTAGGGCGAGATGCCTTCGGAGGTGCGGCGGGATATGATACGGTAATGTTGGGGCAGATATGAGATCAGAAGGCCGACGACGATAATGCTACTTCAAGTCAACAGCTGCGATTGGTTGAGGACAAGGGATCACGGGTTCTTGTGTTCTTGTGTTCTTGTTGGTGCGCAGGGCTCAATGAAATATCGTGATGCACGTACATGGAGACCACAAGGTTCACGAAGCCCGGGTCACGGAGACCTTGACACTGATCCTCGGATGACCCCATAGCGACACAAAGCTTCAGCCTTGGTTGCACCGCACAGGTAGGGATTCCGGATGCAATGGACGCGTAACGACCCGAACGAAGGGAACAGTCCTGCACTCTTGTTGCGGGCGCGTGCAGTGAGTATGCGGCCGTCGAGGATCACAAGTGAACAAAGCTGGGAGGTGGAAGGGCGGGGCCCTGGACTGTTATGGACGTGTTTTTTGTTTGTCGCAGAGACCAGACAAGATCGAAGGACCAGATGACAGAGTTCCCAGTGATGTCAGAAGGCGGAATCAGGATGCACGGCCGTTGAAGGCGCTAAGGAAGAGCACGGAAAAGGCGAGACACGGAGCGTCCACGCGTGCGAGAGCCCAAGAGAAGACAAGACGCAGGGAGCCAGGGCTGCCTGATGATGGTATCGTGGCTCTCCTCAATATATGCCCGCCTAGAGAAACAACAAGCTGTTTCGGAGCAGACCGCACCGTGACGTGTACAGGAGCAGGCGTGCAGACAAAGAAGGAGCTGGTACGGTAGTACTTGGCAAGGTTCCAACGTTGGGACGGTCACGGTACGCCCGCCGATGATGAATGATAGCAGATACGGATGAGGCGTAATGACTTGTGAGGTGGGCAGCTGCTGCAGCAGGGAGGCAGGGAGAGACAGGGAGTGACAGGGAGTGACAGGGAGGGCAGGCCTTGTGGTTCCTGCTGTTTGGCTAGCGTGGGTCCGACCAGGGGGGGAGCTGGGGAGCTTCTATGTACTGTAGCGGAGTGTGACCCTGCAGCTCGGTGGGCCCCCCTGCTCCAATGCCGATTGGCTCGCAGCAGAGCTATTGGCCCACCCACCTCTCAGTTTCGATATTGCGCAGTACGATTGAATGAGGCCTGAATGACGACTCACATTCAACTTCACCTCTCTTTCACAAGCAATTTTCCCACCGATCAGCAATAATCAGTCGAACAGACCATAGAATACAGAACATGACCATATGATATTAGCAGAGTGCCATGTGCCAATCTATTTGGACCCAGAAACACTCACAAAATGCCCGGCGCAGCACCAGACATCAGCCTGGTGGCCTTAAACACCCAGGGCCACGGGCTAGATACCGCCAGCAAGGCAGTCTCAACACGTTTTGCCCAGGAGAGTTCCAACTTATCTGGATCAAAGTTTATCAAGTCAACCCCACATAGGTCCACGGACAGCCACTCCAGCTCAAGTGTAGACGAGCCAGCTGAAGCCTACAATGTCGGTGCTTTCTCAAGGTCGCCTTCGTTCTACAAGGGCGCGCAGTGGTAAGTCTTCTTTGTACAAACAGTGTTCGGAAATGACGGCCCATCCATTGAACTGAAGTAGCTGAATAATCTTCTTCAGGACAGCCGACGGTACGACTATCATAGCATCCACATATCACAACCAGATCTGCAGCTTCGTCATCCCCTCGGATCTGCTCGAGCCCAGGGAACACCCTCTCACCCTTAGCCCTCAGAAAATTCTTGATCTGCCAGAGACAACCAATGTCTTCTCACCAGCGCCTTACTTCGCCCTAGAAAACCCTGACAGCCAGCACGTGCTCGTCGCCTGCCGTGATCACCCAATCCAGATATTCCGAGCTCTTCCAGCTACACTAACCTCAGGCGACGACCACAGCTCTCTGTTCTCGTACCGTCTAGTCTCGCCACAGACAGAGGCATACCTCCCTGTGCACTCACTTGTCTGGCCATGGCCCAATTCGACATCCAGCTCGTCCTTCTTCGTCGGCAGTAACAACCTCATCGCACAGTTCGATCTCCACCGTGTAGGTCAGGGGCCCCAACAAGTGGTCCACACCATCCCCTCCAAGCGGCATATATCCAAAGGCAATGGTGTCGGCATGCGCGGGATGGTATCTGCGCTGTCCATGCAGAACGATGAGAACTGTATGCCCACGGGACTACTCGCAGCCGGCACCTGGACACGGTGGGTAGGACTGTACGATTTTGCTCGAGGGGGCGAGCGTGTAGCAAATTGGAGCGTCGCCGAGGCTGCTGCTTCTGCGGTTCTCCAGGATCCTTTACCAGATTCTCAACAGTCTTGCTTTTCAACACAACGCAAGACGTCCAGAGGCAGGAAAATACCAATCGCAGGCATAGGCGGTGCTGGCATCAACCAAACAGCCTGGTCACCTGACGGGCGATACCTTCTGGTGAACGAGCGGCAGTCCACCGGTATCTTGATTTACGATGTGCGCGTGACAAACAAGATGCTCGGCTTCCTGGCCGGTCGCGACGCCCTCACCCATCAAAGGCTGGATCTCACCGTGTACCCAGACTCGGAGGGCGTGGGCGGCTTTGAGGTCTGGGCTGGCACGAGAGGCGGAACGGTCAAGGTGTGGCAGGGCGTCGGCCATGACGAAGGCTGCATTTGGCCGTCCTGGGACTTCTCGACCAAGGACGAAAACACTCCCGAGGACAAACCTGCACGCTCGCCTGTGGGCAGCGTGTCTCTCCACAAGTATGGGTCTGTCGTTGCAACCTGCACTGGAGGCTGGAGGATTCCTGGAGAAGAAGGTGATGAGGAAACCTCTATTTCGTCTTCATCTTCATCCTCAGCTAGCGACACCTCGAGTGATGAATCGGATACCTCATCGCTGCTGGACTGCTCATCCGAGCCGAATGTGCTAGCCAAAGGAGTCCAAGAAGCAACTGTCAGTAACAAAGTATTTGACAGATCGTATTTGAAAGTCTGGAGCATACGGTCACCGACCAATGATGCAGCCACCCCTGAAGCAATGGCTGCTCCAGAAATTCAACGGGATTCTCCCGTGGACCTATCTTACCGAGACGTCTCATAGATGGACAACTCGCTCGTGGACGAATCGTCCGGAAACCAGCAGATTTCCTGGAAATGGGAAATCTCGTGCAGGTAAACAGAGCTCCTAAGCTTTATCCATTGCAGACAGGTCTCGTCATGATGAATTGGCTTTCAATTCTTGTTGATCAAGCCGTCCCAAAGTTGCAATTATAGAAGCTTGTGTTCAAAGCAAATAAATAAGCTCCCAAGACCCTACCCGGGGTGATTGGAAATGCAAAACAATATGCATTTCGTCATGTTTTCCTCTTCATCCCTCATCCTTCTTCCAAAGATGTTCCACGTCAATCTTTGTCCCAAATTTCATCCACAGTCTGGCTAACCCGCTCCAGGACCCGTGGCCCAACCATGGGTCCAAATCGGCGCATCCTCTCCTTCCGAGTCATCGTGGTGAACGCCGCCAGTCCGAGGTGTCCTTGTGTCATACCTGCCTCCGTCTTGGGCACTTTCAACTGACCAGCCACCATCTGGGCTGCGTAGACATTGAAGCCGGCCCTTCGGAGCCACAGCTCCCATAGGGTCTCGACTTCGATCAGACAAGTTTGTACATTTGGGTCGGTCTGGCCATACCGGCACACAAGGGAGGCAACCCATTTCGATAGCGTGTTGTCACCGCCGCCAATGTAATAGACTAGAACGTTGCAATCGAGCCCACTGGAAAATCCCTGGAACTCGGCGAGTGCTATTGTGTCTGAAGCAGCCATCTCCCGGAGAGTATCTTCTGGGCCACCCTCCCCTCCCACTAGGATGATCAGCCGGTCGTATCGCAGAGAAACCTTTTCGATCTTCTCTTGAAGACCATTTTTTGCAAATTGTGGACGTGGCTTCTGGCGAACCATAATCATAGATGTAATAATGACCCCAGTCGATGGTGCCAGAGTGATGTCCGCGTCATAGGCAAGCGGTGGAACTACTTCGGTGCGGGAAACAGAGCCGGGGCTCCAGACTGAAGTATTGTGTTTGCTGTAGTCGCGTTCAATCAACGTGAGTCCCGGAAAAAAGCCCTCGAGGGCTCTTATCAAGTGCCGGGGCGCACTCAAGGAGATAAAGATTGTCAAGGGAGCGGGCGTGGGCTCAAATGATGGAAACGGCGCCTGGGGAGCCAACTCCGAATGTCGTGCCGTCCCTTGTTCCACTGCAACCTCACTTCCTCCCGATCCGCGAGCCTTCTTGGATGATCCTTTGGGATGTGGGATTACGGGAATTGCACTTTTGGTTGAAGTGAAATATTTGCTGACGCACCATTTCTTTTTCGGTGCGTGGAGCTCCATGAAGTTGGTCAAAAGTTTCGCAGACGCCCCGGGAGAGCCTCCCAGAAGCAAAGATTCACTGTTGCCCGCAACGTCGTCCGCAGACGGGCGCGACTTTTTTGCAATTGCGTCGTCCACGGAATCGATTGCTCTTTTTCTCCCCACTTTATGGGAGTTGGTCATGAATAGCGACGGCCTCACTAGTCGGCTCTCGATCTCATCGTCTTCGGCGTTGAGCTCAAGTATCGCCAGTTTTTCTCGTTTCTGGACAAAACTCAAGCTATTGGGAATCTCGTCACCTTCAAGTGGCCCAATGAACTTTTCTATTAGTGTATCGGTCGCCTGTATTACCTCTTTAGTTGAAGCAGTGCCTGCACCTGAGCCGATCGGTCTCCATATCAGCTTGATCTCGGTGACGCCGTCTCGGGGCCACTTTGGGAATCTGAAGAGTCTGTCGTTGCCGCACTGAATCCATTTGAAAATGGCGGTCGCGTTGTTGCCTAATCGCGCCCAATCTGGGTCGGCAATGGAAAAGTCCATGATAGGTACTGGGACGCGAGCTATTGCATCAGTTGCCTGAAGCTGCTCCTGTTCGATAGTCTTCATTGCCGATTCTGCTACATTCGCCAACTCGTCTTCCAAGTTGTCACCCGAGAAATTCTCAACAAATTCGTTTGTCAAATCTTCGATATTGAATTCCTCAGCCACGAAGGTTCCGAACGCCTCTGGTCCGGCCAAAGACGGTTTCATAGGGGACACACCAGGTAGCAGCCCCAGGTCAATCCTGTGGCCATTGATAAGCCTCTTGGTAGGATGTTGTTGGAAAGAGCCTGCTAAAAGTTCAGTCTCCTCTTCTTTGGACAGCTCTGTATCCAGGAATCTATCCATGATCGGAGACGTAGGCTCGCTCCATACGTCCCCGTGCTCTTTGAATAGTCGTTCTTCAGCGACTCTGAGATCATCGGCGAATATCGACGAGCTAGGATCAGAAGGTATTGGAATCAAGTAAGCATCATCTGAAGAAATGAGATGGTCTGGTCTGAATTTCGGGCTAATCGGCATCTCGAGCTTTTCCAATGCTGGATTCTGTAAAGCCACTTGTTAGTTTATCACACGGCAAAGACATATTCACTCGGGTTGCTTCTTTTAGGATATGAGAAGAACCGTAAGGAAACCGACGAAGCATCCTTGCTCACCTTCACCCACTTGATTTTCCTGGCCTCTTCAATGAGAAAGTTCCACTGATCCTCCTCGGTGTAGACGTCCTTGACCGCGTCGGCGAGTAATTGCAGGGAACTCCTCGTCACTCCAAGCTTCTCTCCTTCAAGCTTTTTCAGCATTTTTTCCACATCCAAACGGGCGCTTCCTGATAGCTCCATCCCCTCACCGTCTTCCACAGTCACAGGGTCCAAAGGCAGCTGATGGTCTTCAATGCGGACGTCTCGTCGGGATTCCATTTGCTTCCGGAACTCTCTCATGTCCCGCCAATTGTCTGTTCGAAGGATTGGTAACTCAATTCTCAAATTCTTGAGATTACCAGAGTCGATGACATCGTGTGTGAGCCTCTTGACTTCGTCATCCGTGAGCTCGCGGCGGACATCATAGATGAGCTTGAGAGCCGAGTGGGCAATGGTTAACACCTCGCTTCGAAGCTGTGGTACTGGGAGCTCCAGATCTGGGAGGTGACTGCAGTCGGTGAATCCGTCCTCAGTGATCGAGGGCAGTGTGCTTTGGACAAGCCTGCTAAGCAGATGGGTGATGGAGAATGACTCGAGGGTGTGGTCCCTTATTAGATCGTTCTCGTAGGCATACTGCAAGGCTTCATCAGGCACACGAAGAGGCTCTTCCGCATACATGTATAAGTGACCTGCTTGGTCTCGGGACTTGAAATCACCCTCAGAATCCATACTTGATGAAGGTAACCTGGGCAGACCACGGGAGGTCTTTGCGTAACAAATTTTGGATAAAATGAATAGGGCCAAGTATGGATACTTGTGGAGTACCAAAAGATTCGAAAGTAGTCAAAATCCGTGGAACTCCAGAGGTTCATCTCGAGGTGTCCGAAAGATGTAATTCAGATGGAGGGCGTACATGTATGGCTGCTGTGAGAGGGGAGGCGCGCCACATGGCCGCACCTGCCTTCTGAGCGCCTGCCTGCATGAGTGCTTGGTTCCCATGAGCTTCGCGTCAATCTGGAAGAGCCCAAAATGCATACAACTCCAGAATAGAAGCTAAAGAAGTTGGCGGGATTGCCCTGCGTCCCTGTCTAACACCATGCAAACTTCTCGTTCGCGACCCAGTCCACCTCCGCCGTTGGCTCGTCGCCATACCACATGAGGCTCGCGATGCTGTCCTTCTCCCTGTCAACAAGCTCATACTCAATGCCGCTCTTCTCCGCTGCCTTCTTCAAGAGCGGCGACGGGTTCCACATCTGTATGTCGAACGACCGCCACTCGGCAGCCTCGGCCTGCGCGATCTGAATGATAGCCCTGAACCCCTCAGCGACGTAGTCGTCTGGGCTTGTCTCGTCCTCCACTGCAAATCTGAGGATGTGGAATGTGTTGCCCTCGATCTTGTCTAGACCACCGTAGTAACCTCTCGTCCACACCGCCCAAATTCTCTTCCCCGGCTCGCCGAATAAGGCTCCCCTGACCTCAGGTGTCTTGTGGAAAATATGCTTCGTCATGAAGTCCTCCCGCATCAAATGCCAAAGAATCTGATCGAGCTCCGGTGCAATCGCTGCACATACCTTCTTGTCACCCGAGGCAAGACCCTTTGCCTGCTGCAGCATCTTCCCCCGGAGGAGATTCTCGTCCAAGTGACTCAGGATGGCGATGTCATGGTAGCCCAGTGGCTTTGCCTTTGACGGCGAGGCCTCAGCCGCCCCCGCAACCGGTTTGAAACAAAGATGGGTGCTCTCGAATGCTGCCCAGCCGTTCTTGGCGTAGAAGTTCTTGCCAATGTCAGAGTACAGCACTGAGAATAGCGAGCGCGTGACTCCATTCTCCTCCGCCTTGGGGTCTTTCCTCCCCTCCGACCACTCCGCCAGCTTCGGCCCTAATTCCTTCATCATCCGCGACGCATAGCCCTTGCCGCGGTATTGGGGGTTGGTGAAGACCGAGGCGATCCCGTGCGCTATGCCATCCTGCACGACCGGGCCGTCTGGTCCAAGCCGGCTGGCGAGGGCCCGCTTGCGCAGCGACTCGCAGCTTGCGTAAATTGGTCGATTATCTGGAGCAGAATTCTTGTCTGTGAGAATCCAATGGGTGACTCCTCCATTTTTGGCGAGCGGCACCGTCATCAGGAACTCCTCCCGCGAAAGATAGTCCTCTATCCTAAGCGCAGGTCCCCACATGGGATGATGGAGGCCCCAGACATGTTGCAGCTCAGCCTTGGTTGACTCTGTCAGGACCAGGTCGGGGTGTTCTGCAGAGGGTAGCCCATCAACGGAGGAGCCCATTTTTGCGGTCAATTTGTTCGGCCGGGGCGAAGAGTAGAAAAAATAGTTCTTTTTGGTTTTTCTTTTACTCAGACAGGGACAACGAACGCCCCAATTAGGTTCGGTAGACGAACTAGGAGTTTAGTATATCTGGCTTTGGGCCTGTGTACAACAAGTTCCTAGGCCGAGCCGAGTCATTCGGTCTGACTGAGAAACTAGGGAGAAGTCGACGAAGCGACGTTGAGAGGGGGGTCGACGGACTATTTGTGCTCGATACTGCCGCTTCTATCCTAGACCTTGCCAAACAAAGACCATGGGATAAAGTGGTAGGGGTTCGAATAGTGAAGTAGGTAGAGGAACGTGCCGGGCTCTGATGTGAGATCTCAGTCCGGCGTGGACCCCTGCATTTGGCTGAATCCACATTCCTCCCACCGAGTACCCAGTGGTCTGGAGTAGCCCCAGTCGAGGTCCCCTGCCATGTTTCCCCGGATTTGTAGGCTGAAAGGTCACGCAGACCGACGACTCGGGGAACGCAGGAACCACTGGAGGACAAAGCAGATCATGCGCGTCCTCCTCGACAATTTCGAAACGTAAACTTACGTCAAAATTAGCATCTTGAGCCTCCATGAACTTGGCGGCCGGCTGCTCTGCCGTTGTACCATACGAGGAGGAAGCCGGCGTAGCTCGCGCCGGTCAGACGCCAGCAGGGAACGACGCCGCATGCCTAAGCCGTTGGTTTCCGGCCTGGGCATGGAGACACGGCGGGCGGCAGCAACAACAAGCCCGCTATCAGCGCCGCCGTGCAGGGTTCTCGGCTACCTCAACCTCAAACCTGCATCAGATGGTTGCGGGGAGTCTCTACGGGATTGGACGGACGACCGAGACCGCATATCTTGGTGGACCCTGGATGTACCGTAGTAAGGATACTGGCACCGCGCTGCATGAACCTTAGATAACATCACCGAGCTCGGCTTGTCTTTTTGTACACGTCCTGGTAGGATTCATCACCGCATTGCGCCAGCTACTGTATTCGTCTTGCTCTATTACCCCGAACGCCAGCAGTCCAGCCGAAAGTCCTCCCTTTAGTGACCGTGACCGTCATCCTCCTCGCCCCTCTGCTCAGGATCCAGCTTGATCAGGGTATCGATACGCATAATGCTGATACAGGCCTCCACCGCACTCTTGAGCTGTCGGATCTTGCTCATACTGGGCTCCAGGACGCCAGCCTTGACCTCGTCCACTACCTTGCCCTTGGTCAGATCTAGACCGTAGTTCTTGTAGCTCTTCTTTCGAGCCACTGTCTTCTCGTCCTCGTTGGCGTCGCCGTCTGCAGTACGTTGTGACAGTGCATGTCTCGACCGCAGCTGCGCGACCAACTCTGAAGCATCCTTGGCGGCGTTGACAGCTAGAGTCTTGGGAATGACCAGGAGAGACTGGGCGAACTCGCCGATGGCCAGCTGCTCCCGGGATCCCACTGTTCCAGCAAACTCCTCCAGGTAGATGTGAAGCGCAGTCTCAACGGCACCACCGCCCGGCACAATACTGCCGCTCTCCAGTGTGCGCTTTACCGCCATCAGGGAGTCGTGGACTGACCGCTCCATCTCGTCCAGTTGAAAGTCGTTAGAACCGCGCAGGATGATCGATGCGGACGAGTGAGCTTTGGTGCCCTTGATCAGAATGCATTCGTCATCGGAAATGCGCTCCTGCGAGACCTCCTCCGCATGACCAAGGTAGGATGGGTCGAATCGCTCGTCGCCGTTCAGGTCAGACAGGGTGCTCAGCATCGTAGCACCGGTTGCCCTCGCTATCCGTCGCAGATCCTCCTTCTTGCATCTCCGAACAGCCATGGCGCCCTTCTCAACGAACATCTTCAGGCAGAGGTCATCGATACCCTTCGTAGTCAGGATCACGTTCGCACCAGCTTTCAAAATCATTTCCACTCGCTCGAGAATCATCCCAGACTCCCTTGCCCGAATCTGCTCAAGCTGTTGGGGGTCGTCCACCGTAATCTGCACGCCCAGCTTCATGCGCTCCTTTTGAAGGTTCATGTCCAACACGGCGATCTTCGCGTCCCTGACGTTCGTCGTCATCGCCTGCGAAGCAACGGTACAGTTCAAGGCGTAGCCCTTGACCAGTACCGACTCCAGGGCGCCCTTTCCGTGTGCCTTGAGGATGTTCACCGCCTTGACAGGGTACTTCGTCTCATTCCTGTTGTTTGTGGTCTTGACTGCCTGCATAGCATCGACAACCATGTTGCTGAAGAATTCGGAGTCGGCGCCGATGACCTTGGAGGACATGGATGTCTTCGCAATGTTCAAAAGTGACTCGCGTCCGAGGTTCTCGACTTTGACGCTGATGTTCTCGTTCATGTACTTGACAGCCTCGCGCAAGGCCAGACGGTAGCCCGTGATAATCGTCGTGGGGTGTATGCGGTTCCTCATCAACTCGTTTGCCCTGCGTAGAAGCTCTGCCGCGATGAGAACTACCGAGGTCGTGCCATCGCCGACCTCCATATCCTGCTGTTGTGCGAGATCCACAAGAATCTTGCCGGCGGGGTGCTCAACGTCCAGGAGGCTGAGGATAGTAGCGCCGTCGTTGGTGACCGTCACGTCTCCGATGTCGTCGACCATCATCTTGTCGAGGCCGCTGGGGCCGAAGGAGCTCTTGACAACATTCGCGATAGCTTGTGTTGCCAGGACTGATGTTGGCCGAGTCAGCCACGCTATCCTATCCCACGCCTATCATCACGTTCGCAGGCTGGAGACTCACCGTTTTGGTCCCGAATATCAGACCCTGAGATCTTTTGGCCGCCCAAGAAGAGGGTGCCGTTCCCGCTTTGCTCGAACATGGAAGCCATCCTGGCCGAGTGTAGTTGATCAACCGGAACGCGTCCCAAAAGGAGTGCAGTGTGGGTGGTGGTCAGGACGTCGAAGCTGGCACCGACTTTCGCGTTCACTACACGTCAATAGGTTGGCCCTGAAGCTTCGACACGACACTGCCAGCAGCCCAGCGACTTTTCCAACGGCTTGTCAGGTTCTTCCACATCCGCCCGCTAGCTGACGACTTCATTGGTTGTGCTGGGCAGGGGGCCCCAATGCTCCACCTTAGCTGTTGGCTGCCCCTCAGTCAAGTACCTAAGTCCCTGTACCCCTGAAGGGAGGGGCCTGAGAAAAATGACTGCCCACTTGGACTAGGACCCATAAAGCCCTTCTGGCAATGTCCAAGATAATTCCTACAACACTTTTGTTTCCTGTTTACGAGGCTTTGAGAACGACCTTAGCATGTTGACAAGAAGATAGAAACCGCATTAGAGGCTGAGAAGCAAGTATAGACATTCACTTGCGTACACCTTGCGTGTGCTCATAAGGCCCACCTATACGATCTTGAGACCAGAAAAGCGAGGTGACAGCTCATGAAAGGCAAAGAACCCTGGGTTCGGCATTTGCCAGTCATCTCCCTGGTGGCTTGAGAGTATGTATATTGGAAAGGAAACAAATCTTATCACCTCCGTCAAGTAGGGGCAGGAGCATCACTCGCTATTCCATTGTAGCTTGCCGGGGCCCCAAGGTTTTGCCAATTAATCAAGAGTTTATAGAAAGGGACAGACGAGACCTACCTAGGCTAAAGTTGTAGTCGACGAGAGCCTCCCTCAAACGACTTTATCCCGCACAAGTCTAATCCACGCAAGGCTGTCCAATAGGAAAAGATGTATTGGTCAGGTTCTATCCCGATATTTCGGATTCCTGTGGCTTGTGGATTTCACTCCTTCACACCTTGGTCTCGTCCTTATGTGCAGCCTCGTGGACCTCTGTAACGCCCACAGGTCCCAACTCGAGCTGCTTATCTACATTATGTTGCACCTTGTCTTGCACCTCCTTCCCTTCGAACATGAACGAGAGCTCCTCCAGAGTTCGGTTGTGAGTTTCCGGAAACAAGAGGTAAACTGTAGCAATCTCGACCAGAATCCAAACGCAGTATACAATATAGTACTTCCACCCGATGCGGTCGAGAGCGATGGGATTGACGTATGTGTTGAAGAAGACGGCAAATCGAACAGTCAGTTGCTCTAAGGCAATGCCCTTTGACCTCTGTGCGTAAGGGAAGATCTCCACAAGGTAAGTGTAGGCGAGCGCGTTCCAGCCAATGTTGTAGAATCTGAGCAGAATCAGTTTTCCGAATGAAGGCCAACCAGTTTCAACAATGCCTCAACTTACGGTGAGTAGACAAATATGAAGACTAATACAGGAATAGCAGCCGCCGCACTCCCATCTATGGCGAAGCGGGCAGAAGCGACAGTCCATACAGTGTCTACAACATGTTAGCAACCTGCCACAATAGAAAAGGACCAAGGCTTGTACTCACAAACACAAGCTGTACCGATAGTGCATGTTAGGAACATGACCCGACGAGGGTATCTGGGCGCAATCAATGCAATCGGGACTGCATTGATTAAGCCCCAGCAGGTGTTGCCCAGAATAAACTTTTGTACGGTGTGGTTGTCCGTGATGCCAACCAGGTTGAGAATCTTCTTCATGTAGAAAGAAAGAAGACCATTCCCTGACCACTGAGTAAAGAAGCCAATGACGCCAGCGAGGAGGAACCGACGTCTCATGGGGGCATCGCGGAACACGTCGGCCCAGACAAATGCCTCTGCCATATGTTAGCCATGTATCTTCATCGAGACCTCATTCTATCTGAGAAAGTCTCCAGAACTCGATTAGGTGAGAGGAAGTGTTTGCCGGCAGGACTAAGCTTATACGTACTGGCAGTAGCTTTTTCTTGCGCGATCGTGCTCTGGATCTGTGCGTACTCCAAACGAACGAACTCCTCCCCATCATGTCCTTCGCAATGGTATTTCTGGAGAATGGCAAAAGCTTCATCACCACGATCCTTGGATATGAGCCAACGGGGACTTTCAGGACACCAAGCCATAAATCCAAGCTGGCACGCGCTGGGCACAAACTGAAGAAGCGACGGCAGCCTCCAAGCCCATGTACTTGTCATCTGGAAAGTACCATAGGTCACTCCAGCTGCGATGATGGCACCGACAAACCAGCTAGCGTTGAACAGAGAGGTCATTATGGGTCGCTCCTTGGCATAGGCGAGCTCGCCAATGAGGGCCGAGGCGTTCACGATGGCGAAAGGGATGCCGAATCCGAGAACCCAACGAGAGGCGAGGAACATGTCCACATTTCTGGCACCAGCCTGCATGCCAGCACCCAGGGTCATGATAAGCGAGGCTACGACAATAGTCCGTCGTCGTCCAAGATACTGTGAGACGGTAGGTATGAAGGGAATAGCCATGAGGGCACCCAGTGAGTACATGGCATTCAGCAAGCCAAGGCGGTCGCCAGACGGGTTGCCGAAGTCTTGAAGATTGTTAGCCGGGAGCGTAGCTTGCTACAGCGGAGAATTTGGTGACCTCACAGTCTACCCATGACTGAACTGCTTGGAGAGAGTTCATCATCGAGGAATCGAAACCGGAGGTCCACTCAACACCGAGACAACATGGTACCATAATCAGATACAGAAAACGCAAGTTCGGTTTCTGGTACCATTTTGTGGGATCCGCGCGAGCAATATTGCTCAGCCTTGGGTCGGCAGCATGCTCTTTCGTAGAGCCGAACGCCATATCGTCTGATGGGCTAGGCGCGTATGTCACTTGTGGAGTCAGGAAATGACTCCGGACAAATGAAGCAGGCAACGCTCGAGGTACTCTGAGGGGCCTTCAGGACTTTGTATCGAGGTCAGCAGTGGCTGGCCAGCCGAAATCCCCTCCATATGTAAAGAACAGGTGATACCAGAATAATTCATGATTGGTTCCGGCTAAAATTCTCGACCAGGGCCTACTTTACCAAATCCTTTTGGTCTTGGTCTTCTTGGCAGATGAGAAGACAACAGCTGAGTTTTCCCCGCGGGAGACTCATCCCCAGGGTCGCTGACAGACCACCCGGGCCAAATGCAAGCGAGAGCCTGCAGTGCCCGATGACCACAGTTGGTAGCATAACTAGGGTCGGGAAGGGGCCAGAAACGGCTAGGAGAAGCATCCTGTAATAACCCGTCGGTACAAATAAATTGATGTGGGCAGTGAACGTATTGAATGGGACGGAGTGGGGATGCCAAGTCGTGTAGAATCTGGGGTAAGTGGTGACAGGGAATCTGGGGAAAACGTGGGCTGGAGGTAGTGTAATCTTTCCCAGTGACTCGGGACTTAATTTGCCTCGAACTGAACCCGCAGCAAGTAGCAAAAGAATATGAGAGAGAGTCAGCAGAAGGTTCACAGCTAGCCTAGGAAGACGCAACAGATTCTGGAAATCTCCATGAAAAGCCAATATCTCGAGAGTCACCGAAGAGTTCAATAGCGAAGTTTTTAGTCAATCTCCAAATCCTGATTCTGTCTCTCCAAGTTCTATCCCGAGGAAAAGTAAACTTTCATTCAGAGCCTAAATCAATTGGGTACACGGGTAGGAAAACATTTCCTCCACAACAGCTACACCAGCAAGTAACTGGTCATGAACATGTATTCAGATGGTACGAACTCCGGCCGTAGGCTTATTTTAGTCTTTCCCTCAACGAGTCCTCTATGACTTACAATTTCCTCCAGCTACAGGCATGTGAGGGTCCAGGAAATGATGTGACGGCAGCGGGAGACCGATCAAAACATTCGCAAAGGCTCCGGCAGTGGTCGAGACACGTCTACCTGGTCTACTTGTTTCAGAATTTGAAAATGAAAGGCAGGAGTATCGCCAAACTATGCGGATCTTACGAGCTCACGGATTGGCAAATGGTCATTTGGGACAGCCAAATCCTTGTCAAACAAAGAACCAAGCTGACAAGAGGGAGTAATTCACCAATTTTGGTCTGTCAAGCCTCTCATGATGCCAATGGGATAAAGAAGTTCCATTCATCAGCAAGCAGGCTGACGCACAAGGTGAATCTCTCTAGTACTGTGACTAGCTATTGTGGCTTGAGTCGCAGCCAACAAGGAGATAATTATATAAGGGCAGCACGCAAGCTGGAAAGCACACTTCCCTCATTTTATTTCACTTCGAAACGGCCGCAACATCTGACGGACTCCTGCGACGTACATGCGAATTTTTAGCGGACGATACTCTGTCCCATGTCCACAATGAACCAGCAGGCTCCCAAAAAGGTCCTCTTCACTGAAGACCCCACAGAACACGTTCTTACCCAATATGCGGACTTCACGAAAGCCGCCTATTCCCCTTCCTTGTGCGAGCAGCGTGGACAAGGCGTGAATATCTATTTGAAGCCCGATGAGGCTAAGAAAGGCAACAATATCCATTTGGTAACCGAAGCGGCTGAGAAAGGCGAAGGCTTGATCGAACGAAAGGATGTGTACGCCTTTATTCACAAAGTCCTCAAGAAGCAGGAACAGGATCTGAGAGGATATTGGGCGATCAAGGCAAAACACAGTCCCCAAGACAATAAGGCAGACACTTCGCTGGGTGAAGGTGCAGGCAGCTCTAAAGACAAGGAGGCAGACGAGTCCCAGGATAAAGGCCTTTCGTTGCCGATCTTCCAATATGGAACGCTGGGGCTTGAGGTATACCCTCGCGATGAAGGTATCATCAAGTTAGTTCACCAAATCACCAAATCACCAAGTTGAGCAAGCTGAGACCGACACTAATCGTATGATCTACTAGCCTTGGAACTTGGGACATCGAGTTCATCTTAAGGGCGTGCCTCGAGTTTAAGGAAGGCCAAAAGATCATGCCAAAGCTCAGCGGGTCTGGAATCTATCAAGCGCAACATGGGCAAATGCCGTTTCGGTGGTCTTTGCGGGGACCAACCATCGAATCTGAGTCTGATGATGGGCGGGTCCTAAAGAAGTTTAAGTCACTGTTCCGGAAGTGAGTTCGCGGGAGATGAGGTAGAATGACCCAAAAGGTTGGTGAAGGTTAAACTAGAAAATTTTAGGGACGTGAAGTACCGGAACCTCTGGATGTCTGCTGATGCAGCAAACTCTGGTCGGCGCTATGAGATCCACAAATCGACTGATATGCTTACCAATTCTATCGAAAATCAGTGAATACCAAGAGGTATTGATCTTGCTGTTCATCTTTAATGACGCTTCTTCGCATTTGTTGGGGGTCTTTAGTTATGGCGAGACCGAACTCTCCAAATCATGCGACTCCTTCTCGTTCCGGAGCTCCGTGGATAATCCGTGGGGTGGCGTACCGCGCGGGAACCAGAAAGGGACCAAATAACAGGCAGTACGCTTACACCTCGACAGGTTGGAAATCAGTTTGGAGGATTTACGCAGTCAGCGAGCCAATATGGCTATTGTAGCAGGCGCTTCGCGTCGTCTAGCCAGCGGTTCGCCATCAACAATGCTCCGGCTGCTGGACCCATATGATATGTACGCAAGGTGACAGGTTCCAAGGAATATAAAGACGGTTCCTTCCTCTCTCCAGCAAATCCACCTGCACCTTATTTTTTCCAAGATCGTCATTCATAATTTCTCAGCGGCGGTCATCTACCCCTCCGAATCCTCAGTCACATAACAGAGACAGTTGCCACCTGTAAAACCCAAAATTGTACACATAAACCTCGTTGAAAAACAATCATCATGCATGCTGCCGTCGTCACTGATTTTGGTCAACCACCGAAGTACACCACTGCTCCTGACCTTCCGCCTCCGTCACCGGAGCAGCTTCGCCTGCGCGTTCTGGCTGCGGGTGTGCCCAATGTTGCCAGGATGATAGCAGCAGGAAAGCACTTCATTAGCGCCTCCCTTCCATATATCCCTGGAATCGATGGGGTTGGGATCGACGAGTCTGTCAGCCCTGCGCAAAAATATTACTTCACCACCCTACCTGCTAACACAGGGTCTCTGTCCGAGTACGTCAACATCGAGCGCAAAGTTGCGGTGCCCTTGCCGGACGACATCGACGAGAAATCTATTGTGGCGCTAGTCAACCCAGCGCAGAGCAGCTGGATGGCTATCAGGCATCGAACAAGCAATCTGCCTCAGGGATGGTCAGTCGCGATCCTGGGCGCCACAAGTGCTAGTGGCCGGATCGCTGTCGGCATTGCGAAGGCGCTGGGGGCCGGTCGTGTCATTGGCATTGCACGGGGTGAGAAAGCGTTGGCAGAGGTCGACGGCCTGGACGAAAAGATAGTTCTTGACGGCACAGACCCGGCCAAGACGGACTTTTCTAAGCTGGGTGGTCAGGTTGATGTGGTCTTGGACTACGTGTACGGCCCAGCCATTCTTGCGCTGCTTTCGGCACTGAGGCCTACGGCAGAGGTACAATATGTTCAGATCGGGGTTCTGAGTGGAGGAGATACCACACTGCCTGCTGCCCTGCTGAGGAGCAAGATGATTACAATGAGAGGGGCAGGCCCGGGCTCGTGGACAATGGCACAGTTAGCAGGAGAGGCAGCGGACATGGTCGGGGCGGTGAAAGGGTTGAAGGCAGATTCATTGTACGTTGCAAAACTGGAAGACGTTGAGTCTGTGTGGAACAGCCCAGACGTGAAGGGGAAGAGGCTTGTTTTTGTGCCTTGAGTCACACCGGAACAAACAAGGTGGTTGTGACGCGGTAACGCAGTCTGGCTCGAAAAACGTTTGCTCGCTTTGAGTAATATCAAGAAATTCCCTGCATTCCTTTACTATGCCTCCCGACGGGAACTTTCATGCAACATATTTCGAGAACAAATGAATAAAACGTGATTGCTCATCATCGTGTTTTTATTTCACAAGGCCATGTTTGGACTTTATGTGGGACTCCGGAAGTAGCATACATAAACTGGGGATGACGCTTTCTAGCTATCAGGAAGTCTACATGGAAGTCTACATGGTGCATGCCTGTGTAATTCTTGTGGTGAGACCCAAGTATGACGCCAGAAGCCAGGAGCAAGCGAAGTATGCAAAGGTTGAGTTCCTACGCTTTTGTTCTGAATCATGGGCACTGGGAGGAAGATAGTTACTAGGCAATTGGTTGAGCGGCCGATGATATTGGCAAGGAGCAGCCGGCGTCTCATAGGAGACTCATGCAACGCACATCGCGGGTTGGTCCTCCTTTCAGAATAAGCTGCTAAGCAGACATTGTGTTTGTGCACAAAGTTCAAGGAATTTTTATGTCAGTAAGAAGCTGCAGGGCTTGCCACCATCTCTTGGCTCGGATCCTAGACCGACGCTCCCAAATTGCAAGTCACCGGCGTAGCCCAGGGCCAAGGTATTCGTTACACAAGTACAAATCTGAAGCAATCCCGCGGTGTCAGGACTGAAGCGAATTTTTCTTTCCGTGTCCGTCTTCTACGGAGCCCATAGAATGCTTTCAAATCGGATCAATCAATTTCAAGCAAACCGTCCACCCATATGAAATTTCTTTGCAGCCGCGGGCTGCCCAGTCATTATATAATGTATCCGCGTATGGCCTGCCTCCAAATTCCAAGCCGAAAATGACACATCTCATCTCATCGTAAAGAGGAACATGAAGCTCACTCCTTTCCTCGCTCTTCTCTCTGTCGCCTCCTGCCTGGTCACTCCACGCAAGGAGAGCAACATCGACGACTTGCGTTACAAATGGCTCCTTTGGAATTTCCACTATAACGGGGATGAGGGTGGCGACGTATGGTTCTTCAACATTACCAACCCCGCCGCATTCCCGATAGAACCCTTGGTCAACGCCGACTGCGAAATTGTCGCGACCTGGCTCTGGTGGCAGCCATGCTCGATCTTAAGCGCAATGACGGCTGACGGGAACCAAGGTGTTTGGGTGTTGCCTCAGCACAAAACCGACACGATCAACTTTAGGATCATGCACAGCTTCACAATCAAATCTTCCAACCCGCACAAGTTCTACAATGTGGTATGTTGAACCCCTATATAAGCACATCCAAACGTATCATGGGTGTGAATCGCGAGAACCTTGGACCATTGGTATCCTTGTTGGAAATCTAGCGACGGTTCTGTTCTTCAATCAACATTATTTTGCTAATTCTATACGATATACGAAGACAGGCAACTTCAATAAGAATTGGCAGGGAGTGACGTATCCGGTGAACACGACCGTCTACCCTTCGGATGTGTCTCTCACAAAGCACTGGATTTGAGAATACCAAGGACAAACTCAAGCGGTGGCTCACAATAAATCTTAATATTTCATATGCCAGATGTTGACCACTTGTGTTGACGTGTATGCTAACACTTACACGCACCATAGCTTTGGAGTTTGACACCAACGCATAGCCAATAGACCCAATAAAGTTTGCGACGCCTTGAAAACCTCCCTAGATTTGCCCATAGTAGTTGAAGGCTGTAGAAATCGTCATAGATGGAACGGTTGCTAGGTGAATCCTACGATTTAAGCATGTATTGATAGTGAACCCCGGTCTCCCCATTCGACCATGCCGACTGGGTCATATATTATACTACAGGTCTTTTCGCGTAATGATTTTAAAAGGCAAAGACTCACCGCTTTCAGGCAATGCGGGGATTTGAGGCATCGCCACATATGTCTATATGTGTGTGCACAGTGCTCTTCGAAATAACATGATGAATTCGGACCTGACGTGGGTAGAGACGGGTCAGCAGCAAATGGAGGCCCGGAGCTTCGGGGGCCCCACAATTTCTCACCAGCCGCGCGACTGATGCAATCGGTTCGCCGTCGAGTAGGCAGAACCCAGATCAAATCTGATAGCGTCGACAGGGCACACAAAGCTCTTGAGAGATTGACGTCGTCTCTTCGTTCTATTCCTCCAGTATCACAGCTCTTCTTGAACCGTGCTGATCCGTACAAGGGAGCAAGCTGATACCGCGATGGCTGTTATCATCTCAGACGCCGCAGTCGAGGGGCTGAAGCCTGTACGCTTGCCAGACGACGCATCACTTGTCAAATACGATGACAATCGCATAACATGGTCGCATCAGACTCAGAATGACGGTGAAGGCAAAATCTATATCAAAACAGAAGAGATCGTGCTCATCGCAGAGGTTGCTGCAGGGGATCATCTCATTCTTGCTCTGAGTCAAGGGGAAGAAGGCGCCGCAGAGTCCTTTCGACTGTCCGCTTTCGTGGCTCGGAACCTGCGGCAGGACTTGCTTGATCAATATCTTCTGAGTAAACTTCCAGATCACCTCTCGGCTGGTGCCGAATCGAGCTTGAAGGTCGTCATTTCCACAAAATCGGGGACTGGCCAGTCTCAGAAGTTCTACGACTCGGTACTGCAGCCTCTCCTGACAGCCCTCGGCTTCAGAGGTGAAGAGGCAGGGGTCGATGTCGACTCTTCAACTGGCGGGAAGGTCTATCAGGTGACTGTGACGAAGGATTCCAACAGTGTGAAGGATTTCTCGAGAGAGAGATGGGGTCGTGACGGAGGCTCCACCAAACGGGCGGAGGGTAGTGAGACTGTCATTCTGCTTTCCGGTGACGGAGGCATCGTAGATCTCCTCAACGGAAGCACACAGCCTACAGAGCCAGGTCTGCTGCCAAATATCGCTATCATCCCACTGGGCACCGGCAATGCAACTTTCCACTCCCTACACAAGCCTCACTACACCGCATCCGACCGCCCAGCTCCGTTGCACCTGGTCCTGGCGCTCCAAGCCCTCCTGAAGGGCAAATCTTCTCCGCTGCCAACCTTTGAGGCTCTATTCACATCGGGGTCTCAGCTTGTCGAGGAGAAGAAAGAATCCACGGAAGCCCCTTCACCAATCTCCCAGCTCACAGGAGCGATAGTCGCCAGCTACGGCTTTCACTCACAACTCGTCTGGGAATCCGATACCCCCGCGTACCGCAAGCACGGTGACAAGCGCTTTGGGATGGTCGCACAGGAACTCCTCAAGGAGGGTCATGCTTATAACGCATCTGTCGAGACATCCTCCTCGACTCTCAGCACCACGCGGTACAACTACATCCTTGCCACCATGGTGTCGAACCTGGAGAAGACTTTCACTATCTCTCCGGAGAGCAAGCCGCTAGACGGGAAGCTGTGGCTAGTCCACTTCGGCGACGTAGGAGGGCAGAAGACCATGGAGATCATGATGGCGGCTTATAACAATGGGTCACACGTGGGAATTGAGGGCGTGGGTTACGAAGCAGTGGATTATGTCAAGGTGATGACCCATGAAGAAGATCCGAGGTGGAGGAAGGTGTGTATCGACGGGACAATCGTGGAGCTCCCGCAGGGCGGATCGATGACCGTCAAGAAAAGCCCCAACCCACGGCTTCAGGTGCTGGTGCTGGGGGCTTGATGCCGGCTGCTTGTTGATGTGTCAATGCATGGTGGAGCGACTATTGCGCGGTAAATGTCTTCAATTAAGCGCGGGATAGCTTTTTAGGAGGCCATCAACTTCCTCACCCTCTTTTCCATGAGATCCTCGAATTCTTGAACACCATTTTCAAGCTTGGTGAGTAACCCGCTCTTAAGCCTGTACATAATTCTCCGCCTTGAATTTTCCTCGTCCTCGTCCTCATCCGTTTCGCTGCTCGAATCATCGACAAGGCCCTCCACTGCGCCTCTCATGAACCATCTGTCATGGGAGACAACAATCACCGCGCCCGCCCAGTGATTAAGCGCTTCACGTAATGCTGTAACAGTCTCATCTGCAGAGTGTTAGCAAAGTACAAAGAATTCTAAGTGTTATCCCCCTCCCCCCGACATTCCTCAAGAAATGGGGACAGGGAACTCAACAGGCCCATACATACAATCTAGGTGTGTCGTCACCTCGTCCAACACCAAACAATGCGGACGTTTCCACAAAATCCGGCCCAACTCGCACCTCACCAGCTGCCCACCGGAGAGCTTGCGGATGGGGACATCTGAGGCCAATCGTCCAGGAAGTCCCAGGGATCCCAACATGCCGCGAAGCTCACCTTCATCCAGCTCACCCTCAACCTCCCTCGTCAAGAGCGCAAGCGATGTGAGACTTGGTTCGGAGCGGCCCAGCTGCTGGAGTTTCTCCACTGCTTGTTGGCTGTAATACCCAAGCTTCAGCCGCGGATGTGTCGTAAGCGTCCCTTTGGTAGGCTTCTCCTCGTCGACGAGCAGTTTAATTAGTGTCGATTTACCAGCGCCATTGAGTCCCAAGATCCCAACCCTGTCTCCCATGCTCACTGAGAGATTAATGTCTTGCAACACCGCCGGGGACGACGCAGTCTGCTTCCTATCTCCCTTAGAGTATCGGAAAGTCACGCCCTCTGTGGAAATCAGCGGCCCCGGGAAGCGTAGTTCAGGAGGCTCAGGTAATACAATTATCGGTGGCCTCTCATCCTGTGGGATTTCAACCTCGGCGCGAGCAGCGAAGTGATATCCCACAAGGTCTCTGTTGAGTTTGAATCTACCGCCCTTGGCGCTGGTCTCTACGCCCCAACGGTCGTCAAGCTTTTTCTGTCTCATCTTGGCCTGGCGGACTGGGAACTCGTCAGTAAATGATTTCACATCTTTTAGCAGCAGAGGGATTTAAGGTTTGTTTCAAGAGCGGTTACACCTCCGACGTTTCTCACCAGTCATCCTCAAGATCGTCCCCCAGGTAGATAGTCACTCACTTCGGTTTTCGTCGTCATTCTTCTTTCCTTCTCGCATATTGCGCTGGATGGTGGCTGATATATGGGCCTTCTGTTTGTCTTTCGCCTCCTTGACTTTGGTGAGATGCAGTTTCTTCTCAGCCATGCTCGACTCATACATCCCAAAATCACCATGGAAATATACCAGGTCTTTATCCTTTATGATGAGCAGGTCTGTACACAGAGACGTGAAGTCGCGATCATGGGACACCAGAATCAGAGTAGGAGCATCAGGAGAGTCTTCGAAGGACTGGAGGTATCGTTGCAGCCATATTATGCCGAGAAGGTCCAGGAAATTGGTCGGTTCGTCGAGGATCAGGATGTCTGTCTCTTGCAACAATGCTATGGCTAGCGCTGTTCTCATTTTCCAGCCACCTGAGAGCTCAGACACGGGCTTTGACTTGTAGGCTTCTGAGAATCCAAGGCCAGAGAGAATTCTGTTGGCCCGCGATTCGATATCCGCGAGCTTGGACGGCTCTACTTGAACCTGAAGCTCTGCGAGCATGTCTGTAGCCTCTTGAACCTCCGCCTCCAGTGTCTCACTAGATATCTCCTCATCCTTTTGTTCCTGCCTGTGCGGTATTTAGCATTCACTATATCCAGCTGCCATCCAGGCCGGTACAGACTTACAACGCCGTTGATTCTGCAACTACCTTCTCAAAAGCGATCAGCTCCTTCCGAGCCTGCATGCCTCGAGCACCACTGCGAAGCCTGGCGTTTTTGTCAATCACGAAGAGACGCTTCAGCAGCCTCTCATGCTTGACTTTTCTCAGCGCTTTCACCGTCGTCAGCCCTTCCGGACTGTTCACTCCATCAGCTAGGACCGAGATCTCTCGCTCGAGCTCATCTCTTGCCGTTGCCTTTTCCACGACCTCTTGCAGGACGGTATTGACCGAACCTGAGGCAGCAGCTTTATAATCAGGTGGCATATTAGCATCAGAATCACTAGCATCGGTCTGCTGCAGCATTGCGATCCGAGTCTGCTCGGGTATCCCAGGGATCAACCTCTCTCCGATGGCCCTCAGCAAAGTCGACTTTCCAGATCCATTCTTTCCGATCAAGGCGTATCTTTGCCCAGCCTTCAGTCTCAGTTTCGCATTAGACAGAACCTCAGTGCCGTCAGACTTTGTGGCTTTCGCCTTGCCTTTCCCTCCAGCGGTCTTCACGCCAGGGGTTGCGGTCGAAACCACAGTGATGTTGAGTCCCTCGATGTCCAGCTACGAAACGAAAATTAGATTGGAGGTTTGGCGACGGGAAACCATTTACAGAGGTGGGGATCCACACTGGAGTATACCTCTCGGTAATTTGGGCTTTCGATGTGAAAGCGTGTCTGTTTGCAGGAGACGAGAATGGTCGCCACCGACTCCGCCGCCATGGAAGTCATGGCTGATCAACGAGACCCGGGAATTTCCAAAGCTAATTTACAACAAATGCAAAAATACGAAAGTAAAGAGATAACTGGTGTCAATCAGGTTCCTCCCTGGCGACAAAAGAAAATGGAGAGTGTGCTGAATCTCGCACCACCCTGAGGCTCTTAGAAAGCGCCTACTTATATCCGAATCGCAAAGAGGAATGATATCACAGCTCCTTCCCGTCTACGGGATGGAAGCAGCCATGTGCTTAAACAAAATTACCCCTTTTGGCAAGCTCACGGGTGACAAACAATCCAGAAGCTCGGTGGGTGAGGGGTAGTGAGTCACACCGGGCGAGTCCAGCAGCGGGTGTCTGGTCCTGAAACTGTATGGACGCTTGGCCTTCAACAGTCACAATGTTTCGAGGAAGTCCACATCAATTTGTTTGTCCTTGATAGACTATGTGCCGACTTGCTGGATGGAGCGAGTTATACTTGGGAACACGCGTCTAGCGGTGAGCTCCCCGTGAGTTCGAAGCAGTGCCTCGCATTTTCTACCTCTCTTAGCTTCCGCCATGCGGACCTGATCTACTGGCGAACTGACTTACAACTGAAGCAAACGGCTCAGGTGCACCGTGTTAGTTATGTGCCACCACGGATCTGGAGACCTCTTTTCCTTGCATCCCCAAAGCTCATGTGCAAGTGATTTTGCGAGTAGCGAGAGACGGTGGAATGAAACGAGGCCTCGTTAGGCAGCATAAAATTATGTTATGTCTAATAAAATGGGTATAATAGTTGGTGAATTATAAAAGACTTTGTAGAATTGCGTTGGACGCTCATCACTGTACACAGTGGGACGCTCTGCACAACTCGACTCTTCCGAAGGAGACCACCCCACCAGGAACCGCTAGAAGACTAAGGGCGCTTCTCTACATCATAGCGCTTGTAGGTATGCTATGAATGATCATGATTGAACTTAGAGGTATGATGGGAATAGCGCGCAGGATATTCTCTTCTATTTGTGCCCATGTCTGGAAATCCATCCTCTCAAAAACACCTGATTTAGAAAATATACTGGTCGGGGAAAGAGTATTCGTGCTTATGTCTGACCATTAACAGCTTCGTGCACAGATGAGCGTTATCTATGAGTCAGAACCCCGGGGTAGATATAAGCAAGAAGGATAATTTGATTGGCTTTATCATCCTTCAGAGACATCGACGTGCCTCCCAAACCGCATACTCGGGAGTAAGATCTTGGCAGCTCGGCCGGGGTGTGTTGCGAATTTCCGCCCTTGGGTGCATCAATCTCTGAAGCCATCCCATGTGATTATCATCTCACACTGAGCCTCCAATTACACTGTCTACAAAGAATTCTCAGGCCTCATTCCTGTGTTGGACTCAATGGCAGGCGTGCAGTCGAGAGTCGAGCTCATACCCTGGGATTTCACTTCCGAGGAGCACCAGCAGCGCATGTATCTGCAACGACTAGCTTGTGGATGGAGGAGCGACGAGATCCAGAAGTGGGTTGATCTTGGAAGGGCTGGTAATAAAACTCTTTACTGGATTGTGAGTAATGCGGCCAGCTCGCGAAAGTGTGCAGACCATCGCTCGCTTGCTGACTCTAAGAATCGGCAGGTGCTGGTCGGGGATCTGCCAGACCGAGAGAAGCTCAGCTCTCAACACATTGCTGAATATCCACAGGTAATTGATTAATGAAGCTTCAGATCAAGGGTATGAAACCAGGTACCTGCGATAAATCTGACGATGAAATGCTCAGGAATCAACCCCCATTACAGACACAGCGCCCACTCATTGGCAACAGCCGCGCACGCCCAGCAACCGCGTTTTCGTCCCTGTCGGACACGTTGCTCTTGACCTACGCCCCGAAGAAAACGACCACCTCAACCTGACCGAAGACGGCATCGTGTGGGTTGCGGGGCTTTACGTCTCCTGGACTCTACAGCGATACGGTGTCGGACGGGAGGTGATGCGTCTTGTCGAGCATCTCGCCTCTCTGGAGCCGCTAAATGCGAAGTGGATTGTCCTAGACACTATGCCTCGAGACCAGCAGATGAAGCCAGAATTCATCCAAAAGGTGTATTTGGCACAGGGAAAGCCGGCTCCAGCTATTCCGATACAGGACTGGTATGAGAGACAAGGATACGAGGCCTTTGCGAAGGACGTTGCTGCATATAAATGGGCGAATCCGGTCACAGGGGATACCGAGGATTTCGATTATCTGTTCTTGAGAAAGAAGTTGAGGTAATTGCATATTCTTTGGTTGTTAAAGAACGGGAACATTGCTTCTCACGAGCAATCTCAATGACTGCGCTCTTGCATATCTTGATCGATCTGATTGTAGTCTTGGCGCGGAATCAATGATAGACCTAGTGTGAAGCACTGTGGATTACATAGCGAGTGGTGGAGCGTAGATAAAAGCGTTGTTGTTTTAGCTAAGTTCGCTTTAGCGAAGGGCAAGCCCTTAGAGTATAATTTATAAGTACTTTAGCAGGTATATACTCCCTTATAGTAGCTTCTAGCAGCTTATATATATACTAAATTTATAATATACCCCCTAAATACTATTAAGCTTTTACTTAAAAATAATTTAGAATTAATTATTATAAATATAGCTAGTTAAAAAGAATTTTAATAAAGGAAATATTAGTTTAATAAGGTATAATGCTTTTTTTTAAAAAAGCGCTTAATAACTATAATAAGATACTTAGCAATAATAACTTTAAAGCGCTAATAGGCTTAGTAATAATATATACTAATTATTATTTTAAATATAAAAATAATTCTTTAAAGCATATACTTTAATTTTCAATTCCTCTTATTTATAACTATTAATTATATTAATAATAACCTTTTTTTTATTACTTATTTTATAATATACAATATTTTTCTACTTTTACTTATAAAAACCTTATATATAGCTATTTAAATTACAATTTTTATAAGTAATTAGCGTATTTTAAACTAGTACTTTTATAAAATAGTTTTTTTAAATTATTGCTTATATATTTATTAAAAGATTTTTTTATTAATCCTTTTTTATTATAAGCTATATTAATAGAAACTATAAATAGCTAGCCTATTATATATTAGGAATTATTAAATAATATACTTTTTAACCTTTTTATTAATTTTAAAATACTTTACTTTTTTTTTACTTATAAATACTTTTTATTATTATTTATTTATTAAAATATTACTAATATATTTATTTAAGTATAGCTAAGCTTTTAGCTAATAAAAAAGCTTATATTACTACTAAAAGTAAATATAAAAATATTATAAAGCTTTAAAGAAAAGGTATTAAAAAGCTAAATATAAATAGTTTAACTTTTTTTAAAAAACACACTTTAAAAGCTTTTTATTATATTAGCTTAAAATTTTAAGTATTTAGCTATATTTTACTTATTATTATTTATAATTATAAAGCGTTTTATAAATTATTTTTTAAAAATAAGCCTAAGTTTAAAGCTATAATTTAATATAATAAGCTTTACTTTATTTATATATATTTATTTATTAGTAATAAAAGCAATAATAACTATTTTAATTATTTTAATAATAATAATTGCTATTTATAATATATTTATAATAAAAAGTATACTTTTATTTTTACTATTTTATATATTAATACTTAAGCTTTTTATAATACAGCTATTAACTCTAATAAAAAGGTTTTTATAAGTATTTATATTACTTAAAAAAAGCGTTTAAAATAATATTTTACTAATAAGCTTAATAATATTAAAAGCAAATATAATTTATTTTTTACACTTTTAAATAATAGTTTTAAAAAGCTTAATAGTAATACTAAAGATATTAATATAAAAAATACACTTAAAAGTAGCAGCTTATTAGTAAGTAGCAATATTATTAAAGCTATTAATAAATATATTAAGTTATTTTTAAGTATATTAGCTAATTTTAATATTAAAAAGTATACTTTTTAAGCTTTTTATAATTTTTTAATTAAAAGCTTTAATAAGAAAATTACTTATTAAGTTTAAGCTATTAGCTTTAATAGCGCTAAAAATATTAATAAAAAAAATTACTATATAGCTAACTTTAAGCATTATATAAAGCGTATTTTTACCTGTATAATAGAAAATATAATTAAAAAGGCATACAATACCTTTATATAAAGCTTTATAAATTGTTTTTATTTAGCACAGTATTACTTTTTAAAGTTATAATATAGTTAATACTTTAAATATTTAGCTATTAATAAGCTTTTATAAGCTTAGCTAAATAAAATTTATTAGCGCTAATATATATTACTTAACTTATTTTACTAATACTTTTATATTATAAAGGTTTAATAGTAATTAAAAGTACTTAAATTATTCTTTTATAAGGTTTTTTATAAGCTTATTAGCTAATATTTTACTAATTTTAAAATATTTAACTTTAAACTTTTCTTTTTAATATTATTCTTTTAGCTATATTTACTAAATATTTAAATACTTTAATTAAGTTATAAACCTATTTTCTATTAATATAATAAGCTAAATAACTTATTTATTATTATAATAAATTTTCTATAGTTTACTAATATTTAGCAAAATATTAATAAAGAATTTCTAAAATACTATTATATTTTTAGCTATATAATTTAAAATTATAAGTTTAGCTTTTATAGTTAAAGTAGCTATTATATTTTATTTAGTTGCTTTTTAATAAATTAGTTTACTAAATAGTATAATTATAAACCCCTAAAATAACCTTTAGAATTTTTTATTATTTATAAAAAAAGTATTTTTAACAATTAAAAGTATATTAGCATTTTAAGGTTTTTTTTTATATTTAATTTCTAATATTTTTATTAAATAAAGGTATTATATTAAATAGCTACTTATATTAAAGTATATAAGTTTAGGGTTTATAAAGAATTATAAAAGCTATACAGCTATATATACTATATTTAGGTAAAGTATTATTACAGTATATAATATTAATCCCATATATTTTTAATATTTTTTAATTTTAGCGCATATAGCTTTTTCAGTATATTTTTATAGCTTACTAGCTAATAAAAAAGTTGTTAATAAGAATTTTCTATTATTTGCTAAATTAAATTTAAATATAATCTTTTTAAGGTACGCATTATATATTAAGCTAATTATCTTTTTTTAACAGTTTTTAATTATTTATATACTTAGAAATTATTTTACAGCCCTTTAGTTTATTATATTATATATATATTTAATATTTTTTTTAATTTAAAAAGCTTTTACTTAGTATTTTTAGTAATAAAATATTAAAATATTATTTATATAAAAGATTATTATAATACTTTTTGCTTAGTTTATAAATAAGTACAGTTTTTTTATTAATAATAAAAGTTTAAATTAATTAAAGGTATAACTAAATTTTTTATATTATTATAATAATAAATCTTAAAGTTTATATAAAGTGCGTTTTAATAGCACACACTTTTCTAATTTTTAAAAGCTATTTAGCAGCTTATAAAATACTAGTTTATAATTTTTTTTTATAGCGTTTAAAAATACTTTAATTATATTTATTTAATTAATTTTTAAATTAAACTTTGCAGCTATTATAATAGCTGTTTAAAAAAACTTAGCTGCAAGTATTATTATATAGGTATTTTATAGTAGGTTAAGCGCTTAAAGATTTTCTTATATATAAATCTATATTTTATATTTTATAAAATTCCTATTTTTATTAAATTTATAAGTAAATACTTATTTTAAAAGTAAAAGTTTTAATATTACTTTTTCTCTTTTTATAATTCTTTATATATTTAGCTTAATTAGTATTTAAATTTTAATATATATAGCTTTAATAAAATTATTTTTTATTAAATAGTTTTTTAAGTTTTATTATTTATTTAATAGTTTTATAAAATTACTTTAATAATAAGGATTTTTTTCTATTAATGTATTTATTATATAAACTATAGTTTTAATAATTAAGTATAAAGTATAATAGTAGTTTAAATAATATTTTTTTATACTTTCTGCTTATTAATTTATATTAGCTTGCTTTAGCTATAATATACTTAGGAAATAAATATTTTTTAGTTTTTCTTAACCTTTAAATAATTTTAAAATATTTAAAAAATAAGTTATAAATACTAGGAAATAATTAGATTTATTATTTTTTTATACTACAAGCTAATAGCTTATATGTATTAAAGGTTTATAGTTTTTTATTAACCCTTTTATATATTTTATAATTATTTCTAATAGTAAATTTTTACTTACTAAAACGTTATTTTCCTTTAATAGTAAAACTTTATTTACTAAAGTTTAGTTTTTTTTTAAACTTTAATTTAGTTATAATTTAAATATTAAAAAATATTTAGTTATTAGATTAATAAGTTATAATTTTAATTACCTGTTTTTAAGTTAATTAAACTTTAAACTTAGTATACTTACTAGCTTAAGCGTTTTTTTTAGGGTTAAAAGTTTTTATATTTAATTATTTATACTTTTTTTTTAAAAAACATTGTTTTAGTAAAATTTGCATTTTTTAGTATTAAGCATACTTACCCTTAAGTTTTAACTCTTCTACATACTAAGTAAGTTAGTTATATTAAGCAGTATACTTTTAAAATTGCTTTTTTAAGGTTAATTAGAGTTATTTAAAGCTTTTTTTATAATTTATAAATTTAAATTTATAACGTATATAAGTTTTTTAATTTTATTAGTTACTTTAATTATAAATATAAGTTTATTAAGCTTTACTTTTATTAATACATTAAGTGCTTTATTTTCTAGGTTTTTATAAAAAAGCTATTTATTAAAGCGTATATTGCGTATAGTTTATACTTTATTAAGCATTGGAATTTAAATTTTATATAAGTTAAATACGCAATAACTTATAAGGTACCCTATATAAGTACACTTTTGCATTTTAAACAAATACTTGTTTATTCTTTATACTTTATTTTTATTAAATATATAGGCTTAGCAGTTATAAGTATAAATGCTTTTTTAGTTAGGGTAAAAATTTATAGTAAATTTCCTTATAATTGCTAGTTTATACTAATAGAAATATTAAATAAACTATTTTTTAAGCACTTTTATTAGGGATTTTTAGTTTTTTACTTAATATAGTGAAATAGTATATATTTAGCAAGCTGCTTTTATAGCCTTTAGCTATAAGTATAATAATAGGTTTGCTTTATAACTTATAGCAATAAATTGCTTAATAAGTTTATAACTAGCTTTTTCTAAGCTTTTATTAAGTTTATAAGTATTTACTAGCAGTATTTTAAGCTTAATTTTTAAGCTTTTAACCTATATTATATAGTTAATTTTACTTTACTAGCTAAATAATAATATATTATTGTTTAAATATATTATATAAATTATAAGTTTAAAGTGCTAATAAACTTAAGCTTTAAAGTTTTATAATAATAGCAAAATTTAGTTTTTTATTTTTTACATTAAAAAGTAAATAAATAGTTTTTTATTTTATTTATTTTTAATAATAAGCGCTTACTTTATAAAATTTAAAGCTTTTTCAAAATTAAATAAATTTTAAAAAATCCTCTAAAAAGGCTTTAATAAAAAGTAATTTAAGCAAGCTTTAAATATAACCTTTATTACATGCGCTTTTAAATAATATTTATAGTTAATTTATACTATATTGTTAATTTACACTTTTTTTATAGTGCTAATAAGTTTTTTTAAAGTATTTTTCCTTAAGTATTTAAATTTAAAGTACTAAATATACTTTAAATCTATTTTAGGAAGTATATAGTTTATTAAAGGGCAAAACATATACTGTTTTTCTTTTTATTTTTTAAATACTAAAAATAGTATTACTTTAGCTATACTTTATAGCTATTAAAATTTATAAGGCTTAATTATAAAAAGTATTAAAAGCAAATAAATAAAAAGTAGTTTATATTTAAGGAATATTAAATTATATTTTTTAATAAGTGCTTATAAAACTATACTTTTTTTAAGCGTTTTAAAGTATAATATATAGTTAAGCTTATAATATTATACTTTTAATTCCTATAAACAAGCTTTAAAAGTAATATTTATATAAAAATCCTTTATAACTATTATATTTTCAAGTTTAAAATTTTTAATTTATAATTTTATTTTTTTATTAAGTATATTTTTAAATATTTACTTTTTTTTTTGATTATTAAAAATAAAGTTATTTCTATATTTATATATTTAGCTTTAATAAATTTAATAAAAAAGCTTAGTTTTAATAATTGAGTATTATTAACTAAATATACTATATTATAGTTATTAAAAACTATTAAGTTTACAAATATATAGCGCTTTAAATATAATATTAAAAATACTTTTAAATTCTTATTTTTTTAAGTATATATTTAATTATAAAGTGTTTTTAAAAGTATTAAATTAATAATTAATAAATTTATATATAAGAAGTTATAAAAGAAAGAAGCGTTAAGCGCTTATAGCTTAAGCTATTTTATAAAAAATATTTTAATATATTTACTAAGTATTATACTAAATTAGCTATATATTATATTAAACTTATATACTTATTATTAATATACTATACTTAGCTATTACGCTTATAGCTGTTATTTAAGTATATATTTTAAGTTATTATTATAAACTATTAATTATAGGGAGGTTAATGCTTTAAAAGAGATTATTTTAAGCAAAGTGCGTTATAAGAAAAATATTATAAAATTAAGTTTTAAAGATAAATTTTAAAGTTTTTATATAGGGTAAAAAAGTATATTAGGCTTTTTATATATTAAAAAACTTTATTATTAAAATAATATAAAAAATAAAAAATAAAAAGTATAGGAAAAATAAAAATAAAAAAATATAAAGATTTTGTAAATTTTTAAATAGTTAGCGCTTAGCTTAGTTAAAGTATATTTACTAAAGTATTTACCCTTTAATAGATTTTAGATATTACATATTAAAGTTTTTTTACAATAATTAGCTAGCTTACGCTTTAGTAAATAGTAGCTAAGCTAGTTTAGTTTAGTTTAATACTAATTACCCTTTATTTTTTAGTTTAATAATAAGCTAAATATTATAATTTATACTTAACCTTTATATAATTATACGTTTTATATACTTATTTAATAGTTAAAATATTAGCTAGCTTAACTTTTTTTTAATATAATAATATTTTAAAAGGTTGTATTGCTTTAGCGCTTAATTATATAATGCTTTTTACATTTTTAGATAAAGGTATTATTATAGTTTATAGGTTTACTATATTTGCTTTTTTAATTTTTATATTTATAGTGTTATAATTTATAGTTTTTATTATTTAAATATAGTAAAAATATTTAGGAATTCTATAGCTATAAAAATTTAATTATATATTAAAAGGCTTATAAATACTTTTTTATATTTTTTAAGTATTAAATTTAAAAGCTTAAGAACTTTATTTTATATAATTTTTTAAATTTTAGCTTTAAATTATATTAGAGTAAAGTAATACTTAATTATATATAAAAAGTTTTTAATAATAATTATATTTTTAATATTTAGAATTTTAAAAGCTTATTTATTAAAAAAAAGCTTATATTAAATTTAATATTAGTTTTTAAGTTATATTATATAGCTTTTTGCTTTTATAAAATACGCTTAGTAATTTTTAATTATAATATTTTGTAATATATAATAGTTTAGCGCTATATTAGCTTAAATATTATAAAGTATTTGTTATACTAAAAAGATTTATTTTTAAATGCTAAATTTAAAGAGTTATATAAAGTTAGGTTTAAGGATTAATTTATTTATATTTTTTTGAATTTATAGCTAAATTTTGCTAATTGCTTTATTTATTTTACTATTATTTGTTTTTTTAATAGCTATATTTTTAAGGTAGAAATTATAATGCTTTATAGCTTTATTAGTAATAAGTTTTTTAAATTTAATAGGTTTTTTTAGTATATATATTAGTAAAAGTATTAAAGTAAATTTAAAAATATTGTTTTTTAGCTTATTAATAATTTAGCTTGCTTATTATATATTAAGCTTTATTTAGTACTTAATATTTTGCTTTTTAAAATATTTAATGTATTATTTTTTAAAAAAAAATACTATATTTTATAAATTTAGTTATAGCTTATTATTAAATATATTTAGGTTTATATACTTTTAATACTTTTTTAATTTATAGTATAATTTTAGAAGTATATACTAATTAGGCTATAAGTATAGGTTATTTATAAGCTGTTTTAAAAGGCTATTAAAGAGTATATTAGTATTTGCTATTAGTATAGTTAAATTAGATTTATAATAAAAGAAAAGGAGGTTTATTAAGAATAGTATAATATATTGGATAATATATATAAAGAAGGTAATTAAAAGCTTACTAAATAAATTTTTTACTTTATAAATTTTTAGTGCTTTTAGCTAAAGGGAAAAATAAATTAGCAAACTAGGCTTATAACTATAAAGTATTATAGATTATATAGCAAATGGTAGAGTATAGATAAAAGCGTTATTATTCTAGCTAAGTTTGCTTTAGTAGAAGGCGAGCCCTTAAAGCGTAATTTATAGGTGCTCTAATAGGTGCGTACTCCCCTATAATAGCTTCCGGCAGCTTGTATGTACGCTAAATTTGCGACACCTAGAGTGTGGCTAAATGCAAGATCACATTCATTTGATCAGTGAAATCTTACAGAAGTCACCTCAAAGCGACTCCGACTCGCTTTATATTGTAAGCCGATTGACCCGATTCCGAGCCAGGCATGATGATACTGAGACGTTAAATGTGAGACAGAATTGTTTTAATGCATGTAGTATACTGAAGACCTCTACTTAAACAGCCTTTTTGGTGTGAAGTGAGAGTAAACCTGAGGGCTTATAGACGCTCCGTTTGCATCAGAAGCAGGGCCAAGTGCAAGGAGTCATCTGAAGTCATGGAGAGCTGGATGTCCACAAGCAAAATGAAATTTGGGTGCCTCAAGTGGATCCAGGCAGATTTTCGACAAGTGTCCATCAATGTTAACAAGAAGTTTCAAAGGTTGTGCGAGATATTGATTACATGTGTCTTTCTTTGGCATAGTTGTGTTTTTTTTTTATAAAAAAAAGTAAGGATCCGTGCAAGATTTTCAATCACTAGAAGATGTTTATTCTCGAACGCTAGCTTAATTCTTAAATCATATCGTCAGAATATCGGCCTGTCCTGCATAATTCTTCTTGTTCGAAAATACTTCTTTAATCTTTCTACATATATAAAAAGCCTTTCAGGGAACTGAACCATGATATCACGAGTGGGGATCTCGTCAAGGCATGGCTGTAGCAACTGGTACTGCCGCAATAGTTGAAGACATTGCGAAGAGATTGTCCTTTGTGAGTTCTACTGGCGACTTAGTCCAGCCCAGATGTGTCGGCAGGCGGTCCCCTTGTACACGTGCGAGCGTCAGCCACTAGGGTTAATATGCAAAAATCATCACGACAAGAACTTACGGAAGAATGACTCTATCCAGTCTCTTTGGGTTTCCGTAGCATTAACACCTCCGAAGACCAACATGTAAATGGCAGGCGCGAGCCCTGCTATGAACGGGTTGGCTGTGAAATTCGGGTTCTGGACGCAATGGTCGGTCAGCGAATATTTCCAGCGAGTTCTGATGCTGTATTCAGGACAAGGGCGAAGCTGCTCCAACTAGCAGAACCAGATATTTGCGCTATCATCGGCCTTCATCGCTCCCGGCACCAGCCCTGACACTGGAAAGTAAATTCTCAAATTCACTTACCACCTTCTCAGCCATCATGGTTCGATAAGCTCGAGACTCAGCAGCTGTGCGAATTGTGATGATGTCACCCTCAAATTTGGACGAACTCTGGTCCCAAATGGCCTGATCGAAGTGAATATTGTCGCCGAAGTATAAGTCTTTGCGGGACAGCGAGCCATCAATCTCGATGTTGTTATGGACGTTCGAGTCCTCCAGGTTGAAGGTAGAGCTGTTGCCCGTAGTAGAATGGTCGAGGGTAACTTGGATCTCGGTGTCGAAGGGCTCGATCTGCAGGTTCATCACCTCGATCATGGCTTCTTTGAGCTGAGCCGGGTCGATGTTGCGGCCGTCACGGGGGATGTAACCTTGGTTGGCCAGCGCGTTGAGACCCGGGCATGGGGAGCGACCTGTGATATTTTCAGCCTGTATTCCATGAGATCATACTTGGTTTGGACAGCTCACTATCGCTTGCGGTGGGAGGAATGTACTTATGCGGATCACTTGCAGATGCGCGACAGCTTAGGAAGAGGCCGCTCAGCAGGGGCCGGATAAAAGAGAATGTATGCATGTTGTACGATTTGAAGATTGATTTGCTTGGAGAGGGACAACCATGAAAAGAATGCTTCTGATGTAATTTACATATCCACTGCGAAGTGACACTTATTTATGAAAAATGCTATCGCTTTCTGTGGCGAAGAACGCTACTTGTTACTCACTAGGTTGGGAAATGCTCGACTTACGACAAAGAACTGGTATGTTTGATACTATCTAGAAATTACGCCCATACGCTTGATACAGGGGTGCCTGTAGAAATGGTATTACAATACGCTTATACGCTCGATCTGCAGCTGACACGCGTATACGCTCATTCTACCGCTGACATGCTTAGATATCACGGCAAGCTGATTCGACAGACATCTATTCCCTTTTCAGAATACCCAAGTCTTGATACATAATATTTTGAATGCGGCAGTGTTATTGCCATGCCCTTGTCTTTTATTCAGGTGGTATTGCGCTGCTTCTTCACCGTCTACACCCCGACAGGCGATGAGATTAGCGGGCTGGGTGCCGATATATCTTGGGCTCACTGAATAAAAGAAGACTGATCTGTGCATTATCGACATTCCGTATGTTTATGTGCTCGCGGGGCCATCCAAAAGTGAGCAGTCTTCAATGTCGTTTCTTGACTGCGAGACGCCGTTGTGACGACTGACCTGCTCCTAACCCCAGGCTACCTTCTATTCCAGTGAGAGAATGTGCCACCTAGTACATATCGCTCTTATTTCCACCCACTCCGGGCCACAGGCCCAGGAAAAGTCCTTGAGTATTCCGTCCTGTTCATACGCTTGCTGCCTTTGGTAAAATGGCCTGTCCAGCTGAGGGTTGGCCTCCATGCCCGTGATTCGTGACGTTGCGCGCAGAAGGCAGTGTAAATGAGCCTCGGGCTTGGAGTGAAATACGCCCGACGCAAGCCTACGTCGGGCAGGACAAACATGAGGTCGTTCAAAACTCCAAATGGGCACCGCAGTGGATCTGGTAGAATGGTCTTGTTACAGAAAATCAAACCAGAGTAGTAGTTGCTTAGGCACAACAGAACGTGAACAAGACGGGACCGCTTCCCTGCACCAGAGAGGTGCGAATCTGTACCTCGACAAGTAAAAGAACAAGTCTGGATGTGACGCCTGTTCTGTGCTTGCCTTGCGAGTGTCCGTCAGGGCAAACATAGGCACAAAAGGTATGCCGCTGTTTATTTCAGCCCCATGACACGCAAGAACGTCTCCCTGTGCTCGACCTGCAGTATCGCCTGTGCCATCTCACTCAGACTTTCGACCTCACGGGTCCCCGCGCAGGGCTGGAACCCCCATGCTAGGCTGTCATCATCAATGCCTGCCTCCTCGCTGTCATATCGGACCTGGAACGCCTGCCACCTCTGCGATCGCAGCTCAGCCACGTGGCTGTTGACCGTGTCCTTGGGCCCGGAGAATACCATTACACCTGGGTAGCCCGGCTTCGTCAGACCCGACATGTTTTCGCCATCAAAGCTCGGGTTGAGCGCAAGTTTGCGCTTGTTTGTGTTCAGGAGGTGGTGAAGCCATATGACCACTGTCTTCCGGGATTGCTTCGTCTCTTGAATTTCGGTGTTCCCTGCGCCCTCGTGGCCTGGCGGCGACTCTTCCGCCGACTCGTTGATGAAATTTTGGAATGCAAGTATGAAAGCATCCAGTGTCTCCTCCCCCTCGACAACCCCCAACAATGAGAAGACAGCCGAGACTTGATTCCTGGCGTCCAGACCCTTGGAATCCTTTGCTGTGATGAGATCCGGCAGACCTTTGAATGGGTACTGATCTGGCAACCTGAGGACGAGCACTCCTTTGGGAAGGCGTTGGCCGTCGGCCGAGGCGGAGTATTTCAGTTCCCGGCCTTTGTCGTCGTAGGCGACGCACCCTGGGTACATGGCCTCCAGGAGCTCCAGCTCATTTTGCAGGCGCTCCTGCACCTCTTCTGCAGACATGCCTCTCCGACTGGGTAGAGAACCCACGTATCGTGGCTCGCCAGGGAGCTTTGCTGTGAGCTTTTGTTGTGCGTGTCGAAAAAGTCACCGGGAGGTTATGACGCAATCACCGTTGCTGCGATTAGCAAAGTCTTGCACCAGTGTGATGGGCCTTGAAGCACTGGCATCGAGCAAACAATTCTCTCCCTGGGGTTTTTGCTCACGTCATCCACTTTTTCATTGTTTACAGAGGGCACTGTTTCCGACGATGAAACATTTACTTGCCTAATAAGTTGGTTATTGCCACAACGTCACAATATAAGAGGCTCGGAAATAGTTCGTAGCGGTGTGCAGCCTTTCCGTACCACGAACTCGATAATAATTCTGGGGCAATGCCTCTGAAGAAGGCATATTCAGGAACCGTTGCCACAATGTTTAGACTTGTTTTGTTTGGGAAGGGGGGGGGGAGGGTTGTTTACACCAGGCACATTGATACTTTACGAGAAACAAGCTCCAGATGTCTTCGAGACACTTGAGTGAATTTTTGATCTCGTGGATGTTCTATCCGTGACACTCGCATGTGCGTCTATCTAATCTCCTCCAATAGTGATGCTTCCAAAATGCAAGCAGTGAATATTCAAAAAAAAAAAAAAAAAAAAAAAAAAAGCGCCGTTCCCAAAGACTCCAATATTCCAGTCAGAACCCTGATGCCCCTGTTCGTTTAATCATTTCGTCACTCATGCCTATGTGTGTCTTCCATCCATGCAAATGCCGTTGCAACTGCGCTGTATCAAATACCGGCGGTCGTGTGCGATACACGCTCCCTTTGGCTCACCAAGTATCGGGCCCGAAACGACCGCCCTCCGGAACGGTGTTGTAAGAGCAGGCCTGCCAGTCGCAGCCTTGCTTGTACACCTCCGTGCCCCACCAACTGAAATTCTTTGTCCAGCCCGGGTAAATAAGCCCAAAAAAGACAACAACTATGCCAAACGCAAGTCCAGAATCCAAAGCCGCACTCAAAGTCATCGTGTACTTGGCCCACCATGCTTGCGCCCTGTTCTTGATCAAATAGTTGAAGAAGTAGCACACGACGGCCCAGACTGAGAAGTTGAGCCCAGTCGCAGGCGGTATCCAGCTCAAGGAGCCGAACAACACGGGGAGATTGATCTTGCGCACTATGCTCTTCTTCTTGTTGCGGCTGTAGAAATACAGCGGGATCGGTGCGACAGCACCCAGCAAGAAACACCAAACCAGTGGTCGGTAAGTTGCATTCGGCCCAAAGAACTCAGCAGGTCCAACAACACCCCAAAGGATGGAACCATTGAAATGGACCCGGGCAAGTGGACACGTGAAACCGTTGATTGCTTCAGGCGTGCATATGCCGGGAACGTTGACAAACATCCAGTTCAACACCCCAATCTGAGTCAGAGATGAAATGATCGTCGCCACCATCTGGACCCAAAATAACGTCCTGGGCGGAATCTTCATGTAGTGACCAAGCTTGAGATCAGCCGCGAACTTGATGCCTTGTGAGGACGAGATGTAGCCATATGTGACGAAAACCATGTTTGCGACTGGGCGTCCCGGGAAAACGGCACCGCAGACGAGCTGGCAGATCAGATAGATGCTGCTGTGTTGGTTCGTGACCGCCATGATGATGCCGATAGGGATGAAGAGGATTGTGCAGATCCCTAGCGCAAGCAGCAACCCATACCACGGCAGGTGGATTGGATAATACTCGACGACAAAGATACCCACCACCAGCATCGTTGCGAATGTGATCAGATACCACGTGATGGGGGCATCCTTGTACCGCTTCATCAGCCGATTGTGCACGTCTTCCCGATTCATCAAGCCCTCGAGACCGGAATTTGACATCGATAAGCTGCGGCGTTGTCTCACACCATTCTCGTGTGGCCTTCTGCTTGTGGACTCTTCTGGTTCATTGTCAAGGGGCTGGTACGCAGCCTTTGACTCCTCTTTCGCCTCCTGCAACGACCTGGTCCACTGCGTCCAGATGTCGTGACCATGCCAGCAAGCCGTATGGCTAAGTAAAGCCGCCAGACCAGCAAACTGAACACCGTAACTGAGGACATATGTGATGGGGAGGAAGACTCGGCTGTAGTTCCGGTACGCCTCCCTATCAAAGACGAAGTCCTTTGTCAAAATCTTGCTAACATCATAGACCTTGCCGGTGTTGTCGAATACGGCCGCCGATAGAATAGGCATGTATGAAGAGTACAACCAGTTGCCGTAGTACGCAAGAGGCGCAATGATCCACATGACAAGCACCAGTCCACCAACAACGTTCATGGCAGCCCAAAAAGGCGTGAGTAGAGGGCTGCCGATGTAAGCTATCTGGGCCCAGTCAAACGTGACGGGGAACAGGCCGAGGCCAGAGGTGACGCCAAAGAGATTGGCTACCACGACATTCTTCGGCGCGAACCATGTGATGACGTTGAAGTAGCTCAAGCATGGCATCAGCAGGCCTGGGAAGAAGTAGAAGAGGAAAGACACGGACCAGACGACGTAAAAGAAGTTCCACCGACTAATACGCCATCCGTCTGCCGGCTTGTTCTCCTCTTTATGGAGGGTCGTAAACATGGCAGCCGACATGAGAGTGCTCGGCCAGATCATGCCGCTGGGTCGGACCAAGAAACGCCTTGTCAGGCCGGCGAACGCGTAGCCCAGAATTTGTGTCGACAAGGTCAGGAGGAGTTGATAGATGATGCTGGCGTCTTGTTTGTAGAACTGTGTTTGCTCGACGATCACATCGGTAGCAAAAGCAAAGCCAAAGGAAACATTGCTGCTAACATAGACGCAGGCGTGCTCCTTTTCGTTCCACCGGCCTTGCGCCAACCACAATCGTAGTCGGCCGAGCCTTGTCCGTGGCGTTGACCGCAAAACAGGGTCATCTTCGGCTAACGGTGTCGTCGAAGATCCAAGGTTGTTGGCCAAGTTACCGTCAACGAACTCCTCGGGAGGGTCATCGCGACGCTTCAGGGTCAAATCCCAAAGCAAACCAAGAGGATGAACAAGTAGCAACGCTATGACAGGAGTGATGGAAACACTGGGGTATCTTAAAGAAAAGAACAAGTTGGTGGAAGATCCAAGTATCGAAAACAAAACGCTCAGAGTCCACATGCGAGGCGTTAATATCGACAAAGTCGTGTTGTCGTACGGAGCGACGGATGCGCGGACTTGTGGGTAGGGGGAGTTGTCGGGAGGATCCTCGTCGACGTCGGAAGGTATTGAGACACCAACACTGTCGTCCTCCTCATCGTCAGTGTCGGCAGTCTTTGAATCGGCGAGCACGTCGCTCGCCAAAGTTGACTCGGTCACTCCATAGCGACCCTCTATCCCACCGGTGACTGTGGAACTGGCCAGCTCTTCCGACGACCGGGATAGCCGGCCCGACACCGATTTCCTCAGCGAGGACACGGACTTTGCTGATTTTGTAGTACGTGTACCACCACCACGGGTGTCTCCGTCACTGGAGCCCTCGCCTGCATCATTGCTGGCCTCCGATACGGCCGGGGTATTACTTGCTGACCCTAGCGGGACAGCACCATAAGACGGCGACCGGAAGCCTGGCGAGGAGCGCAGGAAGGGCGGCGCCTTGTTTAGAAGTTGCATGGGGAGCTGATCGGGCGCTCGTGCGGCGACATTCGGGCTCTCGTCGGCAGTGTCTCCTCCAGAATGAGCAGATTCAGTGTCTGTGCCATGTGTGAGGTCGAGAGAGGTATCTGGGAAGGTAGGGACGGAGGAGGCGTCGGTTTTGATGTTGGAAGAAGAGTGGGAGGGTGGGTCGGGAACGGCAGGCAGCGGATTGTCCCGCTGCTGTGACAGAGCAGGCGTGGGGCGTTGTCTTGCTTGACCTGTGCTAGTGGGAGTGGAACGGTGACTTGATGACCCTGGCAGCCGGCGTAATGGGATGGAGTGCAGCTGAGGCTGGATCTGACCGGCGGCAGCGCTCGCACGGGGGTCTGAGTCTGATTCGAGGTCAAACCCAGGGGCACCCTCCGTGGTAATCCCTCCTGGATGCGTCATAAGCGAAGGAGGCAAGGCGACCAAGAAGGGAAGATCTAATCAGATCCGCCGATAGGAGAGCGATGCGATGGCGGCGGCAAGTGCATGTGGCTCGCAGAATAGCATGCGGCCGAGGGGGTACCTGCAGTCTGCAGACAATATCGGTGGAGCTGATGGGTACCAGGCGTGGGCGTAAGCGTGGGTGTGAGCGTGGGCGTGGGCAGAGGGCAGAGAGTCTCGACAGGAGAACCTTGAAATCTTGCCAAAATGCAAGGCCAACAGCCGCTACCACAGCTCAGTAGCCGACCGAGGCGATGAAACGTAACGTAATGGGATGGCCTGGACAAAAGACAAGGCGTGGGATGGGCAGCAGCTGACAGGGTGCTGCGACAGAAGCGAGGCGCAGGATTGCAGCTGTCTGATGACACTGACGCCGAGACTGGCAGGCAAGACTGGTCTGGTGGTGTCGACGCGCCCTCGCATCAAGACTAGTGGTGCTACTAGGCGGGGGTCTGACTGCACGAGGTGCCCAAAAAGTGACCGACAAAGAGGAAAAACGAGTAATTTTGTGACAGCGAAGGAGAGACAACCCAGGGGCGGGGCAGTAAGTAGCCTGATAGCCGGGCCAGCCACCCAGGCACGGCGGGTGCGGGAGCTGAGCTGGAGCTGGAGCTGGAGATCGGGGCGATAGACGAGGCGTCGCCTTGTAATCAGGCACTGTGTCACTCTGGCGAGGCTGTACAAAGTTGGGCCTGCAGTTTCGCTGAGGTCCTGACTCCGGCCGAACAAATCTGTGTCAGGAAGTCGATGGCAAACAAGTTGACACGACATCAACAGCACAAGCCAATCTCGGAACCTTGCAGCCCCAGTGAGCCCCCAATTTGATGGCGGATGTGGCGGATGTGCTTGCAACGGGGACCCTGCCTTGTGCCCGTCTGCCCGTCTCTGGCATGCAACCTTTTTGACGGTGCTGATGTGATCGATAAGATAACCCCATCGCCGTGCCGAGCAGAGGGGCCGCCCGTCTTCCGAAGTCCGATTGCCGCAGTGCTTGTTGCCGTCGTCTCATCTCATTAATCTCAACTTAAAATCACGCTTCGGTAGATATATATAACATGCAAATATTGGTGTATACACGTACTTGCAAAGTGCGGGCGGCCATAACCACCACCACCCATGCAGCGAGGCCCCATAACAGGGAGATCACACGAGGAAAAGGCTGCGGATACTGGTCTGAGAGGGGAGGAAATTTTCTTCCCGTTGTGATTCTGAGTCACTCTATCTCTCTTCCAAGATCGCGGGATCAACCCGTGGCTTGATGCAGTCAGTCGACTATCAATACCCACAACGGCCGGTCAGGGGAGCGAAGCGAACTACCAAGCAACGACTTGTTTCCCGGCACCATCCCACCATCCCACCCTCCACATCAAAGTACAAACCTGATCTACGCAACCTGCGACACCGGACGCGAGGACCCCCAGCTTTCGCGTTCACATGTCCGCCCACACCTGATTAGTCGACCCTCACAATCCCGCAACTTTGCACAAATGAGTGGAGAAGCCAAAGCCGTAGAGATGAACGCCACCCTGTTCGCTGCTAAGCAGCAGTTGCGATCTGCCATGAAGCAGAGGCTGTCTGCCCTCCCACAGGAAGCCATCAGGGAGCAGAGTACGTCTAGTTCTACGCGACCAGAGTGTGGCATTGGTGACATGGAAAGTGCAAGTGCTGAGTAGCGTTTAGGCCACACCATACACACCAATTTGCTGACCTTCAAACCTTACGTTGATGCACATCGCATTAGTGTCTTCTTGTCGATGCCCTCCGCAGAAGTCCAGACCGATGCCATCGTCCAGCACGCTCTAGCCCTGGGCAAGCAGGTCTTTGTTCCCTATCTGCACAAGTCCCCTTTATCTTCAGCTGGCGGTGCCACGCCTGCACGGGTGATGGACATGGTCCGCCTCGACAATCTGCAGGACTACCAGTCTCTTCAACGCGACAAATGGGGCATTCCCAGTATAGATCCTGCCACAGTTCACTCAAGACAGAGAATCCTGGGTGGCCCTGACGCACATCACTCAGACCAAGCAACTCTGGATCTCATCCTTATGCCCGGGGTGGCGTTTGACGTTGCCCCGGGCTCAAGAGAAATCAGGCGGCTTGGACATGGCAGGGGTTTCTATGACTTCTTCCTCCAACGGTACGCCGAAAAATTGGAAGCATTAGATCGACAGCATTCTTCTGTATTGCTCTACGGCCTGGGCCTCAAGGAGCAGTTCCTGTCCTCTGCTACAGACGAGATTCCTGTCGGGCCGTATGATCAGCCTCTGCACGGGCTGATCTTGGGGAATGGAGACATCAAGACCGCCGTACCGAACCAAATAGATTGATTTCCCTGTTTTCGGTCCTCCTGAACTCCTATGGATGGTATGCCCTGCTTTCTGGTATCGGCTCCCAAACTCCAAGGCTATCCGTGATAGCTTCCCTCGACTGCGTTGTTCTCGGCACGGGTATTCTGTCGTTGTGTTCTGGTTTTCTTAACCTGACAAGCTCTGGATCAAAGAGACGTTGTCGCCTTTCAACAGGATTTGGCCTGCGGACAGGATTAGCTCGAACCAGGTCAACAGCGTCGGGTAATAAGGACAACAACGCACCAAGGTTTTTCCTCTCCTCCTTGTCGTTCGTCTTCGTGATTTGCTTGACCTCGACCGCGTCATCGATCACCAGGTTCATGAACTCGTCAAACCCTCGGATCTTGCCTTCTATGCGGATGGCGAGCTATAGAGACAACGCATCAATCAGTATGTTTCTCCGATTTGAGTACTGTTTTCAGTAGTAAGAGCCCGCAGACTAGCCAGGTGGACATACCTGCTCGTACAGCCAGATCTGGACAATTGAGTGCTGCTGGAGAAGCTTGAAGATGAAGTTGATGGGTGGGAGCAGCACTCGGCGTCCACCACCACCAGCTCTTCCGCCTCCGCGTCCCGTCATTGTTGTAGATCTCAAGGTCAACAGGAACGAAGCTTGAAGATTTGAGAGAGGTCGTTCGAGATCGACGGTTTAAGTGTCGGAGGTTGGAGTCTGTCGCGTGGAATTGGTGGCCGTGATGGTCTTGCGCGCCGCCTGTCGCGAAGTTCAGAGCTGGGCGTCCGAGATGCCTGCCCAGTGGGAAGTGGCGCTAAAATTATTGTTAGCCCATAACCCAACTGGCAGCCAGAGGCCGTGGAAGCCTGAAGGACCCTGGCCCCTGCTCTTCCTCTGCTTTGCCAGAAAAGCGCACATGCAGCTGCAAGCAGTGAGTGGACAAGGCGACAAGGACCCTCTCTCATCCTGATCTGACGTTGAATTTCGGAGGGGCAACGCCGCCTTCCTTGGACATTGCTACCAAGCACAGCAACCACACGCAACTGCAAGCCAGTGAACCGACCGCGCCTGTTGCTCTGCCACAAGTCTGCAAGTGGTCCAATCTTTTTGACATCGTTTGTTCCTCACCTGCCACCCTCATTTTCTGAGTTGCGACACCCCATCAACGCGACTGCTGGCGCCCCTCTCATTTCAAGCAGCATAGCTGCTCCTAAACGCAACCTCCGCATTTTCATACCCAACCGAGTCGACTGCCTCTTTCTGGTGCCGCCGCAGACCAAACAGGATGGCTGCCAATGGATCCTCCGACTCGTTCGCCCCAGACACGATTCTGGCGGCCATGACGACCATGCGCGGGGGAGAGCCCGATAAGAAGAAGGTTGCGATGGACTACCTGACCAAGTTCCAGAAATCGGTAGGGACAGCCTAGCGCCATCATATTCACTTTCCAAGATGCCGCGCGACCCTTCTGTGTCTTGCTAACACGCCTTGTAGAAAGATGCCTGGACGACGACCCTCACGATCCTACAGTCCAACGCCGAAGCCGAGGCCATGTTGTTCGCAGCAACAACACTAAAGGGAAAGGTACTACTCGACTGGGCGATGCCGGACACCACGTTCTCGACTGACATACCCTCGGCAGATTACATATGATCTTATAACACAAGTCCCGGAGGGCGACCTGCCTGCCCTTCGCGATCAAGTTCTCTTGCTCCTCAAGAAGTTTGCGGTGGGACCCAAACCAGTTCGGGTGCAGCTCTGTGTCTGCTTGGCAATTCTGGCGATACAGATGAGGTCTTGGAAGGACGTTCTGCCCACTGTTGTGTCCGCCCTTGGAAGCGATGTCCAGAGCGCTGGAGCTATCCTCGACTTTCTCCGAGTTCTCCCCGAAGAGGTGACCGAAGGCCGTAAAATTAACCTCTCTGTATGTGGATCGCCAGACGACGACCCGATCACCCATTCCGACACTACTGTGGTAATCTGAAGGACGGTACAATCTCTAATAAACCTGGATTGCTAGGAAGATGAGCTCACTGAGAGAACCACTGAGCTCCTGGCCGACAATGCGGAGCAAGTCGTCAACATCTTTGTCAATTACGCCCAGTCATCAGGTTTGTCTACAAAGAAGATCGCTATAGTTAACGCCATTGCTAATCCTGCGCAGGCGACGCTGCTCACAACCCGCAGCTGATGGAATGCATAACTTCGTGGCTGCGCGAAATACCCATCGACGCCATTGGAAAGTCACCGCTTCTCAACATTGTAATCAACGGTTTGGACGATGATAACTGTCTGGAAGCCGCCGCGGAGTGTCTTGCTGCAATCTGCCGAGAGACAAGGGACGTGGACGATAACATCGAGATGATCCAAGTCCTCCTGCCACGGATCATCGAACTGCGGCCGCGGATGCAGAAAGCTGCCGAGGAAGAGGACACAGAAGCTTTCAAAGCTCTGACCCGTGTCTTTGCGGAGACCGGGGATTCATGGGTTGTCATAATTGCTCGTGAACCAACCCATTTCCGGCCTCTTGTCGACATCATCTTAGAATGCGCCGCGAGAGACAAGGACAGGGACGTTATCGAGCACACCTTCAACTTCTGGTATGAGCTTAAGCAGATGATTGTCATGGAACGGTATGTCGAGGCCAGGATGCATCTGTACGATGTCTACGCCAAGTTGGTGGACATTCTTCTGAAGCATCTCGAGTACCCCACATCTGAGAACGGGAACGAGCTTGACCTTTTCGACGGTGACCGTGAACAGGAAGAGAAGTTCCGGGAATTCCGTCACCATATGGGCGACACACTCAAGGACTCCTGCCAGGTGTTAGGTGTCGCTGACTGCTTGACTAAAGTTCTGGACGCCATCAAGGTTTGGATGCAGAAGTATGCGAGCGAAGCTACTGCGACATCAGTGCCACACTGGCAAGAACTTGAGGCTCCAGTCTTCGCTATGCGGGCTCTCGGACGGATGGTTGAGAAGGATGAAAACACTGTCTTGCCACAGTTGATGCCCTTGCTGGTGCAGATGCCAAGCCACGAGAAGCTGCGTTTTGCCACCATTATGGTCTTCGGGCGTTACACTGAGTGGACAGCAGAACATCCTGAATTCCTGCAACCTCAATTCAATTACATCGTCACCTCGTTCCAGGCGGATTCCAAGGAGGTTGTCCGAGCTGCCGCTCAGGCCATCAAGTTTTTCTGTCAGGACTGCAAGAGCCTGCTGAGTGACCAGGTCGTTCAGATGCAGTCGTTCTACGACCAAATACTCGACAAGCTCCCTGCAGTGAGCCAAGAAGAAATGACGGAAGGAGTCGCCAGTGTTGTTGGCGTTCAAAAGCCGGAAGAGGTCTACAGGCTTCTGAAGTTATACTGCGACCCACTGGTGAACCGACTGATGGTGAAAGCCAACCATGCCTCGGATGAAGCGGGAAGATTGGCAATAGCTGGTAAGTTGGCTGGCTCACGAAACCTTGCTTTGGACCTGATTCTAACCTCGTCTTAGACCACGTGCAACTCCTGACGCTGTTCGTCCAAAATGTGGTTCCCCTGGTGGACTTCGGACAGGAGGACCCCGCTGTCAAATACTGGCAAGAGGTTTTCCCAATTCTGTCTACCGTTCTGGACAACTTCTCCGGATTTTCGCCCATTTGCGAGAGAATCTGCAGGTGTTGGCGCAACATGGTCATCTCGTACCGCACCGGCATTACACCTCTGCTGCCTCAGCTAGCCAATAAGCTTGCGGATGGTTTCACAAAGACTAAGCAAGGCGCTTTCCTGTGGGCAACGGGCGCCATCCTCAGGGAATTTTCTGAGGATCGCGAGCATGTTGATGACGCCATTACCCAGAACATTTATCAATTCTTCGAATCTCAGGCGACGAGCGTACTAAGGGTCATGAGCGACATTCCTCCAGCGGAGTTGCCCGATATCATTGAGGACTTTTTCCGTCTGTTGACCGATGCACTGCTTTATTACCCTCACAAGCTGATCTTCTCACCACTCCTCGCCCCCATCTTTCAAGCCGCCATCTCATCTTTGGCATTGGAGCAGCGCGATCCTTTGTCAGCGACATTACATTTCCTGCGGGATCTGCTTACTTATGGTGGAAGCAACCCGGCGTCAACCATGCAACTCGGGCCTACTTCTGAACAGATTCAAGCTACTGTCAAACAGCTTCTCGTGGCGCACGGCGAACCATTGGTCAAGGCGATCCTGGCAGGCATGATGATCACATTTCCCCGGGATTGTTTTGCTGACGGGAGTGGCGTGCTCCTCGAGCTCTTCGACATGCTGCCTTCCCAAACTACGGCATGGGTGGAGCGGACGATCAAAATGCTGCCTGAGGGCACAGTCAGCCCAATCGAGGCGAACAGGCTCATCGTGAAAATCAAGGAGAGGCTATCCGAAAATGATGCTGGAGGGCTGAGGCAGGTAAGGGTGCTGCTGCAGGACTTCACTAACACGTACCGGCGGCGGTATGTAGCCCCGCGAGACGGGTTGGGGCAGCTGGAGGGAGCTCGCTTCCACTATGAAGGGTAGGGTCCTTCAACTGAAACGGGTATCGTAATACACAGGCGATTTTTTGGCAGAGACGGATTCAATAGAAACATTGGTAGTATTTTTGCCCAGGCTTCGGCTTACTAAGGGCCGATGCTGCAGAGAGAGGCGCTCTCTCAACTGAGGGTTGGGATGAAAGAAGACAAGGCCGCATTTTGTAGGGACGCGTCACAGGGCTGTTGGAGCTCAGGCGCCGTGCGGCTTGCTATGAGACTACGTGGTACTATACGTTCTTAAGTGTGTTGGTGGCGTGGATGAGGTGTGACCTCAGAGGACTATGTGCCGTTTAGCCTGGGCGAGGACATGCGAAGACAGATGTGGGAAGATAGAGCAGGAATTGGACGTAGTTGGGTGATGGATTATTTGATGCATCGGCGGGCGATCTCGAATGGATCCATAGACAGATCGACATAGCTAAAACTCAAAAGTCTCTCCAACTATCCATCTCATTGCCTGTCCCTTGCCTTGCTTTCATATTTGCTACTTGCGTGAGCTGTCTATTCTTTTTTCATGTCCATATCGCGTAGTCGGAAATGTAGCCATCCGGTGTTGGACACGACGAAGGGAGATGACTTTGGATCTTCCGGTGCTTGTCGTCAAGTGACAGACGACCACTTTTCGTGGCAACGATGGAGTTGGATGCAATGCCTGTGATAGCCTTGTCGAAAATGGAGGCCACCTATGGATTGCTGCCGCCATCTTGGAGTTCCTAGCCGCAACTGGTCGGCGCTCTCCTCACCAGATTTCGATGTCCTCGAGATGATGTGCGGGGCCTTTTCACTGTCCCTTAGCCCGGTTCATAGGACCCCAGTTCTCTCTCGGGTTGGCCTGGTATCGGACGAGCCTCTCCTTGCTCTTCTCCCGGCCAAGCTTCTCGTCAAAGACGATCTTTTGCTCCTCCTCTACGCTAGCCTTCTTCTCGCCCGTGGCGTCCTCCTTGCCCGCGCTGTCAGGAGCTGGACCATCCACCTTGGCATCTGCTGACTCCTTCGCACCCAGTCCGAGGAGCCGGTACCCAGGCGAGCCGGACTTAATATTCGCTTCCTTGACAGGCGCCTTCTGCCTAACCCACTCCCTCATCACGTCCCAGAGCACACTCCACGGCGCATCGGTCTTGATGCTGCCAGGCTTGCAGTGGCTGCGAGTGACGCGGTAGCCCAGGCCGCGGAGCGCACCGCGGATGGCGTCCTCGGGTGGGGTGGCGCAGTGTATTGTCCGGGCGAGGGCCGTGGGCAGGAAGAAGAACGGGTACGGCTCGATCTCGGCCAGCGCGTCGTCCTTGGACTTGGGCTTCCCCTCGGTCTCGGCGTCGTCCAGGTGCTCCTCAAGGGCGGTGGTCAGCATGCCCTTGATGCGCTCCGTGGTGCCGTACGTTTCTTTGCTTGCCTCGGGCAGCTTGTCCAGGATGCGCTTGACGAAGTCGGGGGAGTGCAGGCGGCCACCAAACATTGGCCCGGCCAGGTGCATCTTGGTGCCGCAGTGCGCGCAGTGCTGGTCTGCCGTAGGCCCTTGCGCCATCGTGTGCTTATAGAAGAAGCCGGAGCCGTTCTTGTTCTGGTGCGCCTTGTTCCTGAGCAGGAACTGGGTCGACCACGCTCCGCAGCCGACGTCGCAGTTGTACACGATCATGGTCTTTCCAGCCGTGAACTTGACGGCTGCGGGCGACCGAGATACCCTGACGAACACTCGGGCGTAGAAATCGATGGAGAGCGACAGAAGGGGCTCGATGGATAGTCCGTAACGCGCGGCAGAGGTAGAAATGGCGTGCAGAATGAGACGCAGTCCGACCTCGTGCGAGAAGTGTCCCTTGACTGGCACGCCGCCGTACAGAGCGAACGCCTTCTCGGGGTAGCCGTTGGATGCCCAGACACCAGCATCGGTACAGGTGACACACAGGAGGCCGCCATCGTCACGGACCGCCTGCACAGCTGCGTCGAGAAACATCGCGGCGGTGCCGTAGGGGTCCAGGTCAACGACATCGTATTTCTCACTCTTGCCCTTGGCCTTGTCCTTCTCGGTGAGTGCCTGGTGTGCGGCTATCTTGGAGTACATGTGGACGATAGCGTCGCCATGGTTGACATCGATCTTGTCGTCCAGGCCGTTGTGAAGTACATTGAGCTTGATGGACTCCACAGCAGAGGCGTCGAGATCGTTGGCAGTGATTTTGGTGACAAAGGGCATCTCCTGGGCATATCGCAAGGCGCGCAGGCCGGTGGCAGACAGGGCATCCAGAATAGTGAAGTATGGCTTGCGGTCTTGCCTATCTCTCTGGGCATTCTGTCCGTTGGCAGCTTCGTTCGCTTGTTCGCTTTGGCCCTCAACAGGAGCATCTTCCATGGGGGTATCCTGGCCCTGTTGTGGGTCGGAGCCGTTGCCGTTCGTCGCTTGCTCTGTGGCAGGTTGTACCTCCTTGGTAGCACTCTGAGCTTTGTTTGGTGTGACCTGAATCTCTCCTTGTGCATCGAGGTCGGCATCGGAGGCGGCGGGGGCGGTCGAGTTGTCTGTTGAGGGGGCACCGTCGACTTTGGCAGCTTTACTGGAGCCGCCTGCATTCTTTGTCTCGTTTCGCTTCCTCTTCTTTCCAGCATACAGCTGTCTCTTTGCTTCCATACTAGCTTTCTTCTTCTCCACCATCTCTTCTCCATGCGCCTTGATCGCAAGGATCGTCAGGTCGCGATTGAACTGTTGGATCGGGTTGTAGAAGACCGACTGAGCCGGGCCGTCCTTGTCCCTTGGGTCCTTCTGGTCGGCTGCGTCCTTGGCTGTTTCGGGTACGAGAATGTAGGCACCACCTTCCTGGATCGTGATGTATCGCTTGCCATTATGGTCAATGATCTGACCGGCGGCGGGCGCGTCGCGGATGCTTCCAGGTTGGGAAGCCATGGCTCGTGATTGTGGAAGGAAGAGCTTTGTCGGTTTTGCCAATTGAGTCGCACGCCCCGCGCGTAGCCTGGAGAAGACAGTCAACGAGAGGCGCGAAAGCATGTGGGTAGGCAAGCGGACTGCAAGTCGACCTGAGGAGCGAGGTAGCTTGCCTGGTTGCCTGGGGTTGGAGTGAATCTCGGAAATTTCGTCACTCGAGCCCTTGCCGATCTTCTGAAATTAAGTTTTGCCGCTGGGCGGTCAGGGTTGAATTTTAGCTCTGAGCACAGGCGTTGCAGACCCCAAGGCTCCACGTTGACAGCGGGACGATCCGAGATCTTGTGGGGGATCCCAGCAGCTCTGGGGGGGGGGTGGGGGCTACCACTGTCCAACTTTCCATACTGCAGTTCAACTGACAGCTCACTTTGATTACTTGTTAACACTGAGTACAGGCCTACACAGTCATTCACCATAGATGGTTGAGATATCACTTATCATCCAACCTTTTCAGCCTGTGCAGTCAACTCTCTTCATTTGTGATTATATAAGTAGTGGTGTATTTCAGCTCGATGCGAGGACTTTCTGATGCAGGCCTGTTGAGTGATTGTTATTTCATTTGCGAATTGAACCAGGAGGATGCGAGTGCTCTGGACATAGTGGTGCATCATCCATAGAAACCCATTTCTTATGACCGCGCCACCTTTCTTCTCGCAAGTTCAATGATCAGAAGTAGGATGTGGTAGAGGCCTCAGACACAAAATATCAACCCCTGACACCACTCATCTTGTTCATACACAAGCACCGTCATGTAGTACAGAATATGCCGGGAATTCATTGTCCAAGAACGGCACTTGAACTAACACGGTCGGGTCATTGCTTGGGAACTCCGTGTAATGCCCGGCGGCCGTGCTGATCGACGGCAGATCTGCCGCGATCAGGAAAGACGACGACATCGTCCCCGGCATCGCATACGCAACATGGGTCTCGATCGTACTGTTGGCACCTGGAGGGATATAAGGGGCGGTGATGCGGATGAGGCCATTTAGGACAACCGTCAACCTGCAGCCCCGCAGCACTCGCATCAGCAATTTCCTTGGATCCGTAGTCACCACCCTCCTCGCAATTACAGGGTTCATTGATGCATCACGGGAGGGAGGAGTGCTGAACGTACTGCAACGCGGGGGCCCATGCTTCACCGACCGTCGTCCGCGGCTCGATGATGGACAGCTCCGCCTGAGTGGTGTTCCCGCCCACGATCCAGTTCAGGGCAGACCTCGCGTACACCGCCTCCGTATCCAGCTGCCAACATTCGATTGTCGAGTATCCGTCGCGGGAAGACAGAGCCGTAATGTTCAGCAGCGTCTTGGCCGGCGGCTGGTCTTGCACGCTTGCGATTGACGACAAGGGGACTCTCGACAAGACGCCGCTGAGGACTGATTTTAGAAGCATTTTGGCTCGTATGATTCGCGATTTAAAAAAAGAAGACAGACCTTAGAGCGCAAATTGCTTGCTTGATCTATTCCAAGCGTGTGTCCTTATTGTCTCAGAGGCTACTGCTGCGGGACGTAAGCTATTTCTTTAAATATGCTCTCAGGTCAGCCACGGCGCCAAGGTTGGGAGGCGGGCGAAAAGGCCCTCGATAAATTGGAAGCTGGATCCTGGGCAGAAGTAAGACTTGTGGTTTGGCTACATCTTGTTTCTCAAAATCTCCGGTTCATCTGCGGATGAACTGGCAACCCGAAAGCCACAAAAGCCACAAGAAGAAGGGCATGGTACCACTTATTAGAATCCCAAGGGTAGTTATGCAAGACATTCCATACGGCTAGTGAGTATGCCTATCATCGTTGCCGCGTGCGAATTCCCGTCCCGGTGCAGTCCTGCATATCAGCAGAAGAAAGTCGACTCTCGACCGGTGAAGTTCCACAAGCCGAGATATAAATAAATCCCTGACCTTGGATCCCGCGGCTACATGATCTGAAGCTTCTTACGGTTGAGAACTTGGTCGTGGTATAGCCCGATGGAACAAGTCCATCAGCACGCAGAGACGAGGTCAGACTGTGCAATGCTGGCTGTATTCTTGTCGTCTCGAGGGCTAGAAGACATGAGGAGCCCAAGGCGAGCCGAGGGTATCGCAGACTATCAAGGATATTACATGTTATTAATGTACGGGTGAATTAGAACCGTCCAACATAGTAGACGTAATGTGGTATCAACCTTCTCTTCCTCAAACTCATAATCGTTATAATGAACCGCTCCAATCCCCCCCTCCTTCCAAAAGTCCATCGTAAAAGGCCGTCATTTACGAACATGCTTCGGCGCTGCGTGAAATATCTTCAAATCGTGAAACTAATGCCCGCTTGACACCAGCACCGCACAGAGTTGTGTTTTAGGATTTGTTCAGTGCATTCCTCACGCAGGCGGCCCAGCGTGGTGATCTTGTCGTGTCTCGTGACTCGAGGTGGCTTGCGACGCAAGGAAGCCTCGGGCGCCACCCGGTGAGCAATGCTGACGAACACTACAGGAACGCAGCGAGGGCGGCAGCACCGAACAATGCCAGCACACCAGCAGGGCTGGCAGTGTCTGCGCCGTTGGTGGTCGAACCAGTTGCGGATGCGGCACTGGAGCCGGCTGCGCCAGTAGTTTTGGTCGCGGAGCCGCTGCCTCCAGCACCAGTACCAGACGCCGCAGAAGCTGATGTAGAGTTTCCGGTCTCGAAGAAGACACCGCCGGTAGCCGATGCTGGGGCGCTGGTCAAGGAAGAAGACGATGTTGACGAGCTAGCGCTAGCAGAGCTGGTGCTAGAGACAGTGGAGGTCGGAGTCTTGGTCTCGAAATGAAGGCCACCTGCGACTGAATACGTGGAAGCGCATGTCGCCAGGTCCGAACCCTCGGGACAGCAGACGGTTTGACCGGCCGAGTCGGCAGCGCAGTAGTAACCTGCCTGGCATGAGTTGCCGGTGCCATCTGGACAGCATGCCTCGTTCGCGCCAGAGTCGTAACAGTGCATCTGGTTATCGGTAGATGCGCATTGTGCGAATGAGGTGCCACACTGTCTTCATGTTAGCTTCCATTGAACGAATAGAGAGAAATAAGAGTCGTCATACGGCTTCGGAGCATGTAGCGGCTACTCCACAGATCGACTGCTTCGGATGGTAAACATCAGTGTCGCGGCGATCCAGTCCAAAGATCTCGCGCGCGGAGAGGAAGGCCTTGGCAGGCTTGTAAGGCAGCGGCTCGGCGAAGGCCTGGGAGGCAATTGCGACGACGGCTGCAATGACCAGTTTCTTCATCTTGAGTTCGGATGTTTGATTTTGTTTTGTTTCGTTTTGTAGAGAACGATTGTACTTCGACTGTTGCTTGGCTTGATGGATCCGGAGATCTCTAGACTTGTGAGTCGGTGAAGTGAGAGTAAAATGTGGGCGCGACAGTTGGAATGAGTGGACGAGCCCCAGGAAGGAACTCAGCGGCAGAGGCAGTAGCAGGTATCGTGAGAGAGTATCGATTGACTCGATAGGGGAGCAAAAAGAGCGGAGACCGGGTCAGGATGTGAGACGGGTGGGACTGGGGGCCGACAGGGTGTGGGCGATATATAGGAACTAAGGGTCTAGCACGGCTGGACAGGCAACCTGCGACCTCAGAGTGTAGGAGAGCGATCTCCTTAATTTTACTGGCCACTTGGCCAGGCAGACCTTGTCTGGATCGTCACCACCGTCGTCCTTCTTGGACTCGGGATTGGACAAAAGAGGCAAGAGCAGCACCTCGACAAAATTAACAGCCCTCAATCTGGCCACGAACACACGGCGCTTGCCTGGGTCTTCCCAAGAAGTGCGAGGCCATGCCCGCCTGGCCAACAAAGCAGTCCTGTCCAGTAGCATCCTGCCCTGGCCCTACGGCTCTGCATTTAGTGACGCCTCGGTTGGAGCCGACGGGTTACGACAAAGCAGACAAGGCCTGTCAAAAAGGAGCCGGCCGTCTCATTGTCTGAATCGGAGCGGCGGTGACGGAAGTGGGGGCCCACCACCCATCTGAATGGCCTCAGGGCACGGAAACAAAGCGAGAAGGATGCTCGGCAAAGCAGAGTCGTCGGGTGTTGGGCTGGAAGCACCACACTCGACTCCGTACGTGCTGCTTGCCCTCCACCCAAGCACCGAGCGCCTTGCCTATTTGCGCCGACATCGAAAGGATTCGTGCTGGCTCGGGCCAAGCCCCCAGGCGCGAGCCGGACGAAGTGAAATGAAATGAGACGAACACCCACAAACGGGCTGCCTTTGCCCCATCGGCCTAGTTTGGACCGTGGAGAGAGCGCTTACAGGCGCGCAAATCTCACTCCGCCAAGCAATCCAGAAACTAGAGACACACATCTTGCTTAGACAAGATAGATGGCTGGCCATGCTGGGAAATGAGAGCAGTAAGAATATAGTCGCGATGTCATTGTCAATGCATCGGCTCTGGCTGACGCTGCACGGCGGCTAATGAAGAAAAAGGGTGAGAGGGACGGAGGGAAGGGAAGGGAAGGGTAGGCGTCAGCGTCAGATTCAGATTCAGATTCAGGAACAGGCAAAGCGCAGATTCAGCCGGGCGTCGTCCGGTCCCTGCATCACTTGATCACCTGGCACGCATCCACTCTCCTGGGTCGGACTGGCTGTCAGGGGTCGGCATTCAAGCTAGGCCTGTTTCGAGGTGAGACCCCCTCCATTGGCTGGCTCTGCTGCTTCATGGGGTTTCATCGGCACAGACCACCTCTTGCCCGAATTGGACTGTCAGAGGCCCCTGGCTGGCCCTGGCTGGCCCTGGCTTGCCCTGTCAAGAGATTCCGAGTTGCAGTCTCGATTACGACATTGCGTGCCTCTGCAAATCTGGGGAATTCTGGTGTCACGGACCATTTCTTAAATTAATGATCAACGTCTGTCTGCTCTACTCTGGTAGACGCCCAGCGTCCATTACAAGGATGGACAGACTGACAGACAGAATATCGACCATCGCATCATGATATCGACTGTCCGACCCATGCTACGCACTCGGCAGCACTCACTCAATTTCAAGAGTATCAATAGTCCCAGCGGTGCACAAGCACTACTTCCACGCCACCTCCCCGATCACGCTTGAGTCGAGATCATATCCATGTTGACGAACAGACCTTTAGCGATGGAACTGTTGGTCCGTTGGTCCAGCCACCCGTTGTCGGACAGTAGTTTGTGACTATCTATGGTGACTCTATTTACGTCCAGACGTCCAGAGATCCAGGAATCAGAACAGCTCTCAAGACCAGGGAACGTGAAGGACGTGCGTATTCTCCATGTAAGCGAAGCAAAATAATAAAAATCTTATTCATGTATATAGCGCTAATGTTAATGCAGCATGTCGACTTCGTCATCGCACCCCAGGCATTGGGCCTCAAACGCTCTTGAATCTACCCATCCCAAACTCCACCAAGTAACCTCTTGAATGGCGCCCTAAGGATTCTGGCAAGACCAATGTATTGTCTTGTTATGCCTCCAGATGCTCCGTTCTGAAGGCCACCTTGGTCTCCCCAGCATCTTGGATACCGAGATTGGCTTTGCGCGCGTCACGAGCCGCGTCCCCAATCGTCCCGTGCTCGTCCACATACCCAATCTTTGACTCACGGAACCCGTCGAGCTCTTGCTTGTAATAAGTGTTTAGGAAGATAGGGTAAACAAACGAGACGAAGAAGCCGATTAAAGGCACAGCCATGCCGATGTGATATCCCTTGTGATCAGCCAGCAAGCCAGTCAGAGATGGGAACAGGGCACCTCCCGAGACAGCCGCGACGATCCAGGAGCTGCCTCGCTTGGTATGTCGCCCGAGGCCGCGGATCGACAGCGTGAAGATGGTTGGGAAGACGCAAGATTCGAAGAACAGCACCAGGCTGAGCATTGCCACACCTGCTTCGCCGTATATACCGATCGCCAGGGCAATGAACAGCATGATCGCGGACATAAAGACCATCAGGACCAGGCGTGGCTTGACGATCATCATCAGCCCGGCGGCAGCAAATCGTCCGATAGCAAAGAGGCCCTGCCCGATGGCATATCGGTCACTGGCTTGCGCAGCAGTTATATTAGCCGACTCCCGGGCGTAGTTTATGAAGTTGGCCGCTACCCCGACCTGTGCGCCAACATAACAGAATTGAGCGGCTACACCGAAGAAGAGCTTATATTGCTTGGTCATCGGCTTGTCCTCATATCCTGTAAGTCCAGCAGACTGTTCGGCTTGAAGCTCCATGTCCGCATCCGTAACTTCAGGTATGGGCGAGAAGAAGAATACGACGGCGAGCAGGAAGACGAAGGCGGCGATACCGAGGTAGGTCCACTGCACCTTGGAGATGTCGTCTGGGTTTGTTTCTGAGAAGAAGACGCGCGAGGCCAGCAGGGGAGCCACTGTAATGCGTTAGCACCCATGGACAAGTCCGGAAGTGATGAGACTTGGGAGACCCTTGGTGAGGTTGGTCATGAAATATAGGAGGGGACGGCCAATACGTACTGACAGACCCAATAGCCTGGAACGACTGCGAGAGCTCGAGACGGAACTCCGAGAGACGAGGGGGTCCACAGGTCGCAATGAAAGGGTTTGCTGAAGTCTCAAGGGTCGAGAGTCCAGAGCCGACGATAAAGAGGGAGCCGCAGAAGCCGCCAAATGACCGGTATACAGCAGACGGCCAGAACATCAGGGCGCCAACACCGTAAATGCAGAGACCGGTGATGAAGGTCCATCTGTAGCCGAACTTTCTAACGATCCATCCGGAATAAGTCAAAGGCCCAATAAAATAAGCACCGAAGTAAGCGCCTTGGAGACCCTTCAAAGCGACAGTCAGCACAATAATTGGAATCGGCTGGGTGAAAGACGAGGCTTACGCCAGCTTTGGCAGCTGTAATATCCAGAGCCGTTTGAAACTTGGCATTTAGCACGTCTAACCTATTGAATTGTAAGTCGCGAAGCAAAAGTGAAGGCTGTATCGAGGGGAGACCTACAGGCCATATGCAAATCCCCACAGAAAGAAAAGGATCGTGACAAGTGTGATTGGGAAGATAGACTGCCTGACAGTCAAGGCTGAGGCACCGGTCAGACCTCGATTTGAGACCGACTTTCGGTGTGTCTCGACCTCCGCGTTGGAAGGTCGGCGTTGCTCAAAAATCTCCTCCGGAGTGGGCTCTAGGCGTTTTCCGAACATCTTGATGGCTCTGCAAGGCTTGGGCTGGAGAGAAATGCAGGGCTTGAAGGGCGAACAACCAAGTCAGGCCGTGATGGCTTCTTCGGAAGAGCTCAAGGTCTGTTTGCTCAGAGGTGATCCGTGAGATGTTGCACTGTAGACGAATGCTCAACCCAGAGTCATGATCAAAGGAGGCTCCCCGTCCTCTTATATATCCCCCACACAAGGACCCATCTTCGTGGGTCTGGGCCTCTGCAACGCGCTTGTCGAGCTCTGCGACGGGATCGTGTCCTATCTCGGCGATGCCGCGACAGCAGATTCCACTGCTCTCACCTCTAAGCGTCAGTACTATATCTCTTGGCAGCGAGGCAAGCTGCCAGGCCAGCGGTATAAAGTCTGTGCTCAAAGGGCCCCCGACTATCACTAGCGACATACCCGGCTGTTTGGAGGTGCTCGAACCATTCCGCCTTGAGAATAAACTGGTCAACATCACGCAGCGTTCCCGTCACACCTCACCCAGCGTGATATGGTGTGGCCGGGAAGAAGAGGCGAAGATACAGCACTACTCGACCCCCATGTCGAGCTCGAGGCCCTTCAGCTCCTATCTAGCGTGCAATGCAGGTTGGTCGCCCTGCCCGGGTCACACGAACTAACGGCAGTTTAGCGTAGTGTGGGGAGAGCTTATGGCATTGCCGATGGCCTCGCCCCAGGTTGAAATGCTGGGGAGATGCGGAGAGGAACATGGTTAGCCTTGGGGTAAGGCCGTGCAATTCAGCGATGAATATGACGAAGCCGTTCTCCTATTGATTTCACAATATCGTGACATAGACCGATCTTACGCCACAGGGCCATGCGGTCGACGTTCGCAATAGCGCGTCGTCGGTAGGAACACCTACCTGGGTACGGCGTCGAACGGGCTGGCCAAAGGTAGCTCATTAGCACCCCGACGAGCTGCAATTGACGGGACGCTCACCTGAATCTGCTTCGAGAGGCAAACCAGTTGCCCGCAACAGAATTCAACAAGAGGCCAGTAGAGAGCGAGTTCTCTCCAGAGCTAGGAAGCATCCGCCCATGTTTCCAGGGCTAGTGGGTGGCAAGGCCTTGGTCACTATCAAACAGCTTCCAGTGGTCCAGACCTCCACACATCCAAGCTTTGTCCCAAGCTTTCCCCAAGCTTTCAGAATCGTAGTGGGCGGCGCTAGGCCGAGCGGCATGGGGTAGCCAGTAAGATGCGTTCCCAGGCAATGTCATTTTCGCCGAGAAAAGCCCACATTCCGGACCTCTTGAGCCTCCCCGTCATCCACCTGAGCGAGCCTCCACGCTCGAAATGGCCTGGCTTACTTCTCAAGGCTGCAGTAGCCCCCGAAGCCACCCAGAGTAACACCGAGCCCAAGCTTTGTCGAGACAAGGTCGCGCGGTCACGAGACCAGTGGACCCGCTGGAATAGCGAGCAGTTGCCCTTATTGAGCCATTAGGCACACTCCTTGAGGCTTTTGTAGCTCTCCTCGTCGTGGAAGGTCCAGGCGAGGCTTGTACGGTCGGTTTGGGTGCTAGGTCGACGGATCACATGTACTTAGTCGGAGCTGGTAGTGACGAGGAGAGCAGAGTCAGTTGCAAACTTGCAAAATTTCTGCTCCACGCATCGTCGAGTATGCGTCAGCTCGCTGACCTCAATCCACCCCATCCCATCGCAGAAGTCGTCCGGTGAGATGATGAGGTTCGCCATAGTTCTGTACTCTTCAAATGCCACTCCTTTGCATCCGATCGACTGCTTGGCCGCCGTCTCTTGTGTTCGCCCATGACATCTCACCCAGGAGCATCAGAAGCCGGAGTATTTCAGCAATGTAATATTATTCAAAGCCCCTAACCACAGGCAGTCTTCCGCACTTGTAGTCAGTGAACTCTTATGCTCAGACCCGATCCGCAATCCGATATCATACAGGGTACCATTCAATCTAAACAACAAGGAAGAAGTAAGACAAGCTTCATCGGTGCTTCGCCAAACGCCAAAGAGAGAGCGAGCCTATGCATTTTTTTCAAGAATAAAACAGCCTCACTCAAACCCGATCGAGTGACTTTGAACCCTTCTGGCCAAACAAGCATTGCATATCAAAGGAAGAACGGCTTGTCGGTATCTTCCCAACTCGTCGCGAGCGCGGGCTGCACCACCACTCCGCCTGCTCGTGCCCGGCCTCTCGTCAGTGGTAGCGTATGAGAGTGACCTTCCAAGGGCGTCAGCAGCGGCGTATCATTGGCCGAGTTCTGGGCTGTTTCGAAGACAGTCGACGTCGACGAGGAGTAATCAGCGTCTGACTCTGTTGCGCCTTTTCGAGGCTGTGAAGAGAGACACCTGGGTATCCGTGACGCCGAATTTTGAGAGGTAGTAGACTCAGATGATGATGGAACAAAGTCTTGATCGCCGTCGTTATTAGCTTTGAGGTGGCCTTCTTCAGAGCTATTCGAATTCTGAGTCCTTTGGGATATCTTCGAATGTGTGGGTGCCGGCTTCGGAGTGAGATCAACTTGTGAATGATTGATGACGTTTGGCGCAGGTGACGGCCGGCTACGGGTCTCCAAAGTGATGGCCTCCGAGCCTATCGGTGGTGATCCGGGTCGCTTTCTGGCTCGTACTTCTGGGTTTTCCACGTCCCGCACTGTAAAGATTTGGCCAGGGACGGTAGATGAGGCTCTGGTCCTTTCTGTGTCAGAAGACTCCTAGTTTTCGTCGCCCTCCATCTTAGCAAGCCACTTATGCATCTGAGAGAATTTCTCCACAAAAGTCTTCTCGAGTTTCTCACACGCCGCGTAGACATTATCTGTGGGCTTCCAGTAGGTCTTGCAATTGGTGAAAATTTGGTTCATGTCAGCTAAGAACTCTTCGTGACTCGTGTATTGACCTTGGTCCATCTTCTTTTTCATGGTGCTGAGGTCCATTGGTTTGGTGACCTTCTCGAAGTAGTCTGGTACGTTGTCAACAACAGCATCAACTGGCTCCTTGAAGGGGCCCACTAGACGCGTCCAAAATCCTGCATGCAATTAGCCTGAAGAGCCCAACGGTCATACATATTCAAGTATTTATTGACACAACCGCAGTAGATTTTCTGTACAATATTCTTGCAAAAACAAAAAAGCAAGTGGTAGCCATGGTTTGTAACTTACCCGGGCCCGACAACATTCTAGTCAACAGGTCTTGACAGAAGTACAGCTTTTGTTCGGCGGTGAAATCTTGGTCACCGCTTCCAGCAACGCTTGACCGGCGACGAGGAGCAGGCTTCGGAGCAGGCAGCGAAGTCCTTGGCTTTCGAACAGCTGCCTTCGAAACTGGTGGCGCTTGTGGCAAGGAATCAGACCGGCGTGGCTTCTTGACTGGGTACATGGACTCTGACACGTCCTCCTCGTCTTGGTCGACATAATGAACTTGCTTCCGTTGGGGCTGAGTCGGATTTGGATGTTTCGAATCATCGCCGAGTTGGACAAGCGGTGAGGTGTCTGATGGAACCATAGCGACCACCAACTCACTAAGGACATTATGGGGCAGGGATTTGGCGAACTCGGCCTTCGAGTCGGAGGTGCGCATGTATTCTGCTGCCCATCCGAGAAGCAATTTCCTAATCGAACTGCCCTCGGGGGTATCCTCCCACACCTGTACCAAAAGAGGCGCGGCAGGAATACTCGCTGAGGCTTTCCGTACCTCGATCATAGCCTCGAGGGTATGGTCGCAGAGGTCTTCGATCTCAAGCTCATTTCCCAACTTCCAGACTCCAATCAGGACCTCGTACGAAGGGACAGTGTTTTCATCAGGGATGACCGTGCCAGTGTACAAAAAATGTTGGACAAGAGCGAACACCTCGACCTTGCAGTTGGGCAGTCTCTCGAGGTTCTCAATGTCGTCCTTCGCACTGAATTTCTTGCTGTAGTAGGATGACTTTGCACAGAGGAAGTCCGTCTGCAGACCGAAGGGAACCTCATCTGGTCCAACCAGTATTATGGCGAACTGAGGGTGAGGATCCAACCATGAGAAGCTGGCGGGGCTAGGACCATTCGTGGCCTCTGCTGGCTTTGGCGCTGGAGCGGTCGCATTGGCCTCAGTAGCAGGTGGCACAACTGGAGCTTCTGGGGCAGCTGGAACAGCTGCAGCACCAGGACCGAGTTGGCCCTCCGCGGGTGGGAGATCCATTGAGCCTACCCAGAAGCGATGGCTACTGTCCTGCTTGCGTTGATATTAGCAATCTATCCCGCCACACATCGCGAGTCAACAAAACTCATCAACGGGGATGTGGAAAGCTGGAGAGTGATCAATTCGATGAAGTAAAATCGTGTGTACAGTGACAGAGATTGCATAAGTGGGTGAAGCACTGCAAATTCAGGTTTGAGAGGCGTCTGCAAGTGAATAAGGGAAGGAAGAGGGCACTCACTGGGTGTGTATTCCGGGCAGGTTGTGATGAGAAGGGGGCAACCACGATGAGATACTCTATGGCTGAGGATGAGACTTTATGATTTTGATGTCAAACTTTGACCCAGAAGGTAGGTCCTGAGAGTATTGCAGGTGTGAGGTGTGTTGTGGTCGACAATGAGACCAGGGAGGGCATTTATATGCCTGAGACTGTGCCGGCTCATTTCAGTTGAAGATTGCTGGGTAGGGTGAAATGAGAGGTGAGATGACTAAAGTGCAGGTAACAGTGAGTGTGGTGTATTTCTGGTGTGCATGGGCCGCTCCAGCCCCACTCCAATTCAAGCTAGACAATTGGGTGGGCAACGACATACCGTACCAAGTGCATCATTACCTTTCCTTCCCTTCATCATTCATAATCTTTTGGACCTTCACTTTCAATTTCATAATTCTGCCAGTCATTTTCCTGCTATGCATTCAATGGGCATTGAACTGCCCCCGATTTCACGCCCGACTTCATCACTCCATGTCATGAACATCTGAGAGTCATCCGCTGGTTGCTAATGCTTTATTTCAAGCCACAGCGGTAGGTCTAAAGAGTATGGCATGAGCCCGTCATGACAGTCACATTGAGAAACATAAAGTAAAATTCATAACGAGTATCCCATCGATTAAGAGAGAATCGCTTTTCTCATCATAGCCTCATTGCCGTCACTTTGGGCTGCAGACGGCATGACCGCAAGTAACAGCCCAAGCGGCCAGCCTCACAGGAAGCAAGTTAATGGAAAAATATCAACGGCATGAGAATTCACAAGAGGTTGGTGGATAATATAATCTATGCGGTCATTTGCGTATTGCTTCCACAATTCAATCCAGTTTTGATTCAATATCTGAAGCTGGGATGTTCGCACTGCTCGACGACTGCTGGATCTGTATGGCTCTTCACGTGGAGCAACCCCCTCTCCTTACTTCACAAAAGAGATGGGCTTTACTCCCCATCACATCCCAAGAACGGATAGTCAAAGAACCTCTCACAATTTTAATCCACAGTCCGTGTGAGAGGGTCTCGCACTAGCCTTTTTGAAGTGCTGGCTGTGACTCAGTCGAACCTGAGTTTGCAAAGGAGCTATATCAGAAGCCACCCTCCCTCCCAAATTCACTGCGTGACATATTTCACAGCAAATAGAAGGCAACACAATTGCTGTCGTGTGAAACAACAGTTTTTACAGCTGTATCTCTAGACTACTACAGCTAGAGCAAGATAGAAGTGGGTATATTGAAAGGTGTGGGAGCTTTGAGCCACAAGATGCGACAGCGGCAGCAGTCACGGGCACAGATCATATAGACTATCATGCCAGGAGAATTTTACTGACTGAATACGCCTGGTGGAATATTCTTTTTGTTTTCTTCAAGCAGGAGCGTTGACCATGGATATCTGGATCCAGCGCTGCGTTCTTGATCCAATCTGACGTGCATCATATTTGCCTGTCTGGAGATCGTAAAGTAGGTTGTCGTATGCTCTAGGTGGTAACGGTGCGTACTTGTACACATTTCAAACATCTGATGTGCTCGAAATCAGTAAGCCCGTACCAGCAAGACCGTACCATAAGGAACCAGAGGACCAACAGCATGCAAAGCCTTGCACAGACGTGCTAAGGAATCGGACCCTGACCTATCACATGGTGGTAGCATGGCACGAAGGTGTTCCAGGGAATCCAGCAGGGCTGCCGTAGCCTCTCTTCATGTGCAAGACGCACCCACCGCCAGCCGTTGGTATCCCATAAGTGTCTCCCTACTTGTACAGGCTGAGATGGTCGGCCAGTCATTCCTATCGGTCTTGCCTCTTTCGTACAGCCATCCATTGACCAGATACTGCACCAGCATGACAGTTCCCACCAGAGTCATCAGCCCAACGGCCTTTGGAAATAACGCGGCTAATGTGAGTCTCGAATCCCCTCTTGTGCAATCTGCGGCCACACCTATCTTTGGGCTGAGGCATAGAGAGCTCTAAGGATGTTGCATGTCAGGTAGTGAGGTATCCTCCTATCTAGGTAGATCTGGACCCCTTGAGACGGAAATGCGTAGCCGACGCTGGCGGGTATCGGTGAGTGCAATCTCGAGTGCAGGTGGCCACGCTTGTACCTGATACCTGTGATCAATTGCGCCTGGTAACAGCGCGTCGGGAAACCCCCGAAAAGATAGACGTTCTCGCCTCGATTGTGCCAAAGCTTTGCATGAGAATGCAGCACGCTGTGTGGCCTTCAACACCCTTTCTCAACTGTGCCCCAACACTCCCCACTCTCCGTCCGCTCATGTCTTCCACGAAGATCATGTCGCACTTCCACAGGCAAAACTTCAACGGCCCGGGACTCCAACAGGATGCCTGCACAGATATGGAGATCTCCGTTTTACACAAAGGACTCGCAGGCGTCGTGCAACGTCGGTGGGAAGTTGGCGGGCATCAGTGCACTTAGGGCCTTCCACTGAGGCGTGTTTTCACTTGAAGAGCCAACAAGAACGTTCATATCGCCCGGAAAGGTAAGCGAGAACATGCACATACTAGAAAAAAAACAATGAGGAACACGCAAGGGCCCTCGCATCGACGGCCCACCACCCAGCCTCATGTTCAGTTTAGTTCCCACGCCTCTGCCGAAACATTCCTTCCCTCAAGATGTACAACCACTGGGTAATCTGGCAGAATGCCTTGTTCTGCAAGCGCCTTCTGGTGTCAGACCGATGTATGGAGACCACGCCAATCACTGTCATCGACTTGGTTGCATCTGGCCAACATGCTGGACAAACACTAGTGATGCCTCTCATGGCCTTCTCAAAACATGTGAATGAGGAGAACGGTAACGACACATGAAGGGTCTTGGTTGGGTTGTACAACCCAGCAGAATGGTAGTTAACTCACGAATGTGCTCGCAGGTGGCCCCAGAGGTCGGTTGATCCGCGTCAGCGATCGGACCATGAGTTCATGCCCGTCATTCATGAATATATTGGTCTCAGTGTATGGCCTCCGCTGCCAAGAGGCTCCGATGCAACTCCTCGTAGTCGGCTTTCGCACCATGGCCCGGATAGCCAAGAATGTGAGTCCATCTCGCCTCGGAGCGAAGCCCTCTTGAGCCATCATGGCGTTGATATGCTGCCGGGCGGGTCACATTCGCGGCCCTGGGGCGCATCGTCCCCGGATTTTAGACCCACGCCACGGCCTCTCCCTCATCACTATGGGCTGATCGCGGACTGTCACATCTCGGGATCGAACGGGCGACATTCGCTTGCGTGCAAGAGACGGTTGTCCTTGCGGGGTACGCCTGGTCCTCCTACTGTAGATAGCCGACCCTCCTCTAAACCGGCGCCATCGTGCATCTTGGCCTGCTGTTTAGCCATGGAGGTGCAGATGGCTGGCTAACGTTCCGAGATTTGGGGAGGGGAACAAGCCGACACGGGTTACATCAAGGGCGGCAAAGCATCATGGGCACCTCTGAGGAACCGATTGGCCAAAGACATCACTCCCTGGAGACACCGTCTACTCAAGTAGAGTGCGATCACCACATGGAGTTGTTGAGGACGATCATACTTCATGAGATGCGGTAGTGGTTCGGGAGCCGCAGCTCTAGTGTCTAGTGTGCCGGGTAAAGTCGAGGCTTCGGATGAACGGGACGAATGTGTCTTCGCAGCAAGGGTCCGCTGAGAGCCTCATCGCGCTTAGTTCGGTGGCAGGGGACATTAGCTCGCCACATGCCTCAAGCATGCAAAATGGGTTGATAATACCGGTGCTTCAGAGTCTCCAGCACGCACGAAAACGTTTTCCGGGGTCCTTGTGGAGACTCCACATCTTGATCTGCTAATAACCCAAATGCGGTATGTAACAGCGGTAGCCTTATCGGGGCCGCTGGTACGCAGGTGAGTAGCGCGCCCGAAGGACCCTCTCCGGTGAGATCGCAATTCTCCATCAATCAAAGCAGCGCATTCGTAGGCGTATCGGTTGCTGCCGAAGATATCTTTCCACGGCTCCGGCGGGTCAGAGCACGGGGGAATTCGCTACATCAGGGCCGAGCTCTCGCGACGATCCAAATCCAAAGGGACGATGGGCCTCTTGGACTCTGGTCTGGCCCAGCGAGCCATCTCCCAAGAGGTACCAGGATAATGATCCAGACCAAGGAGACTTTAAGCATCCTGGCTTGCGCTGACAATCATCTTCTAAATCCACTCCCCCTTCAAGGGCTTGGGACTTGTTCGAACTAGCGGGCCGTGGAGAGTGACGCTGCCCAGGTGCCCGTGAGAATGACAGCTCTCAATAATCAACGTCAAACAAATTGAGCCGTTGATAAGGCGGTGCTACCCCCCACGCAATTCATATCGAGACCATCCGTCCTGTGAGCCAATCCATCCCTCACGATTGGACAGGGCAGCCCCCGCGCCAGCTGTGACAAGTGACCGTGGTGGTGTTGGTGACCGCGGCGGCTGATTCACCTTGCCGCGCAAAATGAAGGTGTGCTCGTTCCGCGGCCTGGTCCCGCACCAATACCGCCGAGGGAGCGGCGGCATGATGACACTGCTATCTGGCGAAATGCGGAGATTGGCCCTTTGGTTGAAATTTGGTGCTCATCCTTTGCCAATACTGGGGCTGAATGCAGGGGGAGAAGGAGTCCCAGTTAGCCGGGCGAAGGCGCTGTTTGGTCGACGTCAGATTTCTGACGATGACTGCCTCTCGGGCGTGCGAGCTCCTATCTGCCCACTGGGCCCGCCATTCCAAATCCTTGATGGCGATCATGATGGAGGCAGTTGATCCGGGGAGCCTTGGAAGTGCATCAGAAATCTTGACTCCAACGCGATGAGATGACTAGGGCTGACGCCATAGACCCGCCCGAGGAATAGCCATCACGATGGCCTGGGCAGAAGTTGCTCGGGCCTCAAAGCCGGACTCAGTGATCGACTGTCCCAAGGAGACAGGCGTATCTGGTTCCCTGGCCCAGGTGCTGCACGCCCCAGTCCCAGTTTTTGGTGAGGATGGCCTGCTCCGTCGTGCCACCGGACCACCGTGTTGCGAGGCCCCCTCCTTCACCGGGCTCTGAATCCAGCCGGGTTTGCAGGATCGCATCACAAGAAAATCTCCGTTTGGGAAGGAGGATCGATGCATCTGCAATCCTTGCTCAGCCTAATCTGCACACTCCAGGAGAGAGAGGCAAAGAAGGAATCCTCTTCTTGGACTGTGGGGTAAGGATGTGTTCTCGAAGAGGATGCGTCGATGCCATGGTGCTCGTCGAGCATTCCGGAAGGGGGGCCAAGACACGGGCTGGGGAAGATTAGGTTGACGCCAGAACAGGCCGCCGGTACACCATTGCCCTACCCCGTGGGGCCGTGGGGAGAGGGGGTGGGCTGGGGGCTGGGGGTTGGCGCCTTGGGGGTCTTTCGTGGTGGGTGGGCTGCAGACGCCCATCCGTGGGCGAGCCCCAGGGCCAATCTCCACAGCACAGCTTCATCAAGGCACTCCGGCTCCGACGTGCAGAGAGGGTGGGTGTCAGCACTCGACACCAAGCCCCCAAGGCGTGCCCTGGTCCTCGGGAAAAGCCTGCGCCAGTGGTTGCTGCTAGATGCTGGATGCTGGCAACCTGACATCATGCCTGATTCAGCCGTGACCTGTCGCTTGTACTTTACTCTTGCAGCCCGTCGTCGTCAAGCTACCATGTACAGTGCGTGCTGGGAGACATCGTTGGCTTCATCGACCGCCGCGCTGTCGATCGAGGCCCATCAACGACGAGTCACCTGGTACTGCTAGTCTCCAAGGGCCGGAAAGAGACAGTCACGATGTCCAGCCCGCCGACCTCACCCCCACGCAGGTGTGACACCCAGAAACATGAGAGCTGCATCCGTCCTACCTCCATGATTCTCGCATCTCCTGCCTCCGCCCTGGCAGAAACCTAGAGCTCTCCAAGCGTAGCAGAAGCTCCATCCCTCCCTCCCTCTCACGATAGCGGGAGCATCTCCCGCTCTTGTTCGCAGCGCTGTGTGTTGGGGCACGAGGGCAAGAGTCAGTGCCAACCTGGCCTGCTGCGACCCAACCTTTCACGCGGTTTCAACCTTCCAGGGCTGCGTTTGAAGTGCGGAGGGCTGCTCGATGCTTCGTCTCAGCTCGATCGGGAGCCTCGAGAGCGATCTCTCGAGCCGTCACGTCACAGCTGGATGCACATTACAACACTGATATCAACAACACCGAGGGTAGGCTCGGATCACGAGGTACTTAGCCTGCCAATCTGCCGGCCTGGCCAAGCCCCAAAAAGGCCTGCTTTTCCTCGCATGCCTTACGCCCGTACACCGTATGGCAAGTAAGGAATGAGACTGGTCACATTGTTGTTATTAATATTATCATGCACCCCGGGGAAAACAAAGCGCAGAAAAATCTTCGAATGTGTTGAAACGCGGCGCCGGTGAATCAGATCAGACTCTCGGCCCATCGATGCCATGGCGCTGTCAACCCCACGACAACCGGCCACCCGCGGCCTGGATGATCCCAGTACTCGCGATGTTCCCCAGCCGCGGACGGGGCGTATCGCATCATCCCACGACCACTCGTTGCCGACAGTGCCACGCCAGCCCTGTGCGGTCACAGTAGCGGGCAGAGGATATACGATGCGCCGGGCGTATTTGTGACAGCTGGCGACCTGAAGCCCCAAGTTGCGGTGTGGGGAAGAAAGAATAAGACAGGAAAATAAGCCCTTCTTCCCTTTGGATCGCTCGTTGTCCGCGCACCGGCCTCTTACTCGACGGCGCCGGCTCTCAGCTAGTTCTGTCTAATGACGCAGGAAGGCCTGACGCTCGAAGCCTTACAACAGCTGTTTATGCTGCCCAAACACGCGAGAAGCTGTGACAGAAGTGAAGTGGGCTCGCCTCTCACAGCCCCAAAACACTCCCCCCACGACTGCGTAGGTGTTGCGCGGCACCTGGGGGGCCCAGAATGGCTGCCTCCTGGATATGTTTGGACAGCAGCTGTCTTGGCGAGGACACAGCGAGTCTCGTCTGCGTCGTCAGATTGGCCGGTGTCCTCGCTCTTGTTTTATTGACAAGGTACATCTTTTGTTTTGCCTCTTTGGGGGGGCGGGGGGCGGTCAAAGTATACCAAAGAAACCGTGGCAGTGTCAGAAGCATCCGTTGGGTTCCGTGAGCCGTAGCTGAGAGTGACACGAACAAAACAAGCCCGGCTCTTCCCACCCCCGGCAAATGCGGTACAGTAGCTTTTCTCCCCGCAAAAAAGGGAACCCCTGGCCGCCCTGCATAGGTACCGGCGATCAGGGAAGAAAAACTCTAAACAGCGCAACACGTTCGGGATCGACAATCTGACAAGAGCCTCGCCCCGGCTCCGGGGGGGTTTTGGTGAGGTCCTTGTGCTGCTCTGGACCATCCCCCCCCCCAAATCGCCCACCCCCAATAGCTATCGTAAGTACGTGGCGTGATGATGAATCGCACAGGACAGTCCCATCTCACATTCCCAACACAGGCAGCGCCCCCTTCCCCACAGAGCGACACGGTGTAACTTTCCTGTTCCTGATCAGCTCATCTCACCCATTTTTATTTGCTGCGGAGCCCCAGCTTTTTTTTCCTTCACTCCCGTCCCCACGCCCCAACCACGGTACTGTGCCGTGTGCCATGGTAAGCTGATGGGATGCGAGAGGGTCAAAATACGGCCTGATGCGGCGATACACACCCTAGTCGAAGTCCGGTCCTGCCAGCCAGCCAGCCTGCTCGTCCCCCAGCTGCGTTACGTGTATCTGGGTAGACAGACCCTTGGAGGCTGAGCTTTTCTTACAAATCACTTCCGATGTTTATGCAGGCCCCAGAGTGGTCCTCATGATAGGCAGCCCCTCCCCCTTCCCCCCTACACGTGCTCTATCTGATGCTGCGTGTCTCACTCTTTTTTCACTCATTCCACCGCGTACGCGAAATCGGAGGAGGGTCCGCTGGGGAAGGGCGAAATACCAAAATACGTTCGGGTCCCCATCCCACCCTATGGTAAAGCACGTGGGCCCCTCCTTGGGTTGAGGGAAGGGTGTGGCCACCGATACGTCACAATGGGTGCTTCGGCTGATTGGCCTGAGTCATGTCACGACAGCTTTCCTGCTCGAGGTCGGCCTCAGAGGAGGGGGGCGGGCACGCGATGAAAAATCCTCTGAGGGTGAGAAAGCGTTATCGCGGGGATTTTCACGGAGATAGGAAGGTAGTTATTTGATTTTGAAGAGATCTGAGATTGTTTCTGTTTCTGGCTTTTGCCATCCTTGACCAGGTTCCCTCAGGAGCCGAGGCCTTACTCCGTCCGTTCCCGCACGAAACTCCCCCGGCCTTCCTGTATCATGTATCTATCTGATATTCTGAGTGAAGCAACAAACAGACAAGTGGTCTAAAAAGGAAAAAAGGTCAAAACACATATCATCGGGCCGCTTAGCACAATGTGGCCCAATTCCACCATCCGCTGGCACATCCGTGTTTCGATCCAGCCCAAATTCAAAAGAGAAGCGAAGCTGTCTATCCACCGGGGAAACTGATTCTCTATTGCGATCGATTATGGTCAATGTTGTAATGGATAGTCGTCCCGAACGCCTCGCAAGTTTATCCCTCTATAGTAGTCCTGTTCATCATTCGTACATCGCCTGGTGCTGGTAATCATCCACTTCGACTCGACCTAGGAGCGATCCATGAGATCTCCACCGGCGATGCTGTTGGATGATGAGCTCCGCCCACTGGTGTTGAAACCATCAGGAACCAACAGATCGTGCACTGCCACCTTGGGGACCTGAGGCACGGGAAGCTTCCGCTGGTTTCCGTCAGGCCTGCTCATAATGTCCGACAAGGACATGCCGGTCCTCACACTACTCGTTGCTCCGCTTGCGGGCGGGGGGTTAGGGAACTGCTGCTCGGGCTGAGGCTCCAGAGGAGCAAGTGCAGGTGTGTGGTGCCCTAATGAGAGTTGCCTGAAGGGCGGCAGCTCATAAGTGGCTTGGTAGGAAGGTCGCAGGCGTGGAGAATGAGCTGGTGTGGCGAGAGGCGTGTGATCAGGCGTGGGAGACAGAGAGTCGTGAGAGAAGGTTGGCGACGAGGGAGCAGTAGAGTTGGGAGAGTTGGGCCTGGACCTCTTAGCGTGCCTGTACGCGTGCGAATAGTGGTCGTCGTGATGCTCCTCCTGCGAGTTGGATCTTGACATGTGGTAGGCTGATAGTGAGGGCAGGTTGCCACGGGAGCCGTGAGAGCTGTGAGAGTAGTAGGGGTGGAATCTCGAAGAGTGGTGGCTTGCTGAAGGGGCCATCAGGTTGTCACGCTCGACCTGGTGGGCAGCTTTTGCGAGCATGGTGATGTCCATCGGCCCGCTGCCATGGGGGCTACCAGAGGGGCCTCTTCCAAAAGGAGGCACAGTGTTGTGCGGCAGGACAAACTGGGAGTACGAGTGAGGAGGCGACACATTGGGCGACGACAGAGAAGAGGGAGGCGCTGAACGGATGTTCTTTGGAGCCGGGGGCGGCATCATGTCACCGGGCTGCAGGCCACTCATCATCTGGTGTGGTTGCTGGCCCTTGTTACCCCGTCTCGAGTTCGGGTTGCTGTGTATCCTCGAGTGTCGAGTCAATTCATCTGAGCGGGAGAACTTCTTGCTGCAGCCCGGGAAGTTGCAGGCGTGCGGCTTCTCGCCCGTGTGAGTCCTGATGTGTCTTGTCTGATGCTCCAGACGGTGGAAGGCCTTATCGCAGAGCGGACACTTGTAGGGCCGGGGGAGCTCGTTGCTGACCTCGGCAGGCTGGCCGGTGGGCAGGGGCCCGTTCGGCCGAAGAACAGAGACGGAAGCCATGTCGCTTGGCTCGTTGTGCTGCTGGGTGGGGGACTGTGACTGGCTGGTGCTGCCACTATTGGTGCCGCTGTTGGATTCTTGGTGTTCCGGAGCGGCAGGCGCCGAGGAATCGGGGTTCAGCAGATTTGCAAAATCTACTGCTGACTGTGACCGTTGCATGTGATCGCCCTTCTCTGGATTAACCAGGCCCAACACGCCAACCAAATGAGTAGTCCTTGGTGACTGGACGTCCTGCTTCGTCGAATCTGCTGCGCTTGTGGCAGCAGTCGGTGGAGGGTTTGTGTGAGTACTGGTCGTCGACGACGGTGGTGGTGAGAATGTTGTTGTAGTGCGGGAGGTCGAGGACGACGTTGTTCAAGTGACTTAGTCTCCCAGCCAAAAAGGATGGGAAAGCTTTGGACCCGGTTGGTGCAGGTATACTTATGGTGTTTTGATATTGTGGGAGTAGTGAGTAGATTGGTTGTTGGTTTTGGACGGGTTGGGGAAGATCGGATCTATGGCTGTCTGGGGAAAAGGGGGTTTTAGGGAGGAAAAAAAGAGGCAGCGGAGGGCCTTGGGGGGTAGGAGGAGGGGAGCCGAGATCTTTTTAAAAACGATCCATGGATGGCGCCTTTTTTCCCAGCGTCAGGCCTGGCGGGTCGCCCAAAGTCACAGCACGTAATGAACGGGTACAGTGCAGTCAGTGTCCAGCGCAGCGCAGCGCAGCGCAGCGCAGCGCAGTGCACGCAGGACCCGATGGATGTACCCATGTACCTAGGTACCCTTGTACCTCTGTCCCTCTCCCGCCGAGCGCTGCTCTGCTCTGCCCAGTGGCCCCAGTGGGCTGCCCACACCCCGGTCTTTGGGGGGTACCCCTGACACACCTCCTGGGCGGGTCAGGGAGAGAGACCTTGTGTGGAGAGCGCTGAGGTTGCGACCGGGGGAGGGATGCAGAGGCAGGGCGACATCTTAGCACTGGCTGCTGCGAGCCATCGCGGGGGTACGCCTAACAATCGCCAGACAGGGAACCCAAGGAAATCCAGCCCTCGCCGTGCCAGGTACCTGGGTACTTGGATACATCCCACTCCCACTCCACCCCATGCCCGCTCGACCTATCTGCCCACCCTCCACCCGTCGTCTGTCTAGGTGTCTGTCTGTTTGCCCAGTCACTCACTCCCTCATCCCTCTTCTTGCTCTATCTCAGGTGGGTACTGCAGATAGACAAGAATAGTGATGGAGGAAGGGAAGCTTCCAAGGTTGGAACACAATCCAATAGATCCTCGTCCGTCACAGCGCGGGAGGACAACACTCTATCTAGCCAGCATATCTATTGTCAGAGTGTCGCTCAGTCAGCCCACACAACGCTGCCGTGCGAAATATCATCGGCGGTCAACACCATCGACGGGCTGGCTGTTGACACCGCTCTGCAGGCAGAGACAGATGCGACAAGAAACCGGCCATCCTGCACGCTCTCTCTCACATAATCGTAGCACATTATACTCCGCCTCGGCGCATTTGCTTGACCCTGCCGTACTGTAACCCGCACGCACGGTAGCCTTCATGCAACGGACCGGCAAGCAGAGGCAGCCAAGCAGCACTCTCTCCCACATTCTCCCATATACCTAGTACAACGGTACAGTACTGATTTGAGACTACGGTACTGTCGTCTTGTACAGTACAATAATTAGTTACATGGCGCACCGATTCGATACGATCGGCTCAGAATCACCCCAGAGTCGTGACAGACAGACAATCTGGGGTCCCCGCCCGGCTCCATGCCCTTGCTCCATGCCCAGCGCAATGCCCACGCCCATGGAGACACACTCAGTCAATGGCTCTCCGCTAGCGGGGCGCTTATCTTGCCAGTCCCTTCGGCGTAATACGGTACGGAGCTTGGTCACTTCATGTGCTCTGCGCAGGCTGAGGGCCATCCTGTGGATGATGGGCACTGCTCCTGGGGAGCCTCTGGAGTCCCTCAAACCACACTGTACTGTACCTGCTGTGGCCTGGTTTCACTCATCTCCCGGGCCAACACGAAGCCGGATAAGCGTATACCGTGGGAAGCATCTCTCTAATATTCAGGCATGGAACAACTCAAAGCCACTTGAGCGAGCAAGACGATTGGCGTGAGCTTGACGAAGAATGCCCAATGGAGACAGATAACAATCCTTCTCTTCGGCTGTTGATCAAGGGCCGGTGTGATGGTGGTACCGAAGGACTGGTTCATTGGGCATAGGCGCCCTCGTCAACAATATCGACGTGAAGCTTATTCTCCTCTGGCGGCTGAGACTCGCCGGATATGGCATGGAAAACCTGTGGCGCATCTCATCTCAGCAGTCCATGGCGAAAAAGTTGGCCGGAATTGCGAGACCGTGGGAAATTCCTAGGAGCACAACAAGTAGTGCCGGAGTCCCTCGTCCACCATCCCGCAGTGTCCACCACGATACTATGAATGTAGACTTCATGATGACCCTTGCCGTCGGCTCGGCACAACGACAGCAACCACACATGCCAACGATGCCTTCTACCCGCGGCTGGAGGTGCAGTCGGAATTTCGTACCACAAATGATCAGATCAAACCATTCGGGTAGCTGAAGGGTTTGCGGAGAGTGGCCCGTGGGGGGTCCAGATACCGGGGAACGGGGTAAAGGGGGGGTTAATCGATTTTCCCCGGACTGGTGACGCACTCTCTTGGCTCTCTCGTGCTGGCACCATGGCGTGCTTTGCGCCTCTCTGCGCTTCTCTGACTCTTCATTTCCCAGCAAGGCCCTTTCTCTTGGTTAGACCAAGACGAGGCCTTCTTTGCTCTCGGCCTTCGGTGACAAGTTACCCCAGCCGCGGGCTACCGTGTTATCAGGCCTGCGCAGGAACCGCCATCCCCAGCCTAGGCCGCCGTCGTTGCGCCCGATAGGAGGGCACCCTGGGGAAAACGTGGGGAGAGCTACTTGGACCCGGGAAATCCTCGTGTGGGGGCGTGTGCCTAGAAGAGATAAGGAAAGTGTCCGAGTAGGCTTGCCATGGCTTAGAAGCTGAAAGGCCATGGCCCAACCTCGCTCAAATTTCGGCACCGCCTGTAAAAGCCTGAAGCTTGTTGGAATTCTAGTGATGACAACATCGATCATAGCAAAATTCTGCTTGTTTGCATTTCCAAACGCATGGCTAGACGCATAGCCCCACTTACCTCCATGTCTCAAGCTGGCATGTTCGTCTAACAGCACTCTGCCAGTCAGCCGGCCCCAGGGAGGCAAACCGGCAGCAAAACTCACCCTGCATAGCAGACCTTCGACTCATTTGATGGTTGATCTTTTCCACTTGCTGGCAATTTAGGCGCAACGGCGTAAGACACTGGGGTGCTAAGCATGACTAGATTCCGGGGTAAACTGTCCGAATAATTCGCCAGATGCTTCCAGAACGCAGAGGTTAGGTCGCATTGCCTGCGGGCTACGGCATACCTGGATTTTCACGATGCTTCTCTTAACAGCATCGCTTTGCAACCTTTTTTGACTAGGGAAAGTGGCGATATGTATGTCCTTTGCTCACCGCTGAAGTTCCCTTTAACTCGGCTTGCGATATGTACGCTACCGTACCTCTGGTCATGATTTTCGAAATTGCCTCGGCTGTCAACCCATCAAACAAGAGATCGGGTCGATGAGTGCTAATCACTGAGACAAAGAGAGGCTCGGCCTCGGCCTCATTATTTCAGTTCAGAGTCTGGCCAGGCCAAGCGAAGACAAACTATCAGGAGCGACCGGTTGGAGCCGTGCTTCTTTCTCGTCAGCTAGCTGGTTCCATGCCATAGCACATGTCAGCATCTCCCCAGGCCGTTGGCCGTTGGCCGATGGACATGCAGGGCGTGCAACCCCAAAGCTTATCACAAGAACGCGAGTCTGCTCCGCAAGACATGACGTCGACACACTCCACGCCAGTGGCCAGTATCTGCATAGTGTTCGAGGCTCAAGCAGACCAAAGAGTAGCTCGTTGCATGCGGGTGAGGAATGCTGGCTCCCACGCAGTGCTGGCTGACATGTGACGACGAAGCAGAAGCTCGAAGCCCAAAAGAAAGAAAAAAAACCGCTCCCCCTTAAGTCTTCCCCACGAGCTTGCACCTGTCGGCTGCGGGGAGCTGATCTAGGGCTGCCAAGCTGCAGGCGCTGGCCCTTGAAACTACACCCGCGATCCAGCGAGCCCAGTCAAGCCCAGTCGAGCCCAGTCAAGCCCAGTCAGCGAGGGACGGACTGCCTGAACAGGAAGGCCGACCCAGGCACATTTCAACCCTCCTCTGTCTACGAATAGTAACCAAGCTCCCTGGCTCCCTAACCCTCTCAGCCTTGCCCGCCAAGTGCCGCCTTGGCATCGCAATTATGATCCCATCGCAATGATGATTGCATTGTTTGATGACACGTCTGGACAACGAGTCAGTCGAGACAGATGGTCTGGACCGCATCCGAGCGCTGTGAGGTCTCTGCAGTGCTGCCGCACGCCTCCAGGTCTCGCAGGTCTTCGCAGGTCTTCGCAAGTCTCGCGTCTCCCTGCCTGCCTGCCTAACCCCCAGCAAAAGGGTCCAAGCTACGTCAACTGTCCTCTCGCCTCTTGCCCCAACTTGGCAGGGACGACAAAAATCTGCTCGACGACTCCGTATTTCTCGGGGAATTTCATGGAAGAGACGCTGGACCTGCTGCATACATGATCTGGCAGCTCTCCCATCGACCGGCCTTCCATGCCGGCGGGCTGACGGGCGTCGTCCGACGATGGGAGCCCCTGCGATGATCCTCCGTGGGCCTCTGTGCAGTGAAGAGAAGGCTGCTGTTGTTGAGAAGGTCTCGACCAAAGCCCTGCTGGTCCCGCCCGGCCAGCCAGCCTGGCAGAACCCGGGCAGAGAAGCACCGCAGATTTCCCCGGGCAAGTGATTTATTAGCGGGGGCTCCACTGCCTTGGGCCCTGGGACTGGGGCTCAGTACGGAGTACTGACATACCGTAGCTATAGAGCATAGCATCAAAGCACATGGGGGTCCTTTTTGTCACTCTTCCCCAGTTTTCCGCCCCACAAAGCTCGCGATGCGAATCTGCCCGAGCCTTTGGGGGCCGAATCTGGGCAGGACGATACGCCCTCCTCCGCCATTACCACGATGATTGCCTCTTATGCAATCTCGCCTACGCAGACAATTCAATACCGGCCTCGCGCGGGCTCCAGACATCCATACCTGGACTTACACCCCGACTTGGGGGAAATCTCAATCACATGTCAGCACGAACTTTTTTTTTTCTCTCGGCCAAGAGGACCCAATCAAGTCGGGATAGCTCCGGCCCTTCCAAAGGTGCAAATGGTCGCAGGCTTCCATTGGTCCGAATGGGCCGAATTCGAGAATGAACGTCAGGATCTGTCAACTCGCGCCCCAGCGAATGAGTGGCTATTTCGGCGCATGTATCTCCGTACACACACCACACACCTCATCCTCTAGCCGTCCGGATGCTGTCCCTTGCAGCTCCCTCCAGACGTGTTCCTGGCCATACCATCCGGATCTGGAGGCGTTACTCAATGTCGACTTCCAAATCGAGTCAACTGCGTCTCAAGGAAGATTCGATATGGCATCTCTGGCATCTCTGGGCCTTGGCCTCTCTGCAACCGGTTCCACCCGTGCCTATTCTCTGATTCGGAACTTGGGCGAAACGAGCCGCAGGTTTTGACCTAGCTAGGGGTTTCGGTCGGATGTCCCGGTGCGCTGAAGGAAAGCGTCCAGGGCTGATCGTGTCATTTTTGTTGCAGGGAGGAGCCAACAGCCGCGCAAATCACCCAGAGGCAAACGATGGTGTCCTTCAGGAAGGTCGCATATCTGCCATGCCAGAAAACCTCCAGGATTCCTTGGGCTGACTTGTCAGCTCCATCAGCAGCGTGCCGAGGGCGTCGTTCGTGATTTGTTACTCGCTTCTCAACAACGGACAACAGCACTGCCCCTGCCCTGGCGCCCAGGGCATCCCCAAGGGGCAGCAGCGAGCACCCGCAAGCCGCACCCCCCTCCTTGACACCGTGGCTTCGGATTCCTTCCGACAGGCCCTGGGTGTTCGGTAGAAAATGCTCCCCAAATCCGACGTCCAGACGACAACACGCCAAGCGGCTGTTATCCTTATCACCGCTCAGCCTCTGGGCAAGTCGCACTTTGGTGTTTAAATGATAGACTCTGGCGGGTAGCGCATAATTGTCCTTTCCTCGGCATATCCGTTAGTTGCCATGGCGTCCACGATGGTACCGACCGTAGCCAAGAGGGAGCGCCGGGGCGCAATCACAAACCGTATCCCGAATATTAACCCCACGTCGGCACGATGCTGAGTCTGTTATTGGGATCTCTATCCCTGAAATGATAGCATGTTGTGCTCTCCTACGGGTGCGATTCCGCTGTATTCTTCCACTTTCCTTCCCTATTGGGGCGGTTTTCCCCTTATCTAGGCGGAAGCATACACTGTTCTAGGGAAAGGCCCGGGATCAGACTTCAGACCGTACGGGCGCACACACAAACACAGGTCTCGAATCTCCTGAGGAGGCTTTGCGACCCCAGATTCTGTCCAGGGTCGATCATCAGGGGGCTCCAACTTGCGGGGTGGGAATGTTACATCTCCAGCCAGGGTCGCTGATAGCGGAATTAAAGGTCCACCAGAACGTCGGTTGTCTGTCGTATCAACGCATCACCTCGTCTTACGAAGCGCAGAGTGGCTTATGAACCGGACACAAGATGACAGTGGCTTGCAGGCTCGCTCCTCAACTGTCAGCCAACAGCTGTCAGCTGACAAGGCAATAGTGCGGTTGGCAATTTTTCCGAGCACCTTAGAGCTCTTGATGGTGTGGCCCTGAGAGCAGCGACCTCATCAGTGACAGCGAGTCCTTAGTGAGCAAGGGCCTCAGAAACCCCACGCCCCACGCACCGCCTCAGCTGCGCAATCTCGCTGCAGCTGTCCGTTTACTCCGTTCTCTGAAACCCCGTACCCTCTCCCCTCGGCAAACGATGCGGCTGTGGGGGAAGCCATGGAGACACGAGAAACTCCCATCGTTGGGAAATTTGGATGCTACGAGGCCAGCGTAATGAGTAACACAGTGCGTGGCCATTGCGCTCCGCCCTTAACCCCCCAAACATGCGTCGGCACGGGCGTGGTCGCAGTATTGCTCGGAGAGACAAGGGGAAGTGAGAGGTCACTTTTGAGATAAAATGGCACGGTAGAACCTGAGATGTGAAATTCAGATGCAACGGCGAACGAACGCATCCCTTTTCAGCGGAGCACGGTGATTCGCTCTGTCCTACCCACCCGCCTTAGGACTGCATTGTAGATGACTCCAGTGATCTTTTGAACGCCAGCGAAAAGCTGCAGGAGTACTTTGGCTCATAAATCCGAGCTCAGAACTCATATTATCAGCGTTGTTGGTAGTAGCATCATTTTCTGGTGACGAGCTCAGGTAAGCACGTAGACCAGGTGTTCAACGTACCTGGGTACCCCACACTCTCCAGCATGTGCAGTGGCGAGAATGTGGGGAGGCGCGTCTAAATGTTCCTTCCAGGGAACACGCGCCCTCCCGGCAAGCATATCACGTTCAACAGCACGCAGTGCCAGCCATTGCGGTCAATGAGGCAAGTGTTTCCGCCTCCGTCTGATTAAAACCCTTGAGGCTCGAAGCTCTGTTTCCCTGTTTGGTCCCCGGGCATCAAGGCTGGGCGCCATGGAATACCACGAGCGGCATGGGCATGATGTCTGCAGCTTCGATTTGCCCTCAACGCGTACGTAACTCTAAGCAACATCAGCTGTTCTGGCATCCATGATTGTGACAGATCCATCGCTGACACCACGCTCAGACCGACTGCCGACTGTCTCCGCAGCACAGGCGCTCGAGGACCTGGATGCCAATGTTTCGAGATTTGTATCGACCAATCTTCCTGACTTGGACAAGGCCTTAGCAGCCGGCGCTTCCAGCTCGCCGGACGGTGAAGTGGATGCCGGTGGTATACAGAAGGGCCACCTCACCGAGATCTGGGGCCCTCCTGGTGTGGGGAAGACTGCGTTCGGGATCCAGGCCGCTGCAGACGTGCTACGTGATGGCAAAGGTGTCCTCTGGGTAGGTCAGTACTACGGTGGCATCTCTTCATCTTAAGACATCAAGCTAATGCCCAGGCTGCAGACTGCTTCTATCCCGTATCCCGCGAGCGCTTGACGGAGGTCTGCCGAGCCAGAGAAGCTGGCGGTGAGGATGCCGCATCAGACCACCTCGACAAATTTGTCCAATATTCCTGTCCTAGCCTTGCGCATCTCATCGCCCTGGTGTGCCGGCCCACCCGGTCCTCTCTCCCGCCAGATACTGCTCTCATTGTCATTGACTCACTGTCTGCCCTGCTTAATCATGCATTCCCAAGACTACCAGCTCAGAAGGCAGCTCAGAAGGCCAGCGGCAAAGGCGAGACTCCCTATTCGCTGTCTTCAGAGCTATGCTAATTTTCATAGGCCCGTCTATGTCCTCCAAGCGACTGCAGGTGCTTCAGTATGTAGTCAGTGCCTTACAGAAGCTAGCTGCGACTCGTGATGCTGCAGTAGTCGTCCTCACGCAATGTGCCACAAGGATGCAGGCGGAAAAGGGAGCAACTCTGATACCTGCCGTCAACGCTAGCGTCTGGGAACAAGGCATCGCCACGAGATTGGCGCTGCTAAGAGACTGGATGTGGAACGACGGCCACCCATACGGGGCTCGCCTTGCCGCAGTGCAGAAAGTAAATGGCAAGATCGCTTCAGATGGTCTAGACCAGGTCTTCGCCTTCAGTATCGACTCAGTAGGTCGCGTTGCCCCGTGCTATGTCCGGTAACTGCATGCTAAGAGCTCTAGACGGGCTTGAGTCCGGCGCACTTTGATGGACATGCCGCATCTTCCACAACTTCTGGCCCCAAGCGAAAGCTAGACGAGACGGGCTTCGAAGTCCCAGACAGCGAAGATGAAGATTACGGGTGGCAGGAGAAGGACAGCAGCCTCCTACCAGGGATGCCACCACAGTGGCAAGGCAGTGAGGACCTGATCCTTGGGCAAAACCATGAGACCGAACGTGACAGCGATGTCGAAGCCTCCGAGCTCGAAGACGACCGTCCACCTAATAATGAAGAGTAACGAGTCGCTTCAAGCTGGTCGTGATGATCGCATCCGCGGAGCGCCACTAAAAAACTGGAAAGGCAGTTTTGCAAAGACATGCGTAACAAGCACGCACGCACCTGCACTTTTCCCAATATGCCTCTGAGGCCCTATCGTCGTCCCCAGGCCCGCCCCGCCCCGCCAATACAATCTTAAAATGCTGGGGTAAAAAATATCGCGGTCGGCCGAACATCGGCACGATAGGCCCTTCTGTGGATCCTCTCGTACCGGATTTCAATCTCGGTCAATCCCGCTCGCCTCGCCGCCAAAATACTCGGCGCATGTACGACGCAATGAGCCCGAAGAACGCCATTCCAAGTTTGACGGCCGTTGACAGTGCGGTGTCTTCGGGTCATCCTGACTAAGTACTCCCTTGAGCTACTCAGGCTGACTACTGACGACCGACGCACGACATGCCAGTGCCTGCGACAGGATGCGACTGTTGAGCAGAACAGACGGCCTGAGCTTCTGGAAACGGGACCTGCATATGTGGGCACGGCTCTTTTTGTGCGAGGCATTTAGCTAAGGTGATCTGCGCTCCAGCGTATCACCCTTTGGAGTCTCCAGTGAGTCCTTCAAAGATATGTCGTCGCAACTTAGCTCCGGGCTGCTTACGAAGTTGATTCGATTCTATACGCTGTCATGATCATGTTCAGCCATGACTGGAAAGCAACGATATGTCCGATCAGCGAAAGCGATTGGGTTCCATGAAAGGTACCCAGCACCTGACGTTGGCAGACAGCCACAAAGTCAAGCTTGCCGTCCCGTCGAGCCCACCATCTCTCGATCGCGCATGCATGATCCACTTTTCCTTCCGCACCTACTGTGGTACAGTAAATTCGATTGTGTACATCATCGCGGAACGTGGGTCGTGGTCTAGGTTCGGCCACAAGCCGAGGCGCGACTGAGCAGGGCGTAGGAGATGATTGATACGTTGACACTCTGGTGTCCAACAGCCATTGCGATTCAATATGTTGCAGATGCTAGAGGCTGGGGAAAAGTACAGAACAGAGTAAGCCGGATCTCGTGGGTTGCATCTGCCCGCGATGTTGAAGCTGTGCTATCAGAAGCATCTGATATCTGAGGAGTCTGGCACCACTTTCCCCTCTTAGTGGCATGTTAGCAGCGGATCTACCCGGCTTGGACCAAGGACCCTGACTGTGGCAATGATCAGCGACGCAGACATTTCCTTTCGTCAAGCTCGTTTCAATGCATGCGACTGACTGACAGCCCTCGCGTCACTGACACCTCGACGGCGATAGCTTGCATCGGAATGCAAGCAAGCTTTCCCGCTCTGCCGTCCAACCACTGCCTGCCCCTCGATCGACTGCATTGAATGCCACCGGCTCATGGAGGGAGGAGCCCCTGTCCCTGCTCTCCTCCAAGCTGGATGGACTCGCCAAAGGCCTCTGATGGAATCCGGCCGTTCGGAAGCATGTGATCGTTATGCCTGCGATTGTGTGAACGCATCGCAGCGACAGACTCACGGTGAGACAGGCAATGATTCTTTTTCTAAGCCACTTGAGTGATTCAACAGCCTCCTTCTGCGGTGTGTGAACTTCAATATATATATATGTCCCATGCAATGTCGGTCGGCGCCGCAAGTTGTGGAGCCCCGCCTGCTGCAGAGCCTCGCCCGTCGAGTAACCTCTGGGGTGATCTCGGGACTGAGAATGGTCTGACGTCCCCGCATTGGCGGGGGTACATTGGCCCCAGATTCTGCTATGCACCTCTCCCTGATCACCGCAGGCACTGTGCGAGGGACGTTGTGCTCGATGTATCCGAGACATCTCATCAACAAGACCGCCGCCGCTGCGTACTACCGGGTCTTCGAGCGGGTGATCTACGAGAACTACGATGCTTACTGGGGAAGGGCTTTGGAAGGGGGCTGGAACCTTTGTCATCGATCGTCATGGTCCTGTCCTCCTCGGTGTGCAACCCCTGCCCGGCGCGCCCGGGGGAATGGACCAAGTCGGGCAGGCCTTTCGACGGAGGTGTTGCCTCGGCCGTCGATCGGTCACGGTCTGGCCTGGCCCTGAACTCCCCTCTCTCTCTTGCTAGCCAGGGCGAGAGCTTCGGTTTGGAATAGAGACGCCGGAGCTGCTGGCGTTTATGCTCGGCCACAGGGGCCTTCCTGTCTCCGGGCCCCGGGTTTGTGTATTCACATGCGGCATCCGCCTTAAGGGCAATGGAGACTCGGCTTGACTGGAAAGTCAGACCTGCTCCCGGGACCATAGACCATGGGGTTTGAGAGTTCGTGCGTGCATCTAATATGAAGTATGATGGGGAATCGCTGCGAGATGACGCGAGGGCTTACGAAGACTAGGAACAAAGTTGAGCAAATATAGAGACTACTCCTCGTCTAATCCTGCCGGCGTCAATCGTGAAGTGCCTTCGCGATATGGGGTTGGCATGTATGGCGGCTTAGTGCGTGAACCATCGGCCAGAACTCCGCCGTCAAGAACACAGCCTAGCACCCGCAACTTGCTCCCTGGTGCCGATCCATTTGTCTCTGTCAAACTTTACGCGTGGGGTATAAGCGAAATTGCGATCTTAGACCATGAAGGTTGAGAGCTCATCGTTACTGGGGCTGCCCATGAGGGGATACATGAGACCGTGTGCAGGCGATGTCCTACGGACAAGATCCATCATCATCTCAAGAATGCCAGAGCCAAGTACAATCTGTCGACCTCGTTGTACATCAGAGATACACTGCGCAGAGGCCCTACCAGCGCACGCGATTCCTCATCCGAAGCTTCGATGGTTCGGACTAGGCGGATGTGACGATGCCAACCCGGGGCCACCGGTGGTTGTATTCATCAGTGTCGCAGGGCTCATTTTTCTTTTACCATTTCCCTTTACGACGTCCCGTCACATGTATGATGGGCAGTCCTAATAAGGTTCTGACAGTCCTTACACCGGTCAAGGGTGGCTCGCCCAGCATGGTTTTTTTTTTCACACACGGATACCGTTACTATCAGTCGAGGAACACCCGTCTGCGGGCGGAAAGACTCTCTCGTCATTTGGTAGTAGGATGATGAGATATGCTTTTTACTTTTGCACACTCGAGGAAACTCTGACACCCGGATCTATGTGTGAACTTCGGAGGAACCTTGGGAGAATTTGCAAATATCGTTCCCGAGGCGTGGGATTTATAGGCGGACGATTCTTCCTCTCCCGGACTTGAATTCTGGCCGCTGCTGGGACCGAGACGCCCGACTATGTGAAAGGGAGGGATGGTCTGCCTTGGTCAGGGCCCGGGGAGTCGTCTGAAGAACAAGGCTTCACACGATGGATAGACTCGACCGCGCTATTCTGGGCAGCCACCCGCGTGGCGGTGGCAGACTCGACAGCAGTGGTTTCTGGTCAGTGACTGGAGACTATCCATGGGTCGGGGCTGCCGCGGACGATAGGCGGCGGTTGTGTTTGTAGGCCGCCTGGCCTCAGTGGCGTGATGGATGGCCAGGCTCAGACTAACCGTTCCATTCTTCCAGGCGTATGTTCACCCTCGTGCCACGAGAAAGAGCATGTACACTCGCCCGGTGGCATTCACATTCATATCCTCGTGTATGGCGAGGCTCTGTCCTCCTTGTGGCGTGCCCGTCTATGTATTCTCAGGGGGAATGGATATCTGGTGTGATGGCGAACGAGTAGTTGCGAGTCTCAGATATAGCCTCTCAGCCGTTGAGTAGCAGTTGAGTGGCAGTGAAGTCCATAGAAGACTGGCATATGTAAATATTGTCGATTTGGAGCCATGCCCCAATTATGTGTAGATGCCACATACAGTTTCCCGTTCTCGCGATTGAAAATTAACAGTGGTTGCTTTTGATCGATGCGACCCTTCTATTAATAACCAATCTATCCCCGTCGCCTCACATGTGCTTACTTTGCGGCTCTCAAGTCCGCTTCGTGTGTGTGCCTTCCAAACGCCGTTCAACCAATTGACGATATCATCGCCCAGCCCCGTATGTCGTCCCTTATAGCATGTTGTCTTCCGGGACTGCCACGCTCACCTCATGCAGTCCGTCCCCGAAATATCCCACCCGAATCAGTTGCCCAAGTAGCTTCGAATAGCGCCCTGAAGCTTGGTCGCGCCCTCTCCCAGAACCTGGGTCAGGTTTTCCAGGTCATCGCCGGCGGTGATGCCGAATTTTCGAACGAAGTCCTTGGCAGCACTCTCCAGGTCGCCATAATCTTCACCGTTGTCCTCTTCCTCTGGTCGGCCAAAGTAGGCATTGGACGATATAGCCGTGGCGCCCTCGAAGCCTTGTAGACGGGTCTTGGCCTCGGCTTGAGCAGATGGGTCGAACGAACCCTTGCCGAAGAACTCGTCAGATGAGATACCCTTCTGGTTCCCAAATTTGCTTCGTGCGTAGTTCTCCCCATCGTCTTCAATAACGTTAGTGGATTGCACAAGACCCGCGGACCGAGCACACAGAACTTACCATTAGAGGAAGACGCCTTGATAGGCCCGACAGACCCAAAGCCACCGACCGCTTTCTTTTGCGCTGCAGGTTTGTTGCCCCCGATTTGACCGAAGCCCAGACGGCCCATGCCCATACCTAGCCTCTCCATTTCCGAGGCGGACTTCTCGCGCGTGTGAGATGCCGAACCGTAACCTCCGCGTGGCGGGCTGACGGGAGTGGGGGCGACAATGTTGCTGGAGTCGCTCTTAGTGGCACCGGCTTTCTTGGCTTCGGCCTCCTCCTCGTCGGGGTTGTAGCCCAGCTTCTCGATGCGCTCTGCTTCCTCCCTAGCCTTCTTCTCCGCCTCATCGAAGTCAATATCAGCAGTTGTGACCTTCTTCGCGCCAAGCTTGGAGCCCGCCTTCTTTGCGCCCAGAACGTTCGTCTTCCGAGCGCCGGTTGGACCCTTCTTCAGCGCTGCTGAATGTGTTATACGGCTAGCAGCAGGCTTAGAGTCGGCGGAGTCGGTTCGAGAGAGGGGCGAGGCAGTGCGCGCGATATCCTTTCCGGAGCCATTCGCTTCACCAGCCTTGAGGAAAGGAGATGGAGTGCGGCCGATGACAGACGGGGTGCCGGTTCGGGATACAGGCGGGGTGGGTTTTTTGATGGACGGCTTGTCCCAAGAGGAGAAGAAATCGTCATCTGGCTCCCCGGCCGGTGTGGAGGTGCCGTCAGCAGTATCGCCGTCGGTAATGACAACCTCACCAGGATACCTAGTGGTGGTCAGTCAAGCTGTAGGACAAAGGCGAATGGGGCGCTGGTGACATACTCTTGGGCGTCCCTAGCTGCCCGCTTCTTGAGTTCTTCCTTGTACTTGGTTGCAGCGTTGGACTGATACTTGGTCTTTGGATCCTTGCTGTTCAGGGCGGCAGTCCCGCCGTTCTGCTGGAAGAACTTGGTGGCGGACTCGTTTCCGCCAACCTTCATGACACGGAGCTGGTCCCATTGCCACTCTAACCCGATATCAGCGGTGCCGCCGGATGTATGCGATTCGCAGTGGAGACTTACGGTCGAGGTTGGTAGATCGAACAAAGGAGATGTGGACACCGAGGTTCCGATGGTTTGACGAGCAGTCAAGGCAGAGGTAGATGCCGAAGGGTACGGAGGTCCATGTTGGGTTCTTCTGTCCACAATCGAAGCAGATCTGTGGGGGGCAAGAGAAGTGAGCAAGAGCGGAGGGAGAAAGGTAGAAGGTTCAGCTCGTCCGGGATGGTGACAAGCATTCTGGTGTAGACCAGGGCGCATTGCATATGACACTACGAACCTTGTTTGCTGGCTTTGTCTTCAATTTCTCGAAGATCTTCAGCGACTGCTGCTTGGACGCAAGCCCGCTCATTTTGGCGACGGAAGACGTTCGGCGCTGGAGGGTGGAGTATTGGATTGGCCTACAATGCAGGAAGTACAGACGGATTGCCTAGTTATTGTGTTTCCCAGAGGCGACGAGGCGGCAGCTGAGCAAGTGGGTGGGCGACGATATGCTGTGAGATGGATTAAGGGGTTGAAAGGGACAGCGCGACGAATTAATTGCAGTGAAGCCCAATACCACCGACTAAGCGCATAGGTCCCGCAGTGCGGCAGCGACCACTCACTCTCTTTTGCTGTGGTGGCTTCTGATTTGCAGTCTAGCCTTGTCGAGCCTAGTGCTTCGGGCCCCACACCCCTGCTTCCAAGGCTGGTCCAGCATTCAAGCTCCAGATTCTTGGGCTATAGTGGACATCTGATGAACCCACCTTTCTCTCTTACCAGAGAAAAGCTTCAATCTCATTGCGCCTCGTCCGGACCTACTTTCACTGCCACTGAGCAATGGAAGCGTTTCAGCAGCCAGGATGAAGACAATCGCAACCGCGTCAATCTTGCGGCCGGCCACCCTCCTCAGCAGCTGTCACCCTGTGCTTCCTCCGCTCGCCGTGCGGAGGAACTATGCGACGCGGGGAGGCTCCTCGAAACGGCGCTCAGTGACCCCCTTCAACGATGACGGGCACGTGCCATGGACCCAGCTGTCAGGAGCCGAGAAGACTGCCAGGGCAGCGCAGCAATCCTTCAACTTCGGCTTTATCTTGGTCGGCGTTGGCCTGACCGGTGTCGTCGGCTATTTCCTCTTCACAGAGGTCTTCTCGACTGAGAGCAAGACCACTTATTTTAACCGTGCCGTCGACCGGATAAGGACGGACCACCGATGCCTTGAGCTGTTGGGAGATGGCAAGAAGATCAAGGCGCATGGCGAGGAGACTCACAACAGGTGGGCAAGGTCGAGACCAATTGCGTCCTCGGAGCGGACAGACCCGCAAGGGAATCACCATCTCCTGATACACTTTTACGTGAGTTACTCATTTGCCGTGCGCTCGTGTGTCTGAACTTGTCACTGACATTCGAAAAGCTGGAGGGCCCACGCAACAGGGGCTCGGCGCATATACATCTGATCAGATATGCTGGGCACAGTGAGCATGAGTATAAGTACTTTTATGTCGATGTCAAGGGCCATCAGAGAGTATATCTTGAGAACGCCGATGCCAAGTCGCAAGAAGATGGAGGCAGAGGAGGGACAAAGCTCTTCGGCATCAAATGGAGTTGATTTGCATGGCGAGAAGGCAAGGGAGTTGTCGTTGACAATGGAATTACCAATAACCGCATTGTGAGCGTGCATGTGAGATGCGAAGAGGCATTCAATTGTAAAATACTATGAATCATGGCCAGATCCTGCTAGGAACGAGTCTACTGTGCCAACGTCGTCGACACGTGTCGAGTCTTGTCATGGGAATGAAGTCTACGAAGAAACAACCGAGTGCGAGTTCGCATGTGGCGTTCATAACATTGAAATTCATTTTCTCATTCTCCAACGCCCTGTATCGTCTAGCACGACAACAAAGACATCTTGCAACGTGAGCCAATATGTCAGACTCTTCTCCCCGTAGATCGCTCACGCAACTCTCGTCCAGACGAAATGCGATGCAGTATCAGGACGCACAAAAGGAAAAAAGAGCATTAGTCATTTACAGCTTCGACGACACCTTGACCAACGAGCTCCCTCTCTGCAGCGACGCAGCAGCATCGTTGACAAACTCGTCCACAATCTCCTTGGCGTTCTTCTTCTCGTTGCACACGGCGGCGCACTGGCCCATCAGGAACGGCCGGAACTGGTCCATCAGCTCGTCGACGTCGACGTCCTCGACAGCGGCGCCGCCGACGTCCAGGCCCTTGGGCGGCTCCTTCATCTCGCCGTTCATGACGCTGTCCAGGTCCTTCTCGTAGGGCAGGACGCCCTTGGAGGTCAGCTCCTTGATCTCGTCCTGGCGCTGCGTCTCCCAGTTGACGATGTAGGGGTTCTTGCGGACGCGCAGCGGGCGGCCGGTGAAGATGAGGGTGCGGATGGTGTCGTCGAAGCCGGCGGTGCGCACGGCCTCCTTGTGCGACTCCGGGGCGCCGGCCTCCTCGGACAGCACGAAGCGCGTGCCGACCCAGACGGCGCTGGCGCCCATCATCAGCGACGCGGCCAGCAGGTTGCCGTTGTGGATGCCACCGGCGGCGATGACCTGGACAGGCTGGCCGGTCAGGGGGCTCTTGTAGCCCTTGACGGCGTCGACAACGGCGGGGATCAGGATGGTGGTGGGGACGTCGCCGGTGTGGCCGCCGCCCTCGCCGCCCTGGGCGCAGATGATATCGACGCCCAGATCAAGGCACTTCTTGACGTGCTTGGGGTGGCCGATCATGTTCATGTACAGGATGCCATTCTTGTGCAGGCGCTCGACGACGTGCTTGGGCGGGACGCCGACGGCGGAGACGAAGAGCTTGGCGCCGCTCTCGATGACGATGTCGATGAGGGCGTCCAGCTTGCCCTTGGTGTAGTCGTAGTTTGTCTTGCGGGCGCTGCCGCCGACCTGGGGCAGCAACAGGTCGACACCGAAGGGTCCGGACTTGTCTGTCAGGAAGGACTTGAGCTCGTTGATCTGGTCGCGCAACATGTCCGGGGTGTAGTTGACGCCGCCGATGACACCCATGCCGCCGGCGTTGGTGACTGCGGCGGCCAGCTTGGGCCCCGCGGCGACGTTCATGCCGGCGAGCAGGACGGGGTGGTTGATCTTGAAAAGATCAGTGATCGGGGTGCGGATTTTCTCTGTTGTGAGGACTGCTGTCAGTACTGGGGGAACTTGCGGTCTGGGAGGAGAGGGGGAGGGGAGGAGTGTGAGAGGATACGCACGTGGTGAAGCCATCTTGAGAGTATTTGCTATTGTTCGTATGTACAGTCTATCTGGACGAGGCACTGATCCAACAATGGAAGAAGTAGAAGCAAGGAGAAAAAGGAGCAGATGATGTTCAAGAAGTGAAGTTTAGGAACACGGAAGCAAGTCCCGGGAAGGAGAAGGGGTAGGCGGCGCGGGCGCATCGTGCGAGCACACATGTTTGGCGATTGGGTGTGGAGAAGCGATCTGGGGTCAATGAGCCGAGGCACAGGCTCGGTCGTCTGACGATGTGAACCCGGCACATCGGTGCATCGGCGCATCAAGTCGCAGCATCATCGCCGTGCAGATGTGCCGAGGCAGTTCGTCCATTGGCCTCGTCTTCATCTTCACATCTGTTCTATTTTGTTGTGTACTTTTTCATTTGGCTTCCTTAGCTCACTCCGTTTTGCATGGCAGCCATCCAAGACAAGAAAAGCATGACTGATCAGGGCGCCCCTTATGTATCCTGGAATTGGACCAACACGTGTAGATGAACACAGACACGGATCAAGGGGTCTAGGGGTCTAACATGGTAGGAATGGGTGGGCGCAGTGGGCTTAGAGGAGGAAGATGTTCCCGCCGTGACCCAAGCGTGTGCGCCCCGCTAATACCCGGCCCTCTGCCCCATACTTTCCGTCCGCTTGACTCGACCTGGGCTGGTTGCTTGGAGCCTCACTGGGGTCTTAGGCCTGGCTGGCTGGCTGATGCTGGCTGACTGGCTCTGGGTGAGTCGAGTGGGCTTCGGGAGCCGGCCAGGCCTATTGTCAACACACTCTACCCAATCATGACTCGATCCTCTCGGGAAACGGGCCATCTGAGAGGCGAAGGCGATTCTAGAGCACATTCTCATCGACTTCGTCTGGCTCGATGAATATGAGAGCCTTCTCTTCAGGCTTTTCTGCACGCTCTTTCTCCTCCAGATTATGTAGTCATGTCTCGAGAGTGTCATTATCAAGGTCTGCACCAGTCCCGGCCCGCCCACCCTCCTCCGCCGTAGTCAGCGCGCAGAGAAAATCCTTTTCGTCCTCAAACCCAAGGCTCAGACCATCTCGCCAGTCCCAGGAGCCAAAAGCATTCACCCGGTACACCTTGCCCACCCAGATCCGGATAGACCGTGCCAGCGACATGACCGTCGACAAGCGGCCTCGCAAGGCCTATATCGCCTTGGGAAGCAATCTTGGCGATCGCATCGCCGAGATCGAAAGGGCGTGTCGTGAGATGGACGCCAGGGGTATCACGGTCAAGCGGACGAGCAGCCTGTGGGAGACCGAGCCCATGTATGTCACCGACCAGGACCGCTTTGTCAACGGAGCTTGCGAGGTTGGTCATCCCATCTCAACCTATCCTCATCCGTGTGGCCAATAGACTTACACGGAACACAGGTTGAAACCACCTTGGAGCCTCTTGACTTGTTGGACCAGCTTCAGGACATTGAGAATTCCATGGGCCGCAAGAAGGTGATCGACAAGGGGCCAAGGAATATCGATCTTGATATTCTCCTCTACGAGGACGAAGTTGTTCATCACGACAGACTCAAAATTCCCCACGTGGGCATTCCAGAGAGAGAATTCGTGCTCCGCCCTCTGGCAGAGTGAGTGAGCCTCTTCTCCACAGTCTCACTTGGTCTCCCAAGACTCACAACTTACAGACTCATCCCTACCAAGGCAATATATCCAAAGAACCCTTGGAAATTCACCCAGGACTACCTGAACGAGCTCCCGCCGTCATCGCCACCGCTGACAACGCTCACCCCGTTGTCTGTCTCTCAGCCGCCTCTGCAGGCCTGCAAGCCCTCTCGCAAGACCCACGTCATGGCCATCCTGAACATGACCCCTGACTCCTTCTCAGACGGTGGTCTGCACCCAGCCTCACCACAGCCCACCCTCGCAGACACCATCCGGTCCTTTGTCGAGTCCGGGGCCACCATGATCGACGTCGGCGGGCAGTCCACCGCGCCGAACCGCCCCGAGGTCTCCGCCGCGGAGGAGCTGGCCCGCGTCCTGCCTGCCATCAAGCTGATCCGGTCCATGCCCGAGGCGAAGGACGTCCTCATCAGCGTCGACACGTACCGCGCCGCCGTGGCCGAGGCGGCCTCCGAGGCTGGCGCCGACATCATCAACGACGTGTCGGCCGGCGCCATGGACCCTGAGATGCTTCCCACCGTGGCGAGGCTGGGCAAGACGGTCTGCCTGATGCACATGCGCGGCACGCCGGCCACGATGAGCAGCCTGAACGACTACAGCGGCAGCTCCGGCAGCGAGAGCGACGGCCCCGCCGGGCTCACGGGCGACGGGCTCATCCCGGCCATGGCGCGGGAGCTGCTGGAGCGGGTGGCGGCGGCCGAGGCGGCGGGCGTGCGCAGGTGGCGCATCGTCCTGGACCCGGGGCTGGGCTTCGCCAAGCTGGGCGAGCAGAACCTGTCGATCCTGCGGCACCTGCACGAGCTGCGGGCGTGGCCCGGGCTGCAAGGGCTCCCGTGGCTGGTGGGCTCGAGCAGGAAGAGCTTCGTCGGCAAGTTCACGGGCGTGGCGCGGCCGGCGGACCGCATCTGGGGCACGGCGGCGACGGTCGCGGCGGCCGTCGAGGGGGGCGCCGACATCGTGAGAGTGCACGACGTCAAGGAGATGGGCCAGGTCGTGAGGATGTCAGATGCCATCTGGAGGTACTAGAAGCGTCGTGGGTGTGTGAGAGGCTCATGGAAAGTGGTAAGGGGGGAGGGGGCTGCACTGGGTGCTTACTGCGTCCGGGTGGCTTGAGATCTCAACAGCCAGCAGAGAAGCTCAATAAATGGATGAACCAGACAGCTGAAGGCTCGGCGTACCATCTGAGAAAATCCTGATTTCCGCATTGCATGTTGTCCGATCGGATGCATCGTCTTTAATTTCCGAGCAAATCAACTCCACGGTCGATGATATGAACTCAGGCGGAATGCCTGCCTGCCCGCCTGTGCTGCTGCTGCTGCTGCCGCCGCCGCCGCCGCATGTGGCAGGAGAGTGCGGTCCCCCCGATCAACGCACAGCTAATCACAGTGCCACCCTTGGGTCGCCAATTTGCAGATCTCAGGCGTCAAGCACAGCAATGTGGCGCCGCTTGCATAGCACGGCCATGCCAGGTCCCCCATCCCACCCATCGTAGATTGCGGAAGCAAAGGAATATGCCGTCGCTGTTGCCGCACCCACCCCAACGATGACACCCTGTCAACAATGCTGGGCGCGCGAAGTGTTGCCCTCGGGCGGAAAAGTCTGTGTCTCTCGAGGGGCGTGAACGACGAGCGAGCATCGGAACGAGCCGTGTGTCCCAGACCGGCTCATGTCGCGGTCAAGGCATCATACCCCAGCGGCCATTCGCTGTCTGCATCGTATGGGTCGAATTGCCATGCAGTTCTTTTTCCCTTCCTCAACGGCGGCCGAGAGAGCTGCGCAGCTCATCCAGACGGCAGGCACGCAGGCAGGCCTTCCTGTCGCGTGACTTGGGACGGAGGACATGACGCCGTCTGCATAGCTCCCCTCCCCAACAACCACAGAAGCAGACAATCATATGTCGTCGGCCCATCGAACCTTTGAACGAGTCACATATCACACCCCACATGCGGCATTGGAGCATTCCCGAGGGCATCCGCGACGTCACGGGCGAGGCACAGGCAGGTGATGCTGCGCTGGCCTTGCTTGGCTTTGTTGACTTGAGAATGCAGGGAACTCAACCCCCAGCGGTTCCGTCGGGGCGCATGCGTGATCCGCGACCAAAAATAAGACCGGTGAATTATCACGAGAAGGGAGGAGGGAGAGAGGTTTACGTCGATGGCGGCGCGGCTTGGACACGTCTACATGCAGAGCGATTGGCGCCTGCTGTTCAAGATTGGTCGCTGTACTTCGCCCGGATGCAGAATGAAGCGACGATCAAACTCGGATGCCCTCATCCACATCACCAAGGTGCTCAGGAAGCATGACTTTCACACAGCGTGGCTGAGTAAGGGGTGTTATTGGGTCGTTTGGTGACCAAGACAGAAGACGCGAAACATCGTCGTTCCAATACAGTGCCAAGTGGCAGACAAGAGATGTCGATGGAGCCGTTGTCGTGTCGGTATTATCATTTACGAGTCTAATCATTTGTATAGCTAGTGTGTATACAGGTCTCGATCCGTCTCTACATTGATGGGGCGACCTCTGCCAGCCCTTCTCGCTCTAATTGTCCTCTCCGTTGTCCGCGCCGTGTTGATGAATTCTCTGTATTTCTCAACCTTGCCAACATCTTCAATTGCCGGGGATGAGTAGCCACTGGTTAGCACGAGAGTCTCGATCTTACCCCAATCATGAACCCAATCGATCAGGTCTGGCTCAGCGTTGGGGCCATGGGCGTGAGCCGTGAGCGCCTTCACCCACGGTGCACAACCTGTCAGGTCCAGATATTCCAGACCGTATAGACTTTTGCTAAGTTTTCGCAGGACCAAGATTGCCTCAGACCAGTCATCGTCCAGCGTAAGGCTGTAAGGGTTCCGACCTCCATATTGGAACGTCTGGCCTTGTGCACTTACCACCTTGGCGAATGTTGCGTTCGGTGTTAAAGATGGGATAGGCCAATAGGCGAGGCTGAGATGTGTCAGGGTCGGGAGGTGTGTTGAGAAGGCAAGGAGTTGTTTCCAGGAGCTGAGAAAGCTGGTCTCTGGGCTCGTGGCAAGCGAGAGATGCGTGAGATTTACGAGAAGAGGTCGAGGAATCGCTGTTGATTCTGGCGCATCCCACGAGTCCAGGAGCGGGCCGATGTTGTCAGAATGCGTGGGAAATAGAAGTGACGAGAGATCACGAAGCTTTATGGACCTTTCAACCGATATAGACAGGTCTAGATGTGTAATGCCCTCATTCATGGAGCTTGGACTCGGTGGTGTCTCTGATGTGTCTTCTTTACCGGCATCGTCGTCAGGGGCTTGGCGTAGAAGAATAATCTTCAGGTCTAACAAGGACAAGCCTGGCTCGAACATCGTGTTGATGTATGAAATGAGAGCCATTCGAATCCGATCGGGTAGTGTAAAAATGTGGTAGAGATTGTAAGATCTCTGGTATTCCCAGTCAAGGGCCATATTCCGTAGTGCAATGTCCATCAGACTTCGCTCTCCCGGCCGGTAAAGGCCAGGGAGGAGTCGGCACTGGTATTGCTCAACATCAGAGCCGTTGGACTCGAGCCTCGGAGCATGCCGCGACAACGACAGCCAGCTGCGCGGCGGTGGCGGACCTGCTGGCAGCCTACGGCCCTGAGCATCGAAGCGAGGGGCAAAACGAGGCCGTCTCCTAGGAGGTGGTGCCGGTGCTTCCGGTACGCCAGGTAAGAGGATCTGGCGGATCTGTGGCGGCACGCTTGGGGCTGCGATGTCTGCGACACTGGCTGAGGCCTGCTGGTCACTGCCATTCAGCCTCGTGCGTCTAAGTGACGCCAAGAGTTGGTTTACACTTGGTCGATGGTGATCTACAAGCCACGAGCGCCACAAGGTCAGCATGCATGAGGCATAATATATAGAGGGGAGTATGCTAAGGTGGAGCGGCGTTGGAGTGGGTAGAACAGCGGACATATCCATCAATGCACTGTACTCACCATCGTTCCGAACTGCCAACGTCGAGCTGCTTGAAAGGGAGGCCGGAGCTGTGGACTGCGGTTTCGAGAATCTGTTGGTGTGTCTTTTCTTGGGCATGACCACCCGAGGTCAGGCGTCTGTCCTCTCTGTGGCAGCCAAGCAATAAGATGAGATACCGAGCAGCAGTCACGGTCCTCCTCACTTTTCGCTTCCTTTGAGAAGCCAGGTGAAAGCGAGGCCGAGAACAGGTTCGGGGAATGCAGTGAATGTAACAGCACGCACAGGAAGGGGGGGGGGCAGTGCGGCCCTTGCCCGGTCTTGCAACAGGAGCAGACGAGACGAGTAAATGGAAAAGACAAAGAGGATCCCGGACGAGTCCCGGACGGGTACTGGCAGGTCTGAGTCAAACCAGGCAGGCGTGTACTAGATGTGTAGCTGGGATCAGTCACCTCATCAAGTTTGCCCCCCGCGACTGACAGAGCCAAGTAGACAGGGCTAGGACTATGGAACACCGGATGCAATGGGAGTGGAGTGGATGGGATGGGATGGGATGGGATGGGATAGCGCGGAAAAGGACCGAAGATGCTGTCGTCAAATGTCAAGCCTCAAGCTTGAAGCTCGCGAGGATTTGCAAGGATGGGTGTGTGGGTGATGACTGATGACTGGATCGGTCAATGACTGGTTTGATTCGGCCGAGGGAAGCGAGAGGTCAAGTCCATGGCTGCAGCCTAGAGATGCTTGGCCCATGCGCTGCCCCGGTACTTGCAGCCTGCTGTAAGTGAGTCCCCAGCGACATGGGTACTTCGACATGCCCTGCCATCCGCCCTCCAAAACGTTGATGAGAATAGCCCGCGCCCTGTGTGCTGGAACCAAGAAGCTACAAGGGCTAGGAGTCATTACGATGTCGCTAAGAGATTGACATCCCCCTCACCAAACATATCCAGGTACTGCGTGGTAACTACACAGTAGTGAGGGAAAAGGGAAAAGGTGGGGAGGGGGCGGAAAAACGGGGGGAAGGCCTGCTTGCTCATCACATCACAGTCAGTATAATTCTGGCCAATAGGTGATCAGACCGTTGACGTCCTGGCAGCCCGAGGCCCAGAGCCTGCAAAAAGACCGAGCTCCACGAGATCTGCCGTCTGTGCTCAGGACGTCAAGCTTCTGTCACGAACGATAATGAAGGGCTGGCAGAATTAATGTCGGCGATTTCCGCAATGCAACGGCCGTTTCCACTGCGTACGTGCGTCTCTCAGGAAGCTTGCTCTAGGCCCGTCGGAGGGGGGCCTTACCAACAGTGCCAACAGCCTTTGGTGGATCGTTTCGATGGCAGCTCCTGATGTGGTGTGGAAGCTAGGGTGAGGCAGCCTCTTGCAGCCTTTGGGCCCAGGTGTAGGAAGGGGGTCGGGTGCGTGAGAATATGAAAGAGTGCGTGTGTGCGCGCGCATGTGTGTGAGGCAGAGTTTCGTCCAACTCCGGGCGAGCCACCCGGGCGCACAAAGGCGAAGGCACCGTCGCTCAGCTCCCCCCTTGTCCCATGCACAGAGTCACCCCTGAGTCTTGCTCTCTCAACCTGCCTGCCGTCTGTTTGCCCATCTCTCGCCCCTCGCCCTCTTTGCAGGGAGTGGTTCGACATCCTGCGGCTGCAATGGCACACCAGGGGGAGATTGGATCTTGCGTACCATGTTTGGCCCTTGGAGTGCTAAGGCCCCGTGACTTGATGCCTGACCGGATCACGCTTTTGGTCACGTTGACGATCAAGTGCTTGCCAGCACGCCGCCTCTTCTCATGTACTCTCCCGTCACTTGGGTAACACGACCGGGGTACTCTGTTGTGTGCTATCGATCCGCTTTGTATGGACATGGTTGGTGGATGGCGAATCCGCTTGTAACACCGACTCCAGCTGTCTCCGTCATGTTGGTCGGAATTTCCTCCTTGACCCCGGTCCTGCGCCCATCAACATCGGTCGGTCCTAGTCGTTGAGGCCTTGCCATTCATCTGCCGGCCCCAGACAAGGCCATTGTGGGCAGTGGGATGGGAAGTGCTTGCGGAGACGGGGAGGAGGGGCCCGTAGCAAACCTTTTCGGCACCTGCAAAGAGGCAAGTCACGTTGACAGTCACGCGTCTTCGCACAAGGAGGCCTGCTTCAGCAGAGCACAATCCCGTTCTGGTCGACCCCTGAGACACTGTCTCGCAAGGCGTTAGCAGTCGTAACCCATATCCCCAGGATCTGAGCTTCATACTGCTTGCTGGCTATCCAGGTATCCTGGCTCATGATATGACAGGCCGGCAGTATGTCTTCATGACCCATGCCAGTGCGACCAGCAGTGAGACTGCCCATCTGCTGCTACACATTAAGCAATCTTGGCCGTGTGGATGACAACGACTTGGGCCAGATGCAAGGCGCCGGCCCCAAACTTTAGGGCCCGTCACACGTTACAACGAACGAGTGGAGAAGCAAGGTCTCTAACGGCGGCCAACACCAGCTGCCGCCGCGATGATGACGGGCGCGCTCAATCGAACCCCAAGATACCATGCTACTTCCCGGCGTCACCATGGGACTACCGTCTGATCTGAAACAACTTGTGGCTGCCTGCCCTTGCCGGAAAAGTGAATGAACACCCATGACAATCTCGGCAAAGACGACGTCCATCACATTGATTCATTACTCCTTTCTCATTGCTATCCCAAAGGAGCGTCGAGTTGTGGTCCGTACAGTCTTAGCAGACGCCCTGTCCGAACCAGAAGACGGCTTGTTCCGCGATTTGCGCCAGGCCACAACATGAGTGAAGCTTCCGGCAGTGCGAGACCCTACTGGTAAAGGTCATTGTGGCAAAGGTTCGCGGTCGTATCGTGACAGTGAGTTAGAATATCACACCCGATTTGGAAACAGTTAGCGAACTAGCTTGGAAACGACGGATCCGATCTAGGCGAAGCCAGGAACTTGGGTGATGAAGGCATAAGGCGATCTAACTTGGTGATCTGATTTGAAAGAAGGGTTATCCGGCAGATGTATTAGGCCCACTATGACAACGCCAGATTTGTCTACTCCAGACCTCGCCTCAGGGGATCAGCCCTCATGCATCTTTCATTTTCCACCCTTCGTGGCTGGATGCGTCAAGTCGCCAAGATCGGAAGTTGCGTGAATAGCCGTGTGTTGCTGTTTTCATTTTCATTCGATAAGAAGAAGTCTGTGTACTCGTGAGTACACCAGTGGCAGACATTGAGGATGGGTTACGGCGACTCACTGCAGGGTTGAGAAATCTTCCATAGCTTTGATTTTGGTCGACCAGGCGCTCAAATATGGAGACTGCCGTTTTGTCATCTCTCGCCCCCCCCCCCCCGGCAGCGAATTCAGTTCTTGAAGAGGAGTGTAGACTGGACTGTGAAGGGCAAAACCAGTGTCTGTTTCCGCATCTAGAATTTGATAGCTTCGTCACAAATCATTCTTGGCTCCACACTCATCTGTTGACCAGAGAAGGTTCAAAATTTGACGAAATTTCATGGTTGTAGCCCTTTTGGTGTGTGTGTGTGTGTGTTGCTAAAACAGTGTCTGCGGTCGCTGGATGTGTGACGATAGTATGTAACTATCGCCGTGGCTTGGTTGTACGGTGGGAGAGGTGGGGTTTGCTTCCGGTAGTGAAAATTAGATAGTCGAGCGATTTCGAACGAATTGGCACGACAAACATGCTGGCACAAGACTTTTGTGGGAACAACTTTCCAAAAAGCTTCTCTGGCTATGTGCCTACCCGACCGAGTTGAAGGTCCTCCCGTGTTCGTAAGCTAGCGATAGATGGCTGCGCTTATAGCAGTGTCCTAATTGCCGATACTGGAAATTAAGAGTCTAGCACAACCAGATCCTGTGCGATTCATGGTAAGCATATGAGATAGGTGGCCTTGACCTGTTAGATAGCCGCCGCCAGCCCCGGTCCAGAACAGTGATGGGATACAGAGATCCGACGTGGTCGGTGAAAATTTGAAAGCTTTGTAATTGCGTGTATGAAATGCTCTCAGGACAATTGCCTCATTGCAAGTATGTCGTAGCTGCCGAGAGTTCTGGAAAGTGCCGACTAAACGCCGGAATCACAATCGATCCAGTGTTCGAGAGACCTGGAGTCTTTCTCTCCAGCAATGACGCTGCAGCTGTGTCGGCGGAGCCTCGAGTTTTCGGTAGTATAGCAGAAAGGGCAGGCACTGGTTGGGTCGGAACGCGACATGGCAAACTGCACAATCCGACGATGAAAGGCTGGGATTGTGATGATAGTGCACTTAGATTATGGTTGTCAATGCAGCAGAGGATATCAGAATCTCTAATGGTAGGCTGTCGGTGAGCCCAGCCAGTGTCATGTCAAACGAGGTCGTTGGCGTCGGGAAGTGGATGACTTTTCTCCCAGAGATTTTCCCCCATGGAATCCTGTTCAAGCATCAGTGCGCCACTTTCACCAAGGCTTCGGCGACCAGAAATTTCATTCCGAACAGCTGAGTTCGCCTAGGAGCGTTGGGGGCGACTATATGAAACAAGCCGCGCTGTCAAAGTATGTCGATTCACCCTGTGCAATCCTGAGTGTGTCTAATATATAGGACTCTGCCGTGCCTGAGGGGTTTGGGACTGAGTTGACAGTGGCTTGCTGATAGATCCTTGGTGCCTGGCGGCGACCTGGCGTCTGTGTTCCTTGGCTGCTTGTGAAAATCCAGGCTAGTACAATGACTTTGTCCCGGTACTTGATTGTACGACAATCCGGACACTGCGAAATGACGACTTCGTGAAACGAGCCGCCTCTGCTCATGGACGGGGAGAAAGACCGAGGACTGCGAGCTGTAACGAATCGGACATGCGCTCTCCTATTTCAGACGCGGGCGAAGCGCAGTCCAGAGAGTGCAGGCCGTTCAAATGATATCTTGCGTCCAAGGTCTTGCTGAGGAACACATAATGGTAGAAGACGGGCAGACACGCACTGTGCCTTTTGATTAGCATCGGTCGGACGGGCCCTCCTGAAAATTGGACTGTTTGGTCTGCTGGCTCGCACACTTTTCCTTAGCAACATTCAGATAGGCTTTTACCTCTGACTGACATCTGATAGCCCCACTGTCTTGGTCTCGCAGCTCCATAAACGAGCTATGGCGAGCTTCAGTGTGCTCGTCTTCCTTGCTAGGCGGAATCAGAACCCGAGGATGTCGTGCTGATTGCTAGCAAGTGCTCCTTCCAAAGCTCTCGGAACATGGCACGACTCGCTCACCGAGCCTGCTGTTT